TATCTGCCTCTCTGTTTCTTTTGTCATAATCTGTGGGAGTCTTCGTATAGGCTATTAAAATATTAATTTATTATTTTAATACAGTGTAACAACAATATAACGCTGTTTTCACAGTCAAAATAATTAGCAGGCCGTCGATCAAGGCGTATCAAGGCCAGAGGCTGTCATCCCTATTTTGCGACGTCATCAATTCATTTTGTAGGCTCGTTTATTGTATGATGCACATTAATCGAATCTGTCCAACCATACTCTTACCAGTAATGGATTTTACATAATATAATAACGAATTTACACACAGTATATCGATTTAACATGCTTTCGCTCTAGCTAATAATAGTTAAAGCATCGATTCCCGGTTAATACAAACATGTAAAATATTTATTAAAAAACAGTTTTTATATTCATTAATTATAAAAAACACCAGGCCTATAGAAATTATTTCTTGATATAGAAAGCATGTTATCCTCGCTAATAATAGACACAGGTTCGATCCCCGCTTAATACACATATTTATGGTATTTGTGATATGAGTTAATTTTTATTGGCCAGAGCGTTTCCTGTTTTTAATAAATGTAAAAAATATGTTTAATAAATAATTTTGTATGTCTATTACTCATAGTATTTATATACCCACATTTAAATTGGAACTACGAATCGTATAAAAGTATACTCAGAATACAAACACTGCACGAACTTTTTAAACTCTATAGTTTGTAACTAGATGGCGCTGTATGAGGTAGTCGAGACAAAAATGACATATATTTGTCACTGAGATATGTAACGAAGAGAAGAGAGATGTAAAATATATGTTAAACGTACCTACTATATTTAGCCACAATGTTAACTTCTATAATAAGTATACTAACTCGAAACGTACAAACTTTTGCTCTATAAAATTAAATGAGAATAGATGACACCGCTCGTTTCAAATATTAACTGGGGAACTTCTTAGCTATCATAAAATGTGATTAGGTCAACCGGTTTGGTGTTCTATACGGGAAACTGTATGCGACATACTATTCCACGAAATCTGCCTACCTCAGTTTAGGGTTCAACCGTTCACAGAAAAAAATCTATTTCATTGATAAAAATAGTATTAAGAAATTATACATTTTATATTCATATTGGCAATTTGTTACACGTAAAGGCTACCCTTGGCACAAATGTCGTAACATTTTAGGAATCTCTTGTACTGTTTTTAACTCTTATTGCCTTATTGCCCAGAATATTTACTCATTCATATAATAATCAATCTAAAGACCTGAACCTGGATTATGAATCAATAATTTTGTTTAGTAATAAATCGCGAAACTAACTGCAATGCTATCTTTTACAAAAAACGCATGAACAAATTTAGCGTGTAGATATATATATGTTATCTGTCATTTAAATAAAAAAAAACGAAAACGCTGATAACATCTAATTTAGTGTATAGATCTAATTTATCATCTGAAATTATCTCCGCTTTGTACTCATTTGGCAGACTATTTTATTTTCGAAATATTTTTGACAACTTGAACAATGGCACAAAAGCCATTGGATCTCTTGATAGAATATAGTAACCGACACCTATATGTATACATAAACATTATACCCTGTAATTACACCCTCAAACCAAAGCATAGATTTAAAACTAGTTGCTTATTGAGTGAAATGACGGACAAAATCTTAGTCAAGTTTTAGTAACTTTAAAAATAAAAATAATAACTTTTGTTAAATATTTTAGATATTGGTGCCATACCAACTGTTTTAGCTGATACTTCAGACAGCGTGGCTAAGGCAATTCACTGGTGAGGTAATAGAGTAATTAGTTTTAGAGTGGACTGACATGTATTTTGAGATTGTACAAAAGTCCCTAAATTTAAAAAGAATAAATAAACGTACGGGTAAGGACAGGAGGGACCAACATATACAGTCTTCACCATAAACCAGATACCATATAGGTCCTTTTATTTTTCTGGTACGGAACACTGAAAACGAGATTATCAGCAGTCGTCGCTCCTGTAGGATAAAGGGTTACATATGATCCTTTTAACGACGCCGCACAGGAAGGTCGTTATCCCGGCCCATCTAAACTCGGTCGACACAAACAAAACTAATAACAAGTTATATTATCACTCATTCAGTTAAATAGACGCGGGTTTATAAAGGTCCACTTGTAGATAACATTAAGTGATGCAACAGTCTCGCAAAATATTAATATTCGGCCGGTGGGTCATATGTGTACGCAATTAATACTGCTAATTCATTCTCTAAGTCTGTGGGTAAAAGTTTATTTCAATATTTATAATGTACCTAGTCACTTCAGTTTGAGTTTTAATATCAATATAGGATATTATTCTAAATAGATCATGCAACATAGATGTCAATATAAATGAAGTTATACCAGTTATACCTAATATTATTAATAAAATGGAAACAACATTTTACATTTGACGCTGGTAATAGCTACCTGAATTATTTTTCAAATGTTGAACCAAAACAACAACAAATACAATAAACGAAACATTCACCGTATTACCGTATTTCGTTTATTGTATTTGGTTCACACCTTATCCGTCAGTCCGTAGTATCTTTAATTACAATAACATTTATTCTAAATTTAAAATCATTGAAATGTATTTTAAAGAATAATTATCTGTATCAGTATCAGTACTGTTGTAAAAATTTATAGGGGTGTATATAATAAAAGAACTCGGGACTTCAAGTGTAGTAATATTTTTAGGAAAATAATTTTTATTATTATATAATGTATATATATTAATCCTATATAATTTATTCACATGTATATTATTTTTTTATTAATTTTAAATGAAATACATTAAAATATACCCACTGTTCCTGTGTTGGAACTTATTGGAATTTAAAATTTAAAACTATTGTAGTTGATGTAGACATATTTATTCAAAATTACTTTGCGCCACTTTTTTTTAATTTAGATCCTATTATAAAATGATGTTAATTCCTCTGAAATCAACAGGCGACCAGATGTGTACACGTACCGAATATTATCCCAATCTGGAAACCATTTGTACAACATTATTATAGTCTATACCGAACTCAAACACTCAAATATTTTTATCATTATATTTATTTATTTTCTTTACATATTAAAACACGTGACAAGGTCAAATACTATCTATTGTATAGTGTATGATGTGTTAATGATTCACATAAGAGTAGCTATAGGAATTACGTAGAAATTTTCGCAGTGTTTTATTAAATATGGGTTAACATGTAGGCTGCCTACAGTTATATTAATGTATATATACTATATGCATTTTTGTCGTTTTATCACCTTCGAAGATGTTGCGTTGACCACTACTTAACACTAGTGGTAGGATCTATATAGAAGATAAATCGCTTTATTTTTAGTAGTGTCATAAAAAAATACGATAATCATATTCAATAATATTTATTCCATCTTTAAATTGGTCTTATAATTTAATAAATAAATTATCTGAGAAGAGATCACAGTTCAAAGTTCATACAATTTGCTCACATAACCCAAAACTGTTTTTATATTGTGACATATCACTCTTATTATTGCACTTAATCGTATGGTATACAAGAGATATGATATACAACATTATATAAGATAAGCAAAAGGAATTTAGTAAAGTTATATAAAATATAGTTTTATACGTTTTCGCGGTTGTTTACCGTAAATATCGAGAGCTAATATTATCATGGTAAATATCTCGTTTATATGATGTATATATAATTACAATAAATATTATCCTAAGACTTCTGAAATTATCATATGAGTAACTGAAAGTATCTTTACACAGCATAAAACGAAGTTGCTCCCACTGTCTCTACGCTTAGATCTTTAAAACTACGCAATTTCAATGCAGTATTCAGTATGGATGTATAGTATAAGTTCAGAGCATTCGGTAAAAGCCGGGGCGTTTCGATATTAAATTATAATTACATAACTGGGTAATTTATTGAAAGACACAATTTGCAATGCAAAGCATTAATGTTATACTGAAATGTATCCTATAAGGACATGTAAAGTGCAGTGAAAACTACACCCCAATAATACTTTTTATATGTAATATCTATATACAAAACCAAAGATAAAAATAGATTGCCTAAATATTCAGCATAAGTGTACTTCTCAATCATCATTATACTTCTATCAAGGTATCAGATAACATAATAATAATAGTAGAAGTAATCGAACCTATTTTATTACGATTGCCGAAGTATCGCTCTATTGGAACACACATGTAATAAATATCATATTACCTTATTATCTACCTTATTATTTAATTTATTACAGCTAACAACGTTCGGTGCTGAAAAAATTAAATATTATCTATTTTTACTTTACAAATAGCATTTAAGCTGACGGCAAATGCATATCTACTCTGGAATTTTCAGTATTCATTTCGATTCAAACCATTTTTGTAGTGTTAAAAAAAGATGCGAAACGACGCATTTCAATGGATTGGGATTAGTTCCAGAGTAGAAGCGTAGAGAAGAGAGAGAGTAGAGCGGCTAATGATCAAGGGCCTGTTGTCCAACTTGGATTAATGTTATAGACATTTACTTTCTAAGCAGTATTATCTATAACAGATAAGATCTTTATCCTATGTGGTAAAGCAAAGCAATTAAATAATTGACCATGGATTATTTACTGAAATTTACTGTTAGGTCCGGTGTCTGTCAATATTAATCAATTAGTCATCAAAAAAATCTATATAAAAATTAATAGTCCCGCTAAACGTTGTTTTTGTCATATAAATTATTACAGGATAGAAAATAATAAAATAGAACAGATAGATATACTTATCACCTAGGGTTATAAAAAATAGATTACGACCTATTCCTCAGACCAATCAAATATAGACCAAAAATCGGTCAATCGGTTTCAAAGACGTTCAATAACAAACACTGTCATACAAGATTTTTATATATATAAGCTATTACTTGTAAATACTATATTACTTGTAATAGATACTTAAAAGATTCTATACTGACTATGTGTACTATTTATGTATTATAATAATAAATTAGTTTGGTATGATATTGATAGGGTATACACAGTTTATTCGTATCATATCTTCATTTAATCATTTGAAACATAATTACATTACGCAGTACCCCCCAGATAAAAAAACTCCTTTCAAATACGATACAAGGTTGTCTGGGAGACAACAATCTGATATTAATATAACCACTGATAAATAACTATGTATAAGTTAATAACACCTGTGTTTGATCTGTGTTTTTCTTTTATTTTTATCTGTTTATTTTTCCAGTACATATACAATACAATATTTTGCGTAAATGTAGTCATGTCAAAGAGAAACTGTTTTATTACATAAGTACTAAAAGCAAGCAATCTAACTCGAATGTCTTGTATATATTGTATACATCCATAGCTAGACTGGACCCAACACTAACTAGATGATATTACAATAGCCTACGTATCTTTATTTTCCAATAACTTTAATTCAGTGCCATCTTTGTCATCATTTACAACATTAGTCACTTGTACATTAGCATCATCATAGTACTTTCCTTGTAATAACTCTTGTATTTCACTCAAACTCTTGCCCTTAGTCTCAGGGATATAGAAATATACAAATACAGAAGTAGCAAAGGACATAACTGTAAATAATAAAAATACACCAAATGTTCCCGAAACATTTTTGAGCGGTTGATATGTTTTTGTAACTAAAAAATTAAGCGCCCCTCCAAATATATTCAAGCACGTCATAGCAAGGGATTTAACGTTTAATGGGAATATTTCTCCTTGAACGGCGTAAATAATTGAGTTGTATCCTAAAGTTGAAATTATACTGTAAAGAATAATTCCAATGAAAACGATGACTGCGTAAGAAGTGAGTTTACTTTGTTCTATTTTAATGACTTCCTGGCCGCAAAAATATGCAGTTACTAATGATAATGACAATCCCGTTCCAAAGAAGGAGTATACGAGCAGAGTACGTCGACCCACTTTATCAGCTATCATTGATGACATTATACCTGAAAAAAAAGTAATAATTCATTTGATAAAATTAATCTAGACGATTAATTATGGCGATGACTAGTTAATAAAAATAAGAGACGATAACGTCAGATTATTACATACTAAAAGTTAAGAATAAGTCCCAAACTCATATGATGCTCATAATTAAACCAAACCAAACATAAAAAAATTAAATATATCATCAAATGTTGATTTTATAAAAGTCTGATAAAATACTGACGATTTTTAATTTTACATGTAGATATTCTATTTAGGGTAAGCATGGGGAATAGCGCTCACTGGGTAATACCGCATACCTACGACTACAATAAAATTATATACATGTATCCCTGTGTACATAATAATTAGGTTTGTTGCATCAGTCTGTCTACGATTTAGTTAGTATCCATGAAGCGTACCTATTTTGGACTGCTTTGACAAATTGATGCGTGAATGGCTTCTCATAGGTCATAACGTCCGTTACATAAGTATTCATATTTCTCATGGTATGCATGAGAAATATGAATAATTGTAATATTAACTTTTATAATTTGCTAGAACTAAATGAATAAAAATATCTTACCAACACCAAATCTCAAGGCGCCAAACACAACGAATACTGTGGCCAAATTCATATCTGAACGACTGTCTTGCATTATTCTGCCCAAATAGTGTTGAATCACTACAACACCGGTCATCATTTGTCCAATTTTTAACCCTGTAAAATTAAATTACGTAATATTTTATTTGTTTTTAATTTTCTTTGCAACCAATTGTAGTTTGGAAGGAAAGATACGGCGTTCAGGTAATGGAATATTGAGACATAACCATATAGTTTCAGTAATGACAACGCAAAAGAATAATTTAATGTAATGAATTATACTTCATATGTTCAAAAGCATTTCATTGATTTTTAATAACTTTATAAAATAAATACCTGCAATAATGATGATAGCCTTACGATATTGTTTACCGGTGAACAATTCCTTAACTGTTCCCGACCTGCGCATTTCCTTACCCACATCTGTACGCATTGCCGATAATTCATCCTCCAAAGGCTGTAATTAATTTAGTTATGATATAATTGCTCAGCTGTGTTACCAATATCATATTAGAATACTCATATAAGTACTTCTGATATTAGTAATGAATGTATATTAATATTTAATATATTCTTAACAAGGTCCACACTTCCTTGTAAATTTTCTTCAACTGTTGGTTTTACAATTACTGTACGTCAATGTGCTAAGTAGCAAATATTGGTTCTGTTAAAAATAAATCTATAAATACATGTATAGCACATTGTCATTAAACTATATGTACCTAATTCACTCCAGTACATAGATATCTCAAGAATATGTCACAAGCAATAGTCTCGTTAATAGTCCGAGCCAGAGGAAGGGATTATTAGTAATGTAAAGTAATGGCCCTATTGCTATCAATATACAGGTACCACGACATTTTTGTGAAGGTTCCACACTGTGTCCTAAGCGAAATATCGTGGTTAATTCCTGATAGATTCATCGTAAAGTCAGTTTTCATTTTCAATCTACGTCCGTGTTAACCGCCAGCAAGTACTGTTAGCGTAGGCAGGTTCAACATTCCATATTCCTACATTTAAAAAATCACGAGATATTTAAAAACCATAGTCACCTTCTCAGTCTTAAATCCTCTGAGTTTCTTCAATACTTTTCTAGCCTCATCTACTTTTCCCTCCTTTAAATAATAATACGGTGTTTCTGGGACCAGCCAGCAACTCACGAAATAGCATATAGGTAATACTAATGTCACATAATTTATTGTTCTGTAGGAGACGAATGAACCAATGGCCAGCATTAGAAATACTCCAAAATTGACGAAGAACCTGTTTGCTACGATTAACGAACCACGGATTTCCTTATCGGCTATCTCCGCTAAATATATAGATGATACCTGTAGAAACAAACAAGTTTTTCAGTAAATATATTGTAATAAATTCATCGAAAATATTTATAAGGCCATTTATTACTATTTTACGTTATTCTGTTTATATTTAAAGTATATAAAGTTCGAATCTATATTGTTGTTTTGAACCTATTTTGCAATAGAAATATATTATAATACTAGCTGTTACTGCTGTAACAAACGTTGTTTTGCCTTAAAATAAACAATAAAAATTTAGGGGTGGACTACCCCTAAATTTTAGGGGGATTAAAAATAGATGTTGGCAATACGCTCACAAAATTTCATGAGAATCGGTCAAGCCGTTTCGGAGGAGTATGTGAACGAAAACTGTGACACGAAAATTTTATATATAAGATTTAAACACTCATTAAATTTGACGGTCCCGTTATTCTAGCGGTTTAGCACACAGCCTTATTTCTGAATATCAGAGGTTTAATTCCTCGCAAAGTAGTAACCCTTGTATTCAAGAGTAAGATAGTTTGTATTGATCTGAGTGTTTTGTATGTAGGTATATTATGTATCTATTTACAGCATTTCAACTTATTTGATCTAATTGAAATATGTACAACTTACAAAGAAATTACTTTGTACAGAATATAATTGCAATATGTAGGATGTAAGAAGTAATTAACAACAATCAATTTTATTATTATCAAAAAAATAATATATATCTTATAACAAAATAATGTTTCTGTTGCTACTTACAGTGCTAACCATGCCAGTTCCAATGCCCCACAAAAATCTTGCCACACAAATAATCCAAACGTTTGAACCTGATATTGTGGCTATCTAAAATCATACACCTATGTAAATTAAAAGAAATATGATTAAAAACGAGAGAAGACGAATGCAAATACTTTATAAGATTTATACATATGTATACATACGTATACCTATAATATAATGCATGTACCTATGACATTTAAGAAACAAATGGTAGAACTTAAACGATTGCTGCTAAAAGCTTGACATCTTTAATGTCGTAATTCCTTTTATGAAATAAATATCATCCAGATTCCAGTAAGAAAGGATTTCCCGGAGGGAATCGGGAGATACGATGAAACGGGTTCCGCACGGCAAAAGCTACGGTAAACAGTTAGAATTAAATAACATTCCTATTAGAAAAAAATATAAATTCTTTTTTTTATATTTAATTACAGAAAAATATTAACTAGCATTTATAGAGTATAACTACATTTGCCTTATTAGAAGTTTGATACTGACACTGCCTAATGACGTCTAGGAGAATGTACCAAACATAAAAATGTTTTACTGTGGTGTTTTAATTACCTCTTCTCTACAAGGATAAATTAAATATTCTGAGTTAATCTGCTGACTACACAGATATAGATCTTAATAGTATTTGCAATCTACTTTACGTATTAATTTTAGCACTCTGTGAAGCACTATAGCGTAGCGCCTAATTGAGTCTAACAAAATTTGGAATCAGAGTTCCTAGTTAAAGTTTATTCATAAATGGGCAGCATTTTAGAAGAAGGAAGATTTATATCGATAAATAACTTATAATATTAAAACTATATACTTTAAGAGTACTTTTTTATAAATAATAATGGAAATCTTTCCGTCCCATCTTCTCTTCACACTCGTATGCGCTAACGGTTTACGCTGGCAGGGTGATAGACAATGGAGGATGATATATCGAACGAAACATGGTCAGGTCAGTAACCCGTGACAAATTCACCAAGAATTGATAAATTCCTGATGATGGTTTCCGGGACGAACCGCGTCATGGTCAATCTGACATGGAGTACGTTGTTAGCAATGGGGTCAACAGCCCACATTACGAACAACCCTCCTCCCCCAAGCTTAAGAGTATTTATTTTATATAAATTTAAGTAACTTCTCTTGCTGTTTCTGTCGAAATGAGATCGGTGTAAAATTGAGGAGTATGCTTGAGTCAGATATTCTGATACTGGTGGGAAAAGATTGTCCATAATTGGGACTATCGGTCCCATTACTAGAAACGTCTATGTCAGTTCAACTTCCATATATTCCTGGGTAATCATCGTAGTTAATTTCTAATTTCACCATATGCTAACTGACCTGACATCACACACATTCTATCATCCTCCTCTGGTACTTCACTAGCGCAAACCGTTAGTACCATTCCCTTATGTGCTTTAACAATCATATACCCGATGCTTTTTGTAGAGTGATAGATATTACTCACTGAGCCAATGGTGACAGGTAGTGCACTACTTAACAAGGTAGCACGCCTTCCAACCTTGTCGGAGATAAACCGAGACGCCAGGCTACCAGCTACGAAACCTGGCGAGGATATAGCAGCCATCCATGATATCCCTGTCTGTTGGTCATAGAACATAAGTATTTATAAATTACGCTTGATTTTGCTAATGCTATACTTATACTAGGCCTAATATTAAGCCTAGAGCAAATAGTTGTTTTCTTGGTATGTCATATAATTTATAATGTTAGCGCACAATAAAAAAAAGGGAGAATGCTCTTACGTTAATTGTCTTTTTGTATGTACCTAAACTAACTTTAAATCGACTTTGATGACAATTTTGATTAAAATCTCAATTGCATATCTGAACTTATCTTTAAACAAGAGTAATTTTTTTAAGACGGTGAATGGATTCAATGATGCTATTCTTGTTATTATAGAACCTTGTATATATGCAATAAAGAATTATAAATAAAAAAAAAATAAATAAATATAATTAACTTCAATAAGAATGATACTGTAAAGTCGATTATAATTTTCTGTACAAGTATATATATATAAGTTATGTGGTGTACTAGCCAAAACTATTTCTAAATTCTAATGTATAGTCCCATCTTAGTCCATTACATATTTTTCTCTATTGGAAGTAAGTTTTTTTTAATCAAAATATTTATGTCAATTATATAAACTAATGTCTTTCAGTATGGTTGTCGCAGATATTAAGAGATAAATTATCTGATAAGCTACATGTGTTATGTAAAGTGTATCAATGGATAAGATAAGATTATATTCGAAATCCAGGGTCATGAACCAAAGATCATAAAGAAAGCAATAACTATGTAAATAAAATATATTTTCTTTAAGAAAGTATATTTATGTGATGTTATAGTAAAAATGTTATAAAATTAAAATTATAAATACCAACAACACATAATAAATTGGGGAAAACATTACATAATAGCATACAAGTCGAATTGAATTCTTCTTCAAGTGAATTGAAGTACTTAGACTGAAGATGACTGCAATATTCGAAGTTCTATAGGAATCTCTACCGGCAAACACTTATCTGAACATTTTCTAACAAGTACCAAATGAAATTCAACAAGGGTATATAAGTTTTGTATACGGAAACGAAGACTACTGAAGTACACATGACACAAGCAAACCTATATTACTATCTCATTCTATCTTATACATGCGTTAACAATCAATGTGTCATGACAGATTCATTTGTCATTTGTCTAAACGGATAATCGTGACTCAAATATTGCAACTGATGCAGATATTTGACTGTTTATCACAATGGCAGCAAACATAGCTAAATCCTTGTACTTATATATCACTTTGTATATTATAAAACTAGGCTATGTAACTTATCTTGTTTTCATGTTTTAAATGTACTTTCGACCGGTCATTTAAATTATAAAGTGTTGCTACGTATATTCAATCAAATTATCACTGTTTGATAGTTTATATAATGTTCAAAAATATATAAAATAATTTCTCAAATAAAATTTCATACACATTAATCGAGAAATTAATTTTTTCATCTAATATAATATAACAATATATAATATAATATTTATTACTTACGTCTGTGAGGTGGATATCAGTTTCATTATTGTAAAACTTTGGTATAACTGCAGTCGTCCAACTAAGATACAATGCACCGGTAGTTACTGCCGCCAAAGAAACTGTAAGTGTTACAAATAGTTTATGATTAAAACTTGCTCAATATTAACGAAGTGAGTTCTAGAAAACTTGTAATGTCGCTGGAAATCCAAAAAGGCGAAAGCGAGGAACTTGAGGAGACTTGTAAATTTATTGAAGTCTATTGCTATTAAGTTTTTAAATGCATGAGGCACCTAACAATAAAAAGAAACCCTAAAATATATAAAATCTCATTCCTCAGATAAGAAATTATATGTCCCACAGAATATACTGTCATATCCATTATGTTAATCTTGTCTACAAACTACTTTCCATCAAGAGACTATAAGCTTCCTGTACATAATAATTTAAACTTCATAGCAAAATATTAGTAATTAATTCAAATTAAAATAAATTCAGGTAAGTTTTAAAATTCAATTAAACTTTATAGTCTAAAACATAAAACAACTCGAAACACAAATATCTGCCTCAATTTAGACCTACCTGTATAAGTTTAAGTATCTATCCTTCACATAACAACATACTTGTATATGTCGACATGTGACTTATCCTCATCAGTTATAAAAGAAAAGTTTATGAGGACACCAAAACTAATGCAAATTTGAAAATAATTATAAGAAAAAAATAAAAAGAGATTACCTGCTAGAGTCACTAAATACTGCACTTTTCTATTACCGTCTTCCATCTTTCTGAGTATTAACCAACAATATTACAGTTCTGAAATTGGGTGCAATACACACAGATGTGACTGAGAAATTTTGGCACTTTACACGACACATATATTATTACTTGTCACTACATGTGTACACTTAAATACTTCAAACCTTTACATGTATGTACTAAACACGAGTGGACACTCACGCACGCTGATTGTAGGTAGATATCTCGTAATTTTACGCAGTCGCGCACATCCATTTTCCGTACGTCTATCCGGAAGGGATCTTATCAGTTTTAGAGATAGTATTAACACAAATCGAGCAGATCGAAAACTGTACCAATATCAATGTACGTTTAGACGCTAATTTTATTTTACTGCACTCTGTTTAAAGTAAGTACAGATTCATTTTTGATAAGTTGTGGGAGTATTAATTTTTGGGACCTTGATCTTCACACGTCATACATATCGGGTTTAACAAAAAATGTTACATAATAACGACCACATGACGCGCGCGCGCTTCGCACATCAATGTCACAGACTCGTGTAAAATTGTGTTTAGAGGAAATATATTGGGAAATCATTCCAGTAACCTACACGGCCCATGACAAAATAAGCACAATTATTAACCGTGATTATAAATAGATAAATAAATATTATACCCATAAAATGGCTGATAATGAACCTAAATATGTAATATATGTAATATAATGTTCTATGTGACCTAAAGCTACCGTAGAAGGTACAATTCTAATGTAAAAATTATATATTTTTTCAAACAATAGATTAAGTAATATTAATAAATACTATTATTTCATTCTGTATAATTGGCTTATAAACAGCTATCTAGCGCTTCGCAATACGCTTTGGCTGGTACTATAAGGGTACAAATACTGCTTTACTAGCTAAATAGCTCTGCAGTGAAGAAAATTTAGTATGATTTTTTAAATAATAGAGTGCTGTAAGACATACAATTTCTTTATTATTTGATAGCAGCTTATACTGTCGTAACACAATAATAACGTTAACGAATATTAAACTCACCGTCTGTAAGTAGAAGACACAAAGAAAGTCATATTTAATATAAAAAACAAATATACAATTAATATTTCTAAGAAAACCGACAAAGTTATAAAGGTCTTAGTTATTTTTCGTTGATAGCGTGGTAATAATTAAGTAAACCAAATATATTTTCAACAATATTTATTCCATTTTTAAATATATAAAAAATAGGCCTAATATACATAGGATGTACCTATGATATATACATAGGATATAACTATTTATGATGAGATCGTCGTTAAAGTTCATATAACTTACTCACATTACCTAAGTTATAAGTATACCTAAGTTCGTTGTGACATTAATATTATAGTAACTTTACTTATTTACATAATTAAAATGTTCTTATTAGTTCATTTGATACATTACATGAAACAAGACATATAATGTATTGAACATTGCAGCTATATACGCCCTACGAAATATATGTATGTCTTATATGAAATGTGATAAATGAACCAAAAATTATGTAAAGTTACGACTTTTATTCAGACAATGACAATTACAATTGGTTATTACAGACAATCATTATGTTGTACCTATATCTGTTTACAGATATACATACGTTACTTTATGATATTAGCTATTGTAAAGATATTTATTCTGATAAAGTTTGAATTATTATGGTAACGTTTTGACTCATTTAATATCGTATTTCTCATGACACATACGGCGCGTCTGATTTACAATGTAATACTGACATCCACGTTATAAACTGGTATACCTGTATATAATAGGTGAGGTACTTTAATACCCATAATTTCAATAATTTGTTCATATTAACCTATCAGAGTTTAGGTAATGACATTTCTCTCTAATAATTTTATATTGTAGGTCAGACGAGAAGTACGTGACATGATGTAGATGTAACAAAAATTATCAACTATTTACAATTAGTTAATTAATATTTTTTATAATAAACTACTATTACAATTGACGTATGCCCCAGTTAGATTCATGAAATAGAATAAATAAAAATAAAAAATCTTTCTGCAATATTTAAGTATTATATGAACAGCATAACACTGCTAGGACACGCCGGTCAAGCTACCACAGCTGCGCACCATGCGAATTTAAGAATCTGTAGCGCTTTTGGTTTGCGCGGGAAATCTATGGAATAGGGGTAAATATATATAAGGGATCACTTAATTCATACCTTTGTTTCCATTCACTAAAACTCCGTTATTTAGAATAACGAAATACCGTCTTATCAAATCACGCATGTAATATCTAACAACATACACTTACCTAAACCACCTACATCCGAAAAAAGAATGACAAAAAACTGACCGCTCACATTTTGAAAAATGAGAATTAATGATAATGATGAAATATATAATAATATAGATAAATACTTTTGATTTAATTGACTACTTCTAATACATGGCAAGACAATGAAGAATGTTAACTAATTTTGAATATTAACTTTCCATATTCTCTGTCAAAAATAAAAAATATAAGTGAAAGAATTACTTCAATACGTCAATTAGTTTCTGATTTATAGTTATAGTAAACGTGCGATGCGGACTCGTGTGACGGTGTGACGTCATAGTACTACACTCGCTCAGTCCGCTCGCGCTCTCAGCACGGAGTCGTCTTATGTTTCATTAGAAATTATAAATATCTTCAAAAATTACCAAACCAAATACTAGAAAATCATGTGTTGTGCCGAAACACAACCACCAAAGTAATAGTTATTTTTATAATAATCACAAAAAAATCCAACAAATTTTATAACAGTCGTCGGGTCCTCTCTTCGACGATGTAGCCACATTAAAAATGCTATAGTACGTTTACAGCCTCTGTCGGCACAATCTTCGCAAGTTACGTTTAAAACTTCTTGGTTGTTTTCATTACATTCTAAACTGCAACGGTAACGTGTGATACGTACGCGGTGTTCGCGCGTGATTCTGCATTTGACCATACAAACATCACTTGCTCTTTTTACTTGTATGTAACCGATAGCATCTTCACCAAAGCTGTCTCTTGCCGACTTGGAATAAGTTACAAATAAAAATAAATGAAACGGCCTACGTATTTTATTAATAAGACAAATCAAAATTAAAAAAAGATTTAGTACATCTGTTCAACCCACTCTAAATCAATATATGTGTTTAGTTAAATTTACTAAGAGAGGTACTTATATTCACAGATGTACATACGTACCTATAGATATAAAACTAACACATATTTGTTGTCTATAACGTAAAACTTAAAAGGTTTGGTACTTCTGCCTATTTGACTTGCAATACTTGCAATATGACATCAGTTGTGTATTTTTTTTTAACAAAACAGTTTAAAACAGATAAATTATTTTCTAAATAGCAAGAAAATTTAATTTACCTTTGCATTTTTAGCGTCAACGAAATCACTATTTGTTTATAAATAATGGGCAACCATTAATGCATTTATTTTAAGCATATTATCCGATTGCCATTTTTCGAATCCCTCATTCATTTAATTAATTAATAGAATAATAACGTAATGCGCGGATGAAAACAAAACAAAATACTGACGACTCGCTACTAAGCGGAGCGGACCGTTGTAAACTGACGTCACACGTCACGTGACTGTTATGGAACTCGAAATTTGTCGTAAGTTTAAATGCCTATAAAATCAAAACTAATAGACATTTTTGACTAAAACAAAAACTAGTATATTTGTATACATACAAGCTTTACTATAACAAACTTTCGACTGATTTGGCATACCTAGTAACATTCTTCATTATACTCTTACTTTTGCAACTCGGACTCGGACTTAGCCACGTGAACTGAATTTTGATTGCCATGTATTGAATTTTGCACATAAGTGGCAAGGCAGGTAATATTTGAGGATTAGCTAATTAATTATAGTCTTGTTCTTGTCTAAATAAAAGTCTTATAACTAATGCAGGTGAATACATACCTACTCACTAGATTTTGTATTCTGAACACTGTGTACCTTACCGAACAATTACAATTTCTATAATGTATAATTACCTAAGTCATTTTATTTGATTCAACTATCTTTGTTGAATTGAATAAGTATAATGCGATAAATTACATTGTATAAATGCTATCATCTAAAGAGTTCTATTAGATAAGTACAAAAAGGAATCATTGTTTGATTGCCTACTATATCTATAACATATGAAGTATGTATTTGTTAAATTAAACAACAACATGTCCACGAATCACTGAAATTGTAAAACGTAAATGTAACAATAACATCATTACGTCAATTAAAAACTACTTTTTAAAAATATACCACATAGCTTATTAGTTACAGTATGGTACTAAAAATGTCTAATAATTTTCTTCAATATGTTTGAATAAAATTAAAGATATTATAAATCCACAAATATTATTATAGTACGTATATTGGACTTTTCAATGATAAAATTTCATAAACGTTACTTTTTAAAGGTTTCTATTAATATGACATCGTTCTTTTTTGTTATTTTACAAACGTAATATACATAATATTTGGACCTTTAAATTCAATGCATAAAATTAAGTTCTGTTTTTAACATTTAATTTGATTCGTATGCCATCTAGACTAAACATACATTCTGTTGTTTGTTATTAAATTATGTTGATACAACTGAATGTTCCCTTACACTAACTAGTCTAGCTTCTAAAATAAATCGCTATCTACTTGTATCTTTAGTTTCCAATAATTTTAACTCTGTACCATCGTTGTCATTATTTACAACATCACTTTCTTGTTCATTACCATCAACATAGTACTTTCCTTGCAGTAATTCTTGTATTTCACTCAAACTCTTACCTTTAGTCTCAGGTACATAGAAATATACAAATACAACGGAAGCAAAAGACATAATTGTAAACATTGAAAACACACCAAATACTCCAGAAACATCTTTGAGCGGTTGATATGTTTTTGTAACTATAAAATTAAGGGTCCCTCCAAATATGTTCAAACACGTCACAGCAAGGGATTTAACATTTAAAGGAAATATCTCCCCTTGAACTGCGTAAACAATAGAATTGTAACCTAATGTAGAAATTATATTAGATAAAATTATTCCAATGAAAACGATGACTGCGTAAGGACCGAGTTGAGTTTGTTCTATTTTAATGACCTCCTGGGAGAAAAAGTATGCAGCGACCAGTGTTAAAGACAATCCTGTGCCCAAGAACGAGTAGACCAGCAAAGTACGTCGACCCACTTTATCAGCGATTACTGATGACATTATACCTGAAGAAAGAATTAACTATATCACATTTGATAAACTTAATCAAGGCGATGACAATTGAAAATAATTGAAGACAATAACCGATAACACCTGATTATTAATAAAGGTTAAACACATGTCTAATTACAAAATACTTAGTGGAAATTTACATAGTACTATAAGTTTACAATAAAAAAAGATGTATTGAGGTAGAGACCAAGTTTCTTTTTACTGACGGTTTTCTACTTGTATACAGTACATTTACGGAATTTAAAACTACTACTTTTTATTAGTGCTACAAAAATTAAGGTTCTATGTAAATTAGCAATCCAATGGCGAATAATTCTGCATAGAAATGTGACTACAATATAATTTTTGTTGTTTTTTTTAATTACTAACTACTACAACTATGTTTTACGGCTTGAGTATATGTGGGACAATTCTCGGTCTTTTACTCGTCTAAATATAACCAATGCATTGTTCTTGTTTACCATGCGCTGTTCAATGTTAAATTTCCAGTTAAGTGTGCGTAGGTCTTTTGAAAATCTCTAGAATTTTCTGCTCAAATTAGAGAAGTGCCATTCGCTGGGCCTTACATTCGCTAAAGGGCCTAAGTGAGTACGACATCTTACCTACAACAAATCTCAAGGCGCCGAACACAACGAATACTGTGGCCAAATTCATATCTGAACGACTGTCTTGCATTATTCTGCCCAAATAGTGTTGAATTACTATAACTCCACTCATCATTTGTCCAATTTTTAGCCCTATAAAAAGTAATTAGTACTATTTTATATGTTTCAAATTTGTAGTATCTATCAGAAATATATTAAGCATATACATATTATTTATATGCATAATAAAGTATAATAAAACCTTATCGAAAAATAATATGTAGTATAGATACGTAAACAGTTATGAGTTCTTAGAAAGTTTTGATAATTTCTAAATTATATTATACCTCTAAAATTAGTGTTTTTTAATTTTAAAATCATACAATATGTACAATATTTGTTATAGTTTTATTTATATAGAAATGTAATTATTGTTATTTATTTACATATGTATGTATATTAGGAATAAGGACATTTATAAGGACGTTTGTCTAGAAGTGGAGTATAAAACAAAGTTGTACATAACATATCTATAAATTTAAAAACAAACTTTAGAATAAAAAGATATTTCTGGTTAGTATACTACAATATTAAACTTACCGCCAATAATGATGACAGCTTTCCTATACTGTTTACCGGTGAACAGTTCCTTTACAGTTCCCGACCTGCGCATTTCCTTGTTCACATCTGAACGCATTATTGATAACTCATCCTCCAAAATCTATAATTAATTTTAGTCTTACAGAATCTCTCGTATAATAATTCGATTATAATATTACCGTATAATTATAACTACCGTCATGAACTTGCCACATGGGTCTTACCTACCAAATACCACAAAGAACTATGCAAATCAACTGTAACAACTAACTATTCATATACACATGTCTCTAAGGAAGTGGTACATCGAGTAGGAGGTCGACTTATACTGAATTTAGCTATAGATACGTGATCGCCATTTGATAACCTGCTATATTAAACATGATTCATTTATAACAATTTCCAATAATATCCAAATGCAAACTTAATACTGGTAGTGATAGTGATACGTAAATAACAAATTAATTTAAACTGATTTATTAACACCAAATAATCTTGTTAGTATACAATATATAATTATTATTACCAATAAGAATTGTAATAATCAATTGATAAAATCATATAAATTAAGTAATCTATTTGATTGTAATCCAAGAATTTAGTTGAATACCTACTGCATGGATTAACTACTGGTAATAGTAATTCGAAGTTATTTATAGTATACTAGCTGTACCCGCGACTTCATACGCATAAAATAAAGACCTTGACCAAATAATGAAAAAAATATTTAATGACCTAACCCAATAAATGCCAAATGAAAAAGTTTCACCGTTATAACTCAATAATGACGAATTTACATAAAAACCTTCTTTTACCGTCCCTTATTTTATTTTACCCTATTTTTAAGGGTATTTTTTTACAAACTTTGAATGTCATATTTATTTAGATTTAATCAACATCCTAAAAAATAAGTTTCAAGCTTCTGGCTTCAAAAATGACGAATTTACATAAAAACTTTCATCCCCTATTTTATTTTACCCCACAAATGATAAAATTTTTACAAACTTAGAATGTCATATTTATTTATATTAATCATCAGCCTCAAAAATCAGTTTCAAGCTTCTATCTTCAACAATGACGATTTTATTTAATACAAATTATCCCCTAATTTATTTAACCCCCTTGAGGGTAAAATTTTTAAAAACTTTATATGTCATATTTATTTATATTTCATTAGCAGTCTCAAAAATAAGTTTCAAGCTTCTAGCTTCAAAAATGACGATTCCTCCAAACAATCTTTCATCCCCAATTTCAAACCTATTTTCGCATTAAAAAGTAGCCTATGTCCTTTCTCAGGGTCTAGACTATCTGTGTACCAAATTTCATTTAAATCGGTTCAGTAGTTTTGGCGTGAAAGCGAGACAGACAGACAGAGTTACTTTCGCATTTATAATATTAGTAAGGATGAATTTGTGCGTTACTATATGAATATGTATAAAAACATCAATTACAATTATTATTATCTTTCATTTACCAAGCGACCACCCTAATAAAGTTATAAATGTAAATAGGGATAATAATTCTAGAGAAATAATTATTCCACATATATAACGTAGATAAACACATTAATTTACTACCAAAATAAAGAATAATTTATTTATAATTATATAGTATAAGTTATTAAATAAATTTAAATATCTTCACTCACCTTCTCATTCTTGAAACCTCTCAGTTTTTTCAATACTTGTCTAGCTTTATCCACTTTTCCCTCTTTCAAATAATAATACGGCGTCTCTGGGACCAGCCAGCAACTCACAAGATAGCATATAGGTAATGCTAAAATCATATAGTTTATTGTGCTGTAAGAGACGAATGGACCAATGACTAGCAGCAGAAAGATTCCAAAATTTACGAAGAATCTATTAGCTACGGTTAGAGAACCACGAATGTCCTTGTCTGCTATCTCCGCTAGATAAATTGAGGAGACCTGTTAAAATACATTTTACTATTAATATAATGAATATACAATTATTATAATAATAACAACAGTTATTGTCATAATAGTATCTGCGGCTAACATGTATGTTTTCATAATATTGTTATTTACCATTTTTATATTAAATTTCATTCAAATATATTACGAGTACTTCTTCAAAAAATTGTTTTGAAATGCCATTAATAAAGATTACAACTAGTGTATAATACAAACATAATACAAACCGACAAATTACTCTGCAGTTTAATGTAAAAAAAGAGTTACCTATATAAATATTATAAAATACTCGTAGATGACAGCTTATCTATAAATACAATATAACAAAGCGACTATGTCAAGTTGCTCCTACATTTTTTAATTGCATTATTAGCCTAATTATAAATATTTATTACAGATATCTCTATCAAGTGGATTATGTAAATATTTATAAAACAATCTAAAAAATATGGTACTTACAGTGCTAACCATCCCTATTCCAACACCCCACAAAAATCTTGCTGTACATAGGAACCATATGTTTGAACCTGACACTGTCGCGATCTATAATAATACACCTATGTGAATGAATAAAATCATACATATAAATAAGAATATCAAAACATAATATGTATGTGTTTAAAAATTATTTATAACAGTGCTGGACATCTCATCAATATTCATGCAAATTACTTTTATTTGCGATTCCATCCCCTGGGCACTGTTGTATAATTTCCAGGGATACTACCGGTAATTATTTTGGTTATGGTAACTTGTACCTCATTATTCTCCCAGGAGAACAAAGTCTCGCAATAGAACAAAAGCATACATGGTAAAGCGCTGTATTAGGAATGTTTTTGGAGAATAATTACACAAATCATTCTTTACTTAACACGAATATACTTTATTAAATATCAGTTAACACTTACTGAACCAACAGCGATAGGTAGTGCACTACTCATCAAGGTAGTTCGCCTGCCAAACTTGTCCGAGACAAATCGTGATGCCAGGCTTCCAGCCACAAAGCCTGGTGAGGCTATAGCAGCCATCCATGATATACCTGCCTGATGAACATAGAACGTATGAATTAACAAATCTACCTCAGTACCTACTTAACGTTTTGTATTAACCTAAGGTAGAGGTCATTAGATAGGTGAATTTGAATTTGCTTGCAATATGGGAACGTTAAAGCTTTGTAAGGGATAAAAAGAAAAGGTTCTTGTGTACGCAATTATGAATTGATTTTATGGCCTCGATGGTCTAACGGTTCAACGCACCGTCTTACTTCCGATGGTCGCGGATTTGATTCCTCGCACGTTACAAACATTTGTATTCATTACTTGTAGATTATTTGTAGTTTTCTATGTATATTATATATGTACTCACAAAAAAATGTACCTATATATTTATATCAGTTGTCTAGAATACTCTTAACACAACGTCTCCTTAGCTTGTGTGAATTGTTCTGACATTTTCTATGAGTTTTCTCGGTGCTAAATAGACTTATAGCACTGCGACCTGCATAGATAGCATATAGCAATAGGGTGCTTGCCCTATTATTATTATGAACGACTATTTAAGTGTGATCTATGTAATCCTTAGTATCTCGGAGGATGCAAAATTAATTTATAAGTGTTCATCGCTAATTCATATTCATATAAAGTTATAATATTATTTGAAAAACACAAATTTAGGTTAATATTTACCAAAGCCGAAGTGGTAAATATAATCTATCGACGATGAATAATACTACTGGCATGGAAAAGACCAAGAATGAGAAATAGCTGATTGTTCTTTTGCTATCTCTTTTAATCTTATACGAGTGGTTTAGTAATCGACAGATTTATCTTACCACTTACTGGGCCTGATATCTTGGAATATTGAAGAGACTACATAGAGACAAGTATTATCACTAAAATTACACACTAACCTTATCAAGAGATAAGATAACATGAACTTTAAGATCCAGGGTCATGGACCACGAGATAATGTAAGATGTATAACTTTGTTGCATAGTTAAACGAATGAATTTTTTTTTTCTGACTACTCTAATGCTGTTGGGTGCAGCTGGCCTTTACAGCTTCAGCGGACGATAGGGGGCGAGTGCTGATGGCACTCCAAACCCGCGTAAGGACTTATGGAACGGCTGAAAGCCAACTCCCGCCTGACGAATACGACTTTAATCTGAGGGCACCGCTAGGGGTTCAAACCTCGTCTCAGACCGTCGTAATGTCGATTCCCTGTTTAAATTGGACGGGGCATAGATCGGAGGGTGAATTTTAGGTATGGTACCAACATAGGTAAATCTGTCATAATAATCATTAAAATCAGCTTTAAAATATTGGAGATATTAACAAAAATATAATTCTGACAAACGTATTATGTTTTTTTCAAATCGGGTATAAAGGTAATTGAATTACTTGGATGCTGCCTGGATGTAGTGTTAGACAGGTAGGATGCTCGTAATTGAATTTTACAAAACTTTCCATTCCTTTACAATAGAATTTACTCGTACTCATATTATGGAAAATATAAAACACGGATAAATATAACATTTCTAATAATATTTCGCTCCTTCTTTTTTAATTGAAGGACATCTTTTGCTATCTATATAACATGTTACAATAGTTTCATATATACACACATAGCTTCATCACGGATGTAGTTTATAATGATATGTTTCAGTTTCATACAGATTGATTACTTACACCGTTTATATATTACAAGACAGACATTAATAATATTATAAACTTATTTTTTCATCCACAGAAACAAACAACCACTTCACTTTAACTATTGTTCTTCAATTTAGTTATAATATTTCATATATTTTATTGTATTATCATCTAGAACTATTTCGCAGTAAGAGTAAATCTCATGCATTAAAATAACAGAGTCCTTTAACAGTAAGGTCATTACAGGTAATGTCTTATTTCTTAGTATACTGAATAAAGGAAAACCATACCAAAAATATCTCCATTGTTCTATGTAATAGTTAAAGTAACATTAGTTAAATAGCCAATTAAAACTTAACAATACGATCGCATGTTCATGTGTAGGTACAACATATTTTGGAAGTCGTGTAAAACAAATATTGGTATTCTTCTTCGTCATTATCAATCATCTTATGAATGACAATATACGATCATTCAGTCACCAGTCCAGATATAGATTACCAAATTATCTGCCAATTATAGCTATGTATTCCAATATTCATAATATTTTTTCCTGACCGCCGCGCCATTAAAGTACATCCTGCGTTCACATTTTACATCTTGGACTTAATTAATTTACTATTTAATACTAGACTTACTATTTAATAGACTTAATTAATTGTAGGAATTATATATGATAACCAGCTGTTATCATACCTATATCATTCCCGCGACATCGTCCGCGTGGATTAGATTAGATTTAACTTTCTTTTTCTAAATTGTATTCTTATTATATCTTAATTCTAAATTGTAGCCTAACTTACTCCTTATTACATCAGCAACCCGCCAATAAAAGTCCTGTCAAAATCGGTCCAGCCATTTCAGAGATTAGCCGGAACAAACAGACAGAGTATGCATATCAATATAAATACACACACCAAAATAACATTTTTTACAATTTTTGTGTCTGTCTGTTTGTTCCGGCTAAACTTTGAAAATTGTAAAAAACGGTTATTTCAATATTACAAACAGACACTCCAATTTTATTTATATGTATACATGTAATAGATTAGATTATGCTTATAATACTTTATAACATTAAAATTATTGCATAATAATCATAAACATAAAATTATTTTAACGTAACCCATTATGACTTAAATCTTATTTCTTACTGTTTTCTTGATTCCGAACTTTAGTTTGGAACTTCTTATTATAACTACCTACTTATGTAGATAATGGTAAATAACAATAATATATACGAAAGCCAAAATTGTTCAATAAATTCAAAATATCATTCACATTACTTTCCTAACATCTTAGATAAAAAAAATATCTGTGTTACAAAAGTAGTATATATTTATATATATAGTATATATTTATATTATACATCTCTACGATTGTTGTAAAAAAATTAACAAATTTTCGCGTGAAAAGAAATATCAAGCTAAAGTTCACGTCAAGATTAAAGAAATGTGTCAAGAAATTCGAGATATCTACTACAAAACGTTAAGGCGTTCCGTCGATTATCTTCCGTTTCCATCATTGGATTAATTTCAGGCCTCCATTAAGTAATAATGTCATCAAAATTACGACCTCCTTATTTGGTAATAATAGTTCGTGGGTGATCAGTCTTTTGCTATATATTCTGCCTTCTGAGGATTATATTTAATTTTTTAATTTAAATAAAATATTTATTGTATTAACATATGTCACAATGATCTTTTATTTTCATACCCTCTGGGGTGAATTTTTATACCAATTGTACGGGGATTAATTTCTATTCTAATTCATATTCATAAGTATACTGTGTGTGTGTGTAATGAAAATAGGAACTATCAAAATTACATCGATCTAAAAAGTATCCATAGTCATAGATAATTAAATATACCATTACCTTAGAACCTGTTTTTTTTATTGTATTCATTAAAAAACAACATACTCGTATGATACAACAGCGAAAACATAATTATTTATCAATGTTACATCATATGTTGTTTATATCTTACTAATATTATAAACGCGAAAGTTTGTGAGGGTGGATCGATGCCTGTTACTCTTTCAAGCAAAAACTACTGAACACATTTTGATGAAACTTTACAATAATATAGCTTTTACATCAGAATAACATATAGGCTATGTATTTTAAGCAGGTGAAACCGCGGGCACAGCTGGTATAATATCTATATATTTAAAGTTTATTTTATATTAAGAATATATCTATATATAAGATATTATCTACTAAGTATACTCACATCTGTGATGTTGATGTTTGTTTCATTATTGTAAAACTTTGGTATAACGGCAGTTGTCCATGTAAGACAGGCACCGGTAGTTACCGCCGCCAAGGAAACTGCGAGTAATAACATAACTTACATATACGAAACTTACAAATATATATAATAATAAATTGTGAATGCAAGGTCAATGCTAGGCATTTTCGTATTTTAATCTTTTTTTATCATGTAGTCATTACTAATAATCTCAATCTCATCGATTTCCAAAAAAAAATTCATTTGTCACCAATAGGTATATATAAGTATGGGCAAGTGAAACGTGGAATTCCCGAAGAGTTTAAATCTAGCACAGTTTAAATTTAATGTTTTAGTATACCGCCTTACTTCCGATGTTAGGGATTCCATTCCTCTCACGGTGCAAATATTTTATATTCGTGTGCATCAATCTAGGTGTTTTCTATGTATAATATGTCGATATTTATAAAAAAAATCTAATCATCTAAGTATCTATGTATTTATAAACAGTTATCCAGCATCCAGAATACAAGCTCTGCTTAGCTTGAAACTAGATGACAGTATGTGAATTGTCTTGAGATATATGAATTATTATAATTACTATTTCGTAAGAAATTTGCATTACCTTCTACAGATATAATAAATATACTGACTGATAGACTTTGTTTTCAGACAGTTTTGAACTCGAAATCTTTCTGTGTAAACCGGAGTAGTAAACCACTATGCCACAACGCGTTTGTGACCTTGACTGGGACACTACAGTCATACACCTAAATTCTAGGACTGACGCGTGTGGAGTGTTATGTGGTCCACAGAATATAAGGTCACGGATAAGTGACTATACTGAGCAGTCAACTTATTTTGCATATTCTGTAGTACTAAAAATGTGACATAATTCAAATTCAAAAAATTCAACATAATCTAATGTTATTAATATCTTATTAAGAATTTAAAATTACTAAAATAGAATTATGGCACAGACTATTTTCTTTTGTTTACAAATATTTTTATTATTAATTCAATACCTACTTATTTCTACTCTGCGGACAAGAAGATCTCTAAAATATAAATTTTGGATATTCTCATATATAACATACTTAGTAACTAATAAACCGTGAGGTTCCGTTTTTACAAAATGAGGGTTATTGGCTCCATAGCTAACAATGTCATCTCGACCTCCACGCAGTGGCCCAGGAAACAAAAAACTGTTATATTTAATACATGGTAAATTCGCCACAATGAAGTAACGTAATTCTTTTCATTGTTCTTTCATACTAGTCCTTTGCTACGCATTTGATTAGCATTCTATCATTATACACAAAGAAAATAACTAATAATCACTCTTAACAAGTAATTATATTTTACTTGTTAGTAGTGATTATTAATTATTTATTGGGTAAAATATAATATTCAAGTCCATCATACATTTATTTTATCTAATTTATATAAAGAATTTCATTAACTCAATATCGCTATATACCTATTACAAAATTATTAATAAATTATTACAAAAAATAAGAAAATAACACTTACTTGCCAGTGTTACTAAGTACTGCACTTTTCTGTTTCCGTGCTCCATTTTGTGAATAAACAAAAAAAAACAATATCACAGATCAAACTATCGGGAGAAACTGCACAGACTTGAGTGGGAATTTTCGACACTTGGCGTGACGAATATAATTACACAAATCACTACATTTGTACGCTTAAATGCTTCTACTTAGACAAATATACGAATACTAAACACAAATGGACATTTGCGCTCGCCTATTGTATGTATATCATAATTTTACGTAGTCGCTCACAATCATTTCACGTCTATCGGGAACGGATCTTATCAGTTTTAAAGATATTATTTTAATAGAAATCGAGCAGATCTATATATAATGCCAATTAAAGTGCAGATATTGGCTCTGTTCCTATTTTTATTTTAAATCTGTAATTTATTTCTCAAAACTTGTGACCTTACCATCGCACGTAACCCTCAAAAAATTTACATAATGCCTAAACAAAAACATGTCGCACCCGCGCTTTACATCAACGTAACCCAAACGAAGTCTAAAGTTGCGTTTATAAGAAAAATCTTGAAAATCTTAGAGGAGTGATCATATATAGTGATCGCTCCAATAACACGGTACTCTTACGACGCATTTTCATATTACGCTATTTCAATCGCCCGTGTAATACGGTCATTCGGCCATATAACGCGGTGATATCCCACATTATATTTCTATACTGTTAATTTATTTGAAATTGTTTTTTCATACTTCATACGCATATTTTTTTTATTTAAAATGTTCTTAATTTAGTTTGTTTTTAATAAAACGTATATATTTCGTTTATAATATAGTTTTTTGTTAATATTAGGTTTAAATCCCCTTTGGCGAGGGGAGGATTACTGTACTAAATATGCACCTCGGTTTCTGCTGCCACTCTAAAACACCGACACATTTCATCGCATTACATATGTATACATATATATGACATGAGGTACAAAAATGAATGTGGTAAGAGTTCTGCCTAAGAAGAGGCTATTGGTAGGCGGTTCTCCCGGCAGGTGCTTATCCTTTAAGTAATCTGGCCAACCTGTCTTAATAACCTTGTAAGTACACATTAAAGAGAAATTATAAAACTATAGGAATATGTAGTAACTATTAAATACGTAAAATTTATTAAATTTAATGATTACTTTTGACGTCCTCTATGGTCTAGGCATTTAGCACACCGCTTTACTACCCATGGTGGTCGTTGTTTCCACATACAAACTCATCATACAAAACATCTGTATTCATTATGTTCATCGATCTCAGCGTTTTTTACGTACAGTAAGACCCCGCTTAACTCTATTTTGGTTTAGCGCTCGTTTATTTCAACCCGGGGATTCACCGAAATTGTGCGCAGCGAGAGGTTTCCAAATATATACCTAACATACCTATCCAAAACAGTGTCGTTGTGTTTCTTGTTTGGCGCAGTGGTGTGCGAACGTGTTTTTTAATACTTAACCACTTTTCTATCCACCTTCTCCTAACCCTATTATTTACATGTTAAGATAGCTTCGTTTAGCGCTATTTCGGATTATGCTTTACTTTGATGGAACGTATTCTACGCGTTAGCGGATCTTACTGTATATTATATATAGATTAAAAAAAAATGTATATAAGCATCAGTTGCGTAGTACCCATGATACAAGCTCTGCTTAGTTTGTGCCTCTAGATGGTGCGTTTGAATCTGAGTGGCAGATCCACTGATGAAATGTTACATTTCAACAGTTAACGCACTAATTTTATTAACATTCTTATTATTATAGATTGATCTTGGAAATAAAGAGCTTGGAGAAAGATCACAGACTATGTTTGTGTCCACACGCTTTGTTCCAGTACTCCAAATAATAATCCTACAAATTCCATTATTACTAACAGTTTATTACCAATAGAGATGGCAATAGCCAGGTCCGGCGGAAACGGGCATGCAACGCATACAGACCGGATATATACTATAATTTTATTCAAATATAGAATCTATAGAATACTTAATAAATTATAAAACTTAACTATGAATACAGATACATAAACTGCGCTAGTATAAAAATTGCATGCGAGCGCTGAGGACCCTAGCGATACCCGACCCTGGGAATAGCACTACTTAATAGCGTGAATCGCGTTCCGTACGAATCAGATACGAAAAATGTTACCGAACTACAGATCATAAAACCGGAAGCAATTAGAGCCATCCATGAGACATGTTCCTGAAAAAAACAACTATTTAATTTGTTTTGAATAATTGATTGATTGAGATACATATTTTTACAAATATAGTGTTTAAAAAGTCGTCTGCGTGAGTACCTTGGTTTCACCTATTTCAGCAGCCAAGTATTGTATAATACGGTGTATAACGTCTTAAGTCTTTTGAAATAATAACGTCGAGTGATACCACGGGCGTTACATGTTAACATGATGTCTGTAGTGCTGTACATGTATATAGGTGACGGTTATCAATTACCATCAGGACGGCCGTAAAATTTCTTTACCGTTTCGATTACATAAAAAAATATAACTTATCTATAAACAAATTGATACATTATTTTAGGGTATAGGTATGTAAATTTATACACCTCAGTTACAGTTATATATCAGAGGTATGATACCTATCAACATAATACGATTTACCAAGTTATATTATATGTTACATACATACTAACACAATAAAATACCGTGCAATAGAGAAACATCTGTTGGTAATCCGTTGGGAACATTACTTTAACTGTTCTACTCCATAGCACAACTATATGTATTACTGTGACCTGGGTAATGGTGCATTAATAATATGCCGATGTTGAACTCGTACATGATATATGTATTTGCAAGAGAATTAATGGTAGGGCATTTAATCATACATATATAATAAAATTACGCTCTTACCTCGTGAAAATACATTCCAGTTTCATTGTTAATTAGTTTTGGAAAGACAGGAGTCGGCCAAGTGGATAAAACACCTACAGTAGCTGTAGTCAATGGCACTGAAAAAAGCATTAATCGGAAATGATAGCACAATAAAAATTAATTTATTGTTGAAGACAATTTCCAAATAACAACTTTACATAGCCTAACATAGCCAGAGAACTAAGGTCACCGACATAGATCTTCGTATATGCAAGTTGAAGTGGCAGTGAGCTGGTCCTATCGCAAAACCGATGCTCGCTGGAGAAAACTGTTCTAGAATGAAAACCGCGAATCGCGCAACCGCAGCTTGGTGGGGCGACTACATACGTAAGGTTGTGGGCAATGACTGGAAGAGAAGGGCTGAAGATTGGGCACAAGCCCAGTGGCGTGCCTTAGGAGAGGCCCATGTCAATCAATATACTGCAGTGGGCTGATGATCGTGATAACGATAAACTTTACATATGGACTTCTTATAAACGTTAACATACTGAAGCTCTAATAACTAGCCACATACTGAAGCTGCAACACTTGATTTGTAGTGTTTCATATAATATTATTATAGTTAGATTTAACCTGTTAATGAAAGTCAAAGCAAAAATCGGAATTATAAATGATGTTAACTATTCACAATAATACGCACGGCAACATTATCGCAATATACAATGCCATAAAAAATATTAAAAAAGATAAAATAAAAAGATTACGAGGATGGAAGTTTTTTCGTCTTTGTCGTTTTCGAAAAAGTGTTCTGATTATGGTTGTCGTAATTGTGGATATTTTATACAGATTTGTTTACTAAAGTCGTAATATTATTAGTTTAATTACGAAATGAAAAAGGAACGCAAGAGTTGATACTGGAAAGCATCTATTGTCGGTTTTGGCGGTAAACAGGTAACCCGTTCAAAATGTAAGTTCGGACAAGCCCGAAGTTCTGGGAAGCCTACTAATTCCTCTTAATTGCTGTAATTTAAGAAAATAAAGGACAAATTGTATGTTACGTTATCACAGCATAAGCTGATAATGAGCTTAAGTCAATACAATTTCCAATATAATACAGGCAAGGAGCTGCGACATATGTATATGCATATGTGGCCCGGTGGTACGAACTAAATACATAGTTCATTGTTTAGTAACAAAGTAATAAAGATTTTGAGAATTTGTTAGCATTTCGGGTACATAGAAATCAATATAATATAAGTAAAGGGCAACTAAATTGATTAGAATTATAAGAACACAGTCTTACTCAGCAATATATATATATATATATATTTAGTAAAATTTTTTTTAAGATCAAAACGTGCACGTGATCAAAAATTTTTAACAATTTACATCATAAATTATTGTTCGTTGCACCGAATACATCTCTGAATTTGATAAAAGAAAATTTATTATTTAATTAGTATTAATATCCCGTATAATTTGTTAACATTTATTGTGTGTTTCTAAGTATAAATTACAATAGAACACCAGCTTTTATATTATGAACTATTCATACTTTTATTAAAAAAATTGAACATTATGGAATTTTGCAAAATGAAAATATATATAATTGATACCTATATGATTTTTGTTACGGAGTATGAAGTATGTCTTAATATGCAGTATAGCGTTTTTCAGATGTTTTGTTTAGTAGGTACCCAAAAGGATACATAAGAAGAATGCATTCAGAATAAATTTGGGTATTAGATGCCGTCTCAACATATATCAACGATCCCATGTATCGAAAAAAAACATGGTTATTATTATTTTCATTACTTAGTTTTACAAATTTACTTTATATTTTTATTTCATTACTTATAGTTAAAGAGTATTTTATGCATGATATAGGTATATTGTGTATAATTGTCTCATAAAAAAATATGATTTCATAAATGTTGTCAACTTTATATGTGTATCATAATTGTGTACTAGTTACACATATAATATATAATTGTGTTAATGAAAGAACAATAAATAATAACTGCACCTTATTTTTTAGCATTCAGTTTATTTCGTCAATAATTAAAATATTTTTACAATTTATTCGCTTATATATTGTATCTGTACAGTTGTATAATGTACCTATTATAGGTATACTGATTTTATTGTAGAAAACACTTTCATTTGTCAAACTTAGTACATTTAACAGATATTAAGTATTCGACTAAGTCACTCTGATATTAAAATTCTTATTCCTACAAATAACGAATATACTACTACACTTGTATTTATTATAGTATACATATAAAATATATGTCCATACATTATCATATCACATATACACCAACATCTAGTTGTGTCAACAACAAAATGTTTCTTGTTCTCTGTTCTGTTTATGTTCAAATTCCATTTTTATTGGAACAAGCTAAAAGTACATATAATCAATCCACACTCAATCTAAGTGCAATTAGAATCAGATTATTTCTAAATTTTTCAAAAAGTCTATTTATATTATTATCGTAGTAGTAGGTACGTAGTAAAGTCGGTTAATTAATAGTTATAATAAGTATATTATAAAACAGTACGCCCATAAACATCTATAAAATCGTTAACCTATCAATCATTAATATAACTGTGTCTTGATCTTTGTCTTATTCGAATTGTCTCGATAGGATAGATTGCAGATAACAAATGTATTTAGATTGTAAGGTTCGGTATAGAGGAAGGCTTCCATCAACAACTTCACGAGTAAGAATAGAGCATTAAATTACACACCTATTAAATGGTACAAGAAATGTGACCTTCCAAAAATATGTCAATCTAATTCCTTGCTTTTTATACTTAGAATACAACAGAACAGTATCTACAAATAAGCATTTGTTATTAAAATATAATGATCAAAAATTTTTAACAATTTACATCATAAATTATTGTTCAGTATTATCCCGTATAATTTGTTAACATAGCTTTTATATAGAACTATTCATACTTTTATTAAAAAAATTGACTAAGTCACTTGATATTAAAATTCTTGCAAAATTATCGTATATACTTATTTACTTATTTACTTTATATTTTAATGTCATTACTTTTAGTTATATACTTTTTATTTGTAGATATTATATACTTAGAGAGGATATAGTATCTACAAATAAGCATTTGTTATTAAAATATAATATGTAAAATTCACATATTTCAAAATATCGTATATGTGTTACAATATTCCTATTTTTTTAAGAACTATAAATGTTTTAAATGCCTACACATTTAAAACATTTATAGTTCTTAAAAAAATAGACAATTTAATATTGGGCACTTATATTATCTTTGGTTATTATGTGATATTCAATGTTCTTATTTATCAATTATTATTATAAGATAGCATCTCAATTTTATTATATAGTATAACATTAAGAAATTAGGAGAAAAGATGCGACTAACGCAAAATAACTTCCGAGTGATGTTTTAAATGGATGATCATCATTTCGTTCTATATCTATGACTGCTGAGTGAACTATGAACATAGCTTTCATCAATGGGTTACATTGGGGAAGGCTATTTTCTACGATCTCCTTTTGTAGCCATAAGTGCTTGCTGGCTGTTCTTATTTTTTCTGAGACGCCACTATTACTTATATTAAGAAATGTCATTTTCTACTAATACAACAGCATACACAGTATCTAATGTAAAAAAAAAACTATTTGCTGTTACGAAACTGAAAAATACGTACATGTACCATATTTGTCGGTATAAAATCTATATGGCCTGAGTAAAACATAAAATAAAACATATCATATAGTAGGGTCCAAAAATAATTATGTTATTCTTATCCTATCAGTTCAACTCTTAAAACTATTTATCTTATATTAACAGAATAAAAATTAATATGTAAAATGCTGAAAAGCATCATGTTCCTGACTAACATGAATTAATAAAATGAGTAATAGAAAAAAATAAATTAAATATACATAGACCTAAGTAATTAAGGCACTTCACAACACAAGGCACACGATAAGTAAGTAGTAAGTAGTGCCCTATTACCCCGCCTCCTCCTCCTCCCTCCTGTGTTCATAAACACTGGATTACAAGGCATCTATCACATTATTGTCATAGAAAAGTAAAAAAAGACCACACTTTTACCCATTCATATTAGTAAATATAGATATTTGGCAGCAAAGTTTGTAGTTAACGACAATATTTATAAACTTATACTGAAAATGGCTACAAAGTATCTTAAAATAGAATTTACACGTGTAAAGAACGTATCAAAATTTAGTTGAGACTAAGGAACGCTTCCTTAAGGCCTTATAAATACAAAGTCTTAAAATAACAGGCTTACTCTTTTTTCTCGAGTACTCTCAACTCGGTAGTCTCCCCGGGTTCTTCGTTTAAGTTTTCAGCGACTACCGCATTTAGTACTTCATCTTCAAGATACAAATCTCCCTGTAATATCATTTGTATTTCTTTCAAACTCTTGCCTTTAGTTTCAGGGACAACATAATAACAAAATATAGCACTCCCGAGTGCTACAATAGTAAAAATAAGAAATACGCCAAATAGTCCTGATACATTTTTTACTTCCTGATATCCTTTAGCTACTGAAAAACCTAAAATTCCACTGAATACACTGAGAGACGTCATCGCTATCGATTTGACGTTCATTGGAAATATTTCAGCGCCTATTGTAAATATTATAGAATTATATCCTAAACCAGAGATAATGGTGGATAAAACAATGCCGATAAAAGGTATGACGCCGTACGGACTGAGGTATTGTTCTTTGATGAGAAGAATTTCTTGGCAGAAGAAGTAACCAGTAGTCAGGGCAAGAGAAAGTCCTGTGCCAAGGAAGGAGTAGACAAGCAACGGTCGTCTTCCAACTCGGTCAACCAAAATCGATGACATCACACCTGCAACAGAGAAAAAAAATAGTCTAGTCTGATAGACATAGAGTCATAAGTCATAAGACCTTAAATTTTGTGAAAACGTCTTCACTTCAATGCCAAACCGTCTACATTATATAGTATAGCGTACATAGAGTATTTCTCGTAATTTAAAAATAGGAGAATTTTAATTCTAGTCGGGTAGGCAAATATTTTAGCACTTTTGGAACTTTTATATCCAAACTCGCAACAGCAAAACGAGACAAATAAAAAAAATAAACTGATGTAACGATTAGTGTTTATGATAATAAAGTGATTTATTATTAGACAAAGTAATTTATAAATTGCCGTTATGTCTACTTCTATAGTATTTAGCATATATATTATCATGAAAATTTATTATATATATTCATAGGCATGTGCACATGGAGTACCTACACTGTATTCACATGTCTATATACCATAGGGTAGCCAACCATACTTTATAATAACCTGTATCCTACTTTATTTTTGGTAATTATAAAGTATAATAAAGTATATTTTATAATTTATGTAATAATTTTACATAAAGTATGCAAAAATACTTTATTTTCAACCTTTATTGTGATGCGTAAAACAAGATACTCATTATGGGTACTTAACGATTTATAATTACTGAACGAAATGTTAGGCGTCAATTGTGAGTTGTGACATTGGTCACAGCTCTAGTGTTAAAAACACACAAAAAATACGGTTTTAATGCAAAAAAAATAATAAATTTTTCCTAATACTTTATTTTTTTCCTATCCAAACCAGTTCATACGTCTTTATTTGTCAAGAAAAGTTAGCAACCCTAATATAACAATAAATATTCATGACAAAAAAGCATAACATCTCAGTTCTTCTTAATGGCTGATTGTTCACAAACATCACATTGTAATGTTATGTCCGTAGTGCTGTTCATGTATATAGGCGATGTTTATCAGATAAAATCAGATGGGCCGTCAGTTTGACCCATCAATATATTATATTTATTTATTATATAATAAATTACGTCACGTGTTGAGGAAAGAAAAGAGCTCAATAAAAGTATGCCATAGTGTGACAAAAAATGGGAGGGGTTCTAAATTTCATTACGTCACATTTTATAGTCTAAGTAGCTACCCGAGTTCGCACGTGTACATGTATTATAACATATAAACCTTCCTCTTGAATCACTCTCATCATCATCTGCTTCTTCCTTATCCCATTTATTTGGGGTCGGCGTAATATGTTTTTCTCTTCCATTCATCTCTGTTCGCAGTCATTCCGTTATTTACTCCCTTTCTCACCATATCATCTTTCACACAGTCCATCCACCTCTTGAATCACTCTATCTATTTCTAAAAACTGCAATAAAATCCGTTGCGTTGTTTAAAAGATCTAAGCATAAAATATCATAAAAATAGTCTAAAAATAAAGTCGATTTCGACTTTATTTTATGCTATGTAAAGATGTCGTATTAAAACACAAAATTAGAACTATTCACGAAATCATAAAAATTATTACAAATTCATTTGTTATATAACAAGGTTTACCTTGTTTTGTTGACAAATTTACACTCGTGCAAAACATCTGTTACGACAAGTGTAAAATTATATATATTTTTATTATGTAATGTAACATAATGGAAGAGTCTTACAAATATGTGCGAAATGTGCGAATGTGTGCATTTCATAAAACAATATTTTAGCAGTATCACCTTTGTTTTCACTTACCCACAAGAAAGTTAACAGCACCGAATATAATGAACACCATGTCCAGCCTCATTGTGGACTTGCTTTCTTGCATGATGCGTCCCAAATAATTCCGTGTAGTGATCAGTCCAGTCATTACCATGCCAATCCTCAAACCTAGAACAATTACATGCATATCCATCAATAGTAACCATAGGGCTTAGTTAATAATGTAAATGGTGTTATTTAGTGTTAAAAGATGAAAATGGTTCGAGAAAGCAAGTCATATCTTAATTTATATTTTGCCGTCGTGATACAAAATAACTAAAATGCAATTAGGAAGGTCTTCACTTATTTTTTGGTTAATGAATAGTGAGTTTGGTTTTATATTATTAAAGTCGATTAAAATTTTACCATCGAGTTACACAAAGAAAAAGTAAATTAGGTAATTATTAACATGCTCACGACTCGAGAATTATGATCATCAGTAATTCTTGATAGAATTGTCAATACATTTCTTTGTGTTTAGATCCATAAAAATCTTTCCCGAGACGTCTTTATAATATTTCTCGTACATTCTCGTCTAAAACTCAAATATGTGGAAATAAAATATAAATGTTAAAACATACCAATCGAAATAATGACTGCCTTTCTGTATTGCTTGCCCACTATCAGTTCCTTGAAGGAGCTAGAGCGTCGCATCTCGTTGTTCACATCCCTCTCCATCAAAGCCACTGCGTCATTCAACTCCTGAAATTACCAATGAATTTGTACATGCTGGCATTCTAAAAATGTCTAATATATAATTACTAAAATTGTCTAATTATACTAGATACTTTAATTTTATTATCTATTATAATAATAATGAATGAAACAGCTATAAAACAATAAGGTGGGGTAGAATTAAATTAAATATATATTGCTGACGTTGTAATTTTTTTATTTACGGGCAATCGCACATATATACTTACTATGCATTACTCAATTGTCGACACATGTAGTTTCACCTCATTATACATTTCTCTAGCAATAAAATCAGTAAAAGGAACTGTGGGCTTAAAAAACACACACATACTTTTCACAGGCAAGTCGCTATCTTGTTTGCTATTACAATATATGTAAAAAAAATTACAAAGGAAAACAAATTTATAGAAAATCTATTGCAACACGGAACAGTAGTAGTACCTTTGTAATAAATCAACAATTCCATGAATGGCTAATTCATCTAAAGGCGTTTCAATGTTTTAATATTTCACTATTTTTTTTAACGACAACAGCTGATTCGCCGTAGACAAATGTCAATTTCATATGTAGTAATTCTTAATGATCCTAAAGATTTGGTAGCTTTACTTCTATGTGTACTAAAACTATTAAATTAGTTGCTATAAATAATGTTTCTATATACCTTCTCATTTTTATATATTCTCAATTTGGACAGTGACTTCTTGGCGTCATCTACCTTCCCTTCCTTCAGGTAGTAGTACGGCGTTTCCGGTGTGAACCAACATGCAGAGGTGAAGCACAAAGGTAACACAAGTAGCATATAATTCAAAGTTTCATATGTGACATAGTGCCCTATGACCATTACCAAACAGTTTCCAAAATTGAACATGTATTTAGTAACAACGGTCAACCGCGCCCGTATGTCCTTATCCGCTATTTCCACCATGTATATGTTGACGACCTGTAAAAGAATAATAAAAAAAAATTATTGACAACCATTATTAACATACACACATATAATATATACATAATATACATACACACACATACATATGTAAAACAATTATAAAAAATAATTAATGATTTATTTTTAAGATTTTTAAATGTTTTAGATGTTTAAATGGTTTTTTAAGTTTAAAGTCAACATCAGTGTTTACAGTCAATTTCATACAAAACTGATATAAACTTATCTATCAAATAAAACTGGTAATTTTTTTAAACGTCATCAAGCAATATCCACTGTCTTTATTCTATTAAAAACCAAACTCAACTCGACCATATATATGGAACCAACAAAAGAGTAAATAATATCTTGATATCAGAATACTTTCAACCATGTCTTAATGTAACTGAGAAAAAAAATCAAAAATATACCTACTCACCGTACTAATCATGCCCGTACCGAGACCCCAAAATAGTCTCGTGACAGACACCAACCATGCTTCCATAAAGAACGCGACAAGCATCTAAAAATAAACATAGTCACATTTCAGAGTATTTAAATATCATACTTATATACATTACAATTTTCGAGATAACTTGATACAAAGTCACCTGTTTGAGCAATTCTCTTTTTAATTCAGCTCACAAAAAAGTCTGCTTTGAAAGCTCTGTTTCGGTTGAAGAGTAAGTTAAGGCAGCAAAATTATAGGATATGAAGTAACACCTTAGTCCTCCGGAATACAATGTATGAACGTGTCTCCAATACCACGGATCGCTTGATACTGTAAGGCTCCTTGGTAAAAGTGTATAAGAATAACTTTACTTATTATAAATAGACAGTTCCCAACAGATCAGCTTGTTTGCTTTATACTTACATAAAAATATTGCAATTTTAGTTTTAATATTATCCCGTAATTCTTAGTACTTATTCTATTGAAGTCCTAAATCCAAAAAATATTTTATTCCTCACAGTTCCAAGGGCGATGGGAATAGCACTGCTCATTAGTGTGAATCGGCGTCCGTAAGTATCCGATATGAAGGAGGTCGCCAAACTACCGATCACGAAGCCGGGTGTATTGAGAGCCACCATCCATGAGATGTGTTGCTGAAAACAAAACAAATCAACATATATTTATTTTGCTGTGCCCGCAACTTCGTCCACTTGTTCTAGTAACCTAGACCAAATAAAGAAAAATATTCAATAATGTAACCCAAAAATGGCACAGAAGAGCTTCAAAAATGACGATTTTCCATACAAACTGTAATCCTCTATTTTATTTTACCTTACCTGTATATTCCACCTTAAGAGTAACATTTGTAAAGTAAAAATATTTATTTATATTTAATCAACAGCCTAAAAAATAAGCTTCTAGCTTTTTTATAAATGACGCAAACTTCCCTAGTTTCACATTTTTTGTTGAGTTTTATGTATATGGTAGAAATGTAGGTAGCTACAAGGGCCACCGTAACCAATAGATTTTAAAAGTAGTCTATGAAAAAAAATCCATTATTGTCTTATTTAGACAATAACATACAGTTGTATAAAATAGAAAGTAAAACCTTTTTTGTTTTGAAGTCGGTAGAAGCTAAGTGATAAACTTAACATAAAATATTATAACGACATTTGTGCGCTTCTTTACCTCGTTATGAAGTTTTTGCGAGTGCCCTTCACAACATATTACGAGATAAGAATTATCTGTATTTACATAGACTTATTTGCAAGCACTTTTAAATTGTCGACTTCGTATTTCTAGTAGCTCTACATAGTTTTAATTTTATAACTTGATTCGGGAAATATAATTAAATTAAAATCAAGTTATCCAATTTTGCTAAGTGGAATACATCATAGTTACATAATAAGTATAAATAGTATAATTGGCAATTGTTCCAGAGCAAGATGTTTATTAATTATAAGGAAAATACCTACGCAAATTAAAATTAATAATTGGAAAAACACCTAAGTATGTGATTTGTCATCTTAAACAATTCTACAGATTGTATTATTGTAACTAATTACATTATTATAAAATATTATTTAACATCATTTTATTTGTCGACAAATTGTCCGCAATTTGTTGTGTTGTGAAAACAATGTAATATAACAGTGCCATTATCTGAATTAAAATTTATACATATAGGTATTATTAAATACAGTTATACAAAAACAACATACAAAATAAACTACAATTAGAAATTGTAAAATTCAAATTTAAAAATCCATTTATTCATGTAAGACATTTCAGCCGCTTGTGAACGTAAATTTTTTAATATTATATTTTTTCCGTACCGCTCAGTTCAGTATATAGATCCAAGAAGAACTGGCAACTGAATTAATTTAAACTCAATTGAATTACTTTTTTTTTAAAAAGCCAGTTAATTTACAATGTACATTTATATATGTATATGTCTAACATTAAAGGAAAACCCACGCATGAACCACTATTTCCACGCACGGTCTTCATTTAAGTAACCGTTTAGTGAGTATAGATAGTAGTAACGGAGGTACAAATCCTTAACATATACAATATACATACATAGTATTATTCGGGCAATTTTAGAGAAGATATCGTGTACCATAGATACACACAAAATCCAGTGTAATTGCCAAAAGGAGGAGATTCTTCTTTTGGTACTGCATAGGGAACGTGACGATAAGGTGGCATTCATGAATCCACGACACACGTTAGGGCGTGAGGGAGTCGACAAAATGTGACATTGTGGACAAGGGGGCGGTCCTAAACTCCTAAGTTTCATGTAAAATACTATAAATAACTGATAAATAGTTCCACATTATTGAATAATATATTACGTGATATCACACTAGGGAGAGGGGAGTCTTACAAATATGACTAGCTTTAAAGAGAACGGAGGAAGTGTCAAAACACGTGAAATAGTTTATGAATGGCCCCCCTGTTTGTACTTCGTCGCTATATACCTGGGCCACCAGTACATACAATCTGTGTACACACATTTATTGATTTACAAGTACTAGTATCATACATAAATACAACTCATACAACTTACACATATAGGGAGGAGACAGGATTGTTAGTAGCATGAACTGATAATCTCTTTACTAGCAATGTATGATACATTTCTAGTAAGGTCCAGGTTTCATGAAGAACTGAGAGGAGGTCACACTCGGTTCTTCATTGAAAACACTATGATAAATTCCTGGTAAACTTCTCACGATGGGCTAAATGACTTGACCTAATGCACATCTTATAGTCCTCCACTGGTGCCCCGCCAGCATAAACTGTTAGCGCAGGCGAGTGCACTGTTCATCATCATTCATAAATAAACACTTACACATGTAGATACCTTTTCTAATGTAGTAATATAAACAAGAGAAGTACATATTACATATAGATGTAGAGTAAATAAACAGAAGATACAACCTTCTATGTATTAGTGACATGTCATTTGTTCATATTTGCATGATATATATAAGGGAACAGATTATACTTGTACAATATATTTAGGCACTTACGTCATGAAAAACCATGCCAGTTTCGTTGTTAAGTAGCTTTGGAATAACAGGAGTTGGCCAAGCGGATGAAACACCCATAGTAGCAGTAGTCAATGACACTGTAAAAACGTAAATATTAAACGATAACATATAAAAATTATGTTAATAGCACTTTTTATTACATCATAAATTTCAATACAATAAAGTCCACTTTACATAAGAGATCTTTAAGGATGTGTACGTACGATTACTATGTATGAGATCACAAAATTCAGTGCGGAAAATGGACTAACACCAACAACATTAGAGAAGGTCGTAACGGTAGTGAAGGTATCGCACTGAATATTTGTGATCTCACACGTGCTAATTGTAATCGAATTAACAAAATAATATAAATCCATTAAGTTGTAACTTTATTGTACAGCTAAAGGCTATTCAAAAACATCCAAAACTTACCCGCAGCCGCTATCAAATATTGCGCTTTTCTGTTGCCTTGCTCCATTTTCTGAAAGTACAACGAAAATCAAGTTATCATGTAATGCTTACAAAGCAATCTGTTTTATGACATTAAAAACTATTATAATTTTTTCATTACTTTTCTAAATATTTGGGTTGGGTTCTAAAGTTTACACCTATATAATCTATAGGTATAAATATAATCCGTAATCGCATATACCTAATTATCTAAGATAATGCAAATGCAAAAATAAATCAATCTGTATGTCAACTTTCCAAGGCTAAATAATATATTGTACCACGAGGACGGACTAAAGCTATTTTTTATCTCAAAAAGAATCTGGAAGGGGATAAAGTAATGGTTGAAAGTTCGTGCACACAAAGTCGGGGATAACAGTAGCAGCTATATTATAAGTGAGAAAGTCTGTCCTTTTATCTGTTTGTTACCTTTTTACAACTTAATGACATTTCAATTTCAAGATAATGTCACTAGGACGGATTTAAACTGTCATTTGTCTAAATAACAGTAGATATCCCGGGTTACAGCAGTTTTATAAAAAAAACTGTAATGTAAATAAATCAACCACGAGTTCATTCGTTTATCATTATTTGTATGTAGGTACTAAATATCGACAGTCTCGAAAATAACATGTAATGTAGATAATGTAGTAACAAAGTATATGAAATATATTCTCCCAAACTTGAATTTATATGAATTTGTATTATTGTAAATTAACATTGACTCACATTATCAGATTAGTCCAGACGGCCCATACCAATAACGCCGTAAAATTGGCTTATTTCCACAGAGAGCGGAACGTAGCGAACAATGCACTAATCGCACTGAGTCGTTAACGTATAATATTGTTGGAAGTATTTATATTAAATAAAAAGTATCCCACATTATTCTACTGTGTATTTCACGTGCGATTTCAGACAAGACCAAAGGTTCTAAATTAATATAGATAACAATGTATATATTATTATATTCTTAGCTGAATGAGGTCATATCCAGTATTCCGTACACCACAACTATAGTTGTCATTGCGTCTATTAAATTATAATTATTATGCAATACATATTGTCTTTGTTTTTAGGTACAATATTATATGGTAATTTGAACCTGATAACACTACATTTGTTTTCACTTGTCAAGTTGTAATCTAAAATTATTTCCCATAATATTCGATTTATATTCTAATACAAATCTAATAAAAGAGTCTTTGCTTTATCCTGCTTATAATATTTACAGCCACATTCCATCTGGGTGGTTCCATCCAGGCGTAGGATAATACACTACATAATATATATGTACCTATGTTATTCTTAACTAACGTTATTATACACGAGCTGCTTATCAGCAGAAATAAACGTGGCAGGGATAACCATATATATATCACCCGTATGAAGGGAATAGTTAGTAACGAGTGTCCATGTTAGGCCGATCACCGATGCCTTAGGGTTCCTCTTATAAAATTGTATTGGAATGGTGGCCATGTAGCTCTTACTTTATGTTCTGTTAATAAATCATGCGATTGTCCATTGTCTCCCACTGGTGAATTAACCAAACTTTGCTGATCCCGCAAACACGGGAAATAAGCGAATACGATAGTATCATCTATCACTAGCACATAGTCGCATTTAGTTACACTGAATTATATATAGCAGGTCACAATTTACATAAAAACTTCATATATATTAATTAATTAATGGTTGAATTCATTCCTATGATTCTAAATGATATCCAGAATAATCGAACTAATAATGAATAATAGACATTATTTATCAACAATAACAACAATAGTACCCCTAACACTATCGTTATCTACTACTTTTTAGTTACAGCACAGATAACATAATATTACATAGTTATAGTAGGTAAGTAACTTAAAATGTAGTATTTTATTAATAAATTGAATGTAAGTTAAAATCACTTGGTTCTCCTATGACCGCTGGGTATGACTACCGTAATTTACATATAAACACCCATACAATCATACTCATGAATACAAGTGTTCGCATTATGGGAGGAATCAAACCCGCTACGATTGACGAGGCCGTCTCTACCAACGTGGATAAATTCTACATCACACCGGCACCACTCTCATGCCTTAATTACATCTACAAGTAAGTTCCTACCTTGTTATAATTTGTATTATGTCAACAACTGCCAACAGTTCTGCGAAACCGCATTTCTATACAATGAGTTTATTGAGATTTCTGCGTAACAAAATTTTGACAATTACAATCCTAAACTTCTCACGTTTTTCTGTGATTCTGTAAAATTTGTGACTCATGAATTGCATCATGAACGCATTCAGGTAGATATCACTAAGTTGTTATATTTTCAGCCAAATCGTTTTTCTAATTCATTTTCATTCATTGCAAAGTACATTTTACTCTTGATTTAGAATACTAAATTATCGATATGGCATAGTTCAAATGTATTCAAGCTATAGAATATTATATAAGCCTACTAAACTACTATCCTATACATACGGTAATTAGCCAAAAGTATACATTCAAGAGTAATATTTATGAATATATTTTACAATCACAAAAATTATACTCACCCAACGTGGTGAACGTAAACAACATATATATTCAACTTTAGTTGTTGGTATCTAAAATGTAATTAACACACTAGTCGTGAATATTAATTTGATGTTTTACTATTGATAATATAATATAAAAAATAACACTGAACGCTGTGCTTGAGGAATTAAGACTTTATCATGTTAGTAATTATTTCGAGATTTGCAACGCGGCTGGGATAACATAACTAATGACTGAGACGACTAAATGCGAACTGAATTCACGCCACGGCTATGCCGATCTCGCGATTTTCACGAACTTCACACTCACGCACACCAACCAACACTGTACCAAAAGATCAAATAGAATTCTCAGAATCGGAACGATATTATACATACAACAACACTAACAATAATTACGTAGACGAAATAAATTATCAGAATTTCTCAGAATCGTACAGCACCATGTTTTCTTGCCAGTCTTATTTACTGATGTTAACAATGCCATCGATTTGCAAAGCGGGTAAAAACCAATTGGTTTGAATTCTTCATTACGCATTCATCTATTACTGTTCTGTTCTTTACCAGATATTATTGTATTGACCCGCGAATTACATTGTTGTGTATGTAATTTACCGACATGGTTTTTCCCATCTGTTCGCATTTAACAGCTATCACAGTATGATGTTTCTTGAAATCAAAATATAAATCATACTAATTAATTCTACCAACATATAGGTCCTATAATAAGTAGTAGACCTTATATAGGTATATATAATAAGCAACTTCTGCAACACACTCACTTGAATTTTAACATTTTATTTTGTCCAATATACATAATATATTTTTAAATTAGAGCAGATGTATAAGCTATATTACTCTAAAGTTTCATCAAAATCTGTTTAGTACTTCCTGAGTGAAAGAGTAAGAAACATACATCCATCAATTAATGTTCACAAACTTTCGCGTTTTTAATATTATATACTAAGATAATTAGTTATAAGCACAGATAAGATAATATTACATAATGGAAGTGAATCACAACAAAATAGATAGGTATATTAATGTTCTCTGTATCCCTAAGTAGGTACATAGTGTTATCCTTTGAAAGAAGACTACCGAATATATATAGAGTAACTAGAAGAAAACATAAATGAAGTCATCTGTAGATAGACCCATGTCTAGCTGTGTTTCACCAATTTCTTTTGTGAAGAATTCTTTGCCTTGAAAGTTATATTCAGTGGAGGTATGAAAGATGAGATAAAGAATATCGATGACATCATGGGATATGCAGGCCTTAATTAAACCTTATGACGGGTACCACGGAAGTCACGAGGTATGAGTACTTTTAAGGTATGGTTAAATATAGTAGTAAAAAATGAAACGTTTTTCACTAGTCTAATAATAATAATAAAGACATTTATTCAGCATTACATCAGTATTCCTATATACTATATATATCTTATTTAATACTATCTAACTTAAAAGCTAAAAACATACAGGTAACGCCGAATGTGACTTCCACTTAGCATTTACCTGCAGTATAACTAAGTTATAATATAGCGCTAATTTTCAGCTGGGCCACCAGATAAGTGATAGCGTACGTACAGATAACAAAAGAACATAAAATTTATAATTAAGACCGTTTTATACATAGGTTATTATATACCTAAATAAATGCAATTTTCATGAATGTATGAAGTAAATTTTCGTATATTATTAAAGTAGGTACATTATGTAATGAGATATATATTATAATGTAATTAATCAATAATTTTTGAATATATAATGTACATAAAGGGTGTAGTTAATATATGTTTAAGATGCTCATTTTATTTTATATTAAATTGACTTACAATGATTTTTGTTCTTTAAGAAGGTGAGTGAATAATTTGTTTGAAAGAACAGACTGCCACTGAATTCAAGATAGGAGGAGGCAGATTATTCCTTTATTTCTAGTCTACATGTTATTTTATTTTTTATTCTATTACCTACTAGTAAGGAGCAACAAGTATGTATACACGTATACTACCCAGCACAGGTCGTCCTATCCATCTAATTCTATATTTGAATACACAATCCAGGAACCCATTGAAACATACACACAGAATTTCATATAATTCGGCCCAAGCGTTTAGAAGTAGTTAGATGACAAACACTCATACAGAACAATTATATGTATACAAAGATATGAAGAATTAGAAACAGTGGCTCAGTTGTTGTTGTTAATAATGTGTTCGCTGAAAAACTTTTATTTTGTTTATCTATCTGTAAGAATGTTGTCTCGTGTCTGGTGGCCCCACTAAAAATCAGCGTTGTGGTCAGTGATTATTGTATAAAATAAATATCATATACATATAAACACTTTTTATTATTCCTAAAAATACTAAGTTAATTTGTATTAATATATAATATTATATTTGGTATATATTATTTATGAACCTTTACACAAGTATAGTGCGTCACCTACTTTTCCTCTGTTCAGTTCAAAGTTTTTATTTTCTACTGGACAATAAGGACCACCTTTTTTAAGGACTTATATGCAGTTTTCTTTTTTTTTTACGTTAATATATAAATATTTTACAGTGCGGGACAGTTAAATTATTATTATTATTTGTTGTTCACTGTAGCTTAGACATAGATCGACATATTGCACTATCTATTACTTACAGTAAAGAAATATATATTCATTAATTATTTCATAGGGATATTGTTACTTTTTGATACTAAGTGTTGATTTGTGTGTAATTTACACTAAAATATATTATTCTTTTATTATTTAATAATTCAATAATAATTTAAACAGCAAAAGCCAAAGCTGAATTCAATACTATTTTTTAACAGTTTTATCGACAACACTTTTGTACATCCTCATCAAGTGTTTAAGGACTAATAAAGTATATAATTATGAATTACTCGATTTGGTCCTTTTAGGAAGGTCTCCTATTTGGAATTGTTTTTACCATGGCAACATTGTTACTTGGTCCGTAAATTGCGCGAAAAGGATAGAATACACAAAGGAGTAATCTCTATCAAGATATTAATTTATATAGTTTTATATAGACATAATAAAAATAAACTTTTGGCTTGAAATAGAAATAGAAATAGAAATAATCTTTATTCAAATAAACTCATTACAAGCACTTTTGAATAGTCATATTTTGATTCTACCACTCATTCGGAATGCAGATTCATCACAAGAAGAATGAGCAAGAAACTTGTGTGTTGCTCTTTTTAATAGATGTTTTTTTTTATATAAATAATTACAGTATAACAAGTAAGAGGCATGCGATAATCAACATAGAAGTCGCTACGCACTCATTATTAATGTAATCAGATAATATTGTCAGTGCTATAGATTTAAAGTTTTTCTATAAAAACATTATTATCGTTAACGAATTCTTCAATTTTATAGTAAGCTTTTTTGCAAAGGAACTGTTTTATTTGACATTTAAATCTTTTTTCTGGCAGATTTATAACAGATATTTTATTGTAAAATACGCAATTGCCATAAAACGAATTACTAACTTTAGCCAAACGACATTTAGGTAAAATCAGTTTGTTATTGTTACGTAAGCTTTTATTAGTGCAATCACTAACTCTTTTGAAACTGTCTATATTCCTTCTGGCATAGATGATATTTTCATAAATGTATTGAGAAGCAACGGTGAGGATATTTGATTCCTTAAAACACTCTCGCAATGACTCCATGGAACCCATACCATAAATGGAGCGAATGGCCCTCTTTTGTAAAGTAAATATTGTATTTATATCAGCTGCTTTGCCCCATAACAAAATACCATACGACATAATGCTATGGAAATAGCTAAAATAGACAAGTTTAGCCGTTGCCACGTCTGTTAATTGTCTAATTCTTCTTACCGCGTAAGCGGCAGAACTAATCGACTCGCCAATTTAGTAATATGAGCACCCCATTGCAACTTGGAATCTAATGTGATACCTAGAAATACAGTATCGTCAACAAAATTAATAGATTTATTGTCCAATACGATTTTTGAATCTACCGGCCTTACATTGGGGAGAGTAAATTTGATACATTTAGTTTTATTTGCATTTAGTAGCATATTATTTGCCGTAAACCATTTTAAAACATAAGAGAGAGAACCGTTTACTTCGTCCATATCATCAATATGTCGATTGACTTTGAATACTAATGAAGTATCTTGAATAATATGATCTACCTAATTTCTTTTAATATTTAACTTCAAATACACGCTTCAAACTAATAATGGCATTTGAATAATTGTCAATGTTATCTATATACAATTATCTTATATATACAGAATCGACATTTTATAATAATGTAGTCATGCAAAAATATCTTAATTATAAAGAAATCTCTGTCTACTATGTATTAAATGTTAAAATAAAATAAAAGTGACTTCTGTCTGACCAATTTGGGGTTCTAGATAGCTGTATATGTAGTGTTCCTTTACTCTTTGGCATAAAATATAACAAAAAATATCGTACTTCACTTCATTCACGTCTTTTGGAAAGTGTCGTGTGGCATCAATGTGGAACTGTTAACAATATTTATAAATAAAACCTAATTTAATACCCTCCGCGATGTCGGAACATGTATTACCGGCAGAAGAGCCGATACGATTCATAGCACCCATTATACAAGATAATCCCACAGGATGGGGACCTTGCGAAATGCCGGAACAATTTCGTGACATGCCATATCAACCCTTTAGTAAAGGCGATCGTTTAGGCAAAATTAGTGATTGGACTGTAGTGCAAGATAAAAAATATCAAAGTAAGCATAAAACTTATTGTATATCAATAGATAGAACTGCCTACCTTAACTTTTGAATAATATATTTTAGGTTATAGTTACTGATTCATCCTATCCTATTCCAAGAATATACAAGTGTTTTACTAAATAACTATGTATATTTTCCAAACTAATACAGCTAAAACTGCTTGGAACGTGCAACATTACATTTTAAACAGCATTGTCTTATATAACCTTATATTTGAGATGAGAGTATCCTTAATAACGCAAGACAATTAGTTCTGGAAGGAAACCATATGATATAGCATATATAAGATATAGCTTTGTATGTAGAATGCATACCGTATAATACTTAAATGCGGAAGCATATAGATACTTTTTTCTAAATATTCTGCTAAAGTCGGATATCAATTTTAAATTCCTTTTTCTATAATGTAGATAAGTATGCCTCGCAATTTGGCGCTGGCTCGTCTTACGCATACTTCCATGATGAAGATGAGAGCACTTTCCATTTGGTGGACACTACTCGTGTCCAGAAACCTCCATACCAACGTGGTCGTGCCCGTGGGCAGCGAGGACGCGGTGCCAGGGGTGCTCGTACCCCAGGTGGCATGACAACATTGAACAAGGTGAGAGATCACAGAATTATGTTTAGTAAATATATTGTATTGTATTTGCAAAGAACTTTAGAGTAGAAGCATGTTTTGGTTAGTATTTCTGACTAATTAAAAAAGTGAGTACTTTGCTAGTTTTGACTATATGGATGTAGGTAAAAGTGATTCAAGAGTTTAAAAGAGAACTAAAATATTTAAATTATTTGACCATACCATTCATATCAAATCAATGAATTTTACTAACAATATGCACTGACTGGATCCAGTAGTATTGGCCTGCTTTCCCATGTTTTCATACATTACATCACAATAGTAATGTATGTTGTGCAGTCCATGCATTCTATGTTTACTATCATATGTTTAAAATAATACTAAATTATAAATAAAATCCATTAGGTTTTAACTTACATTTCATTCAACTTTTGTTTCACATCTGTAGTTTAACTAATAGCATCGTGAATGTTTTAACATCATAATTATGTTTAATTATAATAAATAATTGGCTAGGCATCTTATATATAATTTTTTTATTTTATGTATAAGATGTCTTGCTAATTTTGTTGTTGTGATGCACCTACTTAGAGGCAACAATTAGCTTGGGTGGAAAATTAGCTTTAGTAATAAGATAACACTAAATATATGTATTTATTATTTTCAGCAACGTGATCGCAAATTGGGCAAGCGATGGGGCCAGAGAGGTGCTCCAATGAAAATCCGTGATGCATCTGTAACTGTTAGACCAGCTTGGGTCACTATTGAAGATATGGACTTTCCTCGACTTGCAAAGCTTTCACTACCTGGAATTAAAGAAGGTAAATGCATGTATTTTGTGTATCTTATAATATTATAACAAATACTGCAAAATCTCAACTATTAAAGAGGAAATCCTGTAGACTGTGAGATGTATCCTATTTTAGATGAACTGTCAAAAATTCAAGATTCCATTTTAATTTTTTTATAGAAGGTATGTAACTTCTATAAAAAAAAATAAAATGGAATCTTATTCCTTCTTAATTTTTTTATAGAATAACTATTATATGTCAGAAAAAAGATGCAACTTGGTTGAGATGGGAAACAAAACTATTTAATATTCATCACAATTACATAAATATACTTACAAATAATAACCAAACTACCCATAGTGTACATACACAACATCAATAAAACAAATCTTTTATTTAGTATTTTATACATGAAACAATTGATAGGAATGATAGAGAACTGTTTATATAAATTGTACCTTATAATTTAGTATTATATTACTTTCTATTTTCGTTTTACTTTTATTTTTAGGTGAAGATATTGTGTGTTGTGGTACTTTAGAGTACTATGACAAGGGTTACGACCGTGTTAATGTCAAACATGAGAAGTCTCTGCAGCGTATTGATAGGATCTTCCATACTGTAAGTTAACATTTCATTCAAAATAACACTTATAAAATAGCATATTTATAAAAATATACTATTTAATCTCCCACCTAGATATTAATGTCATTCACAGGTAGACACTACATCATGTAGATATTTATTACAATAAAACTTTATTTTCATTTCATTTTTTTGCATCCACAATAATGGTGTATATTTTTTAGTATTTTTTTATCCACTAAACACTTATAAATTCCGAGATTTGTATGAGGAATAAATGTAGTTTAAATATATTATATTCTATAAACTCAGGTGACAACTACTGACGACCCAGTAATCCGGCGACTCAGCAAAACAATTGGCACCGTGTATGCCACTGATGCCATCCTAGCAACCATCATGTGCTGCACCCGCTCTAACTACTCATGGGATATCGTCATTGAAAAGATTGGTCAGTAATTAATAGCTTTCCTATAACAAAGTGAAGGTTGCAATTTAGACAATTCCAAGTATATTGACAGTAAAAGATACAATATCAAACTCATCTCATCTCACCGAAAAGTGTCAAGATCATAATGTTATTTCAATCCTCCTTCATCTGCTTCTAACACCATGTTTAATGTTTATTGTATTTTAGAGAGAAGCCGCTTTAAAAGGTCAGGCAACTACAATTTGCTTCAATATTACATAATTGTTGCATTATCTTCTTTCATTATAGAAGTTATAAGTTTATTATTGTTAAAATCCACATGCTTTAATAACAGTGTGTGTCAAACATTTACAATTAATCAAAAATCTTATCAATACCTAAGAAATTTAGTTTCCGTACCATATGTTATAGATTGTCCAGGTAAATTGTAAAAAGTCGCCCGTGTGGGCACCTCCGTCTATTTCAGCTGTGTTTCGCTGAAGCTGGAGATAAAGCAGTGTTAGTGTGCAAAGTAGGAGTTAAGAGATATAACAACTTAGTCCTCCAGAATGTCAATACAGTAACGATATCATGGGTATCACATGATGACGGGTCTGTAGTGCTGTATGTGGTATACAGGCGACTGTTACCACTTACCATTACCTAAGCTTAATTGCTATTCAAATTACATAAAAAAATTGTAAGTAAAATTTATGAACACAAAATTGTTAACTTTAAATAGGGGACAAGCTGTTCTTGGACAAAAGAGACAACACCGAATTTGATTTGCTCACTGTTAACGAGACCTCGGTGGAGCCCCCCGCTGATGATGGTAACTCCATCAACTCTCCGCGCAACCTCGCGCTGGAGGCGACCTTCATCAATCATAACTTCAGCCAGCAAGTCAGTTTTTTTTTCACCTTTTATATTAATTCTTGTTTTATCATTACATAGTATAAAATGAAGTCGCTTTCACTGTCTGCCCGTCCCTATGCATGCTTAAATCTTTAAAACGGATTTTGAAGCAGTTTTTATTATATTATTATTATTATTATATTATAGAGTGATTCAAGAGGAAGTTTTATATGTATAATACATGTACACCCGGGCGAAGCCGGGGCGAGTAACTAGTTAGTACAATAAATTAATATTACTCGTGTCACATGACATCATGATTTTTGAGGTGCTATTCATGTATATCACCAATATACATGCGATTAACTACTTAACATAAAAGGCGACTCTTATCACTTTCCATTAAATGGGCCGTCGCCTTTGGCCTATTTGCCATTCCAATTACAAAAAAAAAGTAATAAGAAAGAACAAATAAGGCGACGCAATCCTCTATATAGCTGGACTATCGCCGACAGCTGTTTGCCAATTACATAATTTAAAGGTTAGTAATAACATTTAACACACTAAAGAATGTATTTATGTCTTCTGTCCTGTAGCAGATGTGTATTAATACAACCGAGAAGAAAGTAATTGATTCATTGTCACTAATTATTAATAAAATAATTGATTCATAAAATAATATATTATATTTAATTTTTATTTCTTTACTTAAGTAAAAAAATAAAATATATCAATAAAAATTTAATAGCTTTTTTTTTTACTATTTTAGGCCTGTATTAAAAAAGATTGCTTTGTTCAGGACAATATATTATTTTTGTAGTTATAAATAAAATGACACTGGAAGTTCAATTAATCTGCAGGTGCTGAAATCTGGGACCAATGAAGCCAAATACAAGTTCCCTGAGGCAAATCCATTTGTGTCTGAGGAGGAGGAGGGCGAAGTGGCTTCTGTTGGTTACCGCTACCGCAAGTGGAACCTCAACAATGGTGTTGTAAGTATACAACTCTTCTGTGCTGTTGGGATGCAACAGCATTTTTTTATTGTTGTATCAATCCTTCTGGTATAAAAACATCAATATCAAACATATTTGAAATGCATGCTGTGGCTGTAGACATAATGACTATATAGAGATAGTAGTAAACGAGCCTACTACCTCATTGGGTTCAAATGTAAACGATGCAATATAGGTATTTCAATTTTGTACTCCACAACAGTTCACATTGGCAATTCCTCTATCTGTTCAACTTGGTAATAGTAGTCTTGAAGGTATATCTATGGTAACTATAGATATATATAGTAACTATAGATATATCTTCAAGACTACTATTACCATGTTGAACAGATAGAGGCATTGCCAAATGTCAACTGTTGTGGAGTACAAACATGCTAGTGCTCTATTTATTGTCATGTAGAAATTTCTTACCATTTGACTTGTCTTTTCAAATTTATAGGTAGGCAGAATTTTTCCAGACTTCAGGATGAAGCTCTACTTTTTAAATATGAGTACTGTCTATTAAATCTCGTAGAACAACTACTAATATTTAGAGCAGAGCTTGTGTTATGGAAGGTTATGGAACAAATATTATCTTTTTTTATTTTATATTTTGTATAGGTACTAGTAGCTCGCTGCGAGCACGACGCTGTAATGCAGGGACCGCAGAACGAGACCCAGTTCCTTACGATTAAGGCTCTAAACGAATGGGACTCGAAGTTGGCCAACGGCGTCGAGTGGCGCCAGAAGTTAGACACGCAGCGCGGTGCCGTACTCGCCAACGAACTGAGGAACAACTCCTGCAAGCTAGCCAAATGGACTGTGCAGGTTCGTTGCTAACATATATATTATTAGCTTTGCCCGCGGTTTCACCCGCGTGATATTTATATTTATCTGATATAAAAGCTATATTATTGTAGTTATGCATTAAAATCCATTCATAGGTTTTGCGTGAAAGGGTAACAAACGTCCATCTGCACATACAAACTTCCATGTTTATAATATTAGTAACATTTAATTAGTTTTACTTGATTGCCAGGTATATTTTTACACGCGCACTTAACACACCTTGCTATATACATACTTTTCACAACAATATTGACACCATATTGTTATATTATAAGATGAGTGGTTTTTATTTCAAATTTGATACGATTTAACAATATAACTTTACTTCTACAACTGTAAATATAAGAAAACAAAACAAATGGTGTGAATACTGAACCAAGAACTGTGGAATGTATTATATACAACGAAGCACTTTTGAATAGTCATCCTTTTTTTTTTTTTAATCAACTCAGTCGCAAAGCTTTCTCATCACAAGAATAATGAGCTAGAAAGTCCCGTGTTTTTCTTTTTAATAATTTAGTTGTAATTTTACTTTCATACACTATGAATATACATTAGTGATTGCTGTTTATTTTATCAAACTTACAGGCGCTTTTAGCGGGCTCGGACCAGCTGAAGTTCGGGTATGTATCGCGAACCCAAGTGCGTGATAACGCACGTCACGTCATACTCGGCACACAGCAGTTCAAGCCACACGAGTTCGCTGCGCAGATCAACCTCTCTATGGACAACGCATGGGGTATTCTGCGTTGTATCATCGACATTTGTATGAAGCAAAAGGATGGTATGTTTTTCTTTTTGTCTTACATAGTTTTTAACATTAAATATATTAACAAAGATGACCTTTACTTTAAAAATCAGTAAATTTGTAGGGTTAATTTTTATTATGAAACTTTGTAGAGATACCACGAATAGTGATTTTGTTGTAAATCGAATATTTAGTTAGGCTCTCCTTGCCGAATCGCTGAAAATTTGGTGACATTTAGTATGGTACGCCTAGTTACAGCTCACATTATTTAGTAATAATAGTTTCTAAAACTATTGAAATTAGAATTTGTCACATACAACAGTATCTGTGACATATGTGTAGTTTTGTGTCTCACAAGTCACTCTTCACTATTGTATGGAGTATCTATTTATATTTTTTATGTATAACATTTTAAACATATTTCTAGGTAAATACCTCATCATGAAAGATCCGAACAAGCCCCTTATTCGTTTGTACGACATTCCGGATAACACGTTTGAATCCGACGCGTCTGAAGAAAGTGGAGATGAGCCAGCAGATACCCCCTTTGCACCATTGTACTCTTACGGAAACCCCAAGAGGATTTAGTCGTTGGTTGTACACTCTACTTTGTATGTTTAATACGATATATTTTAACGGTAAAAGATTTTTTTCTGTTCTATAAATCGCTCCATACTTAAGTGTACATCGTATATTTAAATGTGTTTTCGATTAATATTTAGTGGAATACAATTATATTGTCACATTTTGTGTCTCATTTAAATAAAATACTCATACCAGTTGTAAAATTTTATAAAGACTGCAGGATGTGAATACAGTTACAGTAATTTATAACACATATTTAAAATTAAGTAATCAGAATAAGTAATTATTTAAAATGTTTCATTATTAGTATAATATCTAAAACTTGATAAGAAACTTACGCATTGAAATTTAATTTATATTCATTTGTTCCGTGAGACCTTTCTAGCAGACATGGAAGACAGAGTCTGGAATCGTAAATTACTAAAATAGACTATTTCTACTTCAGGTACAAATTAAAATTTTATGTAAAGACGCGTGTAAATGTTATGGCATCAGTTTGTGTCGTCGTGCCTATCACTTTGCCATACAATATCATCGACGGCATATTATAATAGACTCTATCTTTATATTTCTTGGCAGAATAACAAAGAGAGGATTTCTAAAAATATGGCGAGGACAAATGTAATTTTACCAAAAGACGCTTTTAACATAAAATTAAATCTATGTATTGGAATATTTTTAAACAGTTCAAATATTTTATCTCATAACTTCTTTTATTTTTACTATCCTAACATACATTTCTACTATACAAAAATACTTAAATATTAAATAGTGTTCCGTTGCTTTTATGTAAAGTATATAAAAAAAGTTCTGAATTTACAGGAGGTATAAGAGAAGACACAAAATTATCCAAAACATTTTTATCTACAGTAACTATTCTAAAGTTTTCAATCCGATAGATATGCTCCTAATCACATTTTTCTAACTTATATTTCTTAGGCCATTTATTAATACTTGTTATGTCGTAGGTCGCCTGTAGATTATCAACTTATATGTGCCTAAACTATGATAAATAACATATGATGTATAAGCCTGTTTTGCTCTGCAACAAATGAGGTACACGCTTCATCTGTAAGTACCGAAAATATATTTAGTCTGAATATCAGTCATATTCACTATACTACGTATTCTATTATTATCTATAAAAATTACGTATTTTATACGATTTTTTAACATTAATAACAAATATGATGATGGATTTTCCTAAGTATGTGAATGTATTCTAAATATTTTTTCTTTGGCAAACATTTCCTAGTTATTTATGGTAAAATACACTGAGATCACAGACAATATGCTAAACCAACATATTGTCTACATTAGACCAGTAGAGATGAAATTCAACATATTTTAATTGCCTACTTAAATGAAATAAAAATGAATTAATCAATAATTTGTAAACTCTTCACATCGCTATTATTGCGTAAAGGTTGCGCCTCGGCAGGCTTCTGCATATTATCTATGACCTGTTCTAAAGTCTTGCCCTTAGTCTCTGGTACGAAAAAGTATATAAACAACACTCCAACATAACCTATTAAAGCGAATGACCAAAAGACTGTGTAATGGCCGAATATTTCTTTCACATTTAAATAACACTTAGTTACAGCAAAACATAGTGCGCAGGCTAGCATGGTGGCCAAGCTAGACGCTGCCGCCTTTACATTCACTGGAAACAACTCCACCTGCATCACGTAAGGGAGATTCCCAACGCCCACTGCATATAGTATGTTAAAGCCAAATAAACCTACTAGAGGCAAAGGCGATAGAGATTTCAATGCCTCCTCGCTAATTTTAACTGACTCTTGTAAATAGAAGTAGAGGCCGATAGCGGTCATAGACATCGACACGCCCAGGCACGATATCAACATGAGAACGCGACGTCCGAACCATCGACTCAGAAACGTGGCACCTATACCTGTAATAAAAAATAAGCGCTTATTATTGTCTTATTAAAAAATAACCTACGACCAAATTCGATAGCAATTAGTCATCGTCTCATTGTGTCGCTGCCTACTATCTCTGATCAGTGCGACAGATGACTGGTAGAGGATGCCATCAGGCATTTAGTCCGTAAAAAATATGTATTTGTATACATATTTTTTATGTATAAAAGAATAAATAAATAGTAAAATTCTGTGCTTATAACATCTATAGAGTTTAGGTTTAGGTTTAGGTATTTAAATTATTAACCGGGTCTTAACACGAATAATTTTATGGCAAATAAAGGTATTTACCTCTCTCGACGTTTCGACTAGGTTGCACTGGCCGTGATCACGAGCTGACTCGTACCTTTATTTGCCATAAAATTATTCGTGTTAAGATCCGGTTAATAATTTAAATAATGTATATTAAACACGAAAGTTTAAAAGTAACTATCTATAGAGTTGTTCGAGAAAGTTATACTACCAATCCCCACTTCGCACAAGTCGAACGATATAAAAAAAAGCCTATGCCAATCTGGAATAATTTAATTTTCAAATGCTTAGATAAATAGATGGTCCCCATCTATTTATTTGAAATATACGTATTTAAAAAGCTCACAAATTGTGAGAAGAGAGAGTGCTAGTAGTAGTACAAACTTATGAAATTGACAGCATATCTGTATAGTCCACACTAATATTATAAATGCAAAAGTATCTGCCTATCTGTTACCTTATCATGACTAAACAGCTGTAGATATATAAGGACTTAAATTATCTTTTATTGAAAAAAAAAAGCAGACGAGATCGCTGATTATATCTAGTATTATAGTAGATTTTAAAGTACCGGCTCCAAATTGCACGAATCCGTAAATAATGCTGACATGTGGACCAGAGATGGAACTACTCTGTCTGAATATCACTTCAAGGTATGACTGTATAACGAATACACCAGTCATGTATTGCACAATTTTCAAACCTGAAACAAATGAAATAGAAATAGTAAGAGATAATGGATACAGATTATCTATCTTAACAGTTAATCTACAATTGTATAAATGGAACGGCTGAAATGTAAATCTATTTAGTGCCGCGATAAAATTAAGTTGCTTGGTGAAAACTGATTGTGGCCATTATCTTTTCAGAGTATTTACATCGTCTTCTGATCGGACTGATACGTGACTTCATTCATCGTCATGTACACACATTATTAGATAATTCCAAACACGAACAATAAACTGTTTACAACAGCTGTTAAAGAAAGTTCTAATGACAATGGCATTATTGAATGAGAGATAAAAAATATTACCTAGCAAAGCAAATAGACAAGCAAGGTTAGGTATTACAGGATTATAGAGGTGTCCTCGGGTTGACGAAAAAGATCACACGTTTTTTCCTTCTCTTATGTAAGTAATGATACTTAACCCAAATTATGGTATGTGGCTACCGTCACCTATATAATAACAATAATGTCCTTGGACCATTCACACAACGTACAAACTATTATACTTATGAATACAAATGTTTATACCGTGTGAGAAATCGAATCCGCGATCATCGCTTTACTTACGTGTGCTAAACCGCGAGGCCACCGAGGCCGTCATACGTACATAAACAGCACCACGGACATCGCATCTTCATGTAACACAGCTAGTAATTCTCATGCGTTATGATCACAGAAGAATAAAATTTTATGCATCCATAATTTTACTGCCATATCTCACCATCCAACCGAAACATAGGTTACAAATCTTTTGAGACTTATAAATATACAACTTTATCTTTAGCATAGAAATATTACAATAGTTTTTTTAAATGCATCTACATGAGCCCGTATATGTGTAAGTATATTGCGCCCGCTAATTTCACTACATGACCATATAAAAATAGCCTAAGAACAATTTCATGACGATTGGTTGCCGTGCCAAATAATATAAGGTAGCAAGTAGCAAGCAACATTACGTTTTTTTTTCAAAAACAATTTCATTACAACAATATAGTGACCGGATGACCTAGTAAGCAAAGCAATGGCTATGTACGGTACTATCCCTCTCTTCCATAGCCATTACCATATATGTATGTGTTTTTAAAATAAAAATTTAAAACATGTATATATTCAGATATAACTAAAAAGTTTTATTGTAAAACAAAAATTAATTTATAAAGTATCTATAAGTATAAGAAATACAAGCGGCACGTAATCTTTATTACATACTATAAAATGAAGTCGCTTCCGCTGTCTATTCGCTTAGATCTTTTAAACTACGCAACGGATTTTACTACAAATTATAACAATACACAGAGTGATACAAGAGGACATTTTATATGTATAATACAATAATACCCGTCCGAAACCGGGGCGGGTGGCTAGTATAAAATATATTACGAATTACTAGGTACATAACCATTGATGTGACAACGGCGAAATTGGGAGATGCAGCTACTCATATTCTTAATGATATTCCTAAACTATTGAATATGTAAATATGTACTAATTACATTCTAGGTACGTATTTACATAATGAAACTGCCTTATCACTGCCTATGTTTTATTGCCATGTTTGCGTCGCGATCGTACAATGACATTATTAATAACTTGTTTATTGTCTGATAGAAGATTGAAGAGACTAATTGGATGATAAACACACAGAGAATATTTTCGATCTAGAAACATGCAATTATTTATCGAAACAAGTTCTGTCGAAGTTGACTTTCCACAAACCCTTCCCCGTGGGTACTATTGTCTTACCTATTTCTGCTACTAGCAACTTGATTTGCCAACCATGTTCCGGTATAAAGGGTGACGGGTGCGATATGGCAGCGACGGTTGCCACTTTCTATTAGACTTAAAAAAATACTCTGAAAAGTATCAATTTTTTATTTGTATATATGTTTATACACGGACCGACGTACCTGCTACAATATACAGCGCTTTTCTGTACTTCATGTTGGTCAACAATTCTTTTACTGTTGTCTTATTCTCCATGCTTTCTCTGACATGTGCGCGCATGATTCCCAATTGCTCGTCTACCCACTGCAACGATAAAGAACAAATATGCATATTTCTTACAATCAATAAAAAGATAATCAAAAGGTTCTGCTTTTAAACTAACTACGGCATTAAATATTTTAAATATTTCATTACAAAATACTTTAAAGAGAAATTAATTAATGTCTATTTATAAACAAATTTAATTACCTTCTCATCATTCCGACCTTTTAAGAACATGAACTCCTTCCTAGCTAAATCTATTCTCTCGTTTTTCAAATGATAATACGGTGATTCCGGTAACCACGAACAACACAAGGCATACGTGATTGGTATTGCTAATATTATGGCATTTAGAACTGTATAAGACACGAAGGGTCCAACGCCGTACATGATGAGGCCTCCTAAATTGTTCATCACTTGTATCAACATGCCTAAGGCACCTCTTATCTCTTTGTCTGCTATTTCTGTTACGTAAATCATTACTACCTGTAAAATCATAATGTTACTTTAAAATGGGCTTTCAAGACATTATACCAGCATAGGATTTATGAAATTTCATAATGAAATGATATTCTCAAAAGATTATAGACCAGATGCGTATATATAAAGACACTAATATAGGGTTTTTGTTTGGTACCGAGTTCTCTATGCCTAGCATGTGACTATGTAGGAACATATATTAATACAATCCTAAATGATAGCTCATATATGGAATCCTACCTACATACTATACACCTAACTAAATGCAAATTGGAAGACTGCAAACATTATACATGCACTGGAATAAATTTAAATTTTAAACACTGCTTTTTATAATTATGCTCATTTTACTAAATATGCCTTTAATATATCTAACTTTTACAATTTCTGAACTATAGTTTATACATGTTAAATACAAGGTAATACAAAATTAAGAAATATTGCCTCCAGATTTTATCATTATCATCATTAGTATAAAATAAAGTCGCTGTCGCTTAAGCATACATAGAGAGACAGACAGACAGGTCTGTCTGTCTGCTTAATTCTTTAAAACTATGCAACGTACTTCGAAGCGGTTTTTTTTATAGATAGAGTGATTCTAGAGGAAGGTTTATATATATAATACATGTACACCCGTGCGAAGCCGGAGCGAGTAGCTAGTCATATTATAAATCCAAACACCAAATATAATTAAAGGTAGATAATTACCACGGCGAGGCTGCCTGTCGTCAAGCCATACATGAACCTAGCCAGATACATCAGTTCTGGCCACTTGGTTAATAATATTATAATCTGAAATTAAAATTGTATCTAAATTATAGTTATACATACATCCTGAAAACATCGATATTTTTTACTCTTTTTTAAACCCTGACGCAAAAATTGCGTGTACATCGGCAGCATTGAAGGTCCTGATAAATGAATGTAATGATAGTAACTAAGCTGTCATGCCTCTTATCCTGTAATTTTACTGCCTAATCTGCCTTGAACACGTGTCATGAGAGGAAAATTTAGCTTACTGTAACCACGCTGGCTAGGTAGCTCGGTATAAGAATTTTTCTTCTCTTCCTCAAAGTGTTGCTCCACTAATCGCCTTTTACGATATACTAATCATACAAATTAAATATTTACATTTTTAGAACAGTTAGTTCCATATTTCAGCTCAATGGGCTAACTGAACTGACTTCATAGTGGGTGACCATCTCATCCTCCACTGGTGCCTATGTATCACAGATAACATAATTGCTATTTATTAATTAGCGACACAAATGAGGAGTTCGTTCCTTCTTAGCTATGTCTGTGGTAGTTACTAGATATCTGTAATAGAGTAGTTTGGTGTATTAACATACCGCTCCCAGAAGGCCAGGTACTGCTGATATTAATATGGTGCGGTGACGGCCAACACCTTCGCTCAGCACTTGCCCCATATAACAACCAAATAGAGCACCTACGGATAGCAAGGACACTACCCATGATGTTTGTGCCTGATGACGTCATAAATAAATACTATTATAACATATCCTTATTTTGTAAATAATTTCGAAATAATTTTAAACAACATTATTATTATTTATAATTGATTAAGTTGATTTTAAAAATATTAGATAGGTATTATTTGCCATGTAACATTTTCATTTCATACGCATATGATGTGATGGTAAAAAATATAACTAGCCCGCCATATTAGATTTTAAATGACGTCACTTAGCCACTGGTTTTCCCCTAAGCTTAAGGGTAGTTTAGTATAGTATTTTTTTTTTTACTTTTCTATCTCTGGCTCTAGTCTACGAGTCGAGACATATCAGTAGAAACAATACCGTCTTTACCACAAGGGCACACTGGGCTCGTGCCCAGGGCTAACAATTTTTCTCACACAACACTTTTTTCACAAATCAGTAGTGGTAGTATTAGAAGGCATAGGTATACTACGCCATTATATCGAATCTTCGCCATTATTATTTTTTTACTTTCCAAAAGGGCCCCGAATTCTTATGTGCCCAAGGGCCCCAGCCTAGTTTAAGACGGCGGTGAGTAGAAATAAAACAGAATAATTATATTTGTTCATTAGCAATTACGAATCGTGCCACAGAAATAATACTCGTAGATAGGCAAGTATATATAGCCCATGCCCATTTCTCTACGAAAGGAAAACCATTTGATTAAAAAATGCAGCGATTAGAAATTGAGACGTAAAAATTGAAACTTTTATAAGAATACAATAACCACGCTTCTACGATATTTCTAAAACCCCGAAAATACCGGAAACAACAAACTAGAAGAAAAATATTTATTTTTATTTGTATTTATTAACAGTACAATCTATTTAAGAGTAGGCTTAAGAAATTACTAATTGTGAAGAGTTCTAATACAGTCCTATAATTCTTAGCAGACATACTGTAGGATCTAAGCGGAAACTACAGCGGAATCGTGTCAAATTTCATTAAGATCCTTTCAGTCGTAAAAATGTAACAAACTTACGGACGAACTGAGAGATTCAATCTTTCATTGCTGTCTACTTTTAAACAAAAAATAATTGTATCTCCTATCAAATTTTAAGCAGGTATCTACTTCCATTTGTAATTAAACATAAGATACTTTTATATTAATTCATTAAAAGTCTAAAAAACTAATATTTTTTATATTGGTCTCATAGAAATTTTTATCTTTTAAATCGGGTCAGAAATTATTTTTTTAATAGGTATTGTAATTTGTATCTATAAGTATCTTAAACACGTTATTAGGCATTGAAATCTTTATTATTAAATATATTACCCCATATTTTGGTATGACTGATATTTTAAGAATTTATTATAATATAAAACTATCCGATTTGTTTCGAAATAAATTATTACACTTTTCTATTTTTAAGGACTGATAAGTATGATAGATAGCTAAAGGTAAGTAACCTACTAGGTCAACAGGCAAACGCCTACGGAGTTAGCATGTCTTTAATCAGATATGAAACCGTTTTAACTAGGTATCTGCCTAATAAAAATATGGACACATACTTACATCAGTAATTTCTATATTAGCATCGCCGCTTTTGAACTTTGGAATTGCGGGAGAGGCCCATCCTAACGTAGCACCAGTGAATGTGAACGTCAGTGATGCTTAGAAATAATTAAGAAAATATTACACATTAATTAATATACAGATTAAAATGTAACGATAAAATTTTTAAATTCCTCAGATATAACTAACTTACCACAGAGGCCCGCTAAATATTGCACTTTTCTATTATGTTTCTCACTCATATTTCACGTCTTTTTTACGTAGTAAAAGAAAAAATTAAATGCATCTGTTTATATATTCACATTGTCTATACATCTTTACTCGAATACGCTTGCCCGTGGTTTGAAAGTGCTATAATACACTACTACAGCTGTCTTATCAATAATACTTATTCGGAATGAACGTCTGACAGAATTGTTTGTTTTGTTGAGCTATATTCAGTGATGTGAAGACAGGTACATACGAAACATGCGGAATATAGATATAAGTACCTACCTACTTACTGAACATTATTTTTAGATAAACATCTATCTTTGATTAGGACAGTAACAATTCGGGAACATTTATAAAATGACTGCCATTAACTTATACAATAGGATATTTTTCGTATATAAATAATAGATAGGACACGTTACTTATAATTTCTATAATGTAGGTTAGAAATATTTTAATGCTGTCGTAACATTTATATGAAACAATCGAGTTTGATACAAATATTGACACATCACTGCATGTCTCTCTATAGGTACACGATTACGTAATGGCAATAATAGCTATCGCCATTCACACCGAGTTACGATTATCTCGTCGTCGCCCACACAATGACGGGCATATTGTAACTAGGTAGAAAAATAAAAATTTTATAAATTATAACTTCACGACTGCAACCCGATAGGGAATATCGGCTTCGGTAGTCTAGGTTTAGCACACCGCCTTTCTTCCGGTGGTCTCGGGTTCGATTCCACGTATGTCGCAAAGGGTTGTTCGTTAGTTCATCTATACATTTACAAAAAGAATGTATTTATTTTTTATATGCGTAGTACCCGTGACACAACCTTTGAATAGCTTGGGACTAGATGGCGCTGTGTTGTACGTCTAGGGTTCTTTTTATTATATTATCTTATCTTTTTATTATTTTTTAATTACCAACGTCGCGTCGGGAGGAGATATTGATATAGTATTCTAGCAACGTATACTATATCAAGTTCATCCAGCGATCGTATTTAATTAACAACAACCTGTTAGGCAACCTGACTTAGTGCTCATCTTATCAGAATATGATACCTGCTGTCCCATATACCGAATAGATATTTACCTCTATCTACGACAAATAACGCAGATATTGTAATCGTGAAGTGTGTGCATTAATTTACTTTTTATAGTTTCAAACTTCTTTTTTATTTGGTATATATGGTTTTCAGCTATAATGTTTACTAGATTGAGTGAATCTCCCTAATTCTTACTTTTAGAAATTTATTATATGTATAATATCTTATAGTAGAGAAAATTCAAGAATTTCAATGATTTGTAATTCACCCTTACAAACCTGGGGTGGAGCATCATAAAAAAGCAATATTTTTATTAAAACATGTATTAATAATTTATAAAAAATTATAACTTATTGTGTAAATCATTATAATAATAAAAGTGATTTCAATTTACTCAGGATTAAAGTCTGATGGCATACTCTTAATAATTTTCTTCATTTGCATTGCCACCATAGGATTGTCAGTGCATATATCCATAATTGTGTATGGAGGTAATATACTGGCATTGCCAAACATAATTTTATTATCTAATTCGGTCACAGGAAGTAAATTCCATTTTAACCAACTAATAATTTTTAATTTTCTGTCCAATATTTCTTTTTCTGAGATGTCATTTAACTTTCTTCTAGAAGGAGGTTCTGTATTAGGTGGTAAAGCTATCTCAATGATATCCAAAATTGCATGGCCAGGTAATAAAATAGTTTGATATGAGTCTTCTTGGGGTTTTTGGATGATTATGCTGTAAAACAATTAAGAAACACATTTTATTTACATATATTTGAAAGTAAATTATTACAAATTACAATTCATATTTAGTAATATTATAAAGCACATTTTGCTAAGAGGAATAACTACAATAATAAATTCTTTCATTGTTGTGGATAATAATGGAATGGTGCACTCAAGCAATAATCATAAATGCTGGCGGGGCTCCAGTACGGGAAGATACAACAAGGACTAGTTAAATTGAAGACATAATGAAACTTTTTATCTTTCCAAGGAATGCCATGATCAAAAGTCAAAAGACAGATACTGGTTTGGATCCAAACATTTGCATTATTGTTGAATAAAAATTATGGATAAATATCATTGTTTACTTTATTACATTAAATTAAATTTTAATGTACCAATCTTAAAACAAATTTTACACATTCTACAACTACCTGACTTTTTGGGTTCAAAACTGGTGTCAGCCATTTAAAATAAAGAAGAAGACCTATGGGTTAATACTTTATTAAACGGCAAAGGAAGATGAATGATGTAGAGAATTGTGAAATTAAAGTTTCTTAAATGTCCTGTAAATAAACTATCTATAAAACTATATCCAATATCTTTGTTGTAGAAAATACCAAGAAATAAATTATTAATTTAATTTATGAATATAATTATTGATTTCATTACCTATATGTGATTGGGTCAATAGAAGACACAAAACCTTCAAAAGATATATTTTTAATGAGATGTATCTTTACAAATTTATTCAGTATCAGTAATAACGAATTCGGTTTTTCTTTTATAGTATCATATTGTTCTTTAAATAAATGTAATTCTGTATTATTATGAATATTTTCCATATTTTTTGCTTATTCGGCTTGTAACCGTTTGTAATTTGTAGAATGATTAATAGTTCGAAAACTCTTTCAAACTAAGCGAACTAGTTCATAGATTCTTGCTTATTGAGTCCGTTATTTTTTGTTAATAACACATATTTGGGGCATAAAACAATCGTAAATCGTCGTATTTGCAGTTAAAAACAAGACTTACAAAATAAAAGAATTTGAATTTTGATTTGATTAATCAGAATAGAGATTATGTTATACTACAATATAACCACCATGTTACACTGCTCTGTGACAGACTATCTTTTTTTTTATGAAGTATTTTACGGCCCTGGAAATTTCCTTTCAGCCAAACAATTACATTGTACTAGACAATTTATCAATTAGGGTTGACAACCTTAAAATATTTAGCAATGTAAGTAAAACATCTTTGATGACTCTATGAATAATATTATTTTTGTCGCAAAAACATTTTCCACATCTCTACTAGTTATCTGTCAGATATTACTGGTCATTGGCGAAAAGTCCTCAGTCATAAAATGGATTTCAAATCAAAGAAAACCACATATCAGAATGGTTTTTGTCGAACAAATACTCCGGCTTTGAACAGAATCGCAATAATGTTGTATATATATATATATTTCGGACTACTCTAATGCTGTTGGCAGCAGCTGGCCTTTACAGCTTCATGGGACAATAGGGGGCAAGTGCATATCGCACTCCAAACCCACGGAAGGACTTAATGGAGCGGTTGAAGGCCAACTCCCGCCTGACGGATACGACTTTAGTCTAAGGGCACCGTTAGGGGTTCGAACCTCAGCTCAGGCCATCGTAATATTGATCCCCGTTGGAATTGGACGGGGGATCGATCGATCGAAGGGAAAACATATTCTTTATTTTCTTAAAAGTATTCTATTAAATAAAAAACTGTACCCTGTTATTTTCCTTATTAAATATAAATTTATTTCATTGCTTTTAATTTATATCTGGCAATACTGTGAATCGAATGAATCTGGAAACTCCGCACCATAGATTACTACATTATTTTCATCATAAATCTTACTATTTCCAACTGTATTTCAATACGCTAAGGTGCAAAATACCAAAATTAATGTGTATCGAAAATAAAATATACAAGAACTTGCTCCTTCGTGTCACTTCAGTTTGATTAAAATAGTCTTAAATTATACACAGTTGTTTAACTTGTTTCATCAGTGCAGTTTTTATTTCATTTTATTATATATACGTATAAGCTTCTCTCAGTTCTCGGCTCTTCTCTATTATCTAAGAATAACCAGGTAATAAATAACATATTCAGCTAATAAATAAAAATAGAGACCATTGCATTCAGTTTGTCGTAATCGGAATGACAAAATGCAGTATAGCAAGGTATATGTAATGTACTTTCTGTGTTCTTTTCTGGATGTCGTGTCATTGTGATTGTGTCATTGATTTAACTTTAGGAAATTACGAGTCAAGTACAGACCGTAACAACTACTGTACCCGCGTACATTATAAAGCCACATGATGTAAGGTTTCAAATGACTTATAATTGTTTTATTGTATATTATATGTATTCATAGTGTGAAATATGTTTACATGACCGAAGTTTTTGCTTTAGCGAGCTCGCTCCGCACTTCCCCGCATCCTTTCCATTCCCCTCTCAACGCATGTACACAGTCTTATCTTTGTACGTGTTGAGTAATATCACATATTGCCCGTAATTAATTTAATCATATTTATATACCTATTGTTGTTTTATGCAGTAAACATCAAATTTAATATCCATTAACGATACGGCAGGAACCTTAAGACTAGTTAGAGAATATGTTAATAAACGTTGTATCTGTATGTCATCCAGCAGTACCTAAGCCAAATACTGTATAGGTTTCTCGTACATAACCTTGTTCATATTTATGTATGTGGTACGTACACAGATATCAATTGATTTAAAATGATGATTAGAATGATGAATTCGCACATATCTAATACTAAGTAGGTATACTTGATTTGCATCCCACCCGATACTGATATTTCTGATTGTGTATATAAATAGAAGTGCTTCCTAATTTTAAAAATATAGATATTGAAATGTTGGGAGAAAGAATTAGTGTTGTAGTCCACCGGTTTATTACTCGACATATGTTCAAAACTGACCGAGAAAAGAAAAATATATTTTATTTGTCAATTTACACTGTCCATTTTGTACTTAAATATAACCTTAGAAATGTGGGCATATTAAGCTTTTGCCATCGTCCACAGTTGATAGTGTCGCTGAATAACCTATTTTATAAATGTTTTGTATGAAACGTGTAAAGAGTGAAGATGTATAACTATTTCAGATAAGAATATTTCTTGTTTCCTACTTTTTAGGGCGTGATTTATCAGTCGCCAGGTATTACATGTCGAACCACAAAATTTTTATTTATATTTCGAATGTATTTGTACTCTATAATAGAATTGTAAAAAGTCATTTACTCATCTAAATATATCATATGTTCATTCGTAATGTACGTAACCCCACTAATAATAAATTCAAATCTAAAATTACTACTTAACTTTATCAGCCGTCGCATATAGATAAGCAAATACGTATAGGCACTTATCGCTGAGTAACACAATATGTCCTATAACAGTTTGTTGTTTGTCGTTAAATAATACTAGCTTTAAGAAGATTTTATTATTTTAGTCAAGATATTAAAAGTGGTTAATAGAGTATAATCGTACCTATACATAATTGGACAATTGCTCTAATTTATTTTCTATTCGTGCAGGGTTACATAAAATAAAATGGCAACTGCGAAAGCAAACAAAAAGTAAGTACCTATTTACCTTGAATAATAATAAAGCTGCTTGCACAATATTGTATTCTACTGTAGTAAACTATTGATCAGTATGTTTACTGCGTAAGTAAATTTGGGACATTATAATTGGACTGTAATACCTACCTACTTTTGGTACATTTTTAACTCCAGACGCAAAAATAATTCCCATTAAACTTTTCATGTGAAAATTGAGATGGAATTATATTGAGTGGATGTGAATTGATATTGAACGGATGTATGCAAACTCTTGATACAACTTCAGTTTAAAGGCACTGTTTTTTTTTTATTATAATGGAATGGTGCACTCGCCTTCGCTAACGGTTTACGCTGGCGGGGACCAGTGGAAGGTGATAAGATGAGCATGAGGTCAGGTCAGTTAGCCCATCGTGACAAATTCATCAGTAATTTATCACGATGGTTTCCAGGGGGAACCGCGTGGAGGTCAACCTGACATGGTACATTGCCATCAATGAGATCATCAGTCCACATTACTAACAATCCCCCACGGGTGTAGATTTAAATAAAGGCACTGTTAGAAGTTCTATCCTCGACTCGGGCTGTCTTATTTCTGATACCCGTTGGAATGGGAATTATGGCATAGATAATCGATCTGGGGTTACTTATAATTAAAATACAAATAGTAATTATAAATAACATACAAATATGCTAGCTACCCCTGTGTGGTGGATCTTTTCCTATGGATTCCTATAGAAAAAGATAGATGGACGCTTGGATATTTGTTACTCGTTCACTTTATCTACTATAATGTCGGGGTTGAACTTGTAATGTTTCTCAGCTCTTATAAACTTATCCTCTCCATCGACCCCCTTTCCTATTCAAACGGGAATCGAAATACGTCAGGCTAACAGTACTAGAGTAGTCCGGAAAAAAGTAGTACTTATATTTTATTCCTTTAGAAAATATAATAGAAATCGTTTCGTTCAGTCATATACTGAGCGAAACTATTTATATGATACCCTATACGGATATATCCTTACTCCTTACTAATATTATAAATGCGAAAGTAACTCTGTCTGTCTGTCTGTCTCGCTTTCACGCCAAAACTACTGAACCGATTTGAATGAAATTTGGTATACAGATAGTCTGACCCTGAGAACGGACATAGGCTACTTTTTAATGCGAAAAAAGGGTTGTAAGGGGTTAAAAGGGGGATGAAAGATTGTATGGAAGAATCGTCATTTTTGAAGCTAGAAGCTTGAAACTTATTTTTGAGGCTGTTGATTAAATATAAATAAAAATGACATACAATGTATGTAAAATATTACCCTTAAGGGGGTAAAATAAAATAGGGGATGCAAGTTTTTATGTAAATTCGTCATTTTTTAAGTTAGAAGCTTGAAACTTATTGTTGAGACTGTTGATTAAATATAAATACATATGACATTCATTGTTTGTAAAAAAATTACCTTTAAGGGGGTAAAATAAAATAGGGGATGCAAGATTTTATGTAAATTCGTCATTTTTTAAGTTAGAAGCTTGAAACTTATTGTTGAGACTGTTGATTAAATATAAATACATATGACATTCATTGTTTGTAAAAAAATTACCTTTAAGGGGGTAAAATAAAATAGGGGATGCAAGATTTTATATAAATTCGTTATTTTTTAATCTAGGGGCTTGAAACTTAGTTTTGAGGCTGTTTATTGAATATAATTAATATGACATTCATTGTTTGTAAAAAATTTACACTTAAGGGGGCAAAATAAAATAGGGGATGCAAGTTTTTATGTAAATTCGTTATTTTTTAATCTAGGGGCTTGAAACTTAGTTTTGAGGCTGTTGATTGAATATAATTAATATGACATTCATTGTTTGTAAAAAAATACCCTTAAGGGGGTAAAATAAAATAGAGGATGATAGGTATTATGTAAATTCGTCGTTTTTGAAGTTAGAGACTTGAAACTTAGTTTTGAGGCTGTTGATTGAATATAATTATTATGACAAAACAAAAATTTAAATGAAATTTGGTACACTAAGTGTGTACACCCGGACAAAGGTACTTTTGAATGTGAAAAAAGGATTGTAAGAGGGCAGGGATTGCCTTGAATTAAATTGATTGATTTGATTTAAAACTAGAAGTTTGAGACTCATTTTTAGGTTGTAGTTTAAATATCAATAAATATGAGTTTGTAAACTTGGGGGGGTGGGGGGGGGGGTAGTAAAATAAAATAGGGAATGAAAGTTATTGTGGAAATTTGCCGTTTGTGCGGTTGTGGAAGCTTAAACGATTAAACTTTTTTAAGTACCTTACTTATATTATAAATGTGAAAATAACTTTGTCTGTCTCGCTTACACGCCAAAATTTATTTTTAAATTACTAAACCGATTTAAATTGAAATTTAAAACAGACGTAGATAGACTTGATCCTGAGGAAGGACATAGGTTATTTATGTCACTTATATTGTGTTAAATATTTTTTCATTATTTACGCGGACGAAGTCGCGGGTACAGCTAGTATATATATATTCTATTCTATTCTATTCTATTCTATTCTATTCTATATACCTATATTTTCTCATTTACACACCAAACGAAAAAATGTTAAATGGTATATAGATTAAACACAGATAATATAAGTTTAAGTACAGACAATATACTCATAGTATGTAACCCTACATGGTGGTAACTAATGGGTGGAGGTAGAACTTTTTAGTTCAACTTTTCAACAATATAAAAATACTTACGGTCTTATTCATGAAACTTACGAAGCCTTTATAAATCCACTATAGCAGTGCTATAAAGGCTTTATAAAAATCTCTATTGATAAACGCTCTATAAAGCTCTTATAACTTTTCATTAGCAATCAGTTCTATAAACCTATGATAAACCTCTGATAGTAAAAAACGTTATTCGTAAACGTTCTATAGCGGTCCGATAAAGTTAAATGTTAATTTGTATTTACGTAAACTTTTTTAGAATGGCGGCGGTAGCGGTCCAGTTGCCAGAGTGCCCTGTGTGCCTGGAAACAATGTCGGCGCCGATATTTCAGTGTCAATCCGGGCACAGCCTTTGTAACACCTGCACTGCTTCTCTGCGTCCACCAATCTGTCCTATATGCCGCCAGTCTATGACGCAGATTAGAAACTGGCAGCTTGAAGAGATGATAACCAAGGTTGATTTTATTATTATTATAATTCATGTATCATGTGTGTTCTTATGTGCACCACCTATTCTTCTCTCATATCTCATTATCTTCTACCTTAAGGTTGCTAGAAGAAATTGCTTAAAGACTGACTATTTCACTAGTCTATTTATCTGTATATTTTTACTAGGAACAATTTGTACCATTATACCCGCTAAGTGCTTTTTCTTTCTACGCGTGACAGTGTCATGACCGATATAAATATGAAAGAAATTATTGCCAATATAATATCACAAAAAAATTTCCATCCTTAATCCTTACTACTCCTGAAGATAAAGGAATAATAAGCAACAATACATACTTTAATATTCTTTCAGTCTGTAACACCATACAGACACTTTTTTTTTATTGGCTTGTTTGGGCTATTGTCCGGTGCTTGGACCTGTAGCACTGCGATCTATCTGGATCTGCTGTGCTCGCCCTTTTTTCAGAGTTCGCTACCTAGACATTTTAGGGACAAGAATTAAAAGATATTCTTAAGAGCGATGGTTTTATCTCCTCAGGATACACTCTAAACTTTCCAAAGGAGATATTACTTAGGATGTATAGTGGCGTTTTCACTCCAGTTTGGCAAAATCTGCAGATTCTTGTTGTGCAAAAGTAAGACACGTATTACGTAGACAAGACACTTACAACGAAACAACTAATCTCATAATGGTTAGGTTTGTTATGATGATAATGTTTCAATCGCTTTTGCAGGCTAAGGTACCATGCCCTAACAAGTCGTTCGGGTGCGTGTATATGATGGCAACCGTTGATGTAGATGACCACACAAAAGAGTGCATTTTCCGCGAGATGGAATGTCCTCTTGGAATCGTTTTTGGAAGATGCTCATGGCATGGTAAGTCAAGAAGGTAGACGATGGCTGATTTTACTGTTAATATTATCTAATACGATTCAGTTAAATACTATTGCTAAATTGCATGGAAATTATTAGTTTAGTAACATACAAAAGTTCGTTTAAAACTTTAAAATACTAACTTTGGCCTTTAAATGAAAATAACTTATATAAGGCCATAAGCGAGTGTGCTGTACTTTACTAGAAAGATATTACGCCTATCCTAAATGTTGCAATAAGGAATGATGATACCATATATGTATATATTATGTATGTAGATAATAAATCATTATTTATTCCAGCCATTCAATTATACAGAGTAATTCATTTAGTTCGTATAGAAATAAATTAGCGGGCCACAGAGTTCATGAACTGCGCTTACAGTATTTAGGTATTGGAAACAATAAGATTCCAGGACTATTCTTGTGCTATGAACACATCTTGGGTTTTATGTACTGTGTGTGAACTGATAGAATACTTTAAATACATTTTTGGTTGTAAATACATAATATAGATACATAGAAAACATCCAGTTGCCAATACAGGCAATCGTAATCATAAATACTAATGTTTGCACCAGATGAGGAATCGAACTCGCGATCATTGGAAAGGAGGCGGAGTGCTAAACCGCTAGACTACCGAGGCCGTCCTATCATTGACCTAATGATTGATTTTAAGATGTTTACAGGAAAACTGAAGGAGATGATGGATCATTTTAAAGAGCGTCACCCTCAAAATTGCAACGTAAACACAGATACCGATGTGGAAATGAATAACATAAATATCAAGGAAGACGACCGCTATGTGTACCTGCTGTCGCAGGGGAAATTGTTGTTTATAATCACTATGAAAATCGATACTATAAACAATTTGGTATATTGGGCAGTACAGCACATTGGGAGCAAGAAAGTTGCTCACCAGCACATTTACGAGATACACGTTACAAGCAAGCAGGATGTCAGGAGGAAAACAGTGTTCATGGAACATTGCTTCAATGACGCTGTTAAAGCCGATGAGGTGTTCCGCTTAGGAAAATGTGGCATCATGTCATTGAATGTATTTAGTAACTTCATAAAAGACAAAAAAATGTCGTTCCGATTCTTCATCAAGAGAATTCCGCCAACAGTAAATAATGATAGAAATTCAAATAGTGGTGGCAGCACACAACCTCAGAACAGAGGACCCAAGGTACCTGGACCGAAAGGTCCCGGCGGACCCAAGGGGCCAGGACCTAATAAAGCACATGGACCTAGAAAACCACATAAACAGAATACATAAAATGGGTTTTGGCCTACCAAATTAACGACATGTTGCTGTTTTGGTTAGATCCTAATCTAACCAAAACAGCAATGTCGTTAATTTCTAATATATGATATATTAGATAAATACCATTATTCTATGTACTTATTAATATTATGTTATGTATTAATCCATATTATCTTAATAGTATAGTGTATACTTTTCAGAACTTGACTCATGAATACTCGCCGGTTTCGGAGACTTGACTCCTGCCTGCATCATTATGTTGTTGTTTGTATATTTAGATACAAATAGTGGTTGCAATTTTTACGATGATGTAATGTAATATTACGAAAATAGACAGTTTTTATATTATAAATAAGAAGCACCTAAGGAAATTTTGGATACTTACTAGTATCGTTCTACGGTGCAATAAAAATAGTACATTAACTTAATGGATGGATATGGAATAGTTCTCTAGCGTATGTCGTTAGTTAAGTAACGATATAAGTTAGCGAGTTTCCAGTGAATCATAGAATGAGTATGAAATCAGGTCAGTCTATCGTGAAAATTTCACCGGGAATTATCCAAGTTCCCAGGGTGAATGCATGGACGTCAACTTGATAGGGTACATTGCTAGCAATGGGGTCATTAATACCCGTAACTAACAATTCTCTCCCCCTTGTACACTATGGTTGATACTAACCAACATATTGTACAAAAGCCATCATTATTTTAAGGGATATGGCACAAATTGTTTTAATAGGTCGGGATATAAATTATAATAGAAAATTTTTTATTACCGACTTAGATAAACTGATTTATCGGAAAGAAAAGAACCGAGTGTTATGAATTGTTTGATGCATTAACAATTACAATCCCCAAAAATAAAGAAACTACGGCTACGACAAATAATCAACACTCGGCTTCCGATCTCTATTTATTGCCTGATGAAAGCTCGTTCATACGCGAAACGCGTATCTCTACTGTTGTACAATAGTGTACATTTATTAACGGAATTTGATCACTAATAGAGAAGCTCGTAAGTTCGTAACGCTTCCAGTATCGTAATCAATTATCCGCATGAATATTTGTGATCTCACATATCGTCGGTTAAATAGAAAAATGGCACTATTTAAAAAGTGCATTTTTTACAAGACAAGCATTTAAAGTTTTTAAATTTATTTAAACTAAAGTTTTTTCCTTTAAAAAAAGCATTTAGATAATGATTAAAACGGCGCGGTGTGTTTAATTTAATTGACTTATATATATATAAGGAGGCATTTCTAGCTTCAAATTAACAAGTGAAATAAATTTCCGCAAATTAAAACCTAATTCGATAATATAGAAATAAATTTAATTTCACACTTTTAATATTATTATAGCAATAATTATAAAATTATTATGAATACCGGTATTTAATTACTATAATGCTATTATTTTTGTAGGGAATAATACTTTTGCAGTCTCTGTCCATTAGTTTTACACTACGGAAAATAAAAGTTGCTACTCTATTTAATATCTAGATAACAACATGTACCTAATACGGATATGTAATATTCCGATAAAGAAATTGCGGTATTCAATTATATGAATATATATGAATTAGAGGTAGTAGGTATCTATGTGTATATTGTGTACTTTTCATATTGGTATAAGTATTACCCAGACACTTGTGTACCTCTACTACTACTATATTACCTCCAAGAATATCGCTTTGTTGAGTTTCGATGGAAGAAACAGAATATTTAGCACTAAGTTAATTTCGCTCTTTGATCATAGTTAATCAAGTAACGCATTATAATTAAGAACATTAATAATTTCAATTTATATTCTGATTTTAATTAATATTCTTATTGTAAATCAGATTAACTTTGGTCCAGCGCTATACTTGACATAGTTAAATAAATATTTTTCATAGTGATTTAAATAGGAGCATATTTTGTGCTTACAATTTTATATCATGTGGAACTAAATATAGATATTTTATTTATTAGTCATTTGTACCAATATTACGTTTTAAAAAATATAAATTTCATTTACTGAAACAGTTGTAGGTAATTATTTTATTTAATTATGGTACAAGCTATTTAGCTGTAATATATACTGTAACTTATAGTAATATATGTGGTTATCAACACAAAATTTACAATAGCTATCAAGAAAAATATTCTTTATGAATAGAATGATAAATATTGCAATTTTACAAACATAACATCCTCGAACTCCCCATGGGGGACCTGGGTTTCATCACTCTCCCTTAATGTGTGACTTGATTTATTGATGGCCCCTAGCTGTCCTGATGCAATGCTACTCCAGATATTAACATAGAAGCACACATTGTTTTGGCAGTTTGTAATTTGAACAGCTCAATTACAGGGCAGGGTGTACACCATGTTTTCTATTGTCACAGTTGGAGTACACAATAGATATATAATAGAAAATGAGTAAATTAATGATCACTTTATACTTTTTAGTTGTAGGTCAATAAAGCTTTTGATGGTGGTAGAATATATTCTTTATAATCCTATTTTACTAAAGTATTCTATTTCATAAACTATTTTGTCCTATTTTGTAAAGTAGTACCCTATTTTATAAACTATGGTATGTGTGATTGAAATAAAAAATATAATGGATTTTTGTTTTTATTGTCTTAAAAGCTAGGTGTTCATTTCTTAGCCTTAGATTCTCGAACGGCCTTCCTCTCGTTTGCCTTTGCAATTTGCTTTTCTGGTTTTAGGTTGCCTTTTTTGCAAAACCTTTGATTTCTTAAGAACTTGGGGTCCATCTGGAAATGTAATAAGATCATCATTATACTGCACAACATCAATTAATTTTCATGCATTATATAAGGACTTATTAGGACTAAACTACTAATACAAGGATACTAGTACAGTATGTTTTATTAAGTTACAATGTAACTCCATGACACTCAAACAAATGACTTGACAAATTCATCATAATAATCATTACTCAAGTAGACACTGCAGTTATCTACCTCAGTACCTCTGCTACTCCGTTCTTAGCTTTGTATTTGCAAGTTGTGTTTAAATGTGTGAAATTACAAAAATTACAGCATATGGGTGCTAATACACAATACCAATATTTTGTAAATAAAGATAAAGATTCATTTCAACACCTTATTCCTTCGGAATGCATGAGTGTTAAGGGTGCCATGTGATATTGGCTTGTCCATATTTACAGGTGACGGTTACCACTTGCCACCAGGCATTGCGTTAGCCATGCCATTCCAATTACATTAAATAAACTCAATAATAACCACACTTATATTGGACAAAGTGAGTAAGACAGCACTAACATGGTCTATAATATATGCACATAAGTAATAAGAAGATTTAGTTGGAGAAAAATAACCCAAAAATACCATTATTATCATTGGTAATAAGAAAGGTTCTCAAATTACATTCAGAATCAGCCGTTTCTTTTCAAAGAGTCAAAAGAAAGAATATATATCCCTTAAATTGTTTTATATTTCCAATAAAATATTGAATTAAGTCTATTTAACTTTTAACCTTGCCTATTCTACTGATTTTATCAGATTACTGATTTCATAAGATATACAGACAGATACTGGCAGGAAGAGATATTTCAAAGAGATAAGTATAAATCTGCATCTGTTCTTGTAAATATTTTTAAATACCAATGTTACAAATAACAATAAAATTTTAAGATAAAGATTACTAAAGTAATAATATAAATTCATTGTAAACTTACGCCCAGGGTAGATTCGTGTCTGACCTTCTTAGGTTTTTTAATTCCATTCCTGTGGGCTTTGCGATCTGAAAACAATAATTATCATTTATGAACTAGTACAGATCTGAAATACCTTGCATATTTCTTGTTATTTATTAAAAGTCTAAAAATACGTACTCTGATTATGATTTGTATGATTCTTTGACTTCGCCATTTCGATCAATTATGTTCTGTAAAAATGAAATATAAAAGTATATTAATAGAAAGAGTAGTCTACTTTGTTACAAATATAATATAATTAATTAAAATAGCAGGATTTCACAGATAATTCAAGGTATTTATTATTCAAAAATCTAACCTAAAAAGCAATAGAACCTCGTCCAAATGTTAGTATGAAAGACCATAGATAAGAAAAACCGTGATTATGTTTACAAGTGTATGAGAACAACACAGGAAAACGTCATACAACTGTCAGTGTGTTTATTTTTCTTTTTTTCTTAATGGCTTCATAACAATGTTCCAATAACATACTTCTAAGCAAAGAGTAAAGCAATTACACCGGAGGAACGAGTCAGAGGCTAATCAATTATTTTATCCTGGTCGATAACTTCTCAGATGGTTAAAAGCGTTAATCAAAGAATATTCTACTCAAGAGGTGTTAATATAGTTGTTGAATTATGTACCCTGCGAAAGTCAACAGAGTGATTTGAAGAACAGCATATTCATAGAGGTCTAAAAATATCTGTTGCTATCAAATTATATTGAAAATAAAAAGTAGTAAGCTGGCAGTAGCGTAATGCATTATACATCTGTAATAAATATTAAATTTAACACGTCATAAATCTAAAATTGATATGATTTCCTATTTAGGAACTTTGTTTTAATAGATAATTAAGTTTGAAGGGCCCGCTTGATGATACTGTACAAATGTAAAAGGATTACATAGAATGTTTTGATATAAATATATTAATCTTATTAATAAATAAAATCTTAAAAGATTTAGTAAAAAAAAACAATATATTCTACTTCTTCTTCTATTTTTGAAGTCAGCAGAAAAACAACAATTTATTACAACGTTAAAAAAATATAGTAAAGGTTTGTGTGGTCGATATGGATTACCGCAAACAATTTTTTCAAACTCTTCTGCAGTATTGCCCTTTTCCGATTTTCCATTTTTTCTTCGTCTGTAGAGACTATTGTATATAATCTGTAGAATTCGAAATATTTCTAATCTGTGGGCCTGTGACTGACTGCCATCGTGCCAAATTTTTGATCTGTGATCTTGCCAACCCATGTACATTTTTACTTTTTGTAAATCTTGTAAAATTAAAGATATTCATTAATAAAAAATAAAAGTGACACATAATAAAAAATATTTATTAACCATGGTTGTGTTAGAAGATGAAGCCGGGGATGCAAAAACGATAACCACTGAGGAAAAAGTAGAAGAGAAACCCACTACTCTTCTAACACTAGAGAGTATCCTTTTAAAAGTTCCAGCTGTTCCAAATAAACATGACCCAACTGGTCAAAGCATCTCTTGTTTATAGTTCGTTGTTTAGATTATTGATACTTCGGTAAATTTCAATAAGTAGAGCATTTATAGCTTATCGTCATTAGTCGTCATACCTTGACTTTCTGCTAGTGTAGAGTGTAGATTTTGGCGGCCGTATACTTCTAAAAAACTCGTATTGTACGTGATCTTATATAAAATCTATTATAAAAATGATTTTAACTATTATTTTAGATTTGTATCAAACCCATTGCATAGTTTTCTGTACACAATATATCTTTAATAAAGATGTTTATAGCCTCAATCAAATCTGTAGGTCTGGTCTAGTTAGGGAACTAATATTAATATGAAACAAACTCTAATATAGTAATAATAATAATAATAATATTTTTTACTTAGAAATTAGGCAGTATTCATTAAAGTTTTTATATTTAAAGAATAAACATCTCAGACTATTGACAAGTTCCGCTTGATTTACAATGTACTATAAAATGTAAATATAACATTAAAATAATAAAATACAAGGAGTATTTGATAATTTGCAACTGACAACACAAACTAGCTAATTACTACTACAAAAATTATTAAGTACACAATTTTAACTTTTTGTATTTACTTCTGTTTGAATTAATTTTGATAATTACTTTTTTTATTTGAAAAGTGATTTTTCTCATGTAGTCCCACATGAGAAAAAACTATAAATTTAATCAACATCTTCAAGCTTACTAAGGAAATCTGTTTGATGACTTATAGAGGTGAGACTTAGATACTCATGGAGTTAACTTTTTACAAACTGTACCTTGATAAGTTTTCCTTTTATTTTTCATAGCTATATCTTAAAATCAGCTCAGCAAGCCTTTAACAGATATGTTGTGGGAGTCTGTTGACGGAAGAGAACTGTACCTCCAGTGAAGAAACCTTGATAAATTAGTAACTGTTATTTGGATTAATAATTATTAACAGTCTGAAATACTTTGGTCCTACAAAGTATTTCAGACTGTTCATACTGAGATTTAAAATTTGTTGTCAATAATAATATTTACTTTACATACACTGTGAAATCCTTAACTTATTACCAGTATTTCGAATTATCAAGGATGCTCAGCAGCAACATGGATTAAGACATGGAGATTACCAACGGTATCGAGGATATTGCTCCAGGCGTCTAAGACGTCTGCGTAAAGTGCTCAAAATACCACAGGTTTGTGAAATACTAGAAACTCATATATTATATATTAATATGTTATGTTTTTTTTTGTATTATTATATTTTTTTAGATATGTATAAACAAGTATAAAGTAAGAACTGATCATTGGAATTGATTTTCCATGTATGTGTTTACAAAAACATATATCTATGTATGTATATATATATTTATATGACCATAACACATGTTCTGCTTAGCATGGAACTGATGGCGCTGTATGAATTGTTGTGAGATATTGTTAATGATGGCTTGTTCACCTGTTACACTTGTAAATGGGTGCTGCTTGTAACAAAATCTAAAATGTTTAAAACTGAACAATATTTATTATAATAAAGCAACATGTAAATTTCTTGCTAATTCTTCTTATGATAAGTTTGCATTCCAAATGAGTTGTAGAATGAAAACTAAATGTAACTGTCTAAAAGAGTTTATATTATATTTATTTGAATCAAGATTTTTTCTATTCTATATGAATAGCCCTTATATAGCTCGTAACTCTAGTAATGAAACAATTTTTACAAATTTTTCTAATATATAATTACCACTCATTAACATATACATATTTGTATTTCTTTAATGGATATTGGAATAGTACAGCTGCTTATGCTAAGGTATTTGCTGACTTATCATTATTATCGCTATTTTATCGCTCTTATTTATTGTACCTATTTATGTTGTCTATAATAACAAATGTAAGTAAATTCTGTATTTTAAACAATTGTAATTTTATACTTATCAACTAATAGCAAACTAGTTCTATAGTCGAATCCTTGGGATAATTAGCGCAATATGTTCTTATTTTTTTAAAGCCATAACCATAATAAACTATAACATATGCTTATAGCATGTTTGTCTAGTGCTCTTTGGAGCTTTTTCTTGTATAGTAATATAATATAAACAATGTGTACAAAACTACTTAGTATTTTGTCTAAGAGTATATGATTCAAATTTAGTTTAAGAGCAATACAGTTCTAACCGATTTACGACGTTGTAATTTCTTTATCCATTTGAATGGGAAATGCTTTACAACTTGAGCATTTTCTAAAATGGTATATTGAAGCTTTTTAAGAGTTGGGAATACTGTATCGCCTGAAATACCAAGAGTTTAGTGTACACGACACAACATAGTTTAGGCGATCATAAGTGTAAAGTAACCGTTTACCATGGATGCACCTTGTTGTGAAGAATTTTATATGAAATTTTCGTGTCGCGGTGAATAATAAAAGTAAAAATACGTACAATCTTAAATTTTCGTCCTTCTGGAGTCAACCCCACCATTTTAATTTATACGGTAAAAGAATATTTGCATAGTCAGTTAATTGTGGTATAACAATAAAGCCTTAATTATATTCATTTGACTTCAAAATCTAGCATCCAATGACACTTATGACGTTTAAAAATTTTTATGTGTTACAGGGAGACAGACGTCACTACCGGCGCCGAGATGTTACGACTGTACACCTGACTGCATCCAATGCTGAGAACCGACTGCTGGGCGTGCCTCTACTGCAGGCCGAGCGTGCCTGGGCTCACGCGATGCAGTTACGTCAGGAGGCGAACACCGAGCCTCGTAAGAAGTTCCATCTCATCGCACGCCTCAAGAAAGCATGCTCGCACGCCCAGACCCTTTTACAATTATGCGAGGTAAGTAACTATATGTACATATTTTTTTAGTCACAACAATTCTTAGCTTTTCTCAGGTTATTCTAAATATAATAAATCATATGATGCCATCACATCACTATTTCGTTGGATTTTTGGTAAAATATATGTATATTTTGAAAATAGTAAAAGCAAATTTGGTAATAAAAAATGATACTCAGTTATATTTCTATGAGTTATAAATGTATGTATATCAATGCTGACGAGTTGCACTTTACAAATTATAATTTATTAATTTAAAAATATTAGATATATGTAAAGTATTTTGTTTCTTAAAATATAGTTTACTGATAATGCAATTACGATAAATTTATGTATTTATATTAAAACTATATTTTTGTACTATTTACCTTTATCATAAGTAGTCTATTATTTGGAACTGACTCTGTCACTTAATATATAATAAGCGTCAGTAAATATAAAGTTTTTGATGAAGATGGCAAGAAACAACGAATGGTAATAAATGTGAGTGTTTCCGCCCGCAGCAAAGCGGCGTATGTTGCGCGCGCACGCAGCTGGAGGCGGGCGCGTACGCGGCGTGGCTGGGTGGCGCGCTGCTGCTCGAGCTGCAGCAGTGGCGCCGCGCCGCAGACAGTCTGCAGCGCGCACAGCTCGTGCTCGACAACCTCAGCGCGGCGCTGCCGGAGGACGAGAGGCTCGTCTACAAGCAGAAGGTCTCACACCCAACACCTAAGTATACGTACACTCGTCAGCCACCACTCATATGACTATTCCAATGCATGATGCATCAGCGTGAAGTCGACAATTAGACTTTATATGGAGTACGTACGATTACAGGGGTCGACCACCAGTTGTGACACCCTCATGCATCAGGGTAAAATCTGGGCAATACGGTGGTTTCCAGTGAAATAGCATGTGTTTAATTATTTCGATTGTTTTTAATGAGTTACATAATGTTTTGTTTTCATGCATGATAATGTAATGGTGCACCCGTCTGCATTAACGGTTTACGCTGGCGAGGCATCACTGGAGGATGATAAGTTGAGTCAGTTAGCCCACCGTGACAAATTCACCTGTAATGTATCATGGTTGTTTCCATGGGGTACCCCGTAGAGGTCAACCTGCTATGGTATAGTGATGTACCACATGTATGGGGTTCACATTATTGACAATCCCCTTTCTCCGACTTCTATAATGTTGAATTCTATCATTTTGGTTAAAGGCACATTTCTTTACTCTCGATATACGATAATAGCGTTGAATGATCGCATTTGTTAGTGTAGCAATGTGTAGAATATAACAGAGTTATGTTACTACATAGTTTCCCTTATCATCGCATGAAACAGGTGCTCAATCGAACAATTTTTTATCAATTATTTATTTATTTTAGGTGGAAGAGCTAAAGCCTAGTTTGCGTTACTGCGCATATAACATAGGCGACGAGTCCGCAGCCGGAGACTTGGTTGCAATGCGCGGCCAGGGCCTCATAGAAAACCTCGACACACTCATGGCGCAGGCTAAGTAAGTATGAAAAAAAGAAGCCCATTCCAAATTAGTCTACCTTAAAATAAGTGGTTATAAATATTCCGAAAGCGAATTGAATTTAAATTGTCACTATCGAAAGCCGGGTAAAAAGAAAAAAATTAATAAAAATTAAAACCTACATTTCATTTTCAATTGGATTATATAGTGGACTCGCGGTTATCCGACAATCGTTTGCCAGGCCAGTGTCGGACAATCGAATTTGTCGGATTATAGAGGGGCCTAAGGGGTTTACCCCTTAGACCCCCCCTCTCCTCCCCCCCCCCCCTCCCCCCCACATATTATAGTCTGAATTTTATTACAATAGAGTACCTTGTAATCCGACAAATTACAGGTCCAGTGATAAGATTCTATGTTATATATGTATGTATATGCACTCTGAAGTACAAATCTTACTTCATTATGTATGTCAACTACTAAATGATTTGTTATGAATTAGGCGGTCTAAAAATTGACAGTGTTTTGTGTTTTCACTTCTGAGCTGATAGGTCACAATGAATAAACAGTAAACAATGAACACATGCTATACCGCACCGCTATCTTCATCACATGTAAGTAGTCAAATTCAACTAAGCAATCATAATCAAAATAATACTCTACGCGTCGAGTACTACAGTGGTGACATTACAAGATTGTCAAAAAAACATTCAATAATAAATAATAGACCACGTCGGATTACAAGGGGGGCCGAATTACTGCGAGTCAACTGTATTAACATTTTCGAGAAATCAGCTAATAAGTAATTACTAAGTTTTCTGGTTTCGAAAATATTAATAAATGTACGTTTGAATGTGTTGTTTGTCCATTGTTTTGAAAATATGTCGATTGTAAAATATGATTAAAAGTTGTCTGGAATTGGAACGCGTCAGTGGCATTATGAGTGTCACATGATTACGTGATGTACGTGGTGCTGTTCATGTATATGTATTGACGACAGTAATTGCTTAAACCTAAAACATACAGGTACCAACTGCATAAAAAAAGTCTATCTTCATGTAGAACTTAATAAATATCTTTCTATATATAATATTTACATATAGACAACACAACTGTATCGTCAACTAGGTTTTTGCCTTTAGAGGAATATATTTATGTACTACCCGTATATATGCCCTCTGAAGATATAAAAAATATGTAACAGTGAAACTTTGTTTTATAATAATAATTTCTATAATTCCATATAACCTTAATTACAGAGAGTCCCGGTCTGGCGTAATGCACGAAGTAGAATGGCGCGGTCGTCGCGTCACTGTTAGGCCTGAGAAGGTCAGACTATTCCTCATCGCTTTGCAGGACCTTGACAAGTCTGTCGCTAACGCACAAACCGTCGAAGCTAAGATCGATATACTCGAAAACGTTCTCATGGATTGCAAGGACGCCATTTCTGCCATCAAGGAAGAAATTAAAAACGATCCAAAACTGAAATCAGCCTCCGAGTTGCAAGTTTCTGGTATTAATTATTTACTCTCTTACGTGATGTATTTGCGTCTTGTTCGTACAATAGACAGGAACAATTTACTGGTGCAGCAAGCTGAAAATGCTCGTCAGAATAATATCCAAATTGACGGCAAAAAAGTGCGCCCCCACGACCTAACTAGACTGTATGAGATAATTTTGCAGAACTACACTGAACTGCAACAGCTACCTGGATTTGAAAACGATGCGGTCTATCAACAAGAGATCGAAACACAGATGAAGGCATACCGCGCGTTCCGTTGCTACTACATCGCTCAAGTTCTGACCGGACTCCGGCGCTTCCGTGAAGCTCTAGCTATGCTGGAGAGATGTGATTCTTATGTAACTGACTCTATAGGTAGCAAGTTAGCAGACAAACAGCTTTTGGAGAAATTGCAAATTTTAAAGAAATATATAGAGAGCTGCAAGTTTGAAGTTCATGCAGATTCCGTACTAGAAGATGATGAGGATCAAGAAGAAGAAAATAAGTATAGTGGAAAATCCCATAAGGACAAGAAACCATTAGTAGATCGTTTGGACGAGTACCGTGAAGATACTCAGGTTTTGACTAAAAACCCAAATATTTATAAAATGCCTCCTCCAATGGAAGCAATTCCTTGTAAACCATTATTTTTTGACTTGGCATGTAACTTCATTGAATTTCCCAATTTGGATGACAAGACAGGTGCTGCTGACAGTAAAAAACAAGGCGCCGGACTTACAGGACTCGTCAAAGGTTTTTTGGGTTGGGGCAAAAGTGACAAATGAGGTATTTTATAATGAAGATTGTTTTTATATACATTATTATATTATTAGGATTGTATTCAGCAGACTAATTTTCGGTAGATTCTAATCTATTTCAAAAATGCATCTTCAGATTAGAAATAAGGGATTTGTCATTTTAGGGAATTGTATTTATTTTACAGATACATAGTTTATTTACCTTTCTGTAAATATGAGTTCGTAACAACCTTTCAATAATACGATTTGACATGTTTTCTTTTTGATATGGATTCAATAATGTTTAACTGTCAGCCTGGTAGTATATGAGAGCTGTACCCAAAGTCTGCAAGTTCTATTAATATTATTTACATGAAAATAGTAATTTTATTTAATCTCTCCACCCACCCCCCAGTTCCATTGGAAAAACATGCTATAATAAAACCAATAACATATATTTAACAAAATATTTTACACAAAGTAAATTATTGGTGTTTGAAAATATACAAAAATATAATAAATTTAAATTTGAAATAATATATTGATTGTACACAGTGTAACAATGATGTATTTCTTTAAGTAAATCACTTTCAAGCTTTTTAGTTGAGATACTTGAAATAAAATGTAACAATAGACATTCATAATTATCTGCAATGCAATATTTTAACATTAATTACGTATTATTGAAATTTTAAATATGTATATATTATCAGAACAACTAACTAATTACAATTTCACTATAGAGTATATACTGGCATGTACCCTAATAAGAGAACTTGATATATTGATACTGGATAGTATGATTCTCGTTTGTTTGAGACTCATTATATAGAAGCCTATAGATAAATCTGTAACACGTGGCTAACTCTTTCTGCTTTATCATTAACAGCACAAACATTCAATTATATTTTAATATTATATATCTATCATTGACATGCACGCTAAGATAAATTGACTCAAGAAAACGTCAGTGTCAACTCCACACCCTGCAATTCTCCCTAAGTAAGGCCTAAAGCAATAGTAAACCTTTTATCCTGGATTTAAACTATATGGACAGAAACATAAGATACAAATTTTATAGACCCTACACTTTTTAACAATAAAATTTTACCAAACAATAGCACTTTTGATTATATCTATTTTAGATAATTGTTACTCGAGAATGAATTAAGTCAACAATTATAGTTTTGCCATAATCATGTAAAAAATAAACTATAATACATAAAGTAGAAATGTGTGCAACGAAAAATTATCCATTGGGAAAGACATTTTGTGTTCATATTTAAAAATTGGTAGGTATTCACATTTTTGCAGAAAATACACAGATTATTATATACACAAAATGAAATCTTTTCAACCATTGCTCGTTCTCAAACATGTTATGATACAATATTCTTCATCAGTACATTGATGAGAAGATAAATATACCGTACCATCTATTCTAATTCGATATAATTATCAAGCACAAATATAAATAATACATTTATCCATATTTTAAATATTTGAACTTAATGCTCCATTACTTTTTACAACAATTATTTATAGTTTTATTAACATTTATAAAGTCCAAGTAACAAAACATCATTACCTGTAGATTTTGTGTGAACAAATTAAATTGTCTGACATCCAGTTAGTGACAGAAATTTTTACAATAGAAAAAATAAAGTTATATTCATTTATAAATTGACACTTGATATTTATATAGATTTTCAATTATTATTTTAGTATCAGTAAAAACAAATGTTAAAATTATCGAAACAAGAAACATTGTGCTGCAGAAACCTTGGCTTTCTATTTGAGTGGCATAGTTTAAAATTATAGAATCTTATTGAGGTTGTAATCTAAACAGATAGAAACAATCAATCAATGAATCCATTTTCAATTAGATCTACTATTGAACGTCACTACTACGTAAGATCAAGTTAATAATTTATTTTGTTTCTATTTTACAACTACTCTATTGAAACAGAGTGTATGATCTATACTAGCACCATTACATTCGTGGAATGGTGATGGATATATTTCATATTGTTCATTTTTATTATATTAATAACACTTTCTACATTAAGTCTGTTTTCAAGCTCATACTCTTATGCAGTCGTCTGTGGTAAAAGGTAGTCATCACAATATGGCAAATGGTCTAACGCGAAGCTAACGGCGGCCAGTGTGCGGCTTCATGTACGCCGTAGTCATTGACAGCCAGCAGCTGTCCACACGCCGCGCATGTGTTCAAATCGACGCAGGCAGCACCACGTCCTAACACCAGTTCCTGCTGCTTGGCAATGTCAGGCAGCAACGCCACAAGCTCGGGAAATACTTCGTCCAACTGCGAGCCCAGCGTCGACCGACAGTGTTGGTAGAACTGGTCCGCATTGATGAGGCCATCGCGGAAGGCGCGCGACGCTACTTTGAAGTCCTCGACGGCGGCTGCGCCACCCAGTGCTACCGCGAACTTCTTCATAAGCGTCCGGTTCCGTCGTTCAAAATCGGGTGGTGGGATATAAGCGTGTACCGGTGCCGAGAACGTCTGACCAGCAGAGTTCGTGAACGTCATTCCATCGCACGCCCTAAACCCGGGCGGTACGCTGCCGTTTACGATCTTTTTGCTCGGGACACTATTATTGCTCTTAGAACTCAGAGGAGGGTACTCTCTGAGCGCTACGGCGAAATCCCCATTACCTCCATTTCTGTTTTTGTCTGTATCTATAGTGACTGTCGATTCTACAGTTTTCACTTTCTTGTCGATATTATTACAAGGCTCGTTGTTATTTACGGTGATGCCTACGCAAGCCATCTCTCTAGCTACTTTTTTATCAACGCCATTTATGTGAGGTATATCAAGTGGTGGTTCCTTTTTAATGTTCATATTTTGTTTCTTTTTCTCTTTTTTGGTTAATTTTGTAACATCATTAGAGACGGGAGTCGCAATGGGAGTAGGTTGTGAGGGTGACTGTGCCTGTTTCTTAGATTTTGATTTTGAATTATTGACAGGTAACGTTGGAAAATCGGCTACAGGGTTGAATGTCGGCTGTAGCGGTTGTGGAGGGGGCTCTGGTTTTGTAGGCTTAGATTTTCCTTTGGCCTTGGAGACTGTTATCCATTGCGGCGGCGCAGACGGCCCTGATGCAGACGACAAAGCGGGAAAAGCGTCTGAACTCAACTGTGGCTTTTTAGATTTAGAACTTGATTGGTTATTTTTGAGAATATTCATTTCTTGGCTATTTATTAAGGTGACCTGAAACGACACAAATCAATTACATAATTAATGTTTCTACTCATAGTACATAGTCTTTAAAAAGTATGACTGTCATGTTAACGGCAAAGAATTCTGTAGTAAAAAAAATTCTTACTAAGAAAATGTTTAATTTTTATGAACATATGCTGCAATATTGTAGATTTAAATTAAAAAAATTAAGTTATACCTTAGACGGCTGCACAGTGCCAGCGCCTATGTTGGGGTGGTCATCCTTCCCGTGACCAAGTGAGGGAAAGTCGTCATCGCTAAGAGATGCTAGTGGTTTCTTCTGTTGAGGTGGAATTGAGATACGGTTCCCACTAGTTTGTGTTAATCGGAAATTACTTGCGCTAGCAGGTTGGCTATGTAGCTGTATCGACACACTAGGCTTAGCTGAAAATAAAAAGCATCAGCATTGCAATAAAATGGGCTTATTCACTTCATATAGTTTTATAAAAGATTAGTCATCTGTTACAATCTTTGGATATATAATTATACACCACCACAGATGTAAAGTGTCGCACACACACATACATTGTCAATTTCTAATCATCTTTACTAAACAAACGTTATCATTAGATTATATAACATTTTTTTTTATTAATAGCATATTTGTATACATAGTTTGATAAGAAATTAAACTAGATTCGTAGTTTACACTTAAAAAAAAACAAACAAGCATAATTCATATAGGCATTTATATCAGTGCTACGGGAAATATTGTATGTAGTTGGAAAGAGAATTCTATATAAGCTATACTCTTCATAAAGAGAATAGCAATAAGTTGAAAAACGCATAGTAATGTTTAATAATATTAACGTACAATTTCTGAGCACGGTGGCGGCGACGGAGTGCGCGGGTCGTGAAGTTGCTCCTCCCCCGCTCCCGCCGACGCCTCCCGCGCCATCCAAAGCCGGGAAGTTCTTGTCATTACGCGTCAAACCATCTGCCACTGTACAGTTACAACATACAGGTAATTAATAATAACTTTAAAAAAAGTAATGGTTTTCATTCTTGACTCAAATAGGAACAGAGGAAAAAATATCTCGCATGCATTATACATCACAGTCTCGGTCTTCTAGCGGTTTAGTACACTGCTTTACTTCCGATTGTCGCGGGTTCGATTCCTAGGACGGTGTAACCATTTATATTAATGTTTGTATCGATCTTGATATTCTCTATGTATATCAGATATGTATTTACAAAAAAAAACTAATTATTTATAATACAAGCTCTACTTACTGGGGTGTGGCTGTTAATTTGTCTAGTGTTATTTATTTATTATTTATACAGGCCACATGTTAATGGAAACGCAGTGTTACCTTTGTAATGTCGTACGGCTGGTCCTAATACGAGATTAGGATGTGAGGGTGCGGTAGATAGTCGCGGGAACTGTTCGTCGCTGCGCGTGTCGATACTCGGCTGCGGTGGTGTAACGACAGTTGGACTGGTCGCCTCCACCTGCTCTCGTCCGTCACGAGTGTCTCTACTCTCCCTGTAGTCAATACGACATACAGATACAGTGAAGCAGTTGAAATTTAAGCATAGATAGAGTACGTTTTATTGCTGATTTATTGGCCTTTATTTTCTCTGTCGACAATTATTGGTTATTTGTATTGTTACTTTTTGTGCCAACAATTTTTATTTTCACTTAATTGGAATGAGAATAAAGCTGACCTGATTTAAAATACTAAAAACTATAGTGATTATTGCTATTTTTAACAGATAATTTTTTCATAAATTACGTCACAAGATAAGAGAGGAAACGGCTGAACCTAAATAAAACTAATTTCAATACCTTTTTCTTTCAAATAAAAACTACTCGATGGATTTTGATGAAAATAATAAATGTAAGTACACACTACGCAGATGAAGTTGCATGTGTCTTCTAATACCTAATAAACTAAAAAAAAATGTCGGATAGCATACCTGTGGGCGCGGTGCGCGGCGGGGTGCGGCGCGATGTTGAACTGCAGCTCGAGAGTGCGCGCCTGCCGCGCCGCGCCACGGGCCAGGCCGCGCCCGTGCACAGTCGCGCGGTGAGCTACCACACACCACACACCATGCTCACAATACACCGTCTCCCACACAACGTTGGGGCCATCCACCAATTACGACAAATCAAATCATTTATTTGGAAGAAGAAGAGAATTGTTACTAATGTGAATTAATATCCCCATTGTAGCTGTGCTAGCAATATACCACGTCAGGTTGACATCCACACGGTTCCACCTGGAAACCATCATGTTAAATTCCTAGCGAATTTGCCAAGATGGGCTAACTGACCTGACCTCAAACTCATCTGGTGCTTCGCGTATACCGTTAGAGCGGGCGAGTGCATCACACCATTATCATCCCTTGAAAATATCATTTATTTGCAGAATACAGTGCAGTGTAGGTATATACAATATTAAATATAATGTCCAGTATATTCAGCCTGCATATAGCATGCAAATTATTATATATTATTATAATTATATCATTCTAACTAATTAATATAAATCTTTCATTGTAATTACGAGAACACATAATTATTATAGGTAAGGCATTGAATGTGTTAATTGAATAAATTCTTTGACACTATAAATACAATATGCCAAAACCTATCTCCTGTAAATAGCTTATGGCATTGAGGTGCACTCTTTTCCCTCCCTATTTGCATGTCACAATTGTTGTGACATTTTCGTTATAGAACAAACTATACTTGTGAAATATTGTCAAACCTTTGAGATCTATTTCGCTCCGGAACACAGCCGTAAGATGTTCACCCGCGCAATCTCCGTCCTCACACAAATAGTGATCAGTGCGGAAGTGTTGTGCAAGCGCCGAGTGCGATGCGTAGTAATAATTCCTGCCGTCAGCGTCACACAAGTGGCAGTAGAGATGTTCTTTACGCAAGTGGCGGTATAGTTCATCGGCGTCCATGAAACGTTTTTCGCAGAATTCGCACAGTGGATGACCCCTGTTAATGAAATAATGAATTAAATTCGGGGATCGACAAAATATACCTAACATTAAGGAAAGAATTGTATACCCAACTCATTCCGGATTCGATCCCCTAAACAATAAAAACATTTGTGAAGATTTGTGTTTGAAGGGATAAGAAAAGATTGTTAGTAATGGGGATTAGTAACCCAGCAATGAACCAGTTCAGGTCGACCTTCACGGGCAGGATCTGACGGTTACACAATCATTTTCCATACAAAAAAGACTTGTTTCTGTATTTGCATATTGTGCGTAACTTTTACCATCGAGATAAACTTGGAGAACCACAATTTTTCATGGAAGTGAACAGATTGTTTTTTGAAGTAGAAGATAGATACAAGAATAATTGCTTATTTTCCAGACCAAAAGTAAAACACATGTTATGTTACCACTTTTACATTCATTTTTGCTATCGATTAATTTTATTGCTGATGTGTATGTAAACCTCTTTTCATATTAAGAAAATGTATTTGTGTTTCTTCTAAAGAAAATATATTCATTTGTTTTTGATTCTGACAGTGGAGTAATAAATTAGCTACATAATAAGTCGGACGTTTTAATATACATATTAATTGGCGACGAGGAAAAGTGTTAATATGTCCAATTTTATTGGAAATATTTTAACTTTTGACCACAGAAAACAAGAGTGGAACATTTTCAGAAGCAAATTGCAACAATTTATTAAATTGAACGGCATTGCAAATGATTTACAAAGTGCTATATTGTTTACATATTTGTCCGACGAAACATACCGTTTGGCTCGGAATTTAGTACATCCGCGCGAATTAGAGACGGTAGTTTTCGATGAGCTTATAAAATTACTTGATGATCACTTTACACCTAAGAGGCTGACGTTCGCTGACCGGGCAAAATTTTATAATGCAGTAAAGGCACATAATGAATCGCTAGAAGAATGGGCAGTTCGTCTAAGAGGATTGGCAGTGTATTGCGATTTTGGAAGTGCTCTGGTTGTCTTACTTCGTGATCGATTCGTGCTTGGATTGGGTGTAGGTCCAGAGCGAGATCGTTTGTTTGAACAAGATGCTAGCAAGCTTACGTTCACGAAGGCATTAGAGGTGGCGCAGCAAGCGGCTTGTGCGCGTCAGGCTAAAGTGATTATGAATGAGAACGGCGAGTGTTCCCGTGGTAATCTTATAAAGGAGGAACCAATATTTAGAGCGACAGGTACGAGTGGTTCAGGCTTCGGTGAACGGCGCGAGCATTATTCTTCTACTGGAGATTCTATTAATCGTGAAAAACAGTGTTGTGTGTGTGGTTTAAAAAATCATAATACGGAAAAATGTCGTTATAAAAAAAAATTAAAAAATGTGGAAAGAAAGGACACTTGAAAAAAATGTGCAACTACAGTGTAAATAATATTACAACGGATGATACTGAATCTGGTTGTGAGAACTGCAGGGAATGTAATTTATATAATTTAAGGTATGAAACTTATGATCCTATTGTTTTAATAGTTATTGTAAATAAGCATAAATTAGAAATGGAATTGGACTCTGGATCCGGAATTTCAGTAATATCAGAGAATTTTTTTAAAGAACATTTTGCTCATTGTCTTAAACTTAAACAATGTAATATTAAAATGTGTGTATACAATGGTCATAAAATTACTCCGCTGGGGTATTTTGAGGTAGAGGTCTCGTACAATTGTATAGATAAAATGTTAAAATTTTTTGTTATTCCAAATGGTGGTCCACCTTTATTGGGGCGTGATTTTATGCATGAATTTGGTATACATTTGGTAACAAATAATAATATGGCAATTATAGATAGTTACGAAAGCGAAATTTTAATGTTTAAAAAAAAATTATGCTGATGTTTGGACTGATGAGTTAGGCTGTTTTAATAAATTCAAGGTTGCATTGAATATCAAGGAAAATTGTAAACCTAAATTTTTTAAATCAAGACCTATACCTTTTGCATTAAAAGATAAAATAAATTCAGAGCTAGATCGGCTGACTAAGTTAGGAATATTAGTCCCTGTAAATTTCTCAGACTACGCTACACCAATCGTTCCAGTTTTGAAAAATGACGGCACGGTTAAAATCGCTGGTGATTATTCCTTGACCTTAAATAAAGATCTTAATATTGACAAATATCCAATGCCGCGGATTGAAGAGGTATTCGCTAGATTAGGAGGAGGTGAACGATTTACAAAAATTTATTTAAGTAATGCCTATAATCAGTTTGTATTAAATGAAGATTCTCAGATCTTAACTACAATCAATACGCCGCGTGGATTATATAAATATACCCGTTTAGTGTATGGTCTAGCCAATGCACCAGCTATTTTTCAGCGTACCATGGAAACACTGTTAATAGGAATTGAAGGTGTAAGCTGTTGGTTAGATGACATTTGTATAACGGGTCCAGACAGAGAAACTCATATATATCGTTTGCGGGAGGTATTAGATAGGATAAAAGGCGCTGGTCTCAAACTTAAAAAAGAAAAGTGTGATTTTTTTTGTAGTAGCGTTACTTATTTAGGTTATGTTATTGATAAAAATGGTCTGAAGACATGTCCTAAAAAAGTAGAAGCTATTATTAAAGCACCTCGACCTTCGAATATTTTAGAAGTTAAAAGGTTTTTAGGCATTGTAAATTATTATAGAAATTTTATACCTCAAGCATCAGAAATACTGAGTCATATAAATGAATTATTACGTAACGGTGTGTCATGGCAATGGGAGGAACGGCAAGAAATTGCTTTTAAAAATATTAAAAGTGAGTTAGCTTCCGATAGAGTACTTGTGCATTTTGATCCAAAGGCTAGGCTCGTTTTGAGTGTAGATGCAGGACCTACTGGTTTAGGGGCCGTTCTTTCGCAGGGAGAAGATGGATTTGAACGACCTATAGCTTTTAGTTCTCGTTCACTTATTGCTAGTGAACGTAATTATAGTCAAATCCATAAAGAGGCTACGGCTATAGTATTTGGTGTAAAACATTTTCACCAATACTTATATGGAAGAGAGCAGCCGTTTATACTTAAAACGGATCACAGACCACTGTTAGCTATTTTTGGTAAGAAAAACGGAGTGTCCGTAACCGCAGCGTCGCGATTGCAGAGATATGCAGTTTACTTATCTGCATATAATTATATAATTAATTATATACCGAGTAAAAAAATTTAGTAGCAGATTATTTTTCGAGGTCTCCATTAAAAAATTCTATAAAGGAAAATAATGTAGATGACAAAATAAAATTGCCATATCTGAATTTTATTAATGACAGTATGCTTCCTGTATTATATGAAGAAATAAAGACTGCTACAGAAAATGACAAAACATTAAAGATGGTCATGAAATACGCGCATCATGGAGGGCCACGAAAAATAAACTGCAAAAATATACAGCCATATTTTAAATGTAAAACAGATTTACAAGTGGAAAGTGGTTGTATACTGCGGGGTTTAAGAATAGTCATTCCATATGTATTGAGACAGCGTATGTTAAACGAATTACACAAAGGTCATTTAGGTATAGTGAAGACGAAAAGTCAGGCTCGTAGCAGGATGTAGTGGCCAGGTATTGATAATGATATTGAAAGTGTGTGAAACGTGCTGTATTTTGCAAACCGCACCTCCTCGCGCTCCGCCGTGTCCGTGGCCGGCCGCCATAAAGCCATGGGAACGTATTCACATAGACTATATGCAAATAGATCAAAAGGTATTTTTGGTCGTGATCGATGCCTATAGTAAGTGGCTTGAATGTATCCCTATGTATAACAGCCTAACTACTAAGTCCCTTATTAATAAATTAAGTTATTTATTTTCTTTGTTTGGATTACCAAATGTAATAGTTTCAGATAATGATCCTAAAATAAGTAATGATGAATTTTTATTGTTTTGTAAAAGTAATGGTATAACTCATTTAACTTCGCCTATCTATCATCCTAGCAGTAACGGCCAGGCCGAAAATGCAGTTCGAATCTGCAAGAAAATGATAAAATGCATTCTCGTAGATGGAACAAAAAGATCGAGTGAACAAATTCAAAATTAATTATTGTTGTTTTTATTTAAATATCGTAACAGTGTTCATTGTTTTACACGCCGTACTCCAGCAAAATTAATGTTTGGTAGAGAATTACGAGGGCGGTTGGATTTGATTTTTCCAAATAAAGTTAAACATATTATGAAGGAGGTACAATGTAATCTAAATAAAAGTAGAATGTTTGTAGAAAATCAATTAGTTTGGGTACGTTGGTTCATATCTAGAAAGCCGGTGTGGTTAATTGGTAAGATTATTAATAAACTTGGGAACAGAATGTTCGAAGTTTATATAGACAAATTGAAAATTAGATGCAAACGACATGTTGATCAATTGCGGACATATTGTAGCTCAGACGATATTTTTGAGGAAAAATCGGGAGAAATGCCAGTTACAGTGTGGCCGATGTTATCACCGCCAGCGGTAACGGAGGTCGCGCCTTCTTTACAAACAGAACTTTCTAGAGACAGAGACAGTGAGAGTTCATTACCTGTAGTTATTGATAATGAATCAAGGGTAGAGACGGTAGGGTCAGATATTAATAGAGGGGATATGGCATCTAGTGATGTAGTTATTCTCTTAGAGGAGGGTACTATTGATGAGGTTCCTGAAGTAATTACAGGTGAAGGGCCAGTACCCATAAATACCGAACCTCAACCATCTGTTGAAGTAGAACCACTGGGTGCGACGTGTTTCCATTCAGCCACGATATCCAGGTCTAAGACCCAGAAATAAAAAAGTTAATTATAAAGATGTATAAAATGTTCATAGTTTTTTATTATTACTAGTATTATAACCTAACATATATTATTCATAATTATTGTGTACATTGTATATAAATATTAGTCATATTATATTCTTATTGTTTTGTTAACAGGTTTTCAAATTAATCTGGAGGAGTGATGTGTATGTAAACCTCTTTTCATATTAAGAAAATGTATTTGTGTTTCTTCTAAAGAAAATATATTCATTTGTTTTTGATTCTGACAGTAGAGTAATAAATTAGCTACATAATAAGTCGGACGTTTTAATATACATATTAATTGCTCACCCAATATTTTTTACATCTAAATACATTTTACAAGCCTACATCTATTCATTCTGATATGAAGGAAATAAACCTAAATATTGGAACACTCTGTCTACAACTGATTCACAATTAATTAAATAAATACTGAGCATTCCTGTATTTGAAGGAAACATAGGACATATGGTAGTTAGTATTCCTGCAAATTTTAAATTAAATTATACTTTAAAAAGAGCAACTGGCAAGATCTTTGCGCATTCTTCATAACAACCCCATTATCAAGAGCTTTAGTTCATACTTATATCTGTAAATACGCAAAGCCAACCAAAACCACTTAGGTATTCTGTTATATTTATGCCACATTTGAACAAAGGTGGTATATACCTGTGCGATGTGTCATCTATATCGCCTTTCCGTCTGTGATGGGCCAGCTCTTGACGAGTGTAGCACTTCCGCTCACCAGTAAAAATCTTATAAAAACATACTTTAATTAAAAAATACATTATTTGAAAAATAAACTAAATATTAATAGTAGCGAAACTAGTGCAACCTTACCCTTAAATTCTTAACACATAGATCACAGTAAAATCTCTCATGGACCTTCCTCATGTGATCACTGAGCATACCAAATGTACGGAACGGTTGTAAGTTATCACAAAGTTTGCACTCATTCTCTAACAGTTTTTCATAAGCATTCTTTATTTCTTGACTACAAAATCCGATTTTAAACTGTCTTTCATAGAACCTGTCCGTAAACACATGGTTAAGGAGCTCTATGTAAGGCTCTATAGTATCCGTAAACACAACCTGCAATGATAAGAAATTTACACAAATCAAGTCCTGTAAGTTTTCAAAACACAATTGTACAGTTTCTCGCAAGACAAAGTGCCTTATGGCAATCATCCTTATCTTAATCATTATTACATAGTATAAAATAAAGTCCCTGTTGCTGTCTGTCCCTTCCTATGTATTCTTAAATCTTTAAAATGTATCTATGCAACGTATTTTGAAGCCGATTTTTTATTAGAGAAATTTATTCAAGAGGAAGGTTTATATATGTAATACATGTATACCCATGCGAAGCCAGGGCAAGTAGCTAGTCTTATTAATATAATAAACGCGAAAGTTTGTGAGTATAGATGGATGTTAGTTACTCTTTCATGCAACAACTATAGAACAGATTTTGATGAAACTTTACAGTAATATAGCTTATGCATTAAGAATAACACGCCATAAATTTCACTCGGGTGAAACCGCAGGCACAATTAGTAATTATCATTACATAGTATAAAACAAACATCGCTGTTGCTGTGTTCCTATGTATGCTTAAATCTTCAAAACTACACAATGGATTTTGAAGTTTTTTTTTTAATAGATAGAGTGATTCAAGAGGAAGGTTTATATATACTACAAGTACACCTGTGCGAAGCCAGGGCGAGTAGCTAGTAATATTATAAATGGGAAATTTGTGAATATAGATGTTTGTTACTCTTTCATGCAAAAACTTAACATCAGAATAACATATAGGCTATTTTTGTTATGAAATTATAGCATGGGTGAAACTGTGGGCACAGCTAGTAAAGCTATATTCTACAAATTATTAGTAAACAAGTGTTGAAGTGGCAAATAACCCTATGATAACCATGGTAATGCTGAAATATGCCATTCTAGAGTCTAAGATCTCATGACTCTTATCTTGTAATTTCACTGCCTAATCTCACATTCAATTAAAGCTTACAAAACAAGCTGATTCTGCTTGGTGATTGAAATAGATTGAAGCACCAATGCAGAAATTTTTTTACAAGTCAACTTCAGAACTTTGATTCTCAAAACTTTAGAGGAAATTATATTTTAACTCTAAATAGATTCATTAAATTGACATACAGTTGACATACAGAAATAGTGGTTATTTAACACTAATGAAAATTATATACATATTTAATACTTTTATGTGAAATTTCAATTATAGACATTCAACCGATATTCTAGATGAATAAAGAGTAAGATTTTAATGTAAGAATAAACACCGCATAAATACGTGTTATATTTTATATAGTAAGTTCGTTCTAACTGCAATAACATAACATCGCGCAATAGTCAACCGGAGTTCGTATCTGACAGATCTGAAGTGATAAGCTTTTTACCCTTAAAAGATCCTGGCGACATATCGGACACTCTTTCTGAAGACAAAGTACTCTCATTCGGGTAGAACATTCAAAACATACGGGATGGTCGCATTCTCCAATCGAGTAATACACGACATTCTTGAAACACACTACGCAAGTGGAATAATCGTTAGCCTGAGAATCAGCCATGACAGCAGATGATATGAGTAGGGACTCCTGAAAACAAAATTTTTTGATTGATATCAGGCAGAATTGGTTTTTATGACACAAATGTTGATGAAAATATAAAAGATACATACGGAAAATATGAATGTACAAAAATTTCTGGTATGAAATGAAAGGCAGGACCTATGTAGACGTAAAATGTCAAATGAGTGACAACAATTGATAGGACAGCCACAGACTATATAGAGAACACGTTATTAGAATAAGACAGTTCAATGTCATTTTTTATGTAAGCCTGATAAATTATCTGTTTTTCTGTATAGTCTTTCTGATCTGTGCTCTTGTTCGTCTCAAACTGCTAACGATTTTCAACGGTTTGAATTTGATTTGATCAAAATTTACACATACTACTCGTTCAGTTAGTTTTTTACACTAAATATATTTAAATAATTGTATATTATTTTAATTACACTATTTAATACTTTTATAGTGAAGTGTACAATTTAAATATGACCAGTGGCTAGACAACAACTGCATTCTCTACAATGTATTTTGAGGTATGTGGACATAGTTTTTTCTCCTTAGAGCTTCGGCAAGTATATGTACATTCCACAAACTTCTTATTCTTGCTTATCGTATCTTTATTTGTAGATTGAAAACACTCCAGAACATATCAAAAGAAGTCGTCGTTTGCAAGCAGTACAGAAAAATTCGCCTAAAGAAGAATGTCCCCGCCTTGTTTTGGCCCCATTCTCCAGACCTCCCCAAGTAGTCTTTGAGAATGTCCTTGTTGGTACTACGTGTGAAAGAAATTTGGAAGTATTTAATCCTTCGAAACATGTTCAACAGGTATTTTTTTATTATAAATCTGTGATATCAATTGATAACAATATTGATTGACTTAAAACCTAGTATTTTAAAATGACAAAATAAAAAGAGCTTGCGTTTTATTTAATATTGTTAATATACTTTTTACTTTAGTAAAAAAAATAACATGTGTTTATTGTTTTCTATATATATTAGACATAGGGTGTTATGCTTTTGTGGAAAATATCACAAAGCTATTTAAAGAATATATATGCACAATGTATAATAACAGTGACACCATATAAATTATAAATAGAAAGAAGCAGTACTTCAACTTATTTTAAATTAATCTTTTAATTATTTTATGTCCCTTTTCTGTTTAGGTGGCTATTCTGTCTTGGTCTGTATTATTATTATTTATTATAAAGACAATATTAATATTTAATGTAAATTCCATATACAATTAATTTAAATTAAAGATTACACTGGGACGAAGTCTTCCCCCTGGACTTATTATAGCATTGCCTGAAGAATGGCTAGTGTTGGAGCCAGAATCATGTTACTATTTGACAATGCTGTGGACCCCAATGCAGCCAACAGCATTACGAGAAACAATACGCTTCACCAATGAAAATAGGGGCAGATATGATGTGGTTATTGTGCTTAAGTCTCGAATGGTAAGTTATATACATAAGTTACATTTTATAAATTAAACACCCATAGCATACCTGGTGGGGCTATTTTATTTACAAAATATGTAGAAGGTATACTATTGATCTATTTTTCATGGAATGAAATATTATCTCTAAGTTGTTATTAAAAAATGCTACTAATTATAATCAAACCATTTGGCTTGGTATGTTGGACATGTCATAATATGAGAAATTAGTTCTACCCCGGAGGTTTACTACACTGACTTCCAGACTTTCAAATCAAATCTGGATTCCTACAAAAAATTGTCCTAATTTAAACTTCATACTATGTCTCTTGTGATGCAAAACATTGATGACAAGTGATGCCTATGGGCTTAGGGCCACATTCAAATATTATTAGTAAAATTTTGTGTTCACCACAATATTGATATTTGACAATTCCCTGACTTAGCATAAGTAAGGGAATGGTAGGGAAAGTATTATAATACAAAAAAAATGTTCATAAGCAGCCAAAATATCCTAGATGAACAAATTATTTTTGATTTGGTTCAAACCATTAATCCCTTATTTCATTACTAGCTATGCCCACAGCTTCACCCACTTGATATTTTTAGCCTATGTGTTATCTATACATCTATACATATAAATAAAATTGAAGTGTCTGTTTTTAATATTGAAATAACCATTTTTTACTACATGCATATGAATATAAATACGGTATGTACACCAAAATAGCATTTTTTACAATTTTTGTCTGTCTGTCTGTCTGTCTGTCTGTTTGTTCCGGCTAATCTTTGAAATGGCTGGACCGATTTTGACGGGAGTTTTGTTGGCAGGTAGCTGATGTAACTTAGTAGGAGTACCTTAGGCCACTTTTATTTTAGAATATTCTTTTATATTTGAAAAATAAAATAAAATTTCATGCGGACAAAGTTGCGGGTACAGCTAGTTCTAAATAATTCTGATGATTATTACTGTTCTGTCAAAATCCGCTCAGTACTTTTTGCGTGAAAGAGTCCTAAATATCCATCCATACTAACAAACTTTCTGGGAGTATGTATGTTATTAAATTGTTTGAATTCTATTGCCACCAACCATTGAGGAATTGCTCACACCACTCAAGTTATTGAAACACATAAAATTCATAACATGCATAAAAATAATGATATATGACAAGGGAAATGTCATCATTAAGTATTGATTATTTGCCTTTATTCCAAAGCTATGTTATTGATTACCTATTTACCTACATTTGTTGTTTTCAGCAGGTGAAAGAAAAATCTAGCAAATCTAAGGTTTTCAAAATATCCCCAAATAAAATGAAAAAGAAAGGATCAAAGAAATCCCCTGTTTCCATTTATAAGAAAAAGTCAGAAATTATTTATAACACAACTAAAATAAAAAAATCTGTTAACGTGATTCAGTCCAAACAGCATAGGGTATTGCAACCATCAAATAAAGATAATGTATCTATGTACAATGATTATTCCATTGAGTCACATCAAGTGAAATGTCCATTTGACTATCCAGACAACATCAACTTTACATTTGATACATCTGAAGTGTTTTCGAATATGAGAAAGCCAAAGTCTGATTTCTTACAACAAGTATATGATCAACCTTACACAACTAATACCAATAGACAGGTACAAAAACAAAATATTAAGTTATCAAAAAAACAACATAACACGTTAGATACAGATGTATTTGATAATCTTACTTTTACCCCCCTCAAGAGCTTCCCTGCAACAAACGATAAATTGGAAAAAGGCCCTCAAATAATACTAAGCATGAATTCAGAAAGTGATAGCAGTTTGGATATGAAAACATCCAACAAAGAAAATGAAACCCATTCAATAATCAGCATAGTATCAACACAGTCTAACAAATGGATGACTGTAAATCATCACACACAAGTCGAAAACCAATATGCAGAAACACCTACACTTATAAATAAGAAAATTCCCAATACATCATCACCAAAGGAGTTTAATAGCCCTAATTTTACCATTAATACAGAATTCTCACGTATAAGTGACCTATCCTTTTATCCTCAAAGATTTTCAACTGAGAGAAAGGGATTACCTACAGTAAATAATGAAATACATGACTTAGTTGATGATATGAATTCAAATATTAAAGTTAGTTCAGATACCTATACTAAAGAATCACCAAATACACCAATGGATCCACACAACATACATACCGAAAATAGACATCCTTATTTCTTTTTGAGAGATCAACCAAAAATGTGCAGGCAAGCTCTATTTAAAGAATATCAGCAGCAGAAGGATGCTTACGATAGAAATTATCTGCATCCAGTTGAAAGTAACATATGGCATAAAGATTATCGAAGTGAAATGAAATCACCTCCTAGATCTCTTACCCCACCACTTCAGTCTATACCAGAAGAAAGCACACAATTTTCTGAAATGCAAGTTTTTGATAAATCTGATAAGCAAACTTCTACATTCACTATAAACGACCGCACGTTTGAAAAAACAAGGGCTTCTATAAATAATAGACAGTCATGGTCGAAAAAAGCTGTCATTAAAGCAGAACCAGATATTTGGAAGATACCAGTATCAGTACCTAAGAAATCATTAAAACCTAAAAGTAGTCTGCGTGGTAAAGAATCATTGGGGACTAGCATATACAATGTAACATATGAAGGCAATAGTACCAAAACTAATCACAATCTATCTATGAATCGGATAGGAAATGTATATTCACAGTCTTCAACAGTGGATCCATTTTTGTCATCTACCTATTTTTATGATGAAGAAGCTGTAGATAAGTTTGAAAAGGAATTTAAGAGATGGCTGAACTGTATATTAACACCTCCAGCTGATTTGGACAGCAATGTGGAACAAAAAATTGACGTAGGCAAAGCTTGGATTGAGAATCGAAACAGGGAAGTTCCTGCTGCGCCCACTAAAGAACAAGTCTGTAGTAAGTATCACAACAGTCATAGATTGGAAAGTCTACGAAGGGCAGCGAGAGCCTTGTTAATGAGTACGGAAATGACTCTAGTTTTCCAAAAACTAACTGCACAAATTGAGAAAAAGTTAATTGCTATCAGAACTGATAGAAATCTTCATTTAGATGTTGGATTACAAAAAATAATCATGGAGTTGTTACTTTCTTACAATCCACTGTGGCTTCGTATTGGATTAGAGGCTATATATGGCATTGTATTGCCATTGAAATCGAACAGTGACATAGAAGGACTAACTACATTTATTATTCAAAGATTATTTAAAAATCCACATTTGAAAAACAAACATTCCAAATCAAATGCACCCAATATGCTTTTACCTGCGTATATGGAAGCTATAAAAAAATTTACACTGAAAAAATTTTTTATGCTTGTATTTTTCTTAGATCAAGCTAAACAGAGAAAATTAATATCACATGATCCCTGCCTATTCTGCAGGAACGCAGTATGCAAGGAAAGTAGAGAAATTATTATTAGATTTACAAGAGAGCTTATTGCTGGTATAGGTGATATTACAAAACATCTCCGACCGTTGGGTTACGTAGTTAGCCATAAGCAGTCTTATTTAGATGAGTACAAATACGCTGTTCACAATATAGCTCTCGACATTAGGGATGGCGTTAGACTAACTAAAGTAATGGAAATAATTTTAATTAAAAATGGTTTACTGAACCAGCTGCGAACACCCGCTATATCGCGTTTGCAGAAAATACACAATGTTCAAGTGGCTCTAAATGCATTGAAAGAAGCGAATTTTGTAATCCATGGCGATATTGCTGCGAACGATATTGCTGATGGCCACCGAGAAAAGACATTATCGCTGTTATGGCAGATTATTCATGAATTCCGCGCTCCATTGTTCGAAAAAGCAGCAAATGTCATACAGACTTGGTGGAGAAAGAAATTTGAAGTTATTATGGAAAAAAGGAAAGAAGAAGAAAAACGTCTGCAACAAAAAAATTACGCAGCATGCGTGATACAATGTTGGTGGCGTCGAATTCAATACAATCGTCTGGTTGAATGGAAAATGCACCAAGTTACTACTGCTACAATTACAATACAAAAATACTGTCGTATGTGGCTCTCTCGGACTCGATTGCGTAAAATCAAAACCAGTGTACTAATTATTGAAAATTGGTATAGATCAAAAACAATGATAAAGGAAGCAAAAGTAATACTTTTAAAATTAAAACAGGAGAAACAAGAGCAAATATTAGGGTCTACTATAATAATACAGAGTTATGTTAGACGGTGGATATGTATGAAACAATATAAATTAAAAATCCAGAAAACGATATTCATTCAGAGCTTTGTCCGTTCCTATCTTACTAGAAAGCAATATCTGCTAGTTAGAAAGGCTGTCATTTATACTCAACAGAAATACAGAGGGAAAAGACTCATGAGAATAGAAATGAAAATTCTGGCTGAAAAACGACGAAGTGCTATTGCGATACAAAGCTTTTATAGAATGATAAGAGATTACAGGGTGTATCAGAAACTTAAAAAAGCTGTCAGCATTGTAGAAGAACACTACATAGCATTACTGAAAATGAGGAACGAAAGAAGTAATTACTTAAAACAAAAAAAATGTGCTATCATACTCCAGACATACTATCATGCTTTCAAAATTCGGAAGGAATATTTAAGACAAAGAAATATTATTGTCAGATTACAAAGAAAAGTAAAAGCTAATCAGCTTATGAAGAAAGAAAAAAATAACTATTTGAATACTAGAAAAGCTACTGTTGTTTTACAAAAATATATTAAATCTTATCTTGTTATGAAGAAAACACGCGATGATTATTTGGCTCAACGAAAATCTGTAATCTTAATACAAACTTATTTTAGAACATATTTAGTAGGAACGTTACAGAGAAAGAACTACCTCCAACTACGAAGTGCAACGGTTAGCATTCAAAATTTCTTCCGTAGTTTCCAAAAAATGCGGAAAGAAAGGGCTGCTTTCTTAAAATTAAAACATTCAGCTGTCTACATTCAAAGACGATATAGGGCTCAAGCTCTGATGAAACAATGTAAAGAGTATTATGATAATTTACGAGCAACAATTATTACAGTCCAGCTCAAATTTAGGGCTCAAAGGTTAATGAAGAAGGAAAGGCTTTATTATTTGAGACTGAAGTCATCTTGTTTAATCATTCAAAATGCATACAGAGCATATGCTTTAGGAAAATGTCAAAGACAAGATTTCGTAAACAAAAAACAAGCTGCTATTTTAATACAAAGATGGTATAGGAATATAAAGAAATGTAGACATGTAATGGATGAATATCATCAAACAAAACAAGCTTGTGTAACAATACAGAGAGTTTATAGAGCGTATGTAATTGCGAGAATCCAAAGGCGAGAGTATATTAAAATTAAGACTGCAACAATATGCATACAGAAATACTATCGAGCGTATATTGAAATGAAAACGGTTAGACAAGAATACATACAACTTAAAGCTTCTACCGTGACTATTCAAAGATTTTACAGATCATATGTGGATACCAAACGACACAGAGAATTATTTTTAAGAACAAAAATTTCAGCTTTACTTATTCAAAATTATTATAAACGATTTAAAGAAAGTAAAGTTACTAGACAAACATATTGTGACTTAAGAAATGCAACAATTTTTATTCAACGGAAGTATCGCAGCATTTGTGCTACGAAAATACAAAGAGATCATTTTCTGAAATTAAAAAATGCTGCACTGGTCGTGCAACAAAAATATAGAGCATTGCAAGCAATGAAACAAACAAGACTAGCCTACCTAAAGTTACGTTCTGCTGCTGTTATTCTTCAGACGAGATACAGGGCTCGGTTGTGTATGATACAAGAAAATAGCAAATACGTATCAAAAGTCAAAGCATGTATTTATATACAAAGATTTTACAGGGCCTATATGCTGTGTAAGAAACACCGGAAAGATTATTTGGAATTAAAGAATTCCACCTTTATTTTACAACACAGGTATAGGGCATTACTTGCTATGCGAAAGGAGAGACAATCCTACGTAAAAACACGATTAGCTGTTATTACCCTTCAGAGAAAATATAGAGCACGACATTTGATGTTGCAAGAGAAATCTAAATTTATAAGAATGTTACAGGCTTGTGTAATTATTCAGAAAACGTACAGATCTTATTTGTTAGGTAAAAGACAAAGATTGGAGTACATGCGATTGAAATGTGCGACCATTACTATTCAAAAATGGTTTAGAGCAACTTGGGAAACCAGATGTATACGAACTCGATATCTACAGCTAAAGAAAATAGTTATATTTACGCAGCGTCTCTACAGAGCGAAGAAACACTCTCGTGAATCGCGACGATTAGTTGCTGCAAAAAAAATTCAAACTTGGTTCAGATGTAAACAAATCCAAAATACATGTCGTAACAATTATCTGAATTTTAAAAGGAATTGTATTACTGTGCAGTCCATTATTCGCATGTATATTCAACGGAAAAGATATTTTAAACTTAAATGCGCGATTTTATCCATACAAAAATACTACCGCGCTCATATTTTAGCTGTAACCTCAAGGCGACATTACTTACAAATCAGAAAATCCGTTATCAAGTTACAAGCTTGGTTCAAAGGATACAAAACTCGAAAATGTTATTTGAATATGCGCAGAGCTGCATTGGTTATACAAACTGCCTATCGGTCCAAGAAACAACGAGAGCAGATCAAAGCTCATAGAGAACGCGCTGCGATATGTTTACAGAAATATTTCAGACGGTACCTAGTTCAATCGAGATATCGAAAGTACAGAGAAAAAGTTATTTATATTCAAAGAATATGGAGAGGAAAGTTAGTGACAAGACTGATGCATTGTGATTTTTTCCAAAAAAGACAAGTTATAATTAAATTACAATCTGTTATCAGAGGGTATTTAGTGAGAAAACAAGTCCAATTTAAAAAGGAGCATGTACTACAGCTCAAAGAAGAGAACAGGAAAAATTGGGCAGCATCAAAAATTCAGGTAGGTTTCCTATAATTTCTATGTTAAATTTGAAGCAAAGAATTTTCTTGTAATCTAGATGTACATTCACTGTCTCTTATCCTCCTTAGTAGATGACTTAAAACACCCAATGATACAATGGATTTACACTGAACTTCCTCCAATATATTGTTTTTATTTTTTTGCTTTATCTGAACCTTATTATTGTGGATTACATCTTTTACTGATGTATTTCCAGGCTCTCTTCCGTGGACATCGAACTCGTGTGATCATTGCCGGAAACAGACGAGTAGCCGATCTCCGGCGCAGATGGCAGGAAGGAGCATTAAATTCTGACCAACCGACTTTGAAGGAACGCAACGAGGATGCCATGGACGTCTTGCGAAATATGTCTGATATTGAAACAGTAATAAGAGCATTCAGATCACTTGGTAAGTGTATTCAATGATTTTTCTGTAAGAACGATTTTTCTAAAAATTTGCATTAAAAATTATTTATGATAACGTTCCTAATCATTTATAATGATTATTTCTATGTTGCAGAACTACTAACAGAAGTATTCCCTATGATGTATAATAAAAATGCATCATCCATTGTGCACAGAGTTTATATCTATATGTCTGTGACAAATAGATCCATTTCTAGCATAGAAGTGTTAAAATGTGCTGCTTCAGTCCTAGTTAATTTGACTAGATATAAAATAACTGGACCAAAAATATACTCTGTAAGTCCTTATAATTATCAGTAGTTATTATTATAAAGTTATTTATTAATGTTATTATAGGTATCTTTTGAACAATATTCAGCTGTAAAACAGTTCAGTTGAAAGACACAGTAAACAAGCCAATTTAAAGTGAAATATTACAGGAACATGAAAATAAAATAAAACTATACTCTACACATCTGTAAAATAAAGTGGGTTTCTATATGTCAGCTTGTTAATTTTTGTTATCTAAATGTTGGTATCTAACAGTTTCTTTTACATTCTGAATAATATTACTTAAAAATAAAAACTAAGTATGTAAATGTGCTCAGTGAAATGTAGGCTTATCAAGTTTACTGTCCATTGTGTCTACAGTTGACAGTGTCTCTGAATACCCTATCTGGGATGGTAGTTGTAACTGCATATTATTATTATAATGACTAAGTTAACTTTTATTTTTTTTATTTATGAGTTGACTTCTAGGTTTTCTATCTAACAAGTAATGAATAAATTGAACTATATTAATTACAGAGGATTCGCATACCACCTATTTTGAAGTTCATGTGGAGATTTAGCAATAGTGAGACCTACTTATTCTGCATACTATCAACATATCTTTGGCTTTTTTCGAAATATGATGATGTCAGAGAGGTGAGTATTCAGATATAATATAAAGAGTCATCAAATTTTCTTTTTATACTTTATGATTCCACTCTCTTTCTTACTTATTGTATGGACTGGATGTCCAGTAGTAAGATTATTTGATAAAATTAATAAAGTTGTAAACATACGCCCGTGTGTGGTACTTCGATCCGAATAGTTTGTGTGAATTGAAAAAAAAAAGTAATAGAGATGCATATGGTACGCATGTAAATAAGTCATTAATGCTATAAACTTTCTTTCAGGATCTAATAGAATTTCTACACATACCTGAATACTATAAAATGTTACTGACTATCAAAGGCAATATTGATAGAATGAAGAGAATGGCGAGTAATACAACGCGAAGTAAATATAGCACGCCGCAAACTGCAAAATTTGTGTCACATACTGGAAATCAATCTCTAAACTACAGTCTTTGCAGCAACCATAACAGTGCTCGAATACCACTACCCGCCTTAGAACCAGACTATGGTATTATAAGAGCTGATAAGCCACGCTATTTTGAAGACGCCGGACAAGCTATAACTTGCCTATTTTCTACATATAAGTTATAGATTCTTTTGATACTTTAGTATTTATATAGGTAGTATACTATTGCCTTAAGGAAACCCAATTTATTTTTATATTAAATTATAAGTGAGACAAATTCTTTGTATTTTAATATGTTTTACGACTTTAACTAACAATATGCCATAAAATTGTAACTAAGCCAGACTATTCATAAGATTGTTTCTTATTTTAATAATATATTAACTACTTTATTCATGTAATTGACTGTTTGCAATTTAACGTCGTGTATTTCATTGACAAGAATAAATGTTTTCATTAAGCCAGCTATTATTATTCAGATCTTCAACCCTCTCATATACTTACTTTACTCTGACTACAACAACATCTTTCAGAATAAATTCTTATGTAAATACTTAAGTTTTTCAGGCAGATACAAATAATCATTACTCGGGAATACTAAGAAATACTTCAAATGTTCGCATCGTGCGAACAATTGAATCCGCGACCATCGGAACTAAAGCGGTGTGCTAGACCGCTAGACCACCAACGCCGTATTTTAACATAAAATGGCCCATACATAACCTATCACCGTCTCGTTTAATTTCGTTTGTTATTGGTGTTTACATCAGCAGGACTCTCAGATATAAAATGATACTCAAAATTTTTTGGGTCATGGAAATCATATCCTTAATTGTTATAAGTATTGACCCTTTTGGTTTTTTTACTTTACTCTTTGGTATTGACTATTAAAATTTATTTAGTAAATCAATATAATCGCTCGAAACTGCTTTAAAAATAATAGACAAAACGTTTCTGCCATATCTATTAAATTTGAACTAAATGTCACTGTCAAATGACTGTCATAACGTAGGTATCTGTTGTGTTGAACTGTATTCCACTGTAATTCATTTTGTTGGAATTTTAATTAAATTCTTTATCATTTAATTTTTAAGATAGTATATTTACTAATTGTTATTTTTAATAAAATAAAATATTCTATTGTACGTTTGACAGAAATAAGTTGTTTATCATAGTGATATACTATATCATATAGTTTTGAACATTCATGTTTGCACGGCATGTGGCAGTAATTTGCAAATTAAAATAAAACTATTATTTTTAGAACTGTAAATTGTGAACATTATGGATGAATTTGTGAACTATATTCTTCTGATATTGATTTTATTACCGGTGATTTTATTCTTCAATTTGTGGGCTGGGATTGGATGGGAGTTGTTTGTTAACAACTAAAATAACATGAAATTACTGCTGATGGTGGAATTATGAGCTATCTTGTAACTTTTGTAAAATATATAACTTACTACTTAGTCTCAATGTTTTATTTGATAACATACATTAGAAAATTAGTATCACATTTTTAAGGCAGCATAAAAATATAAATTACTATTTCAATATTATATTTAAGCTTGTATTTTTTGTCAATGAAACGATCAATAAATGTATGTTCTATAGTTTGCAACTCGTATATACTAAAAGATAGTGGAAATAAAAAAATTGCTTTCCTATACATAATTATTTCAATATATAAGCAATAATGATAGAATTACTTCATTTTTTTTAAATTATAAATATCATATTTTCAATTTGCTCCTCCTTTTGAATACTTACGTATTACTTATAGTAGATTTTTTATTGATATTTGCTCATACAATGACCAAACATTTCACTTTTATGAAGTTGATTCTATTATTTTTATTTGATCTTGATTTTATATAGTAATAATATTCTCCTAAATATTATATACCAACCATGTTAATTTCTCAGTTATACTGGAATTATACACACATATAAGCGATCTATTTACATGGTCATGAATCTTTAGTAATTACATTATAGTATATAAACTCTTTGAATAGTATTTTACATTAAAACTATAACATTATCACAATTAGTATCTGAAATAATTATTATTATATTAGTCAGCATGATTGATTTATTGAAACATTTTAATTTGGCTCCCTTTAAGGCCTGTCTAGCAGTCTATCCACTTTTTACAAATGTGGTAACAATTGTCTGAGATACAAACACTCATTTGAATCACAAACTGAATTGTGACTTAGTTGGTGGAATGTGTAATTCGGAAATATGGGCACCACGGACAGTAAATTTATGAGTATTTGATTGAATTGATTTAACATTAGACTTTTTATTATATTAAACATCAGAAACAGTTATTAATACTATACATCTAGTGATTCTATGTTCTAAACAAGTAACAAAATTACACAACAAATATTCAATAATCAGTTCTTCCCTAAAGTAAACATATCTGTACATAAAAGTAGTGTTTTAAGAATAAATTATGTATTCCCAATTTTTTACATCTTATTAACTATTTACGATAATATAATTTTGGTAATTTCATGGTTACAAAGCCATCCAGTATAAACTATTTTAATAAATATATATATACTTTTAAATCTCATTAGATAACACCAATTCTTCCATCCCCATATGGCCACGATGTCTCCATACTCGATATCTAGCAATATCTTTACGTGTTACCATGCCAACAACCTAAAAGAAAATAATTAATATTAAAAAGCCGGGTACAACAAGATTTGTCAACACTCATACAACCGATCTGTCTTGTATAGATTGTAGAAGTTGGGTAGACCAACAAAAACAGAAAATTTGATGTGTAGCTTTTATTCATCTATCTAACTTCTGTTGTACTATTGGCATATGGGTCTTGTGTCGGATTTGTCCTCATTGTTAAAGTGTGACGTGTCAACACCTATTTTGGCAAGATGGATCCTACCAAGTGAGTATGAACTTTATATTATAGTGACAAATTAATGCGCACGCGCACCTTCGTCTGCATCACATTTTATAGCCTATGTGGTATTCTAATGTATATACTATATCACAGTAAAGTTTCATGAAAATATGTTCAGTATTTTTTTCGTTATAATTACTTTATTTTATTTTCCCAAAGCAAAGACATTATACAATTAATATATGTACCTATTTAATATTTGCGTTTTCATTAAAATTCATGAGTTACGTGTAATATCTTGTGTTTTAATGTTTAATTTTACAAGTTTAATAAGCATAAGAATGAATTCCGTTTCAGTTTCAGCCAACATTACCTCATTGACATCATTCACAATTGGCAAATGCCTGAGACCCAGTGCTCGGAAAAGGCGAAATAGGCGCGGCAATGAGGCACGATGTGGGAGAGTGTACGGCGACGGGTTCATGTATGGTCGTAGGTCGATTGTGCAAGTTTTCTCCCAATCCGATATCTCCAACTATATATATACAAATATTTTATATGGTTCCTGTGCTGTGTATAATTATTAGTAAGCACAATATATAGCTAAATATTATTAATAAATTTGTTAATAGTTAATTTAATTTTAAAATCATTTTTCAATGACATAATCCAATAAATTACAGATGGCATTTACCGCACAGATCATTTACAGAAGTATAAAGGTTATATTTACCTCTTCAATAGAAGGGAAACGAGGATACTCTTTCCTAAAAATGTTCATGTCCACATTGAGATTCGGCCATGATGTATTTGCATTTTCATTGTATAGTTTATTTTGTATTAAGACTATTAATTGAGAGCGTAGTATTAAGCCTCTTAAACGTTTGTATGTAGTGACTTCGGTCTGAAAATAAAACAATATTGTTAAAACAGCTGTTTTCTCTGCCTACCTCGTACCGTTCACGGCATACATATGTATCTTGTAGCTATATTTGCGTGTTTGCTTTATTTGTCTTCCCATTTTTAATATATTTATGTAGCTAACTAGTAACTGGCGCCTGTATTTAGGCAAGCATCACGTGCGTCAGTGTGCGCCGCCTACCGAATCAAACCACTAAAACGTCTCTGTCGTAATTTTTGAAGTATCAAAAAATATAAATAAACTGACATGAAAGTTATAAATAAAAAGTATATAATACGTATACCTAATTTTAATGATAGACGCGATAATAGTATTTATATCGATAAGATTTAAAATGTGGATTATAAATAGAATATTCAATTTTAATATGTTAATTATTTTGACAATTTAGAAAATTGACAAAATAATAAAATTATATGAAATGTGTCGCATATTGTGAAATTTATTTTAACACTGCGACGAAACTCTATCATCATATAGCTCTCCACATTTTCTGCAGCAAACGCTAAGATATCTTTAAGATTGGAATGATAATCGTAACTGTCGGGTTTATTGTTATCCTAATATATGATATAAAGAATAATAACATCATCTGCGAGCGGCGGGTCCACGACCGGGAATCCATTGTAAGATACAATACGCAGCAACTCGACGATATGGCCGACATTTTCGACTGTGCGCAGCGTGAATACTGGATGTGACATCACTTCGCTGGCATAGACGTTGTGCGCTAGCGGTGGAGGCTCCCACGGCAGCAACGGCACAGCCGCCAGTTGAATATGGATGTCATAGATACCCTGTTCATAACACATTATATTTTAAAGCAAAAATGCATCATCAATTCAGGTAAGAAACTAAAATATGAGGAGTTGAACCATTAGTCTATTTGTAGACGTCAATTTAGAATTAAATACTCAGTTCTATAAACTAATTACAAGTTTTAAAGACGATTAGTTAACAATAATTTCTAATTTTCAATTTATCGGGAAAAGTAAGTACATGCGTTTCTGTTCAATGGTAGTTTTAACGAACATATCGGCAACATCCAGTTATGATATGTTCGTTAACACTGAAAGAAAATTAATTATTCTTTTTGCAATTGATAAAGGATTACAATACAAATTATGTCAGGATTAGGTAATAAGTTTCTTCTGCGAAATATGTATGATGTAAATTAAAGATTAGAGATTAGATGTCAGTATTATCACAATAGATGACCTTTATTATTCATCTCGTGGGATGAGATATGTTATTTCTATTCTATTTGCTCTATCATTCAACAATAAGCGTGCATACTTGATTATTCGCATCATTATAAATTTAATATTTACCTCGGAGAAGAAATCACCAACCCATTTCGCTACGACCAGAGTTATGATAATCGGTAGCGCGTTGGAGATCTGTCCAGTTGTTTCAATGATTATGACGGTGAGTGATATTGTCATGCGGACTACACCACCCAACTGTGCCGCGGCGCCTATTAGTGCGTACTTCGCCGAATTTATTGGCTGCAAGTTACAAAATAATCAGTTGTTAGTAATTTACGTAACAAAATGATCGCTTAAAAATATATTTATGCTAACAGTGATCGTGGTTCTGATTTATCAAAACAGTTGTTTCTGATTGCATGCATAAATAATCACCTCAGGACAATTCCCACAGCACCATCTTGACCCAAGTAAAGCTAGCTAAAGCTTGTGTTATAGGTACCAGATAACTGATACAAATACATAGTTTTATTTTCGTCATCAAACATACTCATGAATACAAATGTTTATGCCGTGCGAGGAATCGAACCCGCGACCATCGGAAGTAAGGCGGTGTGCGAAACCGCTAGACCACCGAGGCCGTCAATATGTATTTATTTTCTATTGTACCTATTAGCTTGGGCTATCAGACTAAACGTTCTAATCAATTCCACTTTGCTTACCATCGAAGGCACCATAGCCTGCATGCCAAGCGCCAGAAGTCTGCCCCATGCTGCCCCCGTCAGTAGGTTCGGTATGAAGAGCCCACTAGATACAGCCAAGCCGAAGGTCCACGTGGACAGCAGGAAGTAGCACACCACGAAAACGGCGATCGACATGGGTTTGTACGACCCTAACGGATCGTGGAGAAATGACCGCACAGATGCCTCAGGCGTTTGGAACCAGATTGCTGCCATTACTGAGTATTCTCCATCCGCACAATATAGCTACAAAGTAATATAATATTTAAAACCATAATATTTTAAATTACCTTAAAAAAATTTTAAACTGTGTAAGAAAAGGAGCAGACAGTTTAATACTGTATAGTGTAGTCTAGCAGCTAAAATAAATTTAGACTTTTGGTGCTTCTTTTTAACCAATTACTTTTTATGTAGGTATATATATAAAAAATTATAATGACTTAGGAAATGTATGTTCCCAAATTGGCTCTTAATATGATAAATACATGAATACATCTTGTATGTACGTATGCAGTGTATTTTATCTATGTTTAAAGGTTCTAATAACAGAATGTAACATGCATGTGTGTGAATACATTTTAGTCTATAATTACCTGTAAGGGAACTTTAGTAGGGTCCTCGCCGAGAGGTCGACAGTCATTTAGTAGAAACATCATGAGAAAGCCGCAGGTTGCACTGGCTGCCGCCACCATACACGCCTCTACCACACGCAGCCACGGTGTCGAAATATATCTATATTAATTTCCATAATTAATAAATGCTTATCAATAACAATTTTCAATCAACTTTTAATCAGAAGGAGATTTTTAATTTGACTATATGTTCTGCATTGTGATATTTTCAATCATTACTATGGTTTAATTACTTGATAATACTTTCATAATTTATTATTTTTATAATAGGCTTCTACATTTAATAGAGAGATACATGCAATGAATACACTGATATGTACATGAATACATACATACTATGTTTTTTTGTAATTGGAACTATTACATACTGCAATTCTGATTACAGAACAAAATTGGTTAAAAGTGCAGTACAAAATCTTACCTTATACGAAATACAGCAAGTCTATAGTTGATGTAATTCCACAGCGCTCCTAATATCCCGCCTATAGCTCCGAATAACATGAATATAGGCAGTTCATAGAATTGAAATGGGAACGGTTCCATTTTTCCTAAGTTTAGCAGACCTGAAACAAGACGCTAGGATGTAAGAAAAATACTATATATCTAAAATGATTCGAGGAAATACCACTGTAAATATAAAAAAGTTTTACACTTAGTTGTAAGTTGTATACATAAGCATATTACGCTAACATAAATTTACTTTATTTTTAAGTAATAAATAAACGCAATGATTTTCTTTTACAGAATGAAGAAAATAAAGATTACATATAAGATACATATTCAATTTTATTCACCTGGAAAACTTAATTCTCCTGGATGTCCATGATATGTAGACAAAGCGAAATTCAAAGTGAACGTAGCTATTACTGTACCAAAGAATGTTCGCCATGTTAGTGCTTGGTTCCAGAAACTAGCACCTTCTTCCAACGAGAAGAGAACACCTCCTGCATGCATATATAAATGTAATTAATGATAGTAACTTGTTGACATTGCGAATGTATTTAAATGCTTATATAGGTAACAACTACCTATTTTTTTTATACTACTTACATGGTAAGTTGCAAAGCAACAGCCCTATACATCGTAGTACACATGACTGTTACCCATTCTAACATCGTCACATCATATCACATTTACCATACCACGATACGAGATGTCAGATGTTGCTTATGCTTAACATATAACAGATCTAACTTTACTCGATCATTAGAATTTCGTCATAATTTTCATAAGCATTTCATAGTTGTTTGACTGTTATTTACTATGTGATTGAATAAAAACGGGAGCGCCAATTAATTATATGCCCTTATTATTACAGGTACCTGATTGTCACAGTAGTCTATGATGTGACCAACATCCTTAGGTATCACTTATTGTCCTGTGACTATTCCACAGAGACTGAGTCAGAATTTATTAATAAAATTTATTTTATTGTTACTAGAGATTATCACTCTATATAACAGAAAATATATAATTGAGACATTTGAGCGTTGACGTGCATTAATCTTTACATGGAACATTATATTGTATGGTTATGATGTTCATAAATCTTACCAATTGGGGCACCGAAAGCTGCCGATACACCCGCGGCGGCTCCAGCTGAAACAAATTCTCTCTTCTCGTGATCATCACGGAAGTATTGAAATATCTTTAAATCCTTATTAAATGTAGTGCTCTTTCCTTGAGATATGCCAGCTGCAACCACAGCACCGCAATGTATCATAGGGCCTTCCTAAAATAAAATGACAGTGTTGACTTTCTATCAGGTGGGAGAAGATGATCCGGAAAAGTGATATTAAATGCATATCAGTAAATGTTTCTTAATATAAAAATACAACATAACTATACATAAATACAACATACATTTATATAATAAAGTATCAGATTATTTAGGCAAACACAATATTTTACACCTATTGTATTATTCATATTCCATAGTACAGGTTAATAGTATTATAATGGTAGGAATTATGTATGTACCCAAATAAAGAGTGTAAACTAATAACTGAAATAAGATTATTAAGTAATTTTTTGTAACTTCCAAGACAAACAAGGTGATAACCACTATCGAATTTAAGATTACTTTTATTCTCATCAGCTACTAAAATCCCATGCATGATATCTTTTAAGCTCTCTGTAGTTAACAAAGTATTTTCATGAAAATAATCAAAATTTTTACCTTTCCTCCTGCTAATCCACCTACAACGGCAGTTATCACACCTATAGCTTTCACTATTAAAGTTTTAATTCGAACAACTCTCGGCAGCTTCACTCCATTCAGGTAACACTTGACTTGTGGTATACCACTCCCACTTGCAACAGGCTAAAATACATACAAATTTACTTGAATACAAGCATTTCAAACACCATATACCAATAAAATTTAATTAACTAAAATGATATTTTGCTGTAATTGCAACAACATTTAAAATACAGCCTTCTAACAATTATTCTTTTGGTTTTTATTATAAAGTCCATATAAAGAAAGCAATGAGCTAGATTTTTAATATGATAACAAATTTATAGAATCTATTGCAGTGTTACTTACCTCAACATATGCCACCAGTACTGATCCTATAAATACAACACATATGTTTGACAGTACCCATAATAAATATGGAATGTAAAGCCTGTCCATGAGTACATATTTGTCAACAGCTGTATTATGATAATAAGGATTATATTAATATTCCACCATGTTTCAAGTTCAGAATATATACAGTAAGAAACAACATCACTTGAAATCAGACATAATAAATAATAGTTCTTGCATAACCCTTGCAGGTAAAAAATAAATGGATTATGTAAATTGAACTACAAGGAAAAAAAATCTGCAAGTTTGTGAATAATATAGCATGAACTCCTTTTAGAAAGTGTTTAGTGTTGTTTCACAATATGCCCATATATCTGTTCTACAGGTAACCTGTATGTCAGATTTCAGGTTTATTTGCTATATAATGGTTACAAGTAATTTACTAGATTATAACAGTAAAATCTGTATTAACATAAGTTAAAATTTTTTTTATATATTAATTTATATGATGAACTGGATTGTCTCAAAAAATTACTATGGCAAAGATGCATGTCCAAGGTCCGGACAGCACCAACATTATTATTGAACTTATTACATATTTCTTTTAAATAAAATATAAGGGCCTTTTTGTTAATGAATTAATGTTTCAGAAACTCAGATAGGATATACTCTTTACATATATATATATCAGATATAATTAATAAAAGGATACATTTCTTCAATTCCTTATATTTAATGCTTGAGAATTCTTCTATACATATGTCAATAAAGAATGCAATTAGTGCTGTTACTGCTCCAATTAGTAGTATAATGAACCATCTTGCCATATCCTTCTTTACTATGAATGGATAGCCCCGTTTTCGCTCCTCATCTAATAGTAAATGATTCTCACAGGTGTCATAGTCTAAGCTCTAAAAATACATTTTCATATAATAAAATTAAAATATCTAGATACTACAAAATTAACATTAACAATGCAGATGATCCAAAAAATCACAATCAGATGCAAAATAAATTAATGATTATTAAATATCTGTAATACTTCATTATTTTTTCATGTCAGTGGTATCCTGACAATGGCGGTAATAGTTATTAATAATGGTATATTAAATGAATATAACAATAGAACATATAGAAAGTAAGTCTTTTACTTATGGTCTATAATACTATTAAATACATACTTCATATTTAGCTGACAGAATATTCATGGATCCAGGTTCAATCTTTTGTACAGGGTGTCTTCGTCTGATGCCATGACTACCATGGAAATCATCCGAGTCTGAATTCTGAAAAAAAAATTGGGTGTACAATAGATATGTAAGACCAATATTGTAAAGTGCCCGTTATGTTAGTAATGTGATTAACATATATCAAAGTAATATTAGAAAATTTATGATTAAATTGAAAAAATAAGTTATTGAATAATTAATATATTTACCTCATAATTTGAAGTAGTGTTTAACTGTGCGTAATTAGACGTACTTGGTTCATCATTACTCATTAATTGTGCTGTATCTGAGGTGCTTCCAGTGGATGTACCATCACCCACAATAAAATGCACGTTCTCGTTCGAGTTATTCATTTCCGAAATAATTCCACAGAAATAACACTCAAAATATTCACGTCATATTAGCATTATTTATTATTATTTTTTTAACGAAATATTTTTATGTAACATACTTACTTCTAAAGAAAGAAATAAAACACACTGAACATGTAGACAGAAACAAAGAACAATAAATGATACTAGAATTCTAAACAATTTTGTTGTTTTACTATTTAAATTGATATGTCACAATGTATAAATTGAAAGAATACTTAATAACAACAGTATATTATACATTTAAAATGCTTCCGAAAATGTAAGTACATAAATGTGAAGTCATAGCGTTTTGACAATTATTATAAAATTAATTATTGAGAATTTACAACAATATTCTATTATTTCTCTTTCACAACATACAAAACATAGTATAAAGCGAGTTGCCAGATACTGGCTGTTCATAAACGCCAGATATCTCATATATGTCGGTTAAATTGCCGCAAGGTCAATATAATATTTGTCATTAGAATAAACGTTAAAAGGTGAGCATTCAGGAACTTTTATGTTTTTAACTATTAAAGTATCGTCATGCTACTTTGCAATTCTAGTAGTTACTAGTAACTGTAGTTATCATTGCAGGAGAGACGAGACCGAAAAGGTTAACAAGTTACTATAGCCATTAAAACCAAAATAATTAAATAGAAAATATTTATATGGAACATATTTTTTTATTCATGCAGTCTACATGTAAAAGATGACTAAATATATACACAAACACACTCCGAGTGTGATTTAAAAAAGGGTCAAACAATAATTGACAAATAAATTAATTAGTTTCAAGGGTTTGTGCATAGAAAATTTTGATTAATCTTCAAGAAATCGAATAATTTTAACAGCCCAAGAGGCAAGAAATGGCTCAATCTAGCAACCCTCACAAATGTCTGTCTCTGTCCCTCACTACAGATGGTTTATCAGTGTGTCAACTGTCAATTTGACGTTCATGTCAATTAATCAAAATCTGAGTGAACCCTAACAATACTATAGCAAAATTGTTTGTTCTTAATTAAGCAAGAATATTGTGTGGACACCGTTGTATTGTAAAATAAACTTAGTTATCCAATCCCTATACATATATATTACAATATATTTATAGTTTCCCTAATTTGCCTAAACCAATAATAATAAAAATGGTAGTGTATTATACCCTTTAGAAGATTTAGGGTGTAACAGTAATTCAATAAATAGGGACAGGCTACCTATATTAACATAGTTTCTCGTTTAAAATATGTTGAAGGCAAAAATTTTTCACTTATATATAATTATTGTGAAAATAGATTGTTTATTTTATTTCGAATAGTCCAAGTTTTTATATGCCTTATAATAAATTAAAATGATAAGCTATTGATTCTACTTTTCATTACACTTACAAAAAAACAAAGAGAGCAACTTTTCCACATGAATAAAACAAAATTGATTATCTTTATTTTTATTTATAGCATTAAATAATGTTGAAGACTGTTCTTGTAATTAATTGGCTACTAGTACTAATATTTTTTTATATACATATATTTTATTTACACATGACTACACAAATAAAATGTCCACCGTCAAACTTATTCAAATAATCATGCGAACTGTATTGTAGCATTATCTTTGTAGAAATAGAATTACTGATGTCTTTAATAATTTAATGGTAATATACAAAGGAATAAACTTTTATCCAGAAAATTAAATACAAATTTATGGCTATACTATATGTCAAAATCGAAAATTGCATACAACATACAACAATATAATATTACAACTGTGAAAATATAATTAATTTGAATCGACAATTATAATTTCTTATTTTTCTTTATATGAAGTACCTATGAATATATATGTAATAAGCAAGATATGAATTTAAATGTCAAAATTTAAAAGATTTTGTAGCAAATTAGTTAATAGTAGAAAAAACGTAATAAATTAATATAATGTGACAAATGAATAAAATTGATGACAAATGACTATTAACAAATTAAATGTCTACAATTGTACTGTTTCTTAGAGTTTAAAAACAGTTCTTTCGAAAAATAAAAATTTTATTGCGCGTACACATTACATTTTCTTTTTATTAATTAATGTAATTGACGATAGATGGGGTCATTAATAGATTGTCGACAATCTATAATGTTGTTATCATGAGTACAAGTAGTTTTAAGAATGTTTTTACTAGAAAAGCATATAATGATAAGGGAATATTGATAATTGTTATCATTTTATCAGTGCGTCAATTACTGTCAATGAGAACATGCTTATGCACACAGATACAATTTTCAGCATCGTCAGCATCGTAAACAACAATAGATATCGTCGATGTGTGTGTAGCTTGCTCGTTCGTTTGGTTGACAATCGCGATGTGATGTATTCTATCATTGCATGTTGAGTTATATTTTCAACAAAATCTTTTAATTTCAGTATCAGTTAGTCAATTAATTTCTAAATGTTTTCTTTTGTTGTGACTCCCTTTTCTTGTTTTGATTTCTAAATATGTGTAATTTGCCGCCGAAGTTCCATTCAGTGTGTCGCCTTTGTTTATCATTCTGTGGCGATAATTGCAGTGATGTTAAACTTCCAATATTCGACCGTGATAAGGATAAATCACATCTGTCCGATATGATAAGGACGTATTTATCAATAATGGTAATGATATGTGACTATTTTTAGTTTTAAGAATCTGTAATATGCTGTTTTCTCGTGTGAAAGTTTAGCGTAACTGTATGAGATTGTGGATGCTGATAAGCGCCATTAACTTTCTCGCGGGTGTTGGGTATTTTCGCATTGTGATATCATATTACGACCCACGCGTCGTGTGCTCGGGCGTATGACTAATGTCGTTCGGGGAAGTGATAGACGGGCGTGTTGTGAACGCGCTGTATCAGCAGCGGCCGCGTCGCTGATAACAAAGGAGCGCACGGAGATCACCTCGCCCCGCCTCCTGCGGTCCTCGCGCCCTCGCCGTTGCCTATTCTCCTCTCTGTTCCGACCTGCATCTACACTGTTCTGATACTAAAGTTCCCTGCATTCTCTTATTAATATACAGAGCTATTTTGAGAATTCGATATTTTCTAAATTTAGAATTATATTTAAGGAAATTTATCTACAAGGGAACACACTCTCCCTTGTCTTGTACACATAATCTGTTCTAAAACTTGTAAGAGTTTTTGTATTTTGCTTATCAGATTACATATCAATGACTCCCCACCACCAACATTGTTTGCAAATAATAAAAACAATGAGAAATGTGTAAGAAGGATATGTAAAATTATTTTAATAATTTTTAGGTGTACCCAGGAGACTTGCTACCTCAGGTAGTGTGTGGGAGCTGTGCACATAAACTTGACGAATTCCATACCTTCAGAGAATTATCTCATAAGTCCGAAAGACTATTGGAGCAGTTCTTGCAGTATGCTAATTCCTTGACAGGTCCTGAAGAGGTGAGTGTTACAATAAAATGAACCTTGTTATCTATTACTAATTGATGTATTATATATGATTTGTTATTCATTACATTACAAAATTATATGATCTATTTATATAAAAAAACCAATATATCCACTTTTATTTATAATAAGTATGTATATTTATTGTTCCTAAACCGTATTATACTACATCATAGCTTTTTTATGAAAAACTCAAGCAGATGAAAGTGGGTTATAAGGCACTGGTTGGTTTCTATGCCTTTTATATAATGTTTTAATATAATTGACGAACAAACCAAGCAGCATACCAAGCATTGCTACCATGGTTACACCAAATATGCACCATAGAATTTGTTTTGGTTTTATATCTGACAAACTGAAACCACTTTGTGTTTCTAATTTATTATCAGATGGACAAAATGATAGTGTTATGTTGGTTATATACTCTCCACTTAAAATCATTGGTGCGGCACAACTGAAAAAAAAAAACAAAAATATTAATTGCAATATATATTGCAATCGATTGGGAAAATTACCTATTAGGATAGTTTAATATAGACAATGAAAATAAAATCATATTTAATATTGACCTTTGTTTGTTTCTTAAACCCCAGAAATTGGTTAAATAAACTTCAATAAAAATATATAATGAGGTAAGTAGTACCTCAAATTTGAAACTATAAGCTAACTAAGAGAAATCTAACTATATCTCATGATATATCATGAGATATAGTTAGATCTCTCCATTGCAATAAATATCTTGTAGACTTATTTACTCATAAGATGTTCATTTGGACTGAAGTTTAACACACCTCAAAACTTCCGTAGGTTTAGAACCATAAAATTAAACAAATGAAATTTTAACTTCTTAAACTAAAATAATTGACGAAGAAAGAGAAAAGAAATATGTTATCAACTAAAATAAAAGATTGAATTGCAGTAGTAAAGGAATTATTGTTAACTTTATTATTTATATCATTTTATCCATTTATTTCTTAAAAGTAATCAGTATTTGTTATTATGTTGGTGGTATTAACTCTGTTACAATGTAATACATGTGAAGATACTTACAAAGGGATGTCTCCTGGCTTGAATTTTGTACCAGCACCTTGTGATGTGACAATGTTGTAGAGTTCACAGTTGCAAAGCCATCTATTGCCTGTCATACCCAATACATCCAATTTATTCCAGGGCAATAAGTCTATAGACACCTCACTCAGGCCATTGTTGTCCATATAAATCTGTGGAACAGCACTTTATCTTTTCTTGCACATCTTACAATTCAATTTTGTTTTCAATTTAACTAAACCTTAAACAATAGCTGGGTAGAATATACATGAAAATTAACCACATTCACAAAGTAATAAGTGGAATACTTTCTGCATTCCACTTTGTTACGAATATGATATCAACCGCAATTTGTATGAAGGATTTAAAAAATGTTTACAATTTTCCACTTCTTTGGGATTAAAATGTCTATAGTGTTAATTTGAGTTGCTCAAATTAACACTATAGACATTTTAATTAAAAAAATAATTTGTAATCTTTCTTCAAGCACCTCATTTAATAGTAAGATAATTAAAAAAAAAATTACTGTGCTTAGTTTATTATTATGGAATATAAAGATTTTTCCTCAAAATAGTACTCATGACAATATTTTTATGGGACTTGATGATTGATTGATGTGTGGCCGTTATATTAATGGAATTGATAAAATGGTAAACTTAGTCAATTGTATAAAAATATGGATCAGTTCAGTTTAGGCAATGACATCGTCACATACACATCCAAATATGCGGTTCAATGGGGATCTTTTCTTGGAATCATGAAAGTATATTTACCTGCTGACATTTCTGTGTTGATATATGTTATGAATCTATGTGTTATTACAAAACAAGATAAACAACATGGCAGTACAGGGGGGAAAGGAAATTGTTATACTAAGGACATCACGTCATCATGTTACGCTCGTGGTATCACAGTTGTCATTTCGGAGGAATGTGATGTCAAACCTTCATATACTATATTTTTTTTGCCTTATCTCACACTTGACCTGAAATGTATCTACGTTTCGGTTCAAGTGTGAGATAAGGCACACTGGCTGAAATAGTTGAGACAGGGGTACCATCTAAACTGAGACGACTTCGTACAAAGTCCACCTCGGTCAAATAGGACTATAGACTGTCAATAATTAGAAATCTTATTCCGTGATCCACTTATGGGATAAATTATGCAAGCGATATGATTGATATCAAAATACGCGCTGAAATGATTAATCAGCTGACCTCGTTCTGCGACTGTCAAGTCAGCAGTCAAAATCTGGGGCGAAGTGATTGCAAATATTGTATGTACAACGCGATGATAATAATATACTTGTATGATATATATAGATACAAATAATTATGCAACATTTAAAAAATGCGATAAATTGCGAGAAGGTTTTGCACGCCGAGCGTTTTCGTAATTATTAAAATTCATCATTTATGTCAATAAGTACAATAATGATTTTGAATTTAAGATATTCAATTAAAAATGTTTCAAATCTAAAGACTATATACCAGACATCAATATGATTAGGATGGTTTGTCGAGAAATAGTTCTTTATGTATTTTAATGTTAATTTATCGTTCGTAATGGAAATGAAATGTTACCTATATTTTTGTACATTTTTTTTTGTTCTCATTGGTAAAACAGTTATCGATTGTATCAGTATTTACTGAAATGTAAATAACAAAGTAATATATCGTTCTCATTGACGATTTTGATGAGTGCAGAACCTTAGAAATGAACTGTGTGATGTGATCCTAATTTTAGAATGTTGCAACAGTGATATAGCTATATGTGTGGCAACTTTGTTTTCATGAGAAAATTTTTTCATACACATAATTATTTGTTGACTTTTAAAATTATTATCTAGTAACTATTTTTTACTTTATTATTCGTACTACTAAGACTACCCATATATAATATGTATAGTTTTTAATAATATTACATAACTTTACATAAGATACAATTATAAAATTAAATATCATTTCCTGCATTTATTTTATGCTAATTACAACGTAAATAATACTCATAATTAGAAGTAACCTTATCAGTTCAGTGTGATTGTGTGATATTTGCAATTTTTAATTTTAATATATGGACAATCCCAATATTTAATAAAGCGTAGAACTAAATATTTGTATTATTCTACTGTGAACTACGAGATAGCTTGAGAAATTTTGCTCAAAGAATTAGGAACCGTTCTTTAAGACAACTTGGGAGAGAATTGTGTTTGAAAATGAACAATGAATGACTGAACTAAAATGATGATGACAGACGGAATATACGTCATTTAATAGAAACACTACTTTAATTTAATTTAGTATAGTTATGATTTACTGACAATAACTACTACCAGTAATAACGGTCAGTTTTAATACATTAGGTATTACAACAGAATATTGATTTTATTACTGCGACATGCTTTTATTTTATTTTTTATTTGGCATACTTAACGTTATATGATATCATATTCAGCATGATATCATTATTTACAATTACGCTATAATCATTACAATTTAATCAAAAGATTCTTCGTGTCTTGACGGAGTATTCATATTATGTGTCATACGTATCTACAGATGTAATAAATCCGTCACTGTGTTGTCATTACTTCTTATCATAAGCAAAGGTGCAAGCAAATCATAATGCTTTCATGCGAGGGAGGGAAACGAAACTAATACCTTTAAATATATACTCACCGTATTTAGTGATAATTAGAAATATATATTATTAAGTTATTACTGGAACATAAATTTGCGTTAATGAATGACAATGGTATGGTAACGTAAAACGCTGTCATTTGAGGAGTCAGCCTCTCGTGGCGAATTTAACAGAAATTATCCAAAATGGTTATTAGACAGAGAACCCGTAGAGGCTGTTATTAGCAATGAGGCCACTAATCCTGATTACGATCTGATGTAGCTCTTCCATAAATTAATGTTTCAGTGAAAATATTAACATTTTTTTCTACTTAAAAGGTTTCTCGTCATGCGTAACAAATAGTAAAAACGGGATGGCTATTACTAAAAAAACCCTATTACTTACAACCCCCTCCACATAATTTGGCGTACCATTCTACTGCCACTGTCCGCAATTTATAATGATAACTCACGTCGCACTCTATATTTATACTAGGGGAAAGGGGATTGTTAGTAATGGTGATTTATGATCCCATTGCCAGCATGGTGCTTATGACGTATGAGGCTCTTTGGTTTGGTGGAGGTCATTTTATTTTTATTTTATTTATTTACGTAATCAACAGCTTATACAATTTATACACAATACTACATAATTAGTAAAGCCAATAATAGATAACTCATGGATTTATTTTTAATGTTACAGTTACATTTAAGTTGGTTATTTAAAAACGATACAGTTAAGCATGTCAGAGCCAAAGCTAGAGAGCAGGATAAGGTCAATATGATTGGTAAATTACATTACAATACATTTATGTATTTTTTTGTGACTTTTCCTCGACGGTCTAACTGGCATGACTAACTTCATCCTATCATTTTTTTCACTGGTGTCCTGTCAACGTATACCGTTAACGTAGGTGAGATCACCATTCCATTATCATTAAAAAAACAGCTCATGCCTTATGATTGTATTGAGACATTGAATATGTGCATATTGCTGTTTATGGAATTTACATTTTAAATTGCATAGTTAAAAATAACAATTATTTTAAGAATTTTAAATTGCGGTAATGCTAACCGATAAACTTGTATAGACTGATTAATGAAAGTAATGGAGGCGGAAGAGGTTTCAGATTTATTGCTGCTGTATAACACAATGAGAGACAGGTCCAATTAATATTACAGACTGACTTACATTTATATTAGGATGAGGTAAAATGCAAAAGTGTAAATTTCGTAATCATTAAGTAGTACGAGTATGTATAATAAGTTAACTTTACTTATTATATAATGGGATATAATTATAATAGTATTGAGCGACTTATACGTAAAAAGAGAAGGTCACAGAAGTCACCAGGCAAGTAACCATTAAAGCGGAAATGAGAGGAGTGGAAAATAACCGATGGAATTGGATATTTCGTCATCCATACCCACAGATGAAATTTAATCACGCAATCATGTTATTGATAACGTTCCCATCAATAATTTTTGCTATGATGACAGTGTTCGAATTTTCAATCAATTAACAAACTTGTCTTACAAGATTGTCAATTCAATTGGGAAAAATACTTAGTAAAGCTCATATGACGAAGTTATACTCAAATTGCAGGTTGTTAAAAATTATTACATGATATGAAAATCTAATACATGAGTAGATATTATTTTACCGTTTATGGATTTTGGTAATTTAGGCAAAGGAAAACAGAAAACATAGAAAGCGCGCGCCTACCCTAACAAGATAGTTCTGACAAGGTCAGAACTCTATCTTTTTGATACAGTAGCGCGAGTTGCACTTAGGACCAGATCTGTACCGAATATATACAGATTTTAAAACGAAAACGAGGCAACACCAATAGGACCATAGGTAATGTTTTAAGGGCTGTTGTACCTACCTCCTTTAAGGTCCACTTATCTTTAATGCCACGGAAAGCATTATGGCTAATATAACGCAGAATACTGTTGTGACTAACTCTGAGTACTCTCAAGCTCTTAAGTGGTGTGAATGTACTGCGTTTTATTTCTTCGAGGTATTCGTTTTCTGTGACTTCCAGTTCTATTAAATTTGTTAAATCTGCGAATAGAAACAACTACGCTGTTATCTGTACCTGTAATATTTGTTATTGTCTATCTCAAGGGCAATATCAAAGTTGTATATATATAATTAAGCCTCCAATATCAAATGTATATTTGTTATACTAATAAAGAGAAGGCATTTGAGGCTATGTCACGGTTGTCGGAAAACTAAATTTTCAACACATTAACGAGTTTAGTTATCTCATGACTGGACTGAAAGTATTTTATTGGAATATGGCTACCGTCTGCGTAGTCTAGAGACATCAACAATGCCATAAAAATACGGACTACGCTGAAATTTCTACCGTACTTAATAGATAATCACTATCATGTGTCACTCTGGGTATTTGGTCACAATGGGCAAATAATAATAATGATCTAACTTTACCTATATAAATATACAGTGTAAAGAAACTGGCTTTTTAAAAAAATAATAAGAAACTCAATTCAGTTTCTTGCCAATTCTTCTCAATTGAAACTGTACACTGAACTGGGAAAAAATATAATATAAAAAAAAAATACGTTCATAAACGGCTAAAATGTCCTACATGAATAAATGATTTATGAATTTGAATTTGAAAATGTATCCTAACCTCTATTGGTAATCACCAATGTAAGCCGTTAGCGCAGACGGCAGCACTATTCCATCATCATTTACAAAAAACATTTCTCACTTCAAATCAAATCATAGATTATAAATTATTTGGGACAGAAATAAGATAAACGTGGCGATAAAAGTTTGAATCTGATGCTTCACATATTTTTGCTATTAGAGGGTCAAACAAACAGTTCCACTTTGCGAAACATATATTTGTGGTCTTTATAGATATAGTTGCGGTCTTTATTATTTCAATAATCAAAATCTGTTTACTTCAACAGTATCTTGCTGTAATAGCAAGTCTTTGGTCCTCATATATTAATACTTTCGAGTAATAAAATATTATATATCTTTTATCGTATACTGCGTATCTTATTTTTCTGTTCAAAACACAAAGGTCTTCTTCGGTCATATCAAAGGTTCAAAATCGTTTTTATTCTTGCTATTCAGGAGTATTAAATTATGAAGAAAATAAAAATAATATCGAATTGCAGGTCTTGATCTACACTAACGGAACTCTATTATCATTAATGTATAGAGGTTTTACTATAGATATTTCAATAATCATACCCAGACAAATAAAACAAATTACTTTTCTAGATTATTTAGTTAAAACCCATGATATGAGAGATCGATCCTCACTTTGCCAGTGTTTATTTTAGTTTCAAATTTTCAACATCCTACAGATATTTTAGTAGTAGTATTTCGCATTTATAATACATCCTTATTATAAATACCTAAGTTTGTGCGGATGAATGGATGTTTGTTCCTCTTTCATACAATAAATACTATACAGTAATTATAATTGAATTTAGTATAGAAATTGATCACAACGAATAGCTTAATAAATGTGATATTTTTTTACACGTATATACACAAATAGATATCTACGTAATAAACATTACTTACCTATAAAACTGTCATCATTGAGTTCCACAATTGGATTATTGTTAAATGTAAGATATTTAAGCGTACTCCCTACCAGCCTTAGACTCTCCGGAACAGTTACGAACTTGTTATTAGACAAGTCAATATTTTGCAGGTTTTCTAGACCTCTAAATGCGTCTAGGGGTATACTGTCGATGTCCGTTTTTGACAAGTCTAGAACCTGAAATTACAAATATAATTTAAAGAAAGGGAAAGAGAATTGAAGTGCGTTATTGTATAGTATGCATGGTGTAGAGGGTATTGTTGATTTCTATTGATAACTGTTGACTATGTACTCGTAGTTAATGGATATTTTTTTTTACCATTCTCTATAAAAAGTAACTACATAAGATAGTAAGTACCGAAGTTAGACTGTACAAGGACAACTGCGTGTCTAGCTCTATCTCACCTATTTCAGCCGTCATGTAGCTTCCTTTGTACTGTGGGTTGCAACATAGCGGTTGGAAACATAGCGGTTGGTCTTCCGGAATGGCAACATATTAGGTCTCATGATGTTATATCCATGGTACTCATTATGTACTTATATGAGCTCAGTTACCACTTACCATCAGGTGGGCCCTCAACATGTTTACATTCCAAATACATATTTTTTGTTTTTATTTGATTATCCAACACTACTTAGGATCAACAATAGACAACGCCTGATAATGTTAAGTCGTTGGTAATCCTTCATCATAATATCAAATGTTGACTAACACGGTAAAAGACAAAAACATATCAGTCACTGTCTTATCTTAGCAGTTCAGTGATATTTAGAGCCCCTTTAGACTACAAATTCGACGCAATAAAGACGACGATAACATTCTGCAAATGCAAATTCAAAATATTCATAGTATCTAATCAGTTTACTTTGTATTAATTATTATAATGCATTATTTTGAAATTTTATACTAATATTATAAATGTGAATGGGGCTGAAGAGATCTTAATTATTGACAAAAGTGGATTACATAGCGAGGACATAGGATAGGATCTTTTATCTAAAATAAAGTAAACGAGGTTGAGAGTAACAGCTATAGTTCCTTTATAAGTATGATGAAGAATATGTTCATAAAGTTTATTTGTCTAGATTTTCTTTGATTTTTAAGTTACAATCTTATGACATTCTAAGTTTAATATGACTGTGTACTCGACTGTCATTCAGTGACACAGCACTCTTAATGGAATATCATTAGTATTTCTCTATTTATTTCAAATCATCTTCCTTTTCGCCGCGTTCTTAAGTGCTGTGATTAAGTAAAGCATACTTACTTGTATTCAAACTGCTTTACGGGAAATACCATTGAACGACCTACAATTATTAGGTTATCCTACATAAGTGTTGTTCCCATAGCTTCTAAACTACTCATTATAACATTACAGGCCTTTTGATGTACCCCTAGTAATTCGACCACATCGAACATTTTCAGATGACCATATTTCCCTGATTTGTACTTTTTAGGGCGTGATTTTTTAGTAGCTGGGTTTTAGTTTTTTGACTAAATATTTTTTGTAATTGTGCATCTATTTACCTCTAACTTGACGGCGCTGGACAAAGCAAGGATGGTGACGTGGTCCAATATCTCAATTGGGTTATTATTTAGATATAATCTCGTCAAATTTGGAGTATACTGGAACAAATATCTGTCCAATGAATGTATCTCATTGTGTCCAAGATTCAATGTCTCCAAGGCTATTTTACTGTATTTACCGTCGTTGTATGGCCCTTGGAAAATTTCACTTCTCAACACTTCACCTGAAAATTATTCACTGTGTTTATGTATCCACTAATTTGTTGTAATAGCTCTTCGCTGATTATAGTAAATACTAAATATATCCAATAACTTTGCTTGCGGAACTATTCAGTTTAGGTTACTTAGAAATATTTTTCTAAATGCTTAGATTATCAGCTTAGAGATCAAACGAAAAACGGACACTACTTATTCATAAAGTGAAGTGATTACTCTAAAAATTTATGTTGTATGTGTAGTGACATTATATTTGTACATTTTGTAAGATAGAATAAATAGACTGTCATTATTTCCAGGCCGGACTAATTTAATAAAATCTAAAAATACGAATTATTTTAGTATATATTTTTTCATTAAAATAATAGGATGCAGCATGTGGAGGTTTTATTTATTTTGATTATGACTAATAGAGCGTCTGTGCTCATGAAGTCTCGGCCACTACTAGTGCCTATAAAGTAAAACAAATAGCCAGTTTTTACGTCGAACAAAGGGGGCGTTACCCACTAATTTGCCGTCCATGATTGGATATTTAATTATTTGTTTTGTTCCAATTTGTCGCTTTAAATGCAATTAGTCATGCTACTGGGACTTCCCTCTGTATATAATATTATAAATTATACATCAATAATGTAATGATTAAGTAATATTATCTATACAGATATTAATTATTAATTTAATTACATCCATAAACATATACCTAAACTGTCGCTATTGTTCATGCGATAACCTTTACTAATAGGTACATGTATAACTGTATTAAATATTTAGTACTGTTATTTTTTATTATGGCTGGTGTAAATTAATTAATGATGTATTCTGATCAACAATTTATATTAATAGACGAGGTATATTATAATGTATACAAATAATCTAAATAAATCATTTAATGTGATTGTCTAAATAGGCTTAAACTTATTACATATTAGACACAGTTCTATACAAGTTTAAAAATATACTAAATCTACATAGGTTAACCGATTTCCTCCTGTTACTGATAATATGAATTATCGCTTTTTATTGTTTGTTTTATATTGTAAACTGTTGTTTTTGTAATCATACTCGTTTGAAATGTATTTAGTTATTTTGCCGTATGCTAATAAGAATAACTGGACAATTCACAAACCTCCATCTAGTCCCAAGCTAAGCAGAGCTTGTGTTATAGGTACTAGAAAACTGATATATATATATTGTAAATTCATTCAAAAAATATATAGAAAACATCCAGACTGATTGATACAAGCAATCTTATTATCTATACATATAAATAAAATTGGAATGTCTGTTTGTAATATTGAAATAACCGTTTTTACTACATTCATATGAATATAAATAAGGTACATACACCATCATCATCATCATCTGCTTCTTCCTTATCCCATTTATAATATGTTTTTCGTTTCCATTCATCCCTGTTCGCAGTCATCGCGTTATTTACTTCCTTTCTTACCATATCATCTTTCACACAGTCCATCCATCTCTTTTTTGGCCTTCCTCTGCCCTTATAACCATCCACATTCATTTGTAACATCTTTCTTAAAATATTATAATTACATACACCAAAATAATATTTTTTAAAATTTTTATCTGTCTGTCTGTTTGTCTGTTTCTTTGTTCCGGCTAATCTCTCAAATGGCTGGACCGATTTAGTTTGGACTTTTTTTGGCAGGTAGCTGATGTAATAAGGCGTAACTTAGGCTACTTTTATTTCAGATAATATCTTTTATTTTAGAAAAAAAAAAAATTAATTTCCACGCGGACTACGTCGCGGGAACAGCTAGTGATGAATATAAATGTTTGTATCATGCTCGAAATCGCACTAGCAACTATTGGAAGTAAGGCGGTTTACTTAGGTAAACGTCGGGATTACAGAGGCCTTCAATAATACTCTCTTCATTCCTTTTTACCTTTGATGGAGAAAATTAATCATCATCATCTGCTTCTTCCTTATCCCATTTATTTGGGGTCGGCGTAATATGTTTTTCTTTTCCATTCATTCCTGTTCGCAATCATCTCGTTATTTACTTGCTTTCTTACCATTTCATCTTTCACACAGTCCATACATCTCTTTTTCGGCCTTCGGAGAAAATTAATCATATATTTCATTTTTATATTTCCTAGAACTATACATACCGGATATGGAGTTGTTGCTTAAGTCCAAGTATACCATTCGGTGTATATTTCTAAAAGCGTCATCCTGTATTTCGATGATTTTGTTAGATTTCAATATTATTGCTATCTTGTTGCCTGGTACCTCCGGAATCTGTGTTACGTTCACGATGTTATTGTAGAAGAATGTTATCAGCACGTCGCCTGCTGTAAGTAATTATTTATTTGGATTAGGACCACTAGGTGCTCACTAAGATAAAATACACGGAAAAAATATTGAAAAATTTTAGTCACAAATATGAATTAGTGTTTACTGATAAATAGTGATGGACAAACTATTAATTACTTTACTTAGACTAGTAAATGAAATATGTCTTGTTATATAACAAATAAATATAACCAATAGATTGTTGTTTATTAATAAAGTTTGGCTATTTCTACAGTAACACTCTTGATTTAGTTTATTTTTTTCAATGTAGTAATATGCTACGGCATCAATGATATTGATCGCGATCTATAATAGTATAAGGTTTTAAGTTTGTCTTACGTCTATAATTATAAATACTCTGGTACAGTGCAGTATTGTATCAGTAAAATTAATTTTAAAGTCAATTATGTAGTTCTACAGATTACCCCCTACTACTACAAACAAATTTTATCTCTATAAATGATATTAGATATTACAGATTTAGATATCGCTTTAACGCAATTACGAATTTCATAATATATAATTGTGGTTGTGCTTCAAACTTCTTAGAATCTGTCTATATTATATGTGTTGCAAATAAATGCAGTATAAAAAGTTCTGTATCCTTTACCTCAGACGCAAAATCAACTATCATATATTATGATCATTATAGAACTGTGTGCTTTTACTATCTATACACTACCATCACAGTCTTTATTGTTATGTAATTTAAATAAATTATATCTAGTTTCCGTTTATATCTATTTTTTTTACCTTAAAAAAGAGTAACCATGCTCCCTAAATAGGAAAAATACTTTCTTTAGGATTAAGCATTGCTCATTCCCTATAACATTACGGCGATACAGATAATATTATAGTTTATATCTGTAATATAAATATACAAATAAAGCATCTAAATCAATAAAGTTCTGTTCTACTATCAGATAAATATATTTATTTTGTTCAAAGTACACTTCATTAATCTTAGTAGATATATTTATCCTCATATAATACTGTACGTAAACTTATGTTGTTAAAAATTATATCAAATAATAATAAGCATGAAAGTAATTTGTTTCCTTCACGTGATATGAATATGACTCACTACCTTGTTCTACGCCATTCATTTCTTCTGGCCATCCTGTGGGAATAGTATTGATATTTTTTCTTGAACAATTGAGCGTTAGATTGTCGCTGTCTCTTATGGAAATGTCACACACAGGATTTTTTGGGTCGCCCTGTTGGCCATAAGTAGTTGAAACTAGAGCGTACAATATCACTATTATCTATAACAAAGAAACACCATTGCATATTTAATTATTTTGAATATGTTTCTGTTATTTATTTTAATCAGACACTACTCACTGCACTTGCTGGTATTGGGATCATTTTTTAAAACAACAATTATATGTATAGTCGCACAAGCTAACTAAGATTGTGTGGTAATCACTCAACATCGTTATCATTTATAACGTTATCTTTATTTATCATTTGCCTTTCATTGGACGTTGTTCTATATTATGAGTAAAAAATAATTTTAAGTGGCATCAATTGTCGAATGGCATAATATTATTTTCTAATATTAATTTTGTTTTATTTTTAGGAAAATCTAAATATTACGGCAGCCAAATTAGAAGAAATAATCAAACCACTGAATGAGAATGTGTTCGATCATGATAATAAACATAGTTATGACGAAATGGGATCCCCGGATTCAACGGAAGAAATGAAGAATTCAGAGAGCAGACAAGCGGCCGTTGCGCTTCTCTCAATAAAACATTACGACCCTTCCAAATATGCCATCAAACCGGAGGAAGAACCACACATAATGTTTAACAATGTACCGAATTTACCACCTCCGGAGAGAGCGAGAGAAGTGATGCATTGTAATGCAGTTATCGATATTATAAGTAAAGCGGTCGCGGTTGCACAGCGAGAAAATGAAGAGTCACAAAAGTTTCCTTCTAATTATACAAGCGTCATAGATGATAGGACCCACACGTCAAGCGGTCGTCAAGTGAACTACCCGCAAGAATATTCCGATGAACAGTACAATGCGTACAGCACACAAAGTGCTACCAGCCCTGGCAGCAATGACGACAATGACAACAAGGAAATGGATTTGTCGCTGTATGGTACTATTAAAAATGATTCAGATCAGAATGAAAACACGGACCAGGAACATAAAAATTCATCATATTATCACAGATCATTAATTCAGAATAAATCATCAAACTTTGTAGAAGACTACAAGCAACAGGTCTTTGCTCGATCGTCAAACAAAAATAAAACATCAAAGGATAACTCTTCAATTTACGATGACTGCAGTCGGAGTAGTAGTGGCTCCGATCCGGACAGGCTTCAGATGGATATTTCCCAAATGTCGCAGGTAAAGATTTTCTTTTATGCTAAATGAATATTAATAAATGTAAATTAACTAACGTCGATGCTATATTACATTCCAGATAAAGCTAATGTTAATGAAATCAAGAACTGTGCCAATATTTTTAAACACCGCTTTTATGAGCAGTTTCAAATGTTGTTGCTATAATGCTAGTAGTTTGGTATTCACTATTATTTTGTTATTGACATTTCAGGACGACCCAGAAGAAACACAGTCAGCTCGATCAACGCAGTCATCGCCACAACCCCCAGCTGATATTGAAAACGACAAAGAATCGTTGTGGCAAGCACTACACAAGCAAAACGGTTTTATTAAAATAAGTAAATTTATTTATAAAAAAATTATTGCTGTCAATGAGCCAAGTTATTAACTGCGAGCAATATGTGAAAAAATGTGAAAATAACGAATTTGACATGACAAAGATCTTAAAAGAGATCTTAAATATTTAATTAATGCTAATGCTGCATCGTTGGTCTGCTAGTTGATATCTCTCTCTCTCTGTATATATAAAAGAAAGTATATAATATAAAATAAATGGATTACAGGTCGCGGTGGCGAAGCAACGCAGTTATTACGGCGGTTAATCAACAGCAAACATCTCGAGCAATATGTGAAAAAATGGAGCATCTTAAAATAACGAATTTGATATGAAATTGTATCGTTGTTACCCAATATACCATTGAGAAAATCAATTTAGGAAACTCACTCTCAATAATATATATAAATCACTTTATTAAAATGACGTAAGTTTATTTCTAAAATAGTATAGTTTAGGGGGGCCGACGATGCAGCATAACCGCATATCATGGAGTTTCTTAAAATAACGAATTTGATATGAATTTTTTTACACCTTTGTTACCTGGTCTCACGATCCCAGTTGAGTTGTTTACTAAAATTTGTGCTCTATAGTAGTCATCATTGTTATAACAACCTTTTATTAACTACTGTGAATGTATTTCTCCTCAAAAAATGATAAAACAGCGTATGCTGCACTAGTTGATATCTCTCTCTCTCTGTATATATAAAAGAAAGTATATAATATAAAATAAATGGATTAATTATCGCAGTTATTACGGCGGTTATCTCGGCATTATCATGACATTATCATCCAGGACAGTTAGGATGGGGTTTAATTTGAATTGTTTTTCTGTTGTATCTACATTTATTTCTTTATTTTTTAGTCCAAAGACACCCCAAAATGTAAAATGTATGTTTTCAACTGATCAACTTTCTATATTGAAAAATAAATTCTGCTGTATGACATCCTTAATACTCGACCACTATATGCCATTACTGAAGCTAGTCTTCTGTAAATTGTCTATATGAAATAATATATAGTATGTAATGTCTATGTATGAGTTCCTATTAGCGAGTTGCATAAAATCTCCTACCATTTACAATGCCAACTGACTATAAACACTGACAGGTCTGTTGTCACTTAGACAAACTCGGGACAAACTACGGACAATATTGGTACTAAAAATAATCTAATGGTAGTAAAAAGCATTACATACCATAATCCTTCGCTGTCTACATGTTACCTGTATATTCACATGTTTTAGTGAGTCATATTTGTAAAATGTATCAGAATATACACTTAAATTAAAATATCACTATATATTTTATATAAAAAAATACATTAGTACTAACTCTTTGCCAATAATTTATTGGTTGATAGCATTCCATTGCAGTACTTTATGGTCAGTATCAATACGTACTGTGCTCTGTGAAAAACCAACTGTAATAGATACACTCTATAAGTCTATTAAATCCCACAGACAACTAATATATGTACACATCGGAAGTCAAAAGAGAACTGAGTTCAATCTGAGAAAATTATAACATAGCTATGGCATAAATTACGTTTATTATTACGAACTACGTACGTGCGTATTGTTATGTTAATAGTACTACGAGGTAGTAGGTAAACAAAATTTTCCTTAAGTTTTCATATAATATGTGCTTCATTTTGTATAGAATTTCCTGAGGTGTGTCAAGGATTTCTTTGCTTATTGGCAATGAACTAAATATATTCAATCATATTATAAACTGCAATTATATTATTATGATTTAATTTATTAAACAATCTGCTACTACACAACCGCAACAAAATGACAACACTAATTATTTAAATTCGTACGTTATTGACGTAAACAGGGGCTTCATCTCGACGTTATTCACAATTCTCTATTATATCGGATTAAAATGGATAGGAATGCTGATTATCTATTATCCATTATCAACCATTTGAGTGTTGCAGATGCGATGTATGCTGCTGTTCAGGTTCATAATTGCAACTGTTGATTAGTATACAACTGTAACATTGTAGAATTCAATACATTTCAAATAAGAATTGTTTGTAATATTGATACATAATTAAGGCCCCGATCCTGCTTGTGGGAATGTGGAATTATTATATTTTGACATAAATATATCATAACAGTGTATTTCACCCTAATTTAAACATCAACCTGTGTTACTAGAATTGTTCTTGTTAATTGAATTGTAAAATGTAATCTGAAAATCGAAGAGCCGAGAAGAACTGATTTGTCTTCAAACAAAACCATTCGAAACTAACGGTAGATTTGACTCGTCGCGTCTGTACACCTACATGAGTAATGTTAGATTTGATTTCATCGAAGCTGCAAACAATTGTGCAGAATGGCGAATGGCAGAATTCAAGTCGGTCGAGTGTCGCGGTCGGGCCCGCCGGCACCGCGCGCAGGAAGCAAAGCTTCCCAGCCCGAGCCCAGCCCGCCGCCGCGCCCGACCCGCCTATCGCTAATGCCCTTTGGTCGAATGCACCACTTGGCGATAATGTAAGTGTGATCTTATTACTTCTTTTTTCGAACTAGTCTAATGCTTTATTTAAATTATTAGCCGGGTCTTAACACGAATTATTTAAATAAAGTATATTAAACACGAAAGTTTAAAAGAAGTCTAATGCTGTTGGCCGCAGCCGCCCTTTACAGCTTCACCGGACGATAGGGGGCGAGTGCAGATGCCACTCCGAATCATGGAAGGACTTATGGAGCTGCTGAAGGCCAACTCCCGACTGACGGATACGACTTTAGCCTGAGGGCACCGCTAGGGGTTCGAACCTCAGCTCGGGCAGTCGTATTTTCGATTCCATTTGAATTGAACGGGGGATCGATCGGAGATACTAGCAATGTATTATATATTTATTATTATATCGTCTGTTTCGTATTATAAAAAAAAAAAGAATGATTTGTGTATATAATAATTACATATATATATCAACAGAGATATACTGCTGTCAATTATTTTAAATCGACTTAATAGTGTATATAGTAGTATAGTAGGTTCATAGATAATCAAATGTTGTGATCAACAAACATTTGTTGCCTTCAAAACAGACAGTGCTCCTGTATTTCGGTATAAAATTTAAATTAGTTCAAATATAAATACAATTTTTCACGTCGAGACGTATCATTGCTGTTTCATGAATGTTTACGTGTATATTTAATTATAGAATAGAATAGAAAATTCGTTTTTCAAATAAACACTTGCATTGAAGCACTTTTAAATAGTCATAACTTATTTTTTTTAATCTACCGATAATTCGCACAGCTGTCTCATCACAAGGAAGAGCAAGAAACTTGCGTGTTCGTTTTTTAAATAATTTAGTTTATTGCAGCAAGAAGCGATGGAGGCGTCGTCAACTGCGCAACGGGGTAGCAGTGGTGGTGGCGGAGGAGGCGCTGGCCGCGTGGAACTCTCGTGCAGCAACTGCGGCACTCACACCACAACTATATGGCGGCGTGATGCGCGCGGCGAAATGGTACGCAACTACACAGTTTGTTGTATCTACACGGCATATGTTGATGGAATGAGTCAAAAATGAGACTGAGAGACAAAGAAATAAATTTAAACTAACTTCGTTTGGGCACTTTACAAAGTATTTTGTCGGAACTTGATACAAAATATTCTTTTTTAATTTATTAAGAGCATAAAAGTTTAAATCAGTGATATTTGTCATTAAAGTAGATTAGATCTAATCTAAATATAAAATACTAGCTTACCCCTCAAATGTTGTTTGCCGTATAAGTTAAAATCGCTACTAGAAATAGGGGTTGGTGATAGAAGGGTGAAAATTTAGGGTTGTATGTATTTTTAAATGCACATTATATGAAAATGAAAAAATAAAATATTGTCCAAAAAATATAAAATTAAATGTTAGGGGTGGCTGGTATTGGGGCTTGAAAAGTAAAAATAGATAGTAGACGACTCTCAGATCTAATGAACTTGCATACAAAATTTCATAAAAATCGGTCAAGCTGTTTTGGAGGAGTGTGGTAACTAACATTGTGACACAAGAATTTTATGTATGATCTAGCTGTCCCGGCAAACGTTGTTTTGCCATATAAATTAATAACGCTATAAAAAATAGAGGTTGTTGATAGAAGGGTGAAAATTTAGAGTAGTATGCATTTTTAAATACAAATATTGAAAAAAATTTTTTTTTATTTACGCACCCTTAACACTTAGTGGTATAAAAATTAGTTATAAACCTATTCTCAGACTTCTGAATATACATATAAACTTTAATAAAAATAGGTTAAGCCGTTTCGGAGAAGTATGGTAGCTAGCATTGTGACACAAGAATTTTATATATATGATTATGATGTCCTGTTTTGTATGAGTGACGTGTGTAATATGTTGTATGTAGGTGTGCAACGCGTGCGGGCTGTACTACAAGTTGCACGGCGTGCCGCGCCCCACGGCCATGCGGCGAGACACCATACACACGCGCCGCCGCCGCCCGCGACACGACGCCAAGCACAACAGGAACAGTCAGTACCCACGGAAATATAAATAATCTATATTCAACTAAGTCACATTTTTTATTCTACCACTCATTAGAATAGAATAGAAAATGCTAAATTCAAATAAACTTAATGTGAGCACTTTTGAACAGTCATAATTATTTTTAACTTTATATAATAAAATAATATACGTATCTAATATTATTGGCGTTTCAGGAATGTTTATGTGATTATTTAATTATAGAATACTAGCTGTACCCGCGACTTCGTCCGCGTAAATAATGAAAAAATATTTAACACAATATAAGTCAAATAAATAAGTTTCATCATTTTAGCTTAAAAAATGATAAAAAATAAAAATAAATATTTAATCAATAGGCTAAAAAATAAATTTCAATCTTCTAATCTTCTTCTTCAACAGTCTCAACAATAAGTTTCAAGCTTCTAGCTTCAAAAATGACGAATTTACATAAAAACTTGCATCCCCTATTTCACTTTACCCCCTTAAGGGTAATTTTTTTACAAACAATGAATGTCATATTCATATGTATTTATATTTAGTCAACAGTCTCAACAATAAGTTTCAAGCTTCTAGCTTCAAAAATGACGTTTTTACATAAAAACTTGCATCCCCTATTTTATTTTACCCCCTTAAGGGTAATTTTTTTACAAACAATGAATGTCATATGTATTTATATTTAATCAACAGTCTCAACAATAAGTTTCAAGCTTCTAGCTTCAAAAATGACGATTTTACATAAAAACTTGCATCCTCTATTTTATTTTACCCCCTTAAGGGTAATTTTTTTACAAACAATGAATGTCATATGTATTTATACTTAATCAACAGTCTCAACAATAAGTTTCAAGCTTCTAGCTTCAAAAATGACGTGTTTACATAAAAACTTGCATCCCCTATTTTATTTTACCCCCTTAAGGGTAATTTTTTTACAAACAATGAATGTCATATGTATTTATATTTAATCAACAGTCTCAACAATAAGTTTCAAGCTTCTAGCTTCAAAAATGACGAATTTACATAAAAACTTGCATCCCCTATTTTACTTTACCCCCTTAAGGGTAATTTTTTTACAAACAATGAATGTCATATGTATTTATATTTAATCAACAGTCTCAACAATAAGTTTCAAGCTTCTAGCTTCAAATATGACGAATTTACATAAAAACTTGCATCCCCTATTTTACTTTACCCCCTTAAGGGTAATTTTTTACAAACATTGAATGTCATTTTTATTTATATTTAATCAACAGCCTCAAAAATAAGTTTCAAGCTTCTAGCTTCAAAAATGACGATTCTTCCATACAATCTTTCATCCCCCCTTTTAACCCCTTACAACCCTTTTTTCGCATTAAAAAGTAGCCTATGTCCGTTCTCAGGGTCTAGACTATCTGTATACCAAATTTCATTCAAATCGGTTCAGTAGTTTTGGCGTGAAAGCCAGACAGACAGACAGAGTTACTTTCGCATTTATAATATTAGTTTTTGTCGCAGCACAAAAATATATTTTTATAGTTTCCGTACAAATAGTAATTTTACAGTATTAATCTACAAACCAACATTTTGTTTCTTACAATCAGCTAAATAATTTAAATAGTTTCATAATATATGACACAATGAAAAAGTCATTTATTTTATAAAAAAGGCAGTTAGTTTCTATTTTAGTGAAAAATAAGAAAATTCTATTTTGATACAACAACCATATATTTATTAATACCTATACTTTATTATTTTTGTGTTAATGCTTTTTAAATAAACACCCACACATTATTACTGTATAACCTACAAAAATGGGTAAATAATTTAATTTCGGATAGTGCCACACCACAACACTCTTTAAAAAATGTAAATAATAAAATGTGAAGAATTTGTGATTGTTATTAAGTTTATTTTTAATATGTTCGTCAGAACAGAGAAACAACATTTGACATTTATTATTATTTGACATTTGACATTGACTTTAATTTTTGTAATTTATATTGTAAAACTTTAATTGGGCTAAACAGGACTTGTATCCCAGAGCCGTAAAACAAATTAATAAAAAAAATTTCCAAATTTGTCTCGCAATCGGCCAATTTCAGGTTTAAAGAAAAAACACATACACACGATATACGATTTTATCATAAAAAAGTGTCAAAAACAATATTTTCGCTAAACGTCAACGTCATGTTTTCGGCAAGATCTTTCGTTTTACATTATGTTATCTGTGGTTTTGTTCTCTGTGATGGATACCTTATTGGCGCAAACGCACGCGATGTGTTGATTGGTTGTTAGCTAGTGAAATGAAAAGATGGCGAATGGCGCAAACGCACGCGATGTGTTGATTGGTTGTTAGCTAGTGAAATGTAAAGATGACGAATAAGTATTCAACCGCATAAAGATAACCTTGTATTTCCATTTTGAACCCCTTACAACCCTTTTTACGCATTAAAAAGTAGCCTATGACCTTCCTCGGCGTCTAGACTATCTGCGTACTAAATTTCATTTAAATCGGTTCAGTAGTTTTGGCGTGAAAGCGAGACAGACAGACAGACAGACAGACAGAGTTACTTTCGCATTTATAATATTAGTAAGGAGTAAGGATAATAGAAAATTCTTTCTTAAGCACTTTTGAATAGTCATAGTTATTTTTTAATCTACCGCTCATTCGGAAAGCTCTCATCACAAGAAGAACGAGCAAGAAACGCGTGTGTTGGTCTTTCAAATAAACATTGTTCTAAGTAATTACTTCATTATTATTACATAGTCACCCATTACTTGTCGACACATATGTACTGGTCTTTTAATATTGTAACCTCAGCATGCCTAGTTATATCATGCAAAACAAATAATAATAACTGTGGATAATTCCCACAGCATCATCTAGTTACAAGCTAAGCAGTGCTTGTGTTATGGGTACTAGACACTTGATAGTCTATTACATTTTTTGTATATGCATAGTTGATAAACACTCGGACTGATCACACAATCAAACTAAATCATTGAGCGATGACTCGAATCCGCGTACATTGGAAGTAAGTTGGTGTACTGAATCACTAGATGGTCATTCATTCAATAACATAAGAAACGAAAGAAGGAAAAAGAATGAAAAACAATACACTAAGACGGGAGAACAAATGGAAGTTTTGCAGACAAAGGTAAAAGCTATTATTTGTTCCCGCTAATTCCAGCATTAATCACGTGTTTTTACAAAACGGTTTTAAATTTTCTAGAATGCAAAAGTCTGTTCAGTAATTCTCCTACAACGAGACCTGTTCCGCCAGTTATTCTACCGGTGTGCGCACTTCGTACGAGTGAGTGAGTGTAGTATTGCACTTGCAGAGTCTCGGCGGAGCGGCGGTGGCAGCGGGCCAGCGGAAGCGGAGGCGTGCGCGGGCGGCGGCGGCGGGGGGGGCGGCGGCGGCGGGGGGGAGGGCGCGGAGGAGGCCGTGCTGGCTGCACTGCGGCGGCAGCTGCAGCCGCACCTGCTGGCCGCGCTGCACGCGCACACCGCGCACTCGCCCGCGCACCCGCGCCCGCAGGTACGCGCCCCACCTCCCTCACAGCCAGACATACCAAACCGTCACCACTGACACCCCTTCCGTATGATACCCCGTGTATTTCAATTTTTTTTAAACGCAAAATTAATCAAGTATTGGTATTAATAATTTTCTATTTCTCTTTCTATTATGGGACGTAGAAGAAATTACACTCGTCACCTAATATAAGGTCGTACCTAACCCCTTTACTAATATATAAAACTACCAACATATTTTAACTTGTCGTTTTTGTGATAGGTGGGCCTTAACGCACCAGAGTATGACGAGGCGCCGCTAAACTTGGTGGCGAGCCACGTGGCCGCCGAGGAGACCCACTGACTGCCCCACACTGTGATATCAACACGCCCCCACGCTCACTCATCCCAGAAACCATTCAAGTATCAATTTCCATACAAGATTAGCTCAATTCAACCCTGCTAATTGTGAATCTGTTTTTATTTACAATCACGTTCTTCCTGAATAATATTCTTTTTCCCAGTGTTGCATGTACATGTATTTATTTCTCTCACCTAATATTACTACGAGCATTTTGCAATGGTAGGAATAATAAATAGAGATAAGTAATAATAGTCGCCTATTGTAAAATGATCGTTGTGATATTATTGGATCAAAGTATAAACTTTATTCAGAATAGGGTATATAATATTTATAATTTATACGATATATGTACTACATGCAACAAACACATTATATTTTAGTGATAGTATGGCCAGTGTAACAACAATAATCAAAGAATACTTGGTGTATTCTAAGTGTTAATATATTGTTTCTAATTATATATTTAGATTTAGACTTTATCTACTTAGTACTATTTGGAATTATTAGTTATACTTTAAGTATATCGGGTATATAATTTTTATATTTATGCATTTTTACCATGTGAACTAAATATTTTTTCGTGTTTACAAAGTTACTTAATAATTTTAGAATTTGCAGAAGCCCAAAATAGCGATTTTGTTGTTGAGTTTCTGGTCAGTATTAAATGACTACAACAATATATAATAACACTTAGAATAACCATATGTCAATGTGTTTAATGAATCTCCACATGACCTAAAGGTGATATTGTGTAACAATGATATTATTTAAAGAAGTATTAGTCTTGAAAAGCAGGGCATTATGTAACCGGGTAGGGAGGGCGCAAAAGCAATATGCGTACGTTGTCATTGTTAGTGCCTATTTATTGTATAGAGTTGAGACCGTGACGATTGATGTTTCTGACATGTGATATGTATGATTAGTAGTATCATGCATTGGTGATACAACTGTTCTCGTATGTTCTAATGCGCGGGAGTGACGCGATCAGTTGTATGTATGTATGTAATTATGTTAGTGTGCCTATTACGTTCGAAAGGATCGTCCGGACGGACTATGCATAGTTGCCAATATAAGAAATCTCATTCGAAATAAATTGATATTATCGGGTTTTGTTGAAACCTAGCCTTACAATGCTCTCTGAATTGATGAAATTATATTTACGGTTACCTATTGCAGGAAGCAAGTATTCATTTAGGTTTAGTTCATTTTAAGATATTGTACATTTATTTACTTAGAAGTAGTAACACTTATGTTAAGTTCATAAATTATAGTTATCTAATTTATTTCCCATTTCGGTCAGTATTTACAGTGTAAGTATTTTTTTTACTTCTTTCAAGTATTCTTTAGTTAAGTATACAAAATGTAAGAAGCAATAATGACAAACAATTTTTATAAATCTCATGTATGAATACCATATTAGAGAATAGGATTTAATACATATAAATGATAAAAAGAGCAATAATTTACAATAGTTAATGTTCTGTGGATATGTAACATAACCACAATGTGTTGTTTACAGATGTTCTATTGATGTATTTACAAACCGTTAGTATTGGCAATATCTTAGTAGATATTATAGGAACGATATTATTTTAGGAACAACTTAATAATCCACTAAAATTAATGGGCATTTTGGTAGTTTAAGTGTTCGGATACGTACCTATATAACTAACACTACGGCATTATTTTTGAGTTCACCTTTTACCGAATTCACCTCGTTACGGTCAGTGTTATGTGTATGTATGTATAACAAAAAGCATTTATGTAGTCTCAAATACGAAGCGGACCTAATTTATTTTGTTACCGCTTCCAATTTTATTTTTTTATCTGTGAAATTTGTCACCGTCCCTTATTTAACGTCTCTACTTAATTTAGTGATAGGTCAGTTTGTCGAACCCCACGGGCCAGTAATATGCAGCAGTCTGTGAGACATTGTGATATACTAAGGTAGATAGGGCTCGATCATTGCTATAGTTGAGACCTAAACATGTGATTTTATTGCAGCTAAACTCTTTAATAATACTTTCATGTCATGCTTACGTATTTAAGAGCTTTAAAATTTGAGATTATTTATTCATTATATTATTGGGATTATTATCTAGGTAGTGATTACTATTTAGTATTGCTTACTCCTATATTTCGGAATAGCAGTTCGACAATAAATATTAATGACCTTTAGTACGTAAATGTTAAATTTGCTCTCTACTCAGCCTATTTAGCTCTCTCTCTATTCATGTAGGAGAATTTTGTCTACACTCTATTGAATTTATATCCGCACGAGGATGTGCATATTTTTCTAAATTATATTAACATCCGACTCAGTTGCATTGGAATTTTATTTTTTAATTATTTTGTACGAAATATCATTATATAAATACTAATGTATCGAAAGGTTACAGACAATTAATGTATAATTGTATTTGAATGACCGGTGTTGTTTTATATTGAGATGATGTGATCGCATCATTAACATTTCATCAGTCTGCACTAATATTGCTGCTAGCAGTAGTGACACAGTATTATTTTCTACTCTGTACAATTTCTTAGGTTCGAAGTGTACTACTAGGGTACAGTTTTATTATTTTTATACTTTATTAGTTATATAATATAGTTGACATCCGAATTTATTTATATTGATTGTGTACATAATGAATGGGTTAATCTATTATTTGGCAAAACGCTGAAATATGTTTTATTTCATTATTTTGTTACTCCCTCCACTTGTAAACACGCACGGCAATTCACTAACCGACGTTCCAACATGTTTGATGTGGAAATTTGATTATGTAATATATGAACAGCTACAATCGACCCATAGTGTAAGTGTACAACGGATATTGTATAAGCAATCTCGTAAGCGCGATCTTACTGTGTTACTTGTTAATGCAGTATTTTGAACAACTCTTTCAACTGTTCATATATCGCATATCTACAGTAGCTACCCTCATGATCTTCCAATTTGGTTATTTACTATTTAGTTTAAATGATGGATGTATTGGTATTAAGTGTTGATGAACAATATAATTTTATGTCATTTAGCTACTAACAAACCGGTTGTGTTGTGTGTGCTTATGCTCTAACAAGCATGTGTTTGTGATTTTGTTTTTTTTCTCTCCTGTCAAAGAGCTGCAAATATGTACCAATTTGTTTTATTTATAATTTATGCTGAAATATTGGCTTTACTTTTTAGATATTCCATTATTTGTAACAGCATTACTCAAAAACTAAAGACTGACAAAGTTTGGAGAACAAATTATGTTCTTTATATGTTAACCAATCAAGCACCCCGCAGCTATATTCGAAACGAAAGTATTTTTATTCGAATGTGATAATATATGTTTGAGAATGAGGTGTGTGTTTCCGAAAGCAATAACATTGTGATAAGTAATGACGACCTGTACTCAAGACTCAAGTCAGAATTATATTCTGGATAATAAATAATTAATATTGTCAATTATAAAAATGTAAATATGTTGCTCGGTTAAGTTCACAATTGCTGGTTACGTAGCATCAATATTTTCAGATTAGATTAGTAAGGTATAGTTTCCGAGTCTATACTTATATATTTATAGATATAAAAACAAGTACTTACCCAGAAGTTGTGAGATTGACTGTGCAAACCCAACTATGTCATTCAATAAGATCATATAATTGGAGCAACCTAATCTATTAATATTTTATAAGAGTAGATATCTGTTGGCGGTTATATTTTTACTGTCAATATTTACTACTTGTAAGGTTATATTCTCAAAATAGAAAGCTTATGGACCATTTGTTATTTGTTGTCGTGAAATTACTGTATGTATTAATCGTAAGTTTCAGCATAAATTATTCGATTGAGATTTTTCGTATGAAGACGTGGGCGAAATACTCATTGTGAAAACATTAGTTATTGTTGTATAGATGATAAATAATGTGACTTACGCAGGGATGGATACTTAAATTATTAAAATTTTAACTGATATATTGGCTATGTAGTGAGTAGAATATTTTTTTACAAATAAATTATAGCAGCTATTTCTTTGTTTTATTTACTAACTTTATTGGTACCTAATACTGCATAAATAGCTAATGTACTGCGGGAGGAGAACTGATGTTTGTTTGTGTCGACTAATATAGGTATTGACCAACAGATTGTTTTTATACACTGAATATAATTACAATACCCATGCAAAGTAAATTTGGATAGAAGAACATTACCTGGAAATCAAACCAGATCATTGGAAGTAAAACGGTGTCACCGAAGCTATCAATCCCCGTAAATATATTCAATTTAAATTAATATATTTTCAAATATTTTATCACTACACGATTTAACTAATATATGCTAATATTAAATTATTAGACAATTAATAATTATAGCAAATCATTTAGTATAATAATTATAGACATTTGGAACTATAAAAAGTAAACAAACTTACGCAGAGTAACTTCCATCGAATGTTCAAATAGTATCTCTACCAGGAAGGAGTAAAATACCAGTAAACAGTATAATTATTTATTAGACAGCTATGTAACAGTGACTATAGGTCGCTTGACTGCGCGGCGACGGCGGACGGCGCGCTGTGCGACAGTGGTGGCGGCCTGGAACGACAACTCGCGTCCGCGGGCCTCCGCCTCGCGCCGCGCCCACTGTAGAGCGTGCACGTTGTACCCCACCACGTCCTGCATTTTTAAGGGGTGGTTGTATTGTTTGTCTTTTTAATTATCAGCCTTCAGACACATTGGTATGTGTGAGAAAGTGGCTTGTTTTCACTCGCCGTTTAGAACGTAATGGCCACATGACGTCAGCAGTGTGCGCTAGAGACGACATAATGCTACCTTCCTTCTCCTTTCCACATACATATGTATAATGTATATTGCAGTAATAATAATTATTATTAATGTTTCCTAGTTGTTCCCGCTGTTTCACCCGCCAAAAATTTAAAACCTATGCTTTCTGATGTATAAGCTGTATTGCAAAGTTTCATTAAAATCTATTTAGTAGTTTTTACTTGACACTCCCAAACTTCAACGTCTATAATACTTAGGCTACTGATTGCCCATATTATATATAACTTATAGACTAAAAACCATTTGAAATAATAAAATATTTATTGGGCTAGTACCCGTTACTAACAATCCTCTAATGTGGATAGTCCACTATAATATAATAGTTAACGTACTTCGAAGGTGGTTCTCAAATGTTTTCTATCGTAAGTCTACATTTTCAGGAATACAAAAGTCTTAAGTGATTTCAATATGTCGCTTGATTACACGCTTTTTCGCTCCAAATTCGAATATATCTTCGAGAATAAATCTGAGTATATTTTAACTTTTTCTAATTGAAAACGTTTGTTGGTCTGATACTCATTACATTAAGGAATCTCAATTCTAAAAGAATCGAGATTCCGTAATGTAATAATAATTATGATTTAAAGTGATGTCTTTTAAAAAAAGTAATTTTATCACATTATAGTAAAATTAAATAAAGCGAAGATAAAAATATATTTAATAATAATTACCCTTAACTCATTGAGTCTCATATTGGCCTTCGCTTGTATCTGTATCATGTGCTTGAAGAGAGATTTGTTAGCGACAATAGGTGCGTGGTGCACCCTCAGGAGGAAGATGGCAAGTCTACAGAATAATTCGGTGTGATCACCGCGGTCTAACAATTTCGGTAGCAAGCGCACTATCTCACACGCTGAGTTGAACGGTACCAGGAGCAGTGCTTCCTCCAAATCTCTGAAAAGAGCGCGACAATTATTTTAATCAAAACTTATTGCTTCTTGAGACCTGCCTCAATGCATGCTCCCTAATTTCCATTCATGCGATTAAGAAATTAAGAAAAAAAAAAATTGGGGTATATTTTGTACAACGTCGTCTACATGCCTCTCTTTGATCTATTTCAGGCACTTAGCAATTTTTTTTAAGCTGTGGTTCGATTGTAGAGTATATGGCATATGAGTGTTACCACAAGCATTACATGCTGACGTAGTACTCATGTCAATGGTCAGTTAACAATAGGCGGCCAGCTTGTTTTCCAGTGAATTTAAATCTACCCATTTTTGTGTCCATTCCGTATTTATAACTAAATCTATCTATTAACACGTGAAGCTAAAACTTTGTGCCCTTTATACGAAAATTTACGTATGTAGGAGTATGAAATTTCTCACTTCTCAACGCAATTCTCTAGTAGAAATCATACAAAATTATTATTATACTAACGTAGATCGTATTCTCTTAATGGTTTCGACGAAGAAATCCTCGGGTGTGGAGCTGCCGTATGCGGCCATCAATAGTGGCGGTGCCACATGACGTCCGCGCGCTTCGATTAATTCACGTTTATACTCCGCGCCAACCGACAAACACTCCATCACTGAGTCAGCCTACACAACAAACAATTCGAGAGCGTAAATTAAATTAAATTTACTAATAATATACAACATTTTAAGTTACTAACTATAATTAAAAAACGGGTGACACCGTTCGTTGCTAGAACAAATGTACCTCATAAGTCGTAACGTGGTTTGCGTTACGACTTATGAGGTTGAGACAGTTGAAATTAACAATATTCCAATTAGAAATTTGTGACATTGCATTTTTCGGATTAGCCTATGTCTAAACAAAGAAATAGAAAACTCACCCCATCCACACCGATTACAAGGTTATTTTTTGAAAATTTGTACATTTTATATTCTAAGGGACAACCAAGCATGCGACTCATTTGCTATAAAACGATTACCGCCGCCACCAGAGGAATTGCCTGAATTATAGGTGAGTTACCAGATATTTAGGAAGGTATCTACCATTTTCTTGAAATTCATATTGTACTTACAGCTTTTTCCGCCCCAATCGTTTTCTTAGTGGGCATCGTTAAACCAGGCAGACCGGGAACTGGAGCCTGTTACGACAAATAAGTATATTATTAGTGTATATCATACGCTGCATATTATGAATATTACGTCTTCACAAATACATATCAGTAATTTTCTATTAAAGAAGTTAAAAAAGACTGAATTATTTAATTTTCTAATTGGATATTTAAACACATTATATCAAACTTTAAACAGTTATGCATAATGTGTACACAGCCTCTTTACTTATCGTAATACAATCACATTCCAATTTTTATTCACCCTGTCAGTTGTTCCAAATGGATATCATAAAAATTGTCAGTTAAAAAAGTTAGATATGATCGAAATAGTTAATTAATATTTTTACTAATTTACGCTACGATTTGATGTTTACGGTATAGTATGTAAGTTAATATTCAGTGTATAAAGTATAATTGTACATAGTAAGTATAAGTTATGGAGTTTAAAAAATTAAGTAAATATGGTGTAAAATTACTTAATGTCTATATAAATATGAAGTATCGTAGAAGTCATCTACGGTCACTCGACGGTGACCTAATAAATAAATAAATTTGTTTTCCGTAAATAGGTTAGGGTGCGTAGCGCTCACCCGGTCGGGGCCGGTGGCGAGCCCGAGGTCCTCCTCTTGGGTGTCGCCGAGCACGAGCGGCTGGTCGGTGCGGGAGTAGAGGCGCAGCGCGCGGTCCGACCCGCACGAGGCCGCCACCAGCCCGCCCGCGCCCACCGACAGCCCCCAGCACGCGCCCGCGTGCCCCTGCGCACACGTCCATACATTACTACCATTCGCGCTATACAGATATGCACAGCGGATACAACACTGTGTTAAATATAAATAAATATATGCTAGATACTCACTATACAGTTGGGTAACAAAAGAGAAGTTAAAAATTATTTATTTGCTGTTCATTCAAATAACATTAAAGAGAAATTTTCAAATTATATTTTACACAAAATAATATATCACTCTACAAATAAACTTACTTCGCAGGGTTTTCGGGATTTTTATATTGCAGGCAATGCTTAGTTCCAATAAAATTTTATTAGTAATTATTGTCGTTCTTAATGCTTGTACACTTTCTAAATTTACACATTCATCTTCAAGCATATTATTTCAATGTACTTACATTTAAGGTAATAATATTATCGTAACTGTCCGCATCCCATTGCTTCACCTTCCCATCTTTTGAACTTGTAAAGAAGTAATGCGTGCTCGGTATAAACTGCAAAGCTGTCACCGAATCGTTATGAGCAAAAATTGACTTGTGGCAATCTCCAAAATCCATTCCCCATATTTTGACATTTCGGTCCGCAGAGCCTGTTGCAATTATGTTTGAATCATAACTAATGTCCAGACATAGAACAGGCAGTTTGTGTCCATACAGAGATAGGTAAAACTGTAAAATATAAAAACCGAACTTAAAGTTTATAAAAAACATTTGTATTTAAAAAATATCCAAAAACATTTAGAAAAATAAAATACATATATATACAAGTACATAATTTTTATTTTACCTTAAAAGTATCAAGGAAGAATATCTTAACAGTAGAATCTAGGAGTCCCACAGCAATGAATTTATTGTTGGGGCTTATTTGTACTGATAGGACAGCTTCCTCCAATTCTAACGTCCGCGTATGTAAAACTGATAGTACCTGAAATATGCATGTGGCTTGAAATGTAATGAAATAAATTCAAAACACAATATAGTATCAGTTGATTTCAAATTCACTTGAGACTATGTATTAGACTGATTCTAGAATAACAATTAGTGAGCTTATATCTAGAAATACCAATTCGAGTAATGAAACTGTTAGTACCAATTCTCAAACGCCGTGGTTGGCTCATAAAAAAAGAAATGGTGTGTTGAGATAGATTATTAAAGCAAAATATATACAGAAAAAAAATATGATATCATAGGTTTACTCAGAAAATTACTATGTAGCAAATAAAAAAAAAGGTAAGTATAAATGATTAATTGTGAAGAATGTATATATAAACTGATAGTGTAATAAATTACAAACCTTAGCTTTAGATTCACCCGTTGGGTCGGGTATAAGTTCGAATCGCCACAATTTAACCGTTTTATCTCCACCGCCGGTGAAACAGCCAAGCTGTAACATTTTAATATTATGTTTATTAAGGTTTAAGCAATTTAAATTAATTTCTCACTAACAACAAAGAATTTTATTTAATTAATAGGACTTACAAATTACATTTAGAATAAATACGGTAACCGTTTACTTTTAGATAGGTACTCATCGTAGCAGGCATCGTAGTATCCTACTAATATTATAACGCTAAAGTTTATGATTATGGGTGGATAAATGGATGGATGTATGTTTACTACTCTTTCACGCAAATACTATTTAACGGATTTTGATAAAACTTTACAATGATATAACTTATACATAAGAATAATATATAGGGTATAATTTAAACAGATATTACGTAAATTGGGCGAAATATAATGATAAATATAAAGTAAGTGAGACATAGCGAAGTTGCGGGGTCAGTAACAAAAATGACCTTGTCGGGCGTGAGTCCGACGACGGCGCAGTCGGTGGTGTGCGCGGGTATGGCCTCGAGCAGGCGAGCGGCGGCCACGTCCAGCACGAGCAGCGAGCCGTCGCCGGCGCCCACCAGCGCGTGCCGGTCGCCGGGGGCGAAGCACGCGCACCACACGCGCCCGCACCCCACCGGGATCGTACGTACGCACGTCTGGTTCGCTCTGACATTTCATAAACGAATAAATAGAATAGAAAATTCTACCAACGTGCTTAGTTATAAAGTGGATAAAAGTTTCAATTAGAAATATTAAAGTAGTTTAGACGTAATATAAATATAAAATATGCCATTAATTCAGAAGCTAAGCTCCTAAATAAATAGAGAAAAAACTACACTACTGTATTTATATTACAAACATAGATATATTTGTTATAATACCTACTGAACTTATTTATCGGACTACGTTTTATTTTGCGAAAGTCCATTTTGTTATATGTTATTTACAACTAATACATGCAACTATACACATGATTACACGTTAATATAAATGTTTGTATTGTATAGAGAGTGACCATTACATATGTTACTGCAAGTTCGTCTTTTAAAAGAAAAGATGTATACAAACCTGTTCCAAAGTTTAACAGAATCTGCAGCGGCCGATAGTATAGCTAAGTTATCAGAACTAATAACCACGCAATGGGGTTCCTTTTGATGGCCAGGTTGTGTAATCTGCTTCAGGCATTTTACTGTAATAATTAATTTTGTTTATAATTTCTATACAAATATATTATTAAAAATTAAAACTGAGCATAATATTAACTTTTAATTTTTCTAGTGCATATGTTACAGGAATAATGGTATGACCAAGGCATGGCAATGATTTTTACATTGAAATATAATTATTTTCACTCTAATTAAAGTCAAATTTTATGAAATTGATACGTATGCTTAATTCGACTATAATTTTGATAATCTTGTCAGCCTTGCGCGTAAAGAAGTTGATAAGTTTATAATAATTTTGCTTTTGTTTGCAAAATTAATATCCATATATAATAATATAATATAATATGTGAATTTTGTTCCAAAGGACGCTATTTCATAGTTTCCTTTATTAATATAGGTATATCCGCGCACATTCTCTCTGATGCATTCCGATGCAAACTCTCTCACATATTATATATAAATGTATGTAATAGAATTTCATAATATACCTTCATTTCCTTCTTCCATCTTCAAACTATGTAATTCAACTGTATTATTAGCTAATGTAACTCCTACACGAAGCTCACCGGTGGTACCCAAAAGCAAAGTAGTTGACTTCAACTTAGCACCTAACTTTACCGACGGTAACCTACGTACTTCATCTGTCAAAGTGAGTAATTCTGGTATTTCTTCCACATTTGCATCTGTTTCACCACTTTCTTTTAATTTTCTGTAATAAAATAAAACATTGTATATGAAAACCTGAAAATATCAGTGAACATACTGCTACAAAACTACCTATAATAGATAAACTGGCCAAGTGATTTGGTATAGAATTTTCGAATATCTCTCCCCTAGGACTGATGTAATTTCTTGAACCTATTTAGCTCTTACGACATTCTGGGAAGGACATATCCTTTGCGATAAAATGGAAAGTTATAGAAATATAAAGTTGATATTTCAGTTTATTTATGAAACAATTATAATACTAAATATATAAAATTTCATACTATCCCTACAGCCATAAAAAGATTGAAGTGATAAACACTTGCAGGCACAGAAGAATTATAAATATTAAGATAACACTTACGCCAACTTCTTCCTTTGTTTTTTTATACGTTTATCCATTCTCTTTTTTGCTTCTTCATCAGAGCAGAAAATAAAAAGCTCCAATAGCGAGTCAGTCCCATAACAAGATAGTACAGTCTGTCCAAGGTCTGTACTGAGTCCAACTACGCGACCTTTGCCACCACGCACTAAAGTACCTACTTGATGACACTGAAGTACCTAATGAAAAAAATATCCCTAATGTAACCCTTTTTTCAGAAATTAGTAATGTTACTGACTTAAATACTTTTATAGTAATAAGAGCTGTTAGCCCTAAAATAATGTTTAATTTACGGCTAACAGCGCTTATTACAAAGAAATAAGGGTTATAGGAAAATTAGAAAGATGCTTCTAATTAGCACAATTTTTAATAATAACAACCAATTCAAGAATGTTAAATTGTACAACTAACTACTAGGTTTAAAAAACTGTATAACAAGTATTAGGTTTCAATAAAATATATTCATACTACTGCTACTAAATAAAGTCTGTATGAATACATAACAATACAATCACTATACTTTCTGTAAGTAATACAAATGAGACAAAATTCAGGCAAAACAAAATACAGATATTATATCATATTTGTAATGGTCACTTACTGAACTATCTTCAGTATTGTCAGTCTCTTCAATTTTCACAATCTCCAGTTGTCGAGATAATTTATCTTCATCTTTCACATCATTCATCCAGTTCAGCTTCCAAACACGCAGCTCTTGATCCATACTGCCTGTTACTAAATATCTCTCTTCTTTGATTAGTACTGCTGACCACACCTTAAAACAATTAATATGGCAGGTACAATTCAGTTTTCACAAGAGTTGCTATGACCATTTTATTTACTATACACAAAAGCAAACATTTGTATAATCCAATGTTAAGACTTAAAATTGAAGAGTAATTTTCTTAATCTTATATATAAAATTCTCATGTCACAATGTTAGTTACCATACTCCTCCGAAATGACTAGACCGATTTTATGAAATTTAATATGCATATGCAGTATTAGAGAATCGGCTACTATTCTATATTTTTCATACCCTAAGTGACAAGGGATGTCAGTCACCAACCCCTATGTTTTAATAGCAATTACTTATTTATTTTACCACACTTTTTACTCCTCTTTATTACAGTATTAAGTTTAAACTCTGGGTAACAAACCTCCATTTGATGTCCTCCCAATGTCTTGAAGCAATGCTTAGTTTCAATATCCCAGAATTTAACAAAAGTGTCTTTTGAAGAGCTCACTATGCAGTTCTTTCCATTGATGAATAGAACACTAGTTACTGCACCCTTATGACCACTGACCCTGGCTATACCTGTCTCTGATACTATGTCCCAAAGAATCACCTCTGTGTCCTATAAAACATATATTTTTTAATATTTTGGACAATGTCAAACACAAGAACAACACATGCCTGGGGTATATCACTTTAGTGCTAGGTGTTCAAAACACAAACAAATAAAATGTGTTTCTGTATAAACGAGTTCAAATTTATACCTTAGAACCAGACACCAATCTGTGTCCCTGTTCATCATACTGCAAACATGTAACAGTTGAGCTATGTCCGGAGAATACACACAGAACTTCATTGTTGATGAGGTCAAATACATTGATATTGCCATCAACATATCCCACAGCCATATGATTACCAGTAGGACTAGCACAGATTTGTGATACTACTATATTTTCACCAGGAAGCACTTGAGCCTGAAAATAATGTTATATTTTATGTTAGTATTTTTTTATGTCTACTTTGGGACAAAAGTTTGTGAAATGTAGTAAAACACTAGGGTTACTATATCATTTCAACCTTTTGGATTTATATCCATCATTTGGACTCAAATAAAGTTGACCCAAAAAGTTTTTGTGTTTCAACTTAAATTTTTTACTGACTCAAGTATAGGAAACACACATAATAAATTAAAAACCAATCTAAGAGACAGTGTTAGTGAGTTCATTGAAGATTTAGTGAGTTCAAGCCCATTCGACATTAAAACAAGACAATAACTTTTGGTTGTCAATTTAAATTATTCACTCACTCGCTGGGTATGCTAATGAAGCATTTCACTAACCTTCTCTCCGAGTCTCATGTCCCAAATGATGACATGCTCACAAGCTCCAACAGCAATATATCTTCCACTAATACCTTTCAAAGATATGTGAGTACTGTTGCATTCAGCACTTGTGATAACGTTAAATGTACCGCTAGGTGCGTATCGCAAATATTGTTTCGTGAGACCCATGGCAATATTAAAAAAAATAAAAACTTGCAATCCTATAATCCTTATACTTTACACGCCTCGCATATTTAATTTAAATATAGAATATATTATGAATAAAATATTTCCGGATAACACAAAACTAGTTTCTATGTAACACTAATATTTTTTCAATGATATATTAATGAGTAAGATATATAAAACAATTATAATATACACACTGATATCTTTTATTTACTTTATTGTGATAAAAGTTAGAAATATCAAGATCAAGCGTAAGACCACATGGTGATGACATTTTCATTTTGTATTTCTATTCCATCAATGTCAAACTGTTAAAAAAACATTTCTAATATTTTACTTATATAGTATTGACTCCTTCTCTCACGCAGTAATGCTGTTATCGAATATCTTGCTCACTCAATCCTTGTTTCTCTATTCTAATATTCTGACCTAGAGCTTAGTGTCTGTGATCTGTGATCTGCTACTTAACCTATATTGTATAAATTACAAAATTACTCTATACATGTTAGCTTACATGCAATACTATTATTCTGATTGAATTATCTAATTAATATTTCTTCATGTTTCGGCGTGAACTACAAAGATACAACTTATTGTTTTGAGGATATTAAGCTCTTATTTCTAGCTGGTACAAGATCGCCATCAGGTTATTATGTTACTCAACAAAACCAGGTTTATTGTTTTTCTTAATGATCCAACGTCATGTCCCATGCCTAAATTATATTCAATTGGTTAACAACCGATCAATGAGCCTTATAGATTTGTTTTGTATTTCTAGACTGGTGGGTTTCACGAGTCGTACTCGCAAAAGCAATATGGAAGGTAACTCCACGTCAGACATTGTGATTTTGAGCGGCAATTCACACCCGGAATTGGCAGACTTGATCGCTAAGTAAGTATATATTTACCTTAGGAATGGAATCTTTTTAATGTGTTGTTACAAAAACAATCATTGTACTATTAACATGTTTATTGTTTCGACCCCTAATTTTCTTAATTTCGTTTAGTTTTTATTGCGTTATAGTATCCAAGCTTGATCTGAAATTTCAGTACTATTTCTAAAAATCTTATTATAAATAACGACAATATTACCACATATACATACAAATTATCTTATTTTGAAAATAGAACCTTATTGGCTTACCTGTAACTTAGAACATCCATTGACCTATTTATGAAATAATAATGTTTTGCACTTTTAATTTAAAATTTTAGCCGGCTTGGTGTACATAAAGGAGGATGCTCAGTTTACCACAAAACAAATCGAGAAACTGTGGTCGAAATCGCAGATTCCATTCGAGGGAAAAATATATATATTGTTCAAACTGGTGCAAAGTAAGTAAATTCCCTAACAATCAATAATCAACCTTTGTTTAAAAAATAAATGGAATAGCTCTCTTATTATCCAGTGTTGAGGTTTTAGGAATATTCTGTATTACACATACAACATGTTACTATTAGAAAATTATTACTATTTTCACAATTCATATTACATTTTTTTAATAAGCTACCAGATTGAATTTATATAATATGTATAAACTGATAATGTGGCTGCTATTTTCTATATTTCAATTGTGTTATAAGTAATGTAGGCAGATTACTTATAACACAATTGAAATCATTTAATGGACAAATTCTTACTAATTCCATACTTTTAACTACACAATAAAACTATTGTATGGAATAGTTACAGTTGTTATATTTTATGTCTCTGTTGTGGAATGAATGCCTATTGTTTTAAATAAAACTGCAATACATATCCTGATAGAGTTGACTTATCATAACTGTTGGTAATTAGATCTTCATGAATAAAGATATTTTTATTTCGTTATTTTAATACTTCTTACAGTTAAATTATTATATGTGTATGATTGTACAGGAAATCACTAAAAGCAAAGAAAAGTTTTGTTATTTGTGTATGCATGAAATATAATAAAATGTAAAATATTCTATCTGTTAATGGGGATTTGGAGAAATTATATAATAATTATTATAAAATAAAAAATATTTTTGTAATAACTTTATCAACAATAAAAATTATTGTTATATATTTTGAACTGATTCTTCCTTATGAAAATTTATAATTTTAGTTTCATTCAATGAAGCTAATTTAATTAATATTAGCTAATTAAATTAGTAGTTTTATTTAGTAATATTTATTTAATTTTTTCAATATAATTTAACATAATGAAAATAATTTAACAGAAACTATTTACAAAAAATTAAACAGTATTATTTATTTATATGATAACAATATTTTACTCATATATAATACAATATTTCAGAGAGGTAAACAACAATATTATGGAATTGCTTATAATGGCTTATGCTTGTAAGACATCTTCAGCTCGGTCTATTGTAGGTGTCATACCATATTTGCCATACAGTAAACAATGTAAAATGAGGAAACGTGGTTCCATTGTCACAAAGTTGCTGGCAAAAATGATGTGCAAGTCAGGCCTGACACACATTATTACGATGGATCTCCACCAAAAAGAGATACAAGGATTTTATGACTGTCCAGTTGATAATTTACGAGCTTCTCCTTTTTTGCTTCAGTACATACAAGAGAGTGTAAGTTATGTTTCTTACTAAAGCTGAAATATTATTAAAAGTAAATTAAAGATTCATTATAATATTAGCAGCCTTAATAATTTATACAACGCCATCTAATCCCAAGCTAAGCAAAGCTTGTAATATGTTAATCTAGTACACAACTGATATAAATATTTTGATATTTTTCTTTTGTAAATACATATATAGAAACAACCCAGACAGAACAAACAATCATGTTGATATAATGATATCATTAATACAAATGTTTGTATGTGTGAACAATCGAACCTGGAACTCGGAAGTAAGTGGTGCGCTAAATTGCTAAACCACCGAAGCAGTCAAAGAAAATATTAATCATAGAATATTTAACTTTATGTGTATGATGTTTTATGCCGAATTAAGTTATACTCCATGTTACCTACCATCCTTAAACACTTACCCTTCTCTTATTATTCACATTCAATACACAACACAATTCACGCAGCTCCAGTCCCAAAATATACAAATGTAAAAACAGATTATTAACATTTTAACTTACAGATTCCAGATTATCGCAACTCTGTGATTGTCGCTCGTAATCCAGGATCTGCTAAGAAAGCAACATCGTACGCAGAACGACTACGGCTCGCTATTGCAGTTATACATGGGGAGCAGAAGGAAGCTGAAAGCGATGAAGTTGATGGGCGATATTCACCGCCGTGTATACCGAGGTGAGGTAGACGAAAATATTGAAACAATATAAAAATACAAATAGATAACTTTTAATTAATGGATGATTTATGAACATTATTATTACCCTCTGATAAAATCTTTTGAATTATTGCCTTATCCAATATTTTAATTAGGAAGTTTATGACAACATAATGTCATAAAATTTAGATCTAGTGTACAATAAAAGTTGTGTTTTAATAATGACTTCTAAATTTACTATTGTTTATAACTTTGTTTGTAGATTTGAAAGTTTTTTTTGACATAATTGGAATGGTAAACAAGCTGTTACACCAACTGATGGTAATTTGTAACTGTTGTCTACATACATAAACAACACCTTCAATATGTGCACCTGCACTCATGCATTGTCCTGAGAACTGAGGTGTTATACTTTCATATTCTGTAATTTCACTGCCTTTAAACAAAACACGTCTTAAAAAAAAGCTGTTTACCGGCCGAAATGGATAAGACTAAGATACCTATGCAGACTTTTTTTTTTTATTAGAAAGTCTACTTCAAGTATAGAAAATGTTCTCCCTATTACAGTGTTGATAGATCACGAACTATGGATGTGTCTGTTGGCGTGCCTGTACATCCAGCTAAAGAGAAGCCGCCAATAAATGTGGTTGGAGATGTAGGAGGAAGAATAGCCATTATGGTGGTAAGTGTCAGGGTGCAATTATTCTAAGCTAGTGTATGCTCATAATGGACTGGTCTGCTCTAATCACTATGACTGATTTCCTCTTATTAATTGTTTAACCAGTTGGTTATATATTCAATATTTTTTCTATTTGAGTATTTAATTGAATTAGTGCTAATTGGTAGTTTGTATTCACACACTTAAACTTAAAAATGTAAAGTAATAATAAAATTATTTAAAAGAGCAACACGCAAGTTTCTTGCTCATTCTTCTTGTGATGAGACAGCTTTCCGAACGAGCGGTAGATTAAAAAAAATGTAATGACTATTCAAAAGTGCTTCAATGTAAGTTTATTTGAATAAATGATTTTCTATTCTTTCTATTCTATTCATAATATATTTAACTTTTTAATTTTTTTTTTTAATGTAACTATTTTGTTTTGTTGTATTGATTTTTTCTCTACACCTAAGTTCTATGTTGTGCCCTTTGTTCTTTTATTTGAAGTATTTACTGGATATTGGCGTTACTGGTATCTGAATTAAATATGTGATATCTTTTAATTTACATAACAACTACTTCTTTGTACAGGATGACATGATTGATGACGTACAATCCTTCGTTGCGGCGGCAGAAGTTTTGAAGGATTGTGGAGCATACAAAATCTATGTCCTCGCAACTCACGGCCTTCTTTCATCAGATGCACCTACTCTGATAGAAGACTCTCCTATTGACGAAGTAGTGGTCACTAATACTGTTCCACATGAATTACAGAAAATGAAATGCAATAAGATCAAAACAATCGACATATCCGTACTGTTAAGTGAAGCCATACGACGCATTCACAACAAGGAATCCATGTCGTATTTATTCAAAAATGTCACACTCGAAGATTAGTTGTATTAAAACAATATGATTTCCATATTTAATAATTTTAGGTCATTTTGAGTATTATGTTCTGGTTAGGGTCTAATAATCCGAAGATCTATAATACTGTTCAAATTATTTGTTTAAGAGATAATATTTTCGTATATTTTCATCTTATCACCAACATTTAGTGGAAACGTGAGTAATATATCTCAGTAATTATGTAGTCTTAAGCTAGGTCACATTTGTGTGTCTCTATTGTATTATTCCTTGTGCAAATTGTCCTAACATTGTATCTGTTAATTGTTGAATAAGTTAATATTTACTCACAATTTCGTTGTATCATTATTTTTTTTATAAGTATAGAGATATATTAAAATTCCTTTTCTGCATTTAACCGCAATTGGTCTTTTTCCCATTAAAACATATAATGTTACAATGGAGATAAAATATTTGTATATGAACCCAGATATAAAAACGGAAATAGCCTTCATTGTTAATATAAAAATATTTTATTTTTTGAAATATATATTAATCTCAAGCTTTTGTGAATAACGTATACTGTATATATGCCGATTTTATTCTTATATAGAGCCTAGGCATACAGCAAACTGATATATGTGTTTTGATAACAGTTTTTGCAGTATGTACACCTATTAATGTATAGTATTTTACTTGTAGAAAAGCCATAGTTATGTATTGAAATTTTAACAAATAAAACTTTCGTGGATTAAATGTTTTTACATTATATCTACTATACAAAATGTTTAAATGAGTAATCTCAACCATATTAATTATAAGTAGCGCTTGTTTTATGGGTACCATTGATATTAATACTTTGATATATATTTTTTCGTAAATACAGTTACAAACAATCATGAATATATATGCTTGCACCGTGCGAGGAATCGAACCCGTTACCATCGCAAGTACATCGTGTGTGTGCTAAACCGCTAGACCACTAAGGGCGTCTTATATTATAGACTCTCTTAATTTACATATATTTATCTTCGATGTTAACGACTGTCTTGGATTTATGTTACATTATAACATTACACAACATTTTTACTACTAGTTAGCTGGGAATATTTGCATAAGAAACTTAACATGTTATATGCCTAGTATTTCCCAGGATGATTCTTATCTTAGTAGAAAGGCTATTAACGAATTAATTTGAAAGAATAACGTAGGCAGGGAATAAGTAATTAGAAGTATATAATATGTTTCATAATGGAATGGTGCACTCGCCTGCGCTCTGTTTTCGCTGGCGGGGCACCAGTGGAGGATGATAAGATGAGCGTGAGGTCAGCTCAGTTAGCTCATTGTGACACATTTAACAAGAATTTATCACGGTGGTTTACAGGGAGAACCGCGTGGAGGTCAACCTGACATGGTACATTGCTAGCAATAAGATTATCGACCTACATTACTAACAATCCCTTTTTCCCCAGTAATTGGAAGTAGTGACTCCATTTTTAGCGATGTGTGTTTCATGTTGCGTTTTCTAATCTTGTACTGCTGCCTCTGAAGCGTAGGAGAGCGGAAATCTTATTCATTTAAAAAATGTAGCGTAGTGATTACTTGCTCCGTGTTTGAAAGAATGCTTCCAAAAACGAACTTTGTGGCACGCGCTAAAGTTAAAATTGTAATTTAAAATAATAGAATGTTTAACAATCCTAAAAAACAAGACTACGTATGTGGTGACCTAAAAATTTAAACATAATACGACGTTAAAAAAAACGGTCTTTCGATTAAATATCGATATGAACATAGATTTTTGGCATCCCTAGTGTGTTTTTCAATCAGTTGTGAATCTGTCTGATATATTTTCAATGTTAGAGGTTATGTTTATTAAAGTTTACTAGAAATTCAAATGAAGTCCCTAAATGGTATAATACAATTTTCTAAATTATGGCTGGTAGCACAGAAACGCTTATACAGTACAAGAAACATATTAAAATTAAGCGAACGTGGACTATATAACGATATTTTTCCAAATACTGCAGCGTAAGTTAGATACTTTTGAATGTAATATATTCTTTTTATTAACTAACATTTATTATATTCGCGTTTTGTATCTCATTGTTTATACCAAATGGAATAAATTACATTGTAGATATTATTTTAAAATTCATACTTATTTGAATTTCTAATAGATTGTGTTTACATAATAGTTACAGACTGTACAGTCAGTACAGTTTCTTTGATGATATTTACTTAAAATTAAATTCTGATCCCGCCTGTATAATCGGTATACATTAGCAGGACACTTGTAAGTCAACCTTATAGTCCCTCCTGCCAAAATTTACTATATTCTATTATTTACTGTTTCCAGTTTATAAATATTTAATTATTCATGCAGGTCAGAAATAACCAATTTACTGAATAAGTCTCCACAATGTGTCTATGCTGGTTTTGATCCTACAGCCAGCAGTTTACATGTAGGCAATCTTCTAGTCATTATAAATTTATTACACTGGCAACGTGGTGGACATAATGTAATTGCATTGGTAAGATTATAAAATATTTATACAACTTATTATTTTTATAATATAGTTCTATGGTATCAATGTAGAATAAGGAAAGATCCTATATGGAGAAAACTTTAAATAAACATTAGTAGATATACCATAATAAACAGATGTAGAAATCAAGCTAGTTGGATCTATAGTCCAATATGACAGTGAATGATGTAAGATATCTATTGCTGGTTAAAATAATTGAATTATAATATTATATCCCACTCAAGCTACAATTTTCATTATTTAACTAAACCTCATCCTCTTTTAAAAATATAAATTTTAATTGTAACATTTCATTACCATCTATAGTTTTAATGACAAACATTACCTTATTTTAAACTCTACATTATTGTTAGTTGGGTGGTGCAACAGGATACATTGGTGACCCCAGTGGGAGGAGCACAGATCGTGTGGCATTACAATCAGGGGTAATTCAAGAAAATATAGCTAGCATAAAGAAAAATTTAGAAGTAGTATTTGAAAATCATCACAAATATATTTGGCCAAAACATGAAGATGAACTGAAACCCTTAAGGTATGTTAATAAATGTACTTCAAATTTCTCAAGCCTTACATGTCATAGTAAAATTTTTATTTTTACACAATCCTTGTCTGTAATTACATAAAACATGCTTTCAGGATAGTAAACAATGAAACTTGGTACAGAGACATAAATTCAATACAGTTTGTTAGTGACATTGGACGAAATTTCCGAATGGGTACAATGTTGTTAAAACAGAGTGTGCAAACTAGAATAAATTCACAAATAGGAATGAGTTTTACTGAGTTTGCATATCAAATTTTCCAGGCTTATGACTGGCTACATTTGTTAAAAGAGTATGATTGTAGATTTCAAGTAAGTTGTTTGAATTGAGTACTATTGAAAATTATTAAATTTTTTTTATTGTGAAGTAACCAAAAAATAAATTTCTGTTAAAATTAGACAGTAATACTTAGTTATTACCTTTTTAGATAGGAGGCAGTGACCAGATGGGAAATATAAGTGCAGGTCATGAACTCATAAGTAGAACTGCTAAGAAGAATGTATATGGTTGGTTACTAAAATCAAAATATTACTGTATTAACTAAAATAATAACCAATTATAATAGTCATGTTAATTCTAGGTTTAACATTACCTCTGGTAACCACTGAAGAGGGTGACAAATTTGGTAAATCAGCTGGAAATGCTATATGGTTAGATCCACAAAAAACAAGCCCATTCAGTTTGTACCAATATTTTGTTAGAACAAAAGATAGTGAGGTAGAGAGACTGTTAAAACTTTTCACATTCTACAGTTCTGGAGAAATAAAAGATATAATGTACAAACACAAACAACATCCAGAGCAGAGATATCCACAGACATGTTTAGCCGATCAACTTACTACCTTAGTTCATGGAGGTATGATTCATTTTTGTAAAATATTTATGTGCTTGACAGTATTAAGAAAGTAGGTATGAATAATCTATTGTTTGTTTTAGAGGAAGGATTAGCCAAAGCTTTAAAGACTACAGATGCCATTTACAGCAAAGATGTGAAATCTCTTGTGGGATTAAGTCCTGATGATTTAGAGCAAATGTTCCAGGGTGCACCTGTAGTTACACTTATGTTATCTCCTGGGATTACAATTTTGGAATTGGGCTTGAAAGCAAAGTGTTTCTCAACAGAAAGTAAGCCATATTTTTGTATTATTTACATTTGCATAGTTCTGCACTAGGTAAGCAGACAACCCTATGTAGAAAATATTGTGATAAAGTGCTAATCAATAATGGCTAACTAAACTCAACAACTAAAAAAATAAATAAATCACGTAATTTTTTACCTTAAAATTCAATAACTGTAAAAAAATCTATTATTTACCACTTTGTATGGTTAGGACCATAGAGGTAGATTACAAACACAGTACTAAGATGATGATAATAGACCATTTTTGTTGTTCCGATTTATATGTAGCTAACTACATTAATTCAGGTTTCATTATTTTTTTCAGGTGATGCTATGAGGATCATCCAAGCAGGTGGTTTTTATATAAATCATCAAAGAATGAAAAAAATTGATGAAATTGTGACAGAATCTGCTCATATATTGCCTAACTTAATGTCATTATTAAGAGTAGGTAAAAGAAATTATTATATTGTAAAATGGCAAACATAATAAAGGCAGTATTTTATTTAATAGATAATACATTTTTCATTTGGATCGTCAATAGTATATTTAAATAAAACACGGCACGTCATATAATGATTAATATTACTTACAACAGAAGCTTGTATACTTGCAGTATAATAATAATAAGATGCATATCACATAAAACGTTAATAAATACTACATAACATACTTAAGCCTAAATACTCACTGAAACAGTGTGGCCAATAATAATACAATAATGCACTGTTAAGTCATAAATATAAAAATATGGCTAATCATCATACAACAGTTTACCTTTGTGCACCCGCTCACGCGTGGCGTGGCTTCTGTAATTAAATTTCCCTAATATCACAAGGAATAATTGCAGTATTTCTATATTGTACAGTTTTCTTTTTGCTAATTAATATTATTGAAAGCATAAAAAGGCTAAATTGACAAAGTGACCGATATGTATTTATTGGAATTATTATGTAAACAATTTTATAAATCCTATAATATATAATAATCCTAATGTAAAATATTATGTTTGATAATAGAAATTGTTCATCACAAATATAACTATGTTTTATAAAAATAAAGATAAATCGATACGTTATACTTGTTTTACGCAAATAAAAAAAGACTCGACTGAACTTATTAAATAAGCATAGCAGAAAGTACAACATTTCAGTCTCGTTTTACAACTTCAAGTCGGACAGTCCTCACATTAAAGCAATCTCAATCAACTAATCAAGAAATCACTGCAGTAGCGTTGATCAACTACAATCATGTTTCTTTGCGACCTCTGGTATCGAGAATTTCACAATTGGAGGTCTGGACCGGAGTCAGTTATGCGAATATCCTAATCAGGCATGATTGCACAATCGGCGACTAGAGGTCTGTGCTCTCTTGCTGCGCGTACGGCGCTACAGGCGGCGGCGGCGCCGGCATCTGCGGGCGCGGAGGAGGCCGGGACTGCGGCCGCGGTGACTGTGGCACCTCTGTGATGCTGCCCTCCGACTGCGACAACTGTCTGCTCGCGCTCGTCAAACCCTTGTGTTCCTCGAGCTCGGCGTCCTTCCCTCCGGAGCTGTGTGTGCGTTGCACAGTTGCACGCGGTCCGTCGTCTAACTCTCGGTCATCCCCCGGTACCGTTCCCGCACCCACCTGGATGACCGTGGGCTGGTGCTTGTCGACCGTATACATGTGAGTGCGTTCGAGCACGGTCGGGATCAGGTCCGCGTCGGAGACTGAGGCGCGTGGCCCGCGGAAGCTCTGCGGGCGCAGCGTGGGTGGGCGCTCTGGCACGGCGGGCTTGTGCCGCAGTTGCAGGTCGGGGTCCTCGGCCGGCGCCAGTAGTACGGTGCGCGGCGCCGCCACGGGCCGCGGCGGCGGTTGCGCTGCCGGCTGGGCGACCGGTGCGGCCGACCGGTCCGGCTGCGGCCGAGGCGCTGCTCTCTCTAACCCGAGTGACACCGGTCCGCTTGTCGCTTCGCCGACCTTCATTCTCCCAACGACACCTATTTGAGCGGTCACGTTCTTCACCACGAGCGTGCTCTCCCTGTCTCCCCCCTTCATGTTTTCGAGTTTATCTTTCTCGAGTTCGAGACTTTGCCGGCGGATGTCCAGAAGGTTCTCGCGGCTGCCGCTTCTGGCCTCTTCCTTCAAAGCTTTATTTTGTCTATATGTAGATCGGTTGATCGTTTGTACGCCGGATATCACTTTCCCGCTGTCAGATACGAGAGGTCTCGGTGGTTTCGAGGGTTTCTCGTCTTTTTGTACACCGATGTAGTCTTTGGTCTGATCAGATGTTTGGGTTTGGGATTCCATCTTACGTGTTTTGTCTGGCGTGAAACTAGGGGGTACGGGTGCTAGAGGCTTATTCTTTCGCCTCAATATTGGTTTCGGACTACCATGCGGTGGACTAGATTGGTCAGACAATGAACTATTAGATTGAGCTTTTTTGATATCGTTTTCTACTAAAATTAAACTAGTGTCGTGACTGTTACTCCTTGAGTGCCGACCGGTGCCGTCTACGACAGACCTAGTCTGCGTACTGTGACCATAATCAAACATAGATCTACTCATACTGCTGTAATCACCATTGGAATGTTCCTGACTAATAGCATTATGGTCATAGCCTGGTGTGATATTATATTCATTCTGATGAGGCAGTAAGTCTTCTCGAGTAAAGGATACGAAGAAATTTATATCGTCTTTGAAAAACCAATCGGCATGCTTTATTAATAATTCTACGACACAGTTGACTACTGGTGTGATGTTTATATCGAAAGTACTCTCATTTGCCGCCCACAAAAGATTTGGTGCAATCACAATAGCTAAGTTTGAAGGAGTCATTTTGTTCGTGCTTTGGTTTTGCGTCAGAGCAGACAAGAATTTTATGATGTATCTAAGATTATCAAGATTAGGTTTTGGCAAAAGATGTATGGTTTCCCAGAGAGCATTCAGTCGCAACTGTTCTGTAGGTTGACGCGAGGTGGCAATAAAGGTTTCGTACAATTTAAACGTAAGTAGTGGCTCAGGAAGTTCACGTAGATAGGACTTCAATACTGAAGCGACTACGTGCAGGTCCCTGTAGTCACGTGGGAGCGGCACGTTGAATAATCCCGCATCTAACGACAATTTCATTCTCCTCACTTTTGATGTACCTGTAAGTAATTAGGGATCTTATATAAATTCTTATATACGTATATAAATTATACTAACATATACACTAAAAATAATAACATTAAACTAGATATAATTTGTTTTTTCCCAACAAACGTTATTTCGACTAACGAGTGTAAACTCAATCGTATTAAAAGGTAAAGTAATTGGTAAATATATGGCATACGCGCTTTATGTCTATGCAAGTCCGGGTTTTAAGTTTCTTTACTGATTAACTTAATTGTAACTTATAATATCGAAATGTACCTTTTACTATAATAATAATATAATTTATTAGTATTTGTACAGCACGAAATTACAATTGAAGATTTTTTTTTAAATGGAATTGGAAATGACTTATTCGGTAAATAAAATACTTAAAAGTTTAAATTATAAAGTCTAGCTGGGTTAAGTACTTAATGGATTAATATTATTTAATTACACGTGTTTTGATGAAATTTTTTGTAGTCTTTTATATTTTTTACTCACCCGAAAAGGCACATACAAACCACAAATTTACCCAAGAATACTTGAAAATTAATGTTCTAACATAATGTTTGATAAATTTGTGGTTTAATGGGATTAAAATTAGTTTCAAAAGGAGCACGTTATATATACATACCTCCAGCAATTCTAAACAGTCCTTCCTCATTGAGTCCTAGTTCATACAGCGTACATACACACAATTCTATGGGGAATGCTATAGTCCGACCCGCTACTCTTAGGTGTTCTTCTAATGGATATCCAAAAACGGGTTTCAACGCATTGTCATCTGTGATAGAAATGACAGTTTAAATAATAGTTTTCTTCCAAATCTATCAATCTTATCTACTACAATAAACCTCCAGAGGCACTTTGAAGTATTGAAGTCTGAAGTTTCCAAATAGTTTTGCCTACCAAAAACAATTTTTCTTATAATAAAAAAATGTACTTTAATAGAGTTACAGACATGTTTTGTATGCCATATACCTTGGTGGAAAGAGGATAAAGTAAAATAGGTTAGCTCATCGTGGCGAATTCACAAGGAATTAACCAGCATGATTTTCATGACAAACAGTGGAAGGTCAACCTGATAGATTACATTGCTAGCAATTGGAGCATTAGTACTCATAGCAAACCATGCCATTCGCCCTTACAATATTGGTTCGGAATCACATAGACGAGTACTGCTCATATTTAAATACTTTATTTGCATTATGTTTGAACAAAGAAAAAAAAAGTAGATAGTCCATGCAATACATATAGTATATAAAAAACATAATTATAGACTTTATCATCATGCATGCCACAAGATATAATCGAGTACCTATCTGTATTTTATATAAGTTTTTAGAGTGTTTTCCTGTTCGACTGTCGAGAAGGGCTAATAACAATTAGTACTAATGTTTGGCAAAAAAAAAAAACACATTGCAATTAACAATTAGGGGCAAATAGGGTTACAAGAAACAAATAGGGTCCTGTTATTGGTGACAGAATGAAAGAAGTGTTATTCAATTAAACAATACTGTGGTATGACGTAAGTATATTATCGTCGTCTCAGCGAGTGTTATTTAAATGACTGGAACACTCATCCTCTGATGATATCGCCCTCTTTATGAATCAAACAACTGCCCCAGTAAATATTATTGTCACTGCAGATAGCATATTATTATTTTAGGTTAATTACCTATAGATATATAAATAACTACATCTACATATTTAACTGTAATTAATTATATACTGTTAGGTACTAATTGATGCGTTCAAGTCAACGTTTGGATTATTCTTATTGCTTATATTACAAAAACATCGCGATAGGTTATACCTATATAGATTCGATAAATTCCGAAGTGATTTAACTATTCCTTATGAACAATGCTGTTAAGATTTTTTTTTTATTTGATCCATCGTAAGGTTCTCTTTTTATTTAGAACTATAAAAAGCTCTGTAAAGCTTTGTTTATAATTCAAACTAATTTCGAATGTGAAAGTCTGTTTGTCTGCTTCTCTCTATATTTAATTCCGCCTGAATTATCATATGGAATTATGAGATGATTTCACTTGAAGGGTTGTATCACAAGGACGGATATAGGCTATCTGTTATCATGGTACCAGCTAGAACTATATAACTTTTGTACTCACTTATAACCCTCTCCAGCTCCGGTACGGTGTCTTGAAGGGAGTGTAGCGCAGATTCATGGTATGCTCTCTGCAGTTTGATATACTGTAATAGTGTATGAGCTAACTGGGTCTCCTTCGCCACTAGTGCGAACATGTCAGTCGCTAAAGCATCCCTGGCTGCCTCAACACGTGTTCCAGCTTCCTCCAACTCTTCACGAGCAGCATTCAACTTTGTTGGATTCTCTTCTTTTTGTCGTTCCAAGTGCTACAATAATTATTCCTATTTATAGATGATTATTAATAAAAGTACTTACCATAAATATTAATCATCCATGTCAATATTATGAAGCTTTAGAATGTGTTTAGTAAAAAGCGCTAATCTCTACCTACTAATAATTACGGTTTCTGTTAAAATTATTTTAATTGAATATCGCACATCTTCCAGGATGGCTGTATAGAGTACATAATAACAGGCCACTATGAGCAGTGCATCAATGGAAAATGTTCCTTGAACAAAATATAACCGATTTGAAAGCACGTGAAGTTGCGTATGTCTACTATTATTATATTATAGAAATGCAAGTATGTCTGACTGTCTGTTTATGAACAAAATTTTGCGTCAATTCAATGAACCACGAATAGGACATAGGCTATCTGTTATCTCATAAAATGCAGACTATGTCATGAGTAACCGCTGGTTTTTTATATTCTCTTACAGAGCGGTCGCAACCATTTGTCCAAATTAAAAATATAAGATCTAACCCAAATGAAGTAAATAAAAATTGAGAAGTTTTCATATTTCTTTCATCCATGCAACATGTAAATATTCCAGCATACATGTATTAAAAATTATTATTTTATCGAGAAGGAAATATATAAATATGATACAATGGAACTAAGGAAAACAATGACAGAATGTATACAAATACACAAAAAAAAAACAAGTGAAATTGGTACGGACTTTACTTTTTTCCTTTGATGATTGGTCGGTGGTAAAATTGCCCTCTATATATATCGGTGGTAAAATATTATGTCAACCAATAAAGGTTGACAAGATATTTACATATCAAATGTCACATTTATCACAACGACAATAATTGACTTACTAGTTATATTGTAATTAATACAAAAACTAGTAATATATGCATTTAAAACATTACATAATTACATAACATATATATTTGTTTGTGTTTTTATATTTTATTATATTTAAAGATAAAAAATTATCGTGTTAAATTTTACTAGAACTCTTATCTGAATTGTCATATGACAAGCAAGCGTTACTCACCTGATACCTGCTTGTAGCGGATTCCTTTTCACTTATGAGTCTGCTAAGCTGTTTCTTTGCTTTCATTATTGCCGGCAGATCTTGATCACTGATGGTAGATAGGGGCATGCACACCAACTGTTCTACCTTCAGCTCATGCTCAGCTATTTCGTTTGCAAGGAATTTTTCAGTTTTACCTGTTAATATGTATTATTATATCACGAATAATATTATCGCTGTCTGTACATGAAAATACATAAAGCTAGTATGTAGTAAAACTACTATTGGGATTTCAGTTTGTTCCATATTATTCGTCCGCGCGAATTATTGAAATATCTTAGAATTGGGTTTTAGTTTTGCCTGGTAGCCCGCGAATCTCCAAATGTAGGATCTTGGAGACTTAGTCGTACTATCGCAGACCTTATCTTCGTAGTATAGATATATATATATATATATATCTTTAAATATTTAAGGGACGAGCCGAGCCGTCGCCGTCGGAATAGGATGTAATAACTTTATCACAACAAATGGGGATTAGAGGTGTATTAAGAAGCTTTTTTTGCCTCCTTAAGCTAATAACACAAGCCTGTATTTTGCAGAAGAAAAAGAGTGAGATACATTTATATATTTAACTTCAATGCACATAATGAAAATGTATAACGCACCAATATAAATGAGACATGTCATAAAAACATAATTGCTATGAAAATACACATATATAATTATATAAATATACACTATAATAAAAATGTACCACTAAATCATTAAAAATTGCAAACCAAAATCACATTTCACGAGGACTTATTTTAAAACTACTTTTGTTGTTGACTTGTAAAATTTGTCGCATTCAAATATGGCGATATCAAGCATAGCATTCACGACTATGGTGATGGTTAATAATGTCTCTGCCTACTCATAACAGTATAATATTAATAACAATAACACTATCTTTGGACAATTCATACCACACACCATCCAGTCCTGAGCTAAGCAGAGCATGTGTTATATCAAATGCCTAGCAAGGCAACTAAACATACTATAAATATTGTTACATTTTTGTAAATACATAAAATACCTAGAAAATTACAGTACATATTGTTATATTACAACTACATATATCAAATATTTTTATTTTGTATTTAATTTTCTCCATGCTGTTACATACTATAATATCTATACTTGTATTATATATTGTTGGTTTACCCTGATGATAAAACAAAATAAAATAACAGTGGTTTGCATTTCAAAATAGCACATTTGATAACTAAAATGAACCAGTATTAATAAATACTTATTGAATTGCTCTGACAGGATAATATGCCATTTAATAGTTATTAGTAAGATAAAATACTAACCACATTCATGCAAAACATATTTCAAAATGCTCTCATCGTCTTCAAAATTGCTGGCTTCACACATTGATAGCCCAAGAAGATATTCAGGGAGTTTTTTCAGTCTTTTTTCCCGTGCCGATGGGTCTTGTCCCTGAGTACTGCCTGCACCAGTTGATAACCGTTTACTGATAAGTTGCAGGGCATTGCGAAGCTGTTCCACTTTTCGATCAGCTGTTTGCAGCTCATCTGTTAGTGCTTCGCCCTTTCCAGATCTATTTATCAGATATTTTTTAAATTACAACAATGAATATTAATTAATAAGAAATATTAAAATTTTCATAACAGTCACATCTATTCTCCTTACTTAGGAATGAAAACAACAACATGATGAAATTAAAAAACATTAAGCTTTATTGAAGCTGCAAAAATGACACAATAACTCACTCAATCACTTCTATTTTAATCTAAGAGGGAATAATTGACAATATTTTTTTAACATTGCTTCTTACTATTTAATCCATACCTAAATCTAACCTAAATAGGTACCTAATGGTATTCTATTCTATTCATTAATGCAATAGTCCAACAGTTTTCATCTACTATGATTCTTATAATAGTTCTACAATCTAATATTCAATATCATTTGCATTATTTGCAAGTAAATATTTAGACACATTTCAGATGCCATAATGTTTGACTGACATATGCTTGTTTTAGCAGTGGTGTTTTTTAATCCTAATACAATTAGAACTGAAAATTCACACATATTTAAAGTTTAGAGAACTAGAAAATCAATTATATGAATTATTATATTATTATATCAATTAACAATCTTTATATTTATTATTTGAATGACAAACATGTATGGCAATAGATGTTCATACATGGGATTTTCACTTAATGTTATACATAGGCACCTACATGGTACACAATGTAAATAAAATGGCTTTAAAAAAAAAGAAATACAACTTAGTTTCTTTCTAGTTTCTCTAAATCTGTATAGTGAACTGGACAATAGGGAAAAATATTAATATGAAAAATTTGATGTTCATAAGAGGATAAAATGTCCTATAACAACAAATTATATTTTATTTGATTTGATTTGAATTGTAACACATATTTAAATGTCTTGATATTAGTTACCTTTATTTTATGATATAAATTATTAATTCAATGATATAAATACTGAGATAGAAATATTTCATTAAATATTTAATAAAAAAAAAGCAGTTACTGACAAGTTTTCTAATATACGTAGGAAAGAAAAGCAAGTAAACCTTACAATTATTTTAATAAAATGCATTTATTGTTTAAATAATGCGAAATATGAGATTTTATTATTACTGTTAAACATATTATTATATTACTTAATGTCATTGTCCAATTTACTAATAATGTAAAGACTCGTAGGATAGTACTCAACTAGAATCTTATCTAATTGATAGATAAAGGGCTTTTCTATAAATACCTACCTTGAAAATGTTTGATCCGCCAGTTGCTTTACCCTATAAAATTGTTTCTTCATTTTGGTGAAATATCTTCAATTTTATTGTAAATCACAAGGTCATTGGACCGAGCAATAGTAAAATAAATAAAACGATCAAAAATCTCGCTATGGAGAAGTGTCAGCGCGTCAATGAGATCATCATTATAGCAGGAAAGTGTATAGCGAGAGACAATAATAAATATAAATTCAGTAAGGCACTACATTCCTAATGACCACTATAATTGTACAACTTAATTTAAAGAAAAATCTATTTATTTACGTTTACTAAAATTTGTAAAGAATAATGTGTAATCTTTACTTTGACGAATGAAAATCACAGATTCAAGAGACGTAAATAGAGACATAATTTTTTTTCTTTTTAGAGACATAAAATGTACGTAGTAGTTACTCTGTGACAAAGATCGAAATTATACATAACGAATCGAAAAATTATTACTTAAATTATGTAACAGATATTTTAATAAAAATTCCAATAGTTAAAGTTGATTTATTATTATATCTTCAAACAGAATAAAGCCTCTTGGTAAGATTATTTTTATTTTCGTATAGTTAAAATGCACATATAAAATTGCCATGTTAAAAGCAACAGGCAATAAGAATTGCATTACTATTTTTTTATTTACTATTGCCTATTTATTTGTATTTAAATTTATTTTAATGATAAATATTCTTTTTAGCTTGTTTATTTTTATATCGTTAATAGATTGATTTATTAAACGTAAATATACGTAAGAAATACATGGGGATTTACCATCTCATGGCATTGTTTCCCAGTGTTGAAAATTATGAACAAACCAATTTATAGAATATATATTTGTGTATTAAAAATGACACAAAAACGATATGACATTCATTGTTATAGAATTACGGTATCCTCTGGCTGTAGTTATTGTGTTTAGAAAATTAATAACGGCTTGTGATATTTTTTATGGGATTAAATTTATATGTAGCATAGTAACTCCAAGTCAAAATATTACAAATATATTACATGGTTTAGTTGTTGCTATTTTTCACTAGTATCTATGTTTTGCCTATGTCAGCTAATGTAAAATTCTGATCTCATCCAGTTGTCAAAATTATCAATCAACGTCATTTTGAATGTCAAGTAGATATTTACATTTCAAATTATAATGAAATTTCTGAAAGTTTAGTAATTAGAATTAAAAATAAATAGGAATAATAATCTATTTTAAATTATTAGTCCATTCCCCAAAAAAGTTTCAAGTAGCAATTTTAAGAAAAGATTCCTCAAAGACTTTTTGTAAAGGACTTATATAAACAACATCTGATTAACATTTAGGCTTGTTTTGTTATTGTAAAATACACTCAAGAGGTGGGAGATTGGAAGTATGGAGAACGCGTATTTGTATAGTTGCAATCCGCGACCCAAGTTTACAAAACAAAATACCGATCAGTCAGTTTCACCGTGGTAGTTGAAGTAGTCAAGTGTCTTTACAGAGAACGAAATAACTCTTAGAAAGTTAAAAAAATACCTCAATAACAATAAATAGAAAAGACAAACTTAACAATGGAGCGCAAATTTATTAATGTCATTCTACTTGGTTTCGGGTTTATGTTTGTTTTTACTGCATTTCAAACCATGGGAAATATAGAGGTATGTTGTATAATTAATATTACAAATATTTAGATTTTTTTAACCATATTAATTTAACATTTGTAACATGGCAAACTTGTATCAAAATTAACCAATTGGAAATAGTTGTAGGAACAATTTGTAAGAAATATTTTAATAGCATATTGTTACAGAACATACAATATTTTACCCAGGCTAAATATATTATTTGTATTGTCAATCTAATCCACCAATTTGTTCATTTAAAATGACTTGACAAGTTTGTTTATTCAATAACTTTAAGAAATGTAGAGGAAATGATCAGTAAGGAATTTTCACAGATTCTGTCCTTTATCTTAATTAGACTTATTACATTATCTACTAAAATAAGAATATTGTACTAGGAATATTTGATAATACTACTTATTTACATGCCTGATTCATTTTGTGCAAGTTTTAAAATAATTATTTGAGGTTCAACTATTAGTTGAGGTGATTTATTGGTGTGATTGTAAAATCCTTATATTATTTTAAAACTTGTATGTATCTATAGGACTTTTATTAACCACATTCATCCAGAACAATACTTCCAGGTGAAGATGAAGAAACAATTGTCAATACTTGTTAGATGCCTGTTCTATAGCACTTCTATATTATCTAATTACTTCATTATATAATTTAAAATAATTTGTATAACAAAATAAAAATAATGATGTAAGTAGTAATAATAACAGACTAATAGACAACTTTACTATTGTATAAAATTTAAATACAAATTTTTGCTATCATAGTTTCCATGTATTTAATTATTGAATTTAATTTTATGCAAATTACATACAATTCAACATTGTTTTGGAACTTGTATTTTAAATTGCATGTGTGAGATGACATTTAATATCTAATTCTAAAGAAATCCTCTAAATAGGATATATTTTTTTATACAACATTGAGTATAAAAAAATATATTCTGAATGATAAAAATTGGAAATCAACATACCATACCAAATGGTAAATAAATTCATTATATTTTGGATATATCATCTCCTCATCAATACAAAATTGTGGTCTATCATCCTTATTGCAAATTACCAAAGAATCTGTAATTATTAGGTATCTAGTCCCTATAAAAATGGATAAATATTTGTATTCTGTAAAATTTTTGTGCATCACTCCATGTAAAAAGCTTTGATTACTCTAATCATAAAATATAAGGGTTTGTTTTTTTTTTATAAGCCAAAAAAATTTTTAAATACACTTAAATGAATCATAATAAGACTAATCATAATAGTATTGCTTCAATGGCCTACTGGGATGTGATCTTCATAGAACAAAGAACATAAATTGTAGCAGATTGTATAAAAAAAATCCTAAAAATATAATCTATGACATAGACATATTAGAAATTGCCTGCCGCATCTATCTATATGATGGCAACAGTTTTAAAAGCAACTGAAAGGATTTTATTTTGGTTTACAATCAACATCCTAGTACCTAGTAGTAGGAACTTGTAGGTGGTGGTTTAAGTTTTTGTGTATAGGGGTTGAATACCCCTGCAAAACTTGGGCAGGCCGCTCGTATGATAGTATTGAAATGGAATCACTTTATCTATTTTAACAAATTAATGCAACCCGTATTTTATTTATAATTTGATGTCGATGACCCATAATAGTTATGTTTTTTAATACTAACTATTTGACCTCAAATCAGAGTGGTATGCGTAAATAACGAAACAATTCACACTGGCTGACCTTGGTACGCGATATAGCGGCCTTTCTCTGTCTTATAAATGTCAAATGAAATAGAAAAAATATATTGCACAATACTTTAAAATATCGATATTTAAAAAAAAGCGCTAATATAAAGATACGCGGTCATTATGCGCAGAAAAAACAACAAAAATGGACAGAACAATAACTCGATAGTAAAGTTTTAAACTGACTTGTCTGCGACTTCTTTCACATCTACATTTTTTTTAAGCAAATTGCGTCCGATGTTTTGATATTTATTATATACTAGCTGTGTCCGCGCCTTCGTCCGCGTGGAATTTAACTTTATTTTTCTGAAACTCGTTATTACATCAGCTGCTTGCCAATATAAGTCCCGTCAAAATCGGTCCAGTCATTTCAGAGATTAGCCGTAACAAACAGACGGACGGACAAAAATTGTAAAAAATGTTTTTTGGTGTACATACCGTATTTATATTCATATGCATGTAGTAAAAAACGGTTATTTCAATATTACAAACAGACTATTATTATGTTAAATCTATACATATAAATTTTATTTACATGTATAGATTTAACCCAGAAAGACTTTTAAAATGTATATTGATCACGTAAATAAGATTCCTAATATCCTATACACAGAAATAGAAAGTAACAATTATATACACGATCTTTTGTTTCCTTAGACTGAGAGCTAAGTTTAATAACTAACGAACATTGCTTGTTAATTAATAAATAATTAATATTGTTTGTTTTTCGAGACATATACAATTACAATTTATTATCTGCTTGTTATTGCCTGACAAGTAATGGCACAATTTATTGTCATTTATGGTAACTGGTGATACATAACGGATGTCTTGCGTTGTGTAACATTTATATTGAGATCATCGACTGTTGGTTGTAGCCGGATTGTATAACAGCTGTGATTTTTTTAAATTTTATTTATTAAATATACATATTTTGGCAGTGCAGTAGTTCTAACACTGGGCTGACCTGTGTCGTGGGTGACTAGTTCACTCCTTATCGTAGTAATGAAAACAGATTTGATTTTTAAAGTGACATCTGAAGTTGCTTATTTTATTGCATTAAATGAAGACAATAGAAAAAGCAGCTTCAGATGTTACTTTAAAAACTACTTATTTTAGATTATTACGTATTTTTTACTAAAAATAATAAATTTATACATGGTTTTACAAGGGTGGCAACCCTTGTGGTATAAAAAATATATCAATAATTAGCCTTGCTATTTATAGTTATCTTTTGTTTACGAGATTATTTAACGAAGTGGTATGATTAATTTCGATTACGAAACATCAAAACTGGTTTTATAACATTGGTTTCATTAACAGTCGCACGTGTAACTCCTAATTTCGTAATAGGTGTCTATTAGCTTAACAAAACTAAAACAATTTCGTGCGAAGCAGAGTTTTTTTAATAAAAATAGTCAATACACCGTGTAGACATACTAAGGACCCACTCAAACTGAAAGAATTTCTCAAATCGTTGCAGTGCTCGAAGTTTACTTTACTTATAATAAAATTCGCGATCTTTCTTTATAATAATAAGTATTCACGACAGTTATCCTAGATGGGGAAGTAGGAGCCATTGTCGAATGTCAAAATCGTCGTGGTGAATGCAACACTTGACACTCCCACATTTCGTATAACTTGAATTTATTGTTTTCTTTTATTATACCAGAACATAAAACTTGTCCTACATAACATTTAAGTAAATAAAATATACATCTATATTTGCAATTCAAACAAAGAATTTTAATGTGAACATCGATTAAGGATATGGTACGGTCAGTGCACGCCAGTTATGTACCTATACCGCAAACTTAGCACACCTATAATGTACTAAGTTACATGTAATGTCGAATGCAATAAGGCGTTAGGCAGGAGTTGACCTTGACCCGCTCCGTGAGTTCCGTGGGTTTGAAGTGCCCTATGCACTCGCCCCATTTTCATCCGTTGAAATTAATGACCTGTTTCAGATTCAGGAATTGGTCTATTTTTGATTTTTGTACATAGTATATGTTTGGTCAACTATGAGAATATAATTAATATCGTAATTGTCAAAAAAATAGAATTTTTTTTTGATGTCAGTATTGTATGCTCATGCAGTAGTATGTACTTAAACTTAACTTATTGCCACTATTTATGCTGACCTATGATTCTCATTAAAGATTGTATTTAAATGACGTCATAATAATTAAATTTTAGTCGCAGAACCTAATTTGTTTATTTACGCAAAATATTATACATACATTACTACTATATTTAGGAAATATTTGTATGTTTTAATAGATGTTAATATGTGGCTAAAATGTCCTACAGGAATAAACGATTTTTAATTTAATATACACAAAAGTCACAGTTATGAGCGCCCAGGCGAAGCCTCGGCGGGCCACTAGTTGTAAATGTGAATAATTGATAATAGTAAGTTTTAAGTTATTAATAGCAGAACGGATGCTGTTCGTTTCTGGTAATTATTCAGATATTGTGGTTTACGTTATGATTGTTAATATCAGTGTAAATTATGTTCCGTTTTTACTTGAACCGCAGATAATTATCTTTTTCGTCTATATAGCCGATAAACTCAAGGATTTGTTTGTATTTTAATTAGGTCAGTCAGATTTATTGGTGATGATATGTTTTCAAGGGTCTTTTTCAATGTAATGTCACAGAAGTTACATGTATCGTAAAGTTATGTAGATATGTAACGTGGCTTGGAATTAAAGTTTTTTTTATTAAAATTCCTTATTAAAATCTTCTTAATTATAACATTAGCTATCTGCGTGTGAAAATCCCATCAAAATCTGTCCAGTTGTTCAGATATTAACAAGAATAAACAGACAGCCAAAAATGCTTTCCACTATGCATATGAAAGTATGTATGTAGGTACTTTTATTTGAAAATTTCAAATTACTTTTTAATTAATAAAATGTATCAAGTGAGCAATGCGAACAGAGATTAAGTGCGTAGCGGTTTCTATGTTGATTGTCGCATGCCTAATCCTTGTTAATGTAAATCTAATTAAAACAATATTTATTTAAAAGAGCAACACACAAGTTTCTTGCTCATTCTTCTTGTGATGAGTCCGCGTTCTGAATGAGCGGTAGAATAAAAAAAATGTGACTATTCAAAATTGCATATAGATATTAAGTTTATTTGAATAAAAATTCTACACCTATGAGAATATTCGTATCAGTTTTCGCCATTATTTAGAGCAAACACCAAGATTATGATGACATGATTCTTCACTATATTCAACAAAACATATGTGATAACCTTTAATTTTATATTATTCAAAGATGTTTAACCTTGTCTAAATCAATAAGAACTTTTGAATACTTTTAACGTTGTACATAGTTATTTGACATTTTCCTTAACTGCATTTTGTTTACGCAAGCTGCAGTTTCCATGGTCGATAATTAGCTTTCACTAACCTTAGAATTAACCCCTGTTTTAACCATACAATCAATCTGCGTATACTAAGCAGTTAGGTAACCTTATTATCAGGTAACTGCTTAATTTCAGTGATGCGAACGCAGTTAGACCGGTAGCAATGAAATTTATTTTATGGATGCTAACTAGCATGCCTACGAGTTATCTATATATTTAGAAAAGTTCATTGTGAATGTTATATGGAAGCAATATCAAAGAAAAGTAGTTAGACTAAGTATCTACATAGGTGCTTACAATAATTATAAACATACAGTAAATTGTAATCAGCTACTCAATCTTCATTTTAATTAAGTCGTTATAACAACAACATAGGTAGGTATTATTTAGATATTACATTTATGCCATTTTGACCTCGCTTAGCTTGAAGATTAGTTATATATTTCTTTTCTTATACATTATTTTTTGTCTTTGTAGAAAACAATATTGGACAGTATATCGAATGATGACAGTTCGTTCACTGGTGACGGGTATACTTCGCTGGCCATCATTTATGCTACTCTCGCGATATGTAATTGGATGGCGCCTTCCATCATCACGCTGACTGGTCCCAGAGGCGCCATGTTGATTGGTGCGGTGACATATTTGTAAGTGGTACTTTCTATCTTTATATTTGACTAGTTTGTACTTGCTACTTTGCTCGCGTCTAACTACGCCTACTATATTTTGTATTATAGATTTAGTCCTTAAGGAAATAAGAAATAACCTCGCTTTCACATTATTATATATTAGTAAGGATTATTATGAATTGGAAGCAACATTTTATTATAGTATATATATAAAAATTATTGTCATTAAAATGTTATATAATATTCTATTCATATCAATTAAAAATAGATAATTATATAATTAAAGTCGCTCCTAATTTAATTAATTAATTCGTCGTATGCAAAATCTGTGTATAACTCACAAAGCGTTTGAACGTTCGGGGCGGTTGAAGCGTTTTAATCTCTGGTACTACTTACCCTATTTAAAAAAAATGTTTGAATGAATGTCCACTTATCTAAGCAGACTGTATAACAAGACGCTAAGACCATAATACGCCTCTCATTTTGGTTGCTCATGTTGCAAAAAAGGGAAAAATGAAAATAGAAGTCGCGCGGGTCAACTAGTTTAATATTAAAAGCATCATTCGTAAACATAAACATAAATATCGGGGAAAATTAACATAGAAAAAGTTGTGCGGGTCAACTAGTTCAATATAAAAAACATTTATATTGCTTACTAGCTATACCTGCAGTTTCGTCCGAGTGGAATTTAACTTTATTTTTCTAAAATAAAAGTAGCCTAAGTTACTCCTTATTACATCAGCTTCCTGTCAATAAAAGTTCCGTCAAAATCGATCCAGCTATTTTCGAGAAACAAACATACAGATAGACAGGCAAAAATTAAAAAAAATGTTATTTTGGTGTACATGTAGTAAAAAATGTTGAATATTACAAACAGACACTCCAATTTTTTTATTAGATTTAGATCACTGACAAAGAAAAATAAAACGCTCAACTTGAGCTTATATATTGTGTAATCAGTAACAGAAAACAAAGTTGTTCAACAAGAACATATCCGTAGAGACGTCCGTAAAAGAATACACTTTCACTCCTCGGTCTTCACTCTGTATGTCGCGGTCGGTGCCGTATAAAATCCATAGTGCCTACTCTAATGGCGTAATATATTATTATGCTTATGTGAAGATGTTACACTATACATTGTTGATGTGTTGCTCTACGAGACCGTAACTCGTATATAATGTCAAGTAATTTCACTATATTATGTTTTTGTTAGTCATCTAATGTTAATGTTATTTAATATTCAACTTACTAGTAGTGCGGATGCTACGTGAGCTTACATAATTGTATTACTCCTAATTATTTTTTATACACTTATGCATACTTAATATTATAAATACAAAAGTATGTCTGTCTGTGTGTTTGTTTGTTAATATTTCACGATTAAACGACGGAATGGATTTGAATGAAATTTGATATGAAAATAGATTGTATCATGATGACGGACTTAGGACTATCTTTTAATAATTAGGGTCTGTTTATTATTTGTAAGAAATCTTGATGGGGATCAAATAAAAAATAAAAGTTTGTGCAGACGCAGTCGCGGGTTAGTTATAAATAAACTTGTTAAAATTATCATTGTTAAACTTAGTTTTTCATAGGTTCCTTTTAAAGGCGACTAAAACGAGGTCATAACTAACATCATAATGATCTTGATATTATTAATACAAGAGTTCCTTTTATATAAATTTTACTTATATGTAGCAATAATACGATAGAAATAGAAGATAGAAGACGTGTTGCATATGGACCAAATAAAAATGGCCCGAAAACTTTCTTCTTAATTGAAACTGGTTTCTAAACTTTCTGGCTGGTTATAATATTAGTACACAAATAAATTACAATTACTTACAAATAAATTGGAAATTAATGTTAATGTGCACTTCTATTCGCCTATTTTTAGAATAATATACCTATAGCGCCGTGTTTTCTTTGCCGCCGATGTTGAGATGTGATTGATTAAATACATTTCGCAGTAATAGTGATATGATTATATATAGGTTAAGAGCACCTGTCAAATGTTATTGTTGTTTTTTGATAAACATTTATTACTTAATGAGAAAAACAAATATCTTTCTCTCTCAGTTTTCTGTAAACAAAATAAGTTGAAATAATGGAAAAATTTGCAGTGAAAATGTTTTGTACGTGCGAGTCCTTCGCAGAGACTATAGAATGAAACCGATGCGGGATCCGTTATGTTGAGTTCAGTACTTGCATATTAATTAGGTAGATAGTTTATTTAGAATCATATTGCTGACAACCATCGTGATGAAAGTATTGCTTCACCAACACTTGATTTATTTGAATAGGAATTGAGGACTTTATCCGTTTTTAAAAACAATTCTCGGTGTTACATAAAGTCGCAGTTAAATAACAGATCACAGCGTTGTGTGTTTGTGCGTAATGTATGTAGCAAATTATTAGAGTTCCTCAGAAGGATTAACATTTATATTATTGTCTAGTTGTGCCCACGAATTCGTACCCGTGGTATTCACAAGAATAAGTTTGTAATGACAAACAAGCTACCGACTCTCTTGACAGTAATCGGGCACCACCACCTATGTTACGTCTAGATATCACGTTATTATGTGACACCTATGATACCACAAGGATGACGGTAAGGATACGATATTTCGTTTCATGTAAAAATAAATATTACTAATATCTATTAGTATTAACTCTAATCACCAATAAATCTTCAGCAGCAGTCTAACTTAACTCGATTAGCCATGGCGGTTTTATTTGATTAATAGTTTTCTGAGTTTGTTTCAAAAATAATGTAATCCTATTAGGAAATCATAAATAAATATATCATTAAGTAATGAAATAATATTCTTTCAATTATATAATTGAGAACATGACTCGTAGGCACATGCAAATCCGATAAAATCTCGCATATTAACTCTCAACATGTCTCTCTGACCTCGTACAACATAGTATTTTGTTTTATATCAGGTCAAAGTCTCGTACAAACTTGTACGAGGATTTTATTATGGATGGCATACTAGACGTGGATACAGAACCCCTGTGACTCTTCAGTTCATACTTAATAACTGATAGAGAGCTAGTGTTCCATTGAGTGCACACTCATACATACATACTACGTACACATACATATTACAAGCTAATCAGCTGTGTTAAAATTTTATATTTGAGATATTTTTTTCCTACTTTCTCAAAGTGAAATAAAATTTCTTGGAATGTGTGTAATTCAATAAATTGCTTTCATGTGTTGGCTCGTTGTTTAATACTTATTATCACTTTACCTTTCGTTTATGTAAAAAAAATAAAAATGCTAGATCAGGGGAAGTAGATTGAATTTAAATATGATTACTTTGGATGTATTATATAGATTATCTAGCTATCACCTGCGACGCATAAATGTAACTTTTTTATTGAAATAAATTAAATTCTGAAGTAAAAGTAGGTACCCGGTAAGTCACTCGTTACAACATTAACTATCTGTGAGTGAAAGCCCCGTCAAAATGGGTCCAGCCGTTTCACAGATTAGCAAGAACAAAAAGATAGACAGTCAAAATTTTATAAAATTTTTATTTGATGTATGCATGAAAATCTGTTAATTTGAAATTACAAACAGACTCTGTTTGTCTGTCTGTTTAGATAAGGAATTTAAATCTCATAATTTCAAAATATGACAAAATGTGTACAATAAAACCCAGGAATTGAAAACATTCACGTAGAAATAAAAATATTACGTCTTCATTTCATCGTAGTGATGTAATGTAGCAAACAAAATAATCTTTTGTAAATATTTAAATCTACCGTGTTTATTCTTAAAGAAGTTGTTGAATATGTTCTATATGTACAATATGTTCAACACCTCAATGAACAATTGGATATTACAGGTTCTTCATTGTTACGTTCCTGTTTCCTCGGACGTGGCTGCTGTACGTTGCGAGCGTGTTAATAGGTGCAGGCGCAGCTGCCATATGGACCGGTCAAGGCAATTACCTCACAATCAACAGCGATGCTGATACTATATCAAGGAACTCCGGTGTGTTCTGGGCAATGTTGCAGTGCAGGTAAACCGTACTATAAAACTAGAATTATACCTAGATTATACTTGTAAGTAGGTTGAGGGTCAACATTTCTACAGGAAAATAACATATGTTGGCCTTTAAGATTAGGTAAACATTAGTTACTAAAAGAAAAAACAAAATGAACTTTATTGTTTTAACATTTAGCAACTTTTACAACTGCACCGAATTTATTTACATATTTAAGTACGTACTATTGATTTACCCACCCGTATTGGTGTAACAACTTTCTAAATATCTTATAAGAAAAAGTGAATCTGTATTTTAAGTCCTATGTGAACGTTTATTAACTTTAATAATATATTCAATTGATTGAAATAGTATTATACCATGAGCGCTGTAGCATGGTGCGTGTGACAATTTCAAGTACGTTTCATTTCATTTCTTGAAAGTTGCCGCCACAGTTGAATTTTTACAAATAATGACTTAGTATTTTAGCTGAACCACATCCGTAATATATTAAGTCATTAATAACAGTAGTAACTTAAATAAAGACAACAGTCACCCGCACCTTGCTATAGCGCACAAGGTATAATACTATTTCAATCAATTGAATGTATTATTAAAGTTAATAAACGTTTTTCATATTTAAAATCGATTGAAATAGTATTCGTTTTATTTGCTATTAAAATTCACTTTTTAGTTATGTTTATATCCCGGGCGGGATAAGCACTTTAGTGTCATACAAAATAAAGAAAATGTATTTGTTTTACTTTCATTAATTGACACCATTGCAGAGGCGTGTCAGTACAGACCATTAGGTTGGGCTTTACCCTCATATTATATAGGTCGCGATTAGTATTGATTGTATTAGTCTATTGTGCTATATATACTTACGTGATACAATCATACTACATACAGATATATCTATATACCTATAAAACTTTGTCATACATTCGTAAGGTTTTTGTTTATTTCAGTCTATATTACCCGGTAGGTACCAAGTACATAGGCACGTACCTACGTGCCTCGAATAGCATATTAATCAAATCTGACTGTGTCATTGTCCTCGTTGTATCGTTTGAAATGCACTTTAATATTTTTTTGCAGCATGTTCTTTGGTAACCTATTCGTATTTATCAAATTCCAAGGCAAGACACATATAGACTTGGAAACCCGTAACGTTGTATTTGGAGTTTTGACGGCAATATGTGCAGTTGGCATTGTCTTTCTTATGCTATTACGGCCAGTTCGTCGCATGCCCAATTTCGATGATGTCAAGGTATAATAAAGTTAATTTGATTAAATTAGAATGTTATTTGTTTATTTAATAGCAATGACAAACATGCTGATGTCCTGCCTGATGGTAACAATCACCTATCTAAATATGTATATGAACAGCATGCCGTGATTAGGTGACGACCGTGATACTACATATGCGTTATACTGTTATTCTGGAGGACTAATATGTCATTACTCTTATGTTGTGGTTTCTCTTCCTTATTTCGACCCTTGAACAGAAACACAGCTAATAAAGCTGCTTGGCGGCTGAAATAGGTGAGACTGCAGCTTTTAACAGTTTGCCAGCGTGGATGTGTTATATATACTTTATTCTTTACTGATATGATATTACTTTTTAGCCGAATGCAGCTAACACAGAGCCAGAAGGTCCATTGGAAGCTTTTAAGGGTGCTATAAAATTGTTCTGCACAAAAGACATGATCTTACTTAGTACTACATTTATTTATACCGGTAAGAATTGACACATGTATTTATGTCGTAACCTTTCTGCCTGACAAAATTGATTTTATTGACCTCAGACACAGAAAGTGCGGAGATATAAATTCGACGTACGACTGTGGTATTGTAATGTAAATGTATAGATACACCTTATTAGATACACATTATGATATATTTTTTGTTTGAAAGCTGATTTGATATTGATGATTCTTAGCTACAATTAAGTAAAAAAAATTATTCGAGGGTTAGCTGACTTTTTCAAAATGGTTCATAACTACAATTATTATAGTCATTTTATTTCAGGGTTACTTAAAATTATTTCATGAAATGAGAAAATAGCATGTGTTCATAATAATTTATATATTTTTAATTTTACTTAATCTAAAGTCAAAGTTATAAAGAATCAGTAATAAAATACTAGGCTTATTTTAAAAATGCTTTCGCTAACATAAATCAACATTATCAGTCAGATTACAGCTATTATAGTTATGGTATATTGTGCTATCATTAAATACTATTTTCTATGATCAGGGGTGGAGTTATCGTTCTTCAGTGGAGTTTACAGTTCAAGTATTGGCTTCACACTTTCTATGGGCGAGAACGCGAAGCAGCTCGTTGGTCTTTCTGGAGTCTTTATTGGCGTAGGAGAAGTGCTCGGTGAGTTTCACATTATTGGTTTATTATCTATCTATAAAGTCTGTGAGTTTAGATGTTCGGAGTAATCTTCCTTCGGTACTACTGATCCGATTTTGAAAATTCTGTTAGTGTTGAATAGTTCATTTATAGAGAACGGCTATAGGCTATATAACATCACGCTACGACTGATAGTAACGGAGCTGCAATGAAAAATGCTCCGTAAACGGGAAAAACGTGACACAGAAAAGTTGGGTGAATCAGCTAGTATTAATTAAAAAATGATTTGTTATATGCATGAGAACAACTTTTCGCATTGATTCCCATTTTTTTGTACAATAGAAAATGTTTGATAAGACGTACGGAAAAATTTGGGTTAAAAAAGCCCTCAAAAAATTATATTCAAAATATTAACAGATTGATTAGTTTTTTACATTATTGTCGCTATTCATAGCAAATCCACGCGCTGGCAAAATAGTTATTACTTATTAAAATTTACTTTTATGCTCTACTTAAAAGCTAAAGATAACAAAGGGGAATGAAACATGTTTTAACAACGAAAGGTAACGTAGTCGCAAATGGGGTCGGCGACCAGTACGAGATAGATAAAATTGGCTTTGTATAATATTAATGTATGAACGTAGGTATTACGGATCGCGGTAATTTATTATTAGCCAGTTCATATTCTGTAGATTGAGGTATAGTTAGTCCAAGACATTTTTTAGAGGGTATTATTTATTGTAAAAAACGATTATTTCACATATGTAGGATAAACCACACAACTTTTATAGATGTGATAGTTTTCGCCTTGATAAATTAATTTTAGTATTAACTCTTTCGATGTAGGTTTCTTTATTATGTATCGAAATGTAAAAATCATGAAGCATAAATATATTGACCCAGTCGTTTCGCAATTTATTATTTATCCTTTTTTATATTAAGTATGTCATTTTGATATCTCAAGTGCTTAACATAAGGATATATCACAGCCTTGACCGTATTGCTTGAGGATAAGTGATTTTGTAATAACTTCTTTAGTTTATCGGTATAAAAAAGTGTCGTCATCTCGGCTTGTTACGTTTTTATTGTTTTTCATTTGTATAATTCGTATTTAAGGCGTTCGAGATGTCCAATTTCTTAAGCTCAATTCTGACCAATACAGAATTATTTTTCCGACTGACTTTCTAGTGTTACAAATACTGATAACAAAAAAAAATAAGAAGGGTTGGCCCCAGCCATATTAAATTAAAAATTTCATATTCACGAAATAGGGGATGCCATGTACATGCACTTTTTATTTGTATAAATAAATGTGCTAAATAGGTACCATATTCGATCAAGATTTCTTATTTGTCTGTGAATGCAGGAAAGTTATGTGCATTGGCGATTTATCAAAAGTTTATGATCTTATAAATAATTACAATTGTAACCTTTAATTATATTTATTTCTAGGTGGTGCTCTATTCGGTATCCTTGGCAACAAAACAACTAGATGGGGTCGCGACCCTATTGTAATCATGGGCTACCTGATTCACTTAGTTAGCTTCTTCCTAATCTTCATCAATTTACCATCAGAAGCACCGTTTGGAGATACCGAAGACATTTCATACATTAATCCTTCACCCTACTTGGCTATGTGCTGTAGTTTCCTACTTGGCTTTGGAGATGCTTGCTTCAACACACAGATCTACTCGATACTTGGTGGGAATTATGCGGATAAGAGTACTTCGGCGTTTGCTTTGTTCAAATTCACACAGGTCAGTATTTTTAACAGTATCATAGAGATAGTTTTCTAATTTTATTGAATATGTACCTACTCCAGATTTTGTTATGACGATACAGTAATGAAATACTATTTCTATTAACCAATGAGAAATACTATGAGGAGGAAACTTAGTGTAATATGACAAGGATTAATGTAATCAGAATTTGCTTACCAAGCGTCTACAAAACGCGGTAACACCAAATAACCTTAGGTAGAGAGAGACTCGTGCCCTAGAGTGAGGAATTAATGGCCAGTTATAGTAGTAGACTATGACTACATAAATGTGTAGTCGTCACTTTAATAATTACAAAATTTGCATAATATATAACAAAACATCGCCATAACAGTACGTGTTGCGTTTGTGAATGTCGCCAAAAAAAAAATATTCTTATAAATCGAACATGATTATACAACAGTTTTCGAGGCACGATGAGTTAGTGTCGTTAGGTTTTTATTTTATTGTGCCTTAATTTTGAGTTTGATTGAATTGAAATAGTCACGTTGTAGTGGACGACGAACTGGCCGAGAGAAGAGCGCCACTAAAAACTATTAAAATTTTTGACAATTTAAAAGTATTCATTTTAGTAAATAAGAGTTATGTAGAGGTGAGGACAGAAAGGATTAAAAAAAATTTGCTACAGTCTTCAACAGACCTAATAGCATATCTCAAATTATACCTCATTATAATTCTACTTTAATTATTTTATTTAAATCTAGAGTAAGATTGCACACTCGTACAACGCTACGGTTGACTTATTTATTAAACGCGTTACCACCATTATTTATACAATATTAAATTAATTTGTTTTATCTTCGTGTACTGTAGAGATACGAACTTGATAACTTAAAATGCAAATGACGACGTTATTTAAAAGAGATATCTAATTTAAGAAGTAGGTATATGCTATTTATTATTCTTTCCAAAGATAACAATTTACAGGAAAATATATATATATATATAAAATATATATAGGTGTATATAGTTACTATAGGTACATTATTGAAAGCCCGAGGGTATGCATACCTACTAAATATACATAAGCAACATTAGCATAGATAGAAATAATTAGACTTGCCACTGGTTGACGTGTAACAATATTAATATTAAAATATGATTGTTAATAAAAGATTTGATCACGTCATTAGCTAATGAGGTATCTCATCTTGTTCAGATAAATTAATTGGTAATATCTCCTAAAGATTGGTACGATCATATTGCGACTGTCTGTGTTCTCTGTATGAAGGTCTATTATATGTGTGTTTAACGATTAATACAAATTAATTCTCTAGGAACACTAATTATAGCCCAAATTGTAAAAGTAAGTATATTCATATCCTATAATTAGAACTTATTTAAAATACTCGTAAGGTTACTGTATACGTCTCTATCTGGAATAGGTCGCTTGGGTACTTTTTGTGTATGTCACTGAAGCAAATTTCTCAAAGGTCTCTATCAGAAATCAATTACAAATATTAATTAGTTTGTGTTTATATATTTCTTTTTCTTTTCAGTCATTGGCAGCGGCTGCTTGCTTCTTTTATTCATCTCGTGCATTGTTGTCAGTGCAACTGAGCATATTGGGTATATTAGCTACCTTAGGTACTGCAACGTTCTGTAAAGTAGAGTGGGCAGGCAAAGCACGTGCCCGCGCTGCTGCCCTGGAAGCTATTAATGAAAAAACAGCGCCGGTCACTCACGCATTAGCAGACAATGATTTGCATTATGATTAGAAAGTAGTCCATAGCTACCAAATCTATTTAATCTAATAAAGAAAATATCAGACATTGTAGAGATCACGCCCACACAATTGAGAACGATTTGTATTGTTAGATTTTGTTGAATATGAATACGTTATTTATGCCTGTATAACTGTGCAAGATAAATGTCACTTTAATATCAGAATACTGTATTTGGAGTGAATGAACTTAAACAATCGTAAACATTCCATTGATCCATTTATTTAAATTAAGTAGAGTCATTGTTATTATTTTTTATTGAAGTATGATAATATTTTACATATTAAATGTAAGTTTCAAACGAAATCAAAGATGAGTATTAAATAGATATATTTTTTTAAAGAAATCTTAAATATCTAAATGATTATAGTAAAAAGAGGCTAATTTGGCTTTGGCCTTTTATTGTAGAATAATGTCTACATTGAATTCCAAGCATGAAGTTAGTGATAAAACACATTTCTCAAATCGAATTTAATTTTAGATACCTGGACCTAACAAAAGACTTTGTCTCGCAAAATAAATGTTACAAATAGTACAAGAAATTAATTATATTTAATATTATTAGTCAAAGCCTCCCATATTTTTAGTCCAGTGCGCACCGGCTTCCCTTGTTTCTCCCAATTTCGTAAATAGATTTTATACATATAGTACTTACTACGTACTAATAAAGTCTAATAAAATCATACAATCAATATAAATGTATATTTTTAATCTGGCGGAGAATAATAATTTTATTACGTCAAATATTATTGAGCGGTCTTGAATATATTGTTATTTCATTTTACAACTTCCGGCAGACTGGAATTACTTTCTGTGTTGTTTATTGTATGAAAGCCATGGAAATGACTGTCCAGTAATATAAGGAATAAATTGTATATATAATTAAGAGCATAATTGTATATAAAAATATATGAATATGAGAAAATAAATTGAGTCAAATTACGATTTGTATACCAGTAAATTATTATCAGCAGATATAATTGATTGAGGTGCTGTCAGATCTAATAAATATTTAACTATATAATTATAATTATATAAACTATTAACATATACAATGTCTAATGACTGTAAAACCGTAAAGTTTGGTCAATCTAGTCACCAATAATACCAATAATGCAGCGCGTTTATATTTTATAGCACAAATTGTAGTTTCTAAAGTCTATTAATGATAAATGTATATTTTTTTTGTTTTAATGCATTTATTGTTTTTACCATAAAGTGATATTTTTACTTTAAATTATATTGTTTTGGTTGACAATTTTAAAGCTAGTTCCTAAGATTTAAATGTGGTAGATACGATTCATAAAGGGCTTCCTATTTTTATCAATTTTGTTTTATACATTAAAGTTACATTTAGTCAAATAATTTTGTTGTATATCATGTATATGAGACTTTTGTGCTGTAATTGCTATACCAATAGAGGGGGTTTGTTATTATATCTACAATATAAAGATTTTTAAAGTTATCTGTATTAGAATTTATAATTATCTGACTGGCTTTAGTACTTTTCACTTGAACATAGCCCTCATCCTTTGACCCTGGAATATAGAATAAAAATAGATATGATGCGGTTGGGCCGAAAACATTAGATCTATTTCATGTTAATTTCTAATGCTTCTTCAAGTCTATACCAAGACATTTTTTACACTATTCTATGTGGTGTTAAGTTATCACAAAGGAATTGCCCTATAAAAAAATGGGCAAATGTGGCTACAATACCATTAGAGCAGTGGGTAGACGCAATTATTATATTATTGAAATTAGCTAGGTAAGTATTTTTGACTGCTGCTGAAATTTAACATATTTTATGAAATTAAAATTTTATTTTATTATATAATGTATTATTATAATGCAAATTTTGTATTAAGGAAATTGTAATAACAATACCATATTAACTTTATGAAATATAAATATATTTTAACATGTTTCTTTTTTATTAACCTGTGACAAATAGTAATATTAGAAAGTATGGAAGTCTGATATAAGATCAATATAATGTGTCTATGTCGAATGTATACCACCAGGTACACCACTGATATAAATATATTTTTTTAAAAGAGGCTTTTTCTATATGCTATATGCTTTTATTTTATCTACTGGAAAGTACATAAGGTAAATTAATGAGTTTGTTTATTGATCAAAGCAGATACAAGGACTGGCTGAATTAGCATTAATTATTAGCAACACCTTTCTCAGAAATTATTATAATCAGTCAGTTATCAGGTTACATTCCAATCTATCGAAAATCTTATAAATTCTGCTTATACAATTAAAAATTAATTAATTATATTCTAAATAAAAACAATGCAACATTATTATTTACATAACTACAAAATTAAATAAAGAATGCTAAATTTAGTCTCTTAATTTATTTATCTTTACTATCAGATTCATCTACATTGCCCAGTTTGAAATCCATGGGTTTATCATAACCCATTATTTTAGCATAATGCAGAGGGTTGTTAAAATGCCTGGCCTCTATGAAGAGGGGCTTGCCTTTAGCATTCATTGTTGTGAACATTCCAGGTACATCGGGAACTTCAACATCTTCTGGTTTGAAGTCAAGCTAAACAATAAAAGTTATTGATTAATAAAATATTTTACTAATTTGTATTATTACAAATAAAATGAAACATAAATGACAATATGAATTGTTAATGGCAAGTCAAGAAGTTTTAGTAGTATCATAAATGAAAAATATTGTAATTAAATATATAGTAGAAAACAAGACTGGTCCAGCAAACTAATAACTGTTGTTTATAAGCATAAATAATTAAATAATAATTATGTTAGTTGCCACATGTTATCATTCTAAATATATCAGCTAAGTTTTACATGTATTATTATTATATAATGTGATTTATATTACTAACCTCTTTTTCCACGAGAAAGAAGTTTACAGTAACAGCTTTATATGTTGAAGTTGTATCATCATATTCAATTTCCGTCACATACTTTTTGGTTATAATATGCAAAAGTATTGGTGTTATAAATGTAAAGAATCCAACCACTGAACACAATGCTATGAGGAGGGATGTACTGCCTATAGTGGAAGCTTCTCTAATTATTATAGGTTGAGCTATTAAACCGGCAATACTGGAGGTCAATGAAAATATTTTTACAGCTTTAATTTGTGGCGTTAAAGGGCCATAATATATACGTTCTACCTTATCTTCTTTCTCAACTTTACTTGAAAAAGATCTCGAAAAATTGCTGTTCAAAATACTTATATGTTTTATTTTACCAATTATTTTGTTACTGAGGTTATCCTGCAGCACTGGTATATTGTATGTCAAAGTATTTTTTAAGCAAAAACGCAACATTTTGAATTGTCCAAGAATGGAAAGAAATAGACTAGGATGGAATTACATAGAATATATTTAAAATACTGAAATACCGAAAATGCAATACAATATTTAAATTTTCATATTATATAAATAAAATATGTCAGGCTGACAAGTTGACAATTTGTCAATCTGCCATTACAGTTTTGACAGACAGCAGATGGCATATGAAGGCATATTAAATGTCAAGTAAACTATTTTTAAAATAGTTTGATGGCTTTGGATAATACACGGTTATGCTATTTTATGGTAAGATAATTTCATAGTAATTTCTTACTCAGTAGGGTGATAGAGGGTAGTAGGAGTTTTCTGTGCGATTTATGTATGCATGCCAAGAAATCTCAAATTCAAGATTTTTCTCGAACAAATTGCATCAAGTTATTCGAGAAAAAATCATATTATCATTATATAATCCGCAATTTATAGAATTCCTTTTTTTAATTAATATCTATTTGTTATTATAATGTGTAAGCAATATTATTGGAAAGTTTAATCAAAAACGGTTCAGTAAGGTTAAGGTAAAGCTAAGCAAAAGTTAAGGAGTGTTTAAAGGTATAAAACGTTTTATATAGGAAGGTAATTGATGATATATTATTATCCGGATAGCATTAAACCTACGAACTAAACTAGACAGTTTTTACTACAATTACTTTTATTTATCATTTCGGACATGCATCTATACCTGAACGTTAAGTAATGGTACTAAATTAGATAAGTCAAGCCATTCTTATGTTATAAATGCGTATTAATAATTACAGTATTCACGTATGTCTGTCTGTTACTTTTCACGACTAAACGTTAAAACTGAGTTTAATGAACTTCGACGATAGATCATAATTTTTACAAAGCTTACACATTGTATAAAGTTTCTATGCTGTATGGATGTCTAACTCTTACATACACTGCTCAAAATAAAAAGCACATGCCGAGAAATAAAAATGTTTGCTACTTAATATGTGGGACTTGTGTTCTATACACCTAATAAAAAGTGATAACGTTTGTAATATGTGGAGATCATCATCATAGGAAGCTGAAACATCACGGGTCTATACAAACTAATGTTATAAATGTTAAATTGTCTGTTCTCTGTTGATTACAGTACTTTTAACAGTTTCAGTACTTTCAATAGTTTTTTTGAACATTACCCTCATGAATCCTACGGCTTTTATTGTTGGTTACCTTTTCGCAATTAAAAGGACTGCTACATGAGTAAAGTGAGTATATCAGAGGGCTGTTATTTTTTATATAGATGTACTATATAAAAAATATCAAAAAAGGCGTTAAATATGGGATGAAAATAAATTAAGACAAAGGCGCCGGAAACAGCTAATATAATAACTGACTGGGTGTCAGTCTGTATGACTGTTTGTTAAATTTTCACAACAAAATGTTGGATCCTTTGAATAACGAGATCGAAAATAAGCTACATTTTTCTCGAAAGCAAGCGAAGTCGCGGGTAACAAAGTATAAGGTGGTATTTGTGATCGTGCATGAATCACAGATATATTAAAATACAAAAAACTTACATGTATTGTTTTGCCATATGCACTGCTTTTAGTATAATTATAACCACGCCTGACAATACAAAGATTTCAAACTTAACAGGCTTGATAAGCAATCAACTACTACTATTTGGTTTTACCACAGATAACATAATTTGGTTTTACTAATGGATGTAGACGAATCATCATGATTTATATACATGTCTACTGTATTAATACCGTTGTTATTTAAGACTATTGGTAAACCTAGTACCTACCTACACCTATGTTATTCCATATTAGGTTTAAAACAATGTAGTATCATACAAACTACAGTAAATTGTAAGTAGATTACTAAGTGTTTATTAAAAAGAAATGCTGCAATATTCGTACAGGCGCAGAAAAGCTGCCACATATTACAAATAACTCGGGGACTCAGTTGTAAATGTTGGCGGGTTTTATGTACGTACTCGTATTTATAAACGCCAAATAAATGAAACATGACGTGCGTTTTTAAGGGATTGTATGTGAGTTTAGTATTTCTAGTAAGGTACGCATAAGGGGCGAATCACCGACCTAAACAAGCACGAGTCAATGCGACAAAGCGGTTATCTATCTCAAGTGTAAACACCGCCTATTGATTCAGTTTATCTGTCCGCAAACATGACCGCACGCACGCAACCACTAAACACATCCATAATATCATATTAGAAACAAAACATTATAAATATTCAATTTCATTTCACTAGGTAGGTAGTGTTTTTTTTATACAATTTTAATGGCAACAAGCTGACCTGATATATGTCATGTGACTCGTGTTTCCTCTCATGCCATTCCCGAGGATTAAGATTCATGACTCTTATCGTGTAATTTTTTATTCATAACACACTTTGTACTACCGTCATGTCAATCCAATTTAAAAGCATTTATTCACATATAACTATTTTGCACGTCAACATTTTTTCCATTTTTAACTCTTCCTAATATCGCTCCGTTTTGGTGGCTGATGAAGAATTGGAATAAGGAAACTCAGCAGGCACCAACGTATTTATTACAACATTTATTTTTTAAATTAGTTTGTAAATATAATATTTACCCACAGTTTTGTCTGCCTCCGTTGTAGATTAGAGTGTCCATCCTTTAGCCATGTTGTTAATAAACATTTGTGAGTGCTCCAGACCCGCTACTTAAGTCCATTCTTTTTTTATTTTTCGTCTCGAACATTTTTCAGAACGCGATTATAGTCAATTGTTGCAAACGTCATAGATAGTTCAATAGTTGGTTTATGTAAAGTTGTTGTAATTATTCTATAATAATATGGTTTGATACAGTTATTGTCTGCAAACAAATTTAATTCGAGCTGTTAAAGGACGGCATACTCATCAATCGTTAAACTCAATTTTAGCACAGATAACATAATATATTTTAGTAACATTGTTAACTGTTCTTCTTTTCCCGCCAATTAGTTTGTTTTAATCTCGCTAAGAAGGAATAAATATCAAATCTCAGCTCGCTGCGCTACAAAGATCTTTGTATATAGCTTTTCTGTTTCTCGCAAATCTCAGGTATACCGATCTAAAAAAAAAGCGGCGTGACCAATAGCTATTAAGCTGTAGTAACAAAAACTGCCATCTTTCACAAATAATTACTAATATTTGGAGCGCAACCTTTACCCACACTTTATCCCGTAAAGATCATTTCATTTAAGTATTAATGAAAGCATAATGTCTTTTAATAAAAACGAATGGGATGCGCCTACTCATGGTAGTTAAGAGATGGTAATTATCAGTTTAGCAATGTATCGAAGACTTTTTTATATTTAGAACCATAGAACTAATTTGACTGAATTTTACCTGTGTTTATATAATAATAATATTTGAAGTTTTCATAATCAATGTAATTATTAGAACAACTCATTGTAGTCCTACTGCTAGACACGGGACTTTCCTCGTAAGATCTGATGTTTTACCTTAAAATTACCTACCAGGGATGGGTGCGGTGACCAAATGGGTTGGTATACCTACATATGGTATTATTTAGAGGACTGTCGAGAATTTTGGTAGCTATATGTTTGGCGTCTGTTTAATTTTGTTACTTACCATAGCCTTGGAATGATAAGAATACATTTTACGCACACGTTATATTGTATTTTTAATTACACACCACCACAGAATTATATCTAATAACACAGATAACATAACTAATAATAACGATAAACATAAAAAAATAAATTAGGTATTACGTAACTCTTGTACTTATTCAAAATTTGTATTCTCCCGTGTGTCTACAGAAGAAATATCTTTTTAAATGGATCATGTACTTTTTAACTTTATTACAGCGACACATACAAAAATCTTTTCTTCTTCTCATAAGATTAGTATACTATGCGCAGATAGAAAATAAGTGTGTTAATGTTTTGAGTAAAAACTAAAGCACCAATTTTTTGCATAAAAAATATTTATAACTATTTGTAATAGCAGTTGTTCTTATTTATATCTCAAGAAAGACGAACGAATTCAATGAGTATATATAGGTAATTTTTTTTTCAAATTGAAGAACTTGCAACTTTGTTGAGAAAGTCTTGATGAAACTTTTTTATTGTTCGTAAATAATTTTCCCGCCATTATTCGTGTGTAAAAATTACTAGATATAATTTCAACCTTAAGCCATACGCTTTTGTGACTCTTTTTCAAATATACCTTTGTAAACCAGTTAGAGAAGGATAGAAATAGATTATATCCCATTCTGACGATTATTTTTATAGCTGTCTCTTTTACACGCGGTTTTTGATTGGATATGTGAAATCTATCTCACTCCAGCATACGCTCGTACTTTCGTTTAGTAGTATTTCTGTGTCTGTTTATTGTGGTCGTTTGCATTCGTAAGCGTCATTACGAGATTTGTTCAATAATGTAACAACTTGTTTACTTCAAAATAATGTAGTTGGTATAAGGATTCTTTGTAGTGATGTGATATTTGGAGCTGATTATTGAGACTAAAATATTTACTTGTGTTCAAGATGTATACGCAGGCTATTTTTTGGACTGTTTTGGTTTTAATATGCGTTGCGGAGGCGGGGATGATGGGTGACCAGTGCGACTGGACTGGCAGGTATGTTCTATGTATTGTCTTAAAATCTATTGTGTTCCATGACAATGTGTCTATTATTACTGATACTCGTTGGTATATAAATCACCTTTTTTAAGTGTGAAATATTTTACTATGTTGTTGTAAATGAGTTAATAGACTCTCTGATAAGAGACTGTCAGTGTGCCAGTAAAGTATAGATAGATCCGTGGTCATGTAATACCGAATAATGTCTTCTGCAAGTCGTTACTTGGGTTCTCCAATAAGAAGAGCAGAATAATCTGTTAATACACCGACGGTCATACGGCTTGGTATTGTATTATATTTCAAGTTTTACTACTCTTGTATTGTCCTAGTCAATTTTTATTATATGGTGGGCATGAAAGCTGGTGGTGATGTTCTTATTACATTACCGTACGGCTCTCTGCCGTAGTCTCTTTTAGCTAAACAATAGTGATAGGACTAATATGATGGACGCCGAGTTATACTGATCTCGTATAATCACCACGACGACCCACTCAGGGTCCTACTGCTATTGACAAGTCCCACATCAGTATCCTATCGCATCGACTGAACCGAAGGATCGGTAGTTCAAATCTATGCGAAACCAAAAAAACTTTTGTGTCAATTTATATTCCTGCCTGAATGTCCGGTGATGGAAACACCGATAATAAACCATTTTTTTATTATCCGAAAGACGGCCGTAGGATAGTTGTCACTATGTAATTCAAAATAAAATACATGCAGTTACGAATGCCAAGGGTTGCGTCCAGGAGAACGTCGACAAGTGACAATGTTTCTGATTATCCCATTTGGGATACCTACATAATCATGTCATGAACATATCTTGTTATTATTGTACTTAGTAAGTAAAATTTACCTGTCCTTTATCTTACATTTAATTTCTTAAAAAGAACTATCTACGCTGGATAATGGCCCCTATTTAATATCTACTAAACATTATTGTTAACTGAGTGTGGAAAAAGGGTACTTTGGAAAGTTAAAGTGGTGATTTTTTATTTGGTCATTCTAATGTAATTGAGTAGAAATGATATAGGTAATACACAAAATGATATATTATTTTATTATTATACTAGGGTTTTTAGATATCACTATATGTTAACCGTGATGATTTACATATAGGCACTACATTCTTATATTCAGGTAGCATACCAGTAACCTCTCCGTATTTTATTTCAATGTACAAATTTTCTAAAACCAGAAGTCTTTGAATAAATTTTAGGTTTTTTTCGAGAAACCCAGAAAGTCTATGAATAAATTTTAAGTTTTTTTTCGAGAAACCCTTGAGGATTGTATCATAAGAGTTTCTCTATGTACGTTATTAACCCAAATCCAGCCATAAACTATAATTTCATTTATTGATGCACTGGGATTACAGTGGAAATCTTAATAATTATTAAACATCAACACGATTTCCGCTCTTTAGTGTATGTTCTATATTACATTATTAAAGAGCATGATGGAAGATCGCGGAAAGTGGCAAGAGCTCCACCGACAAGAGCGTAGCTCTTAAATTATGAATGAATGAATGAAAGAGTTAATTATTATTTAGTAAACCTCGCGTTAAATCTGTATTTAGGTAACTAGTATTAAGCTCAATTTAGTATTTTACTGTATAATTTTGTATCGCATATTCAGAATCGCTGTGATTATTTATTGATGCAATCGGAATGATAGTAAAACTGACAAAAAATTTCAAATATCGACTGGATTACTACAGCAATTTAATACATGCGATCAAGGCGTCTAAGGATATGGGCACAGGAGATAATTTAGCAAATAACCGCTACAGTTTATATAGAGCCTCGGGTCAAATATAAGCGTTCTGATGGAGATGGGATTCTTGAAATAAATCAGAATTTTCGCCTTCATTTACACATAGCAATTTTCTGTTCTATCATCATCTTTGATTGTTATTATAGTCAGGCGGACTGGTAATGTTAAGGTTATGTCTCTTGGCAAATAATTTTTCATTAATGTCATAAGATAATCAATGTAATGAATTACAACAAGAGCAACGCATAGAACTCTTTTTATAAAAAAAAAACTGAAAAACATATTATTCATTTTTAACTATAGAACGGCAGAGTTGGTCATTTTTTTACATAGGTGAAATATTGATTAGAAATATTTTTAAGTTATTTTATCGTAAATCAAAGACTAAAATATACAATTTCTAATCGTAGTTACTTGTTTGGATGTTTTCGTTGCTTTCTTTCGAGTTAAACATATTGTGTTCCGAATTTAGACATCTCAGTATCATAGAGTTGCATAATGCAATTACTCTTTGTGATATACTATTTAAAATATAACTAATGGTATTACAAAGTATAAATAAATAAATACGTCAACTCTTTATACTGCTTAATGCCTGATAATGTCACCATATGCTCTAATGCCATTTTCTAATCATCCATATTTCAACAAATTCTGACATAAAAAGTAATAATTGTTATTTTGATAATTTTAATGTGAGCGGTCCGGAACTGGGAATTTATGGGGTCGATTACGGAACTAAATCAACAAGTTAGGTTTCACATTGATGAGTGCAGGGGTGGCGTGGGAAACCGATGGGAAATAAGTTCTCGTCATCCCCCGTCGTTGTGCCACGTGACCCTTCCGGTAATATAAAAGGCTTACCCTTAACAAGGTTGTGTCAATTGTCCTGCAATTGTTTTCATTTAATGTTGTATGTGTACTTAATTGTTATAAACAAAAGTTTATTTTGTATTATTCCTTTACAAGTTATTTTTAGTGTAAGTAGAAACTTGTGTATACGTAAATTTTGTGTAATTACGGTATGCACTCAGTGTTTTTAAGAATTTTAATAGAACCTAATAATAACCTAATCGTTTATGATTGGTATACTCTTCATGTACGCTCAAGATCAGATAGGCTAACATCTATTCTATACGTAACACATCTAATTAAGGCTTTTGATTGACAATGCACTTTCTATGTTGATCGATGTTTTGCAACACTTTACTATGTGTGAGATGTATAAACTAGGCGTGTACAATGGATACAATTAATTATGTACGAGGTTGCTAACATCATAGACTTTATTGCGTTGACATAAAGTTTCATTTGACATGAAATGCAATTATTGTTAGTAAAAGAATTTGGTTTAGGCAAAAATATGTTCAATTCAATTTGAACTGTTTATTACATACTTTATATTAATATTGTTAGATAGTTGATTTATGTTGTTTTAGTGTGAATTTTTTTAGTAATTTCATAATACATTAGTTTCAAGTAATAAAAAGTCTTAAGTCTTTCAAGTAATAAAACATCCTTAGTAGTTTAGTAGACAATTCTAATGATACAAAGGGAATCCTAGTTCTATTTCTTATATGACAATGATATTTGGCCGAAATCACTGACATTAGAATAGGCTGCAAAAAGCAAATTGAGTGTCAATGTACCATCATGATGCGACTGTCGGCAGCCATTGTGGAGCATTCAAGTTCATACATTAATATTTATTAGGGAGGGCGGAGAACCGAGGGGACCGGGATCTGTTTATTATAATATCCTCCTTCTATTATAACGCGTTCGCACGAACACCAATACTTATTATGATTGATAATGCATCAAACAGACATCGTGGTCTTATACAGAACTCAACATACATTGGATGACTTTGAGTATCTTAAATATTTCGGATAAAGTTGAAACTAAGTACTCACATCTATATATTACTAGTAATTCAAAAAACCTAAGAAAATACATGAAGTTAAGACGAGTAGACATAGAGTAGAAATAATAAATAATTGTCGACCGTTTACCAACTATTTTGAACATAAATTAATATATATATAAATAATATTGTATGCCTACCCTATACCACTTTATGGACACTGTAGTGTATCTTTAAATAGGAGGATGTATTTCATTAAATAGAAGGAACTTTGCTGTTCTGAACATTGTAATTTCAGACTATGGGATTTGTATCTTTGAATGTTATTATCGTTGATTACTGACGTCAAATTAGAAAAATGAAAGTGTAATTAAATAGCCCCACGTCACAGACAGAACGTTGTCCCACGCATACGGATAAGATGCGACGGAAGTGCGTAATGGTGATAAACATAGCGTAAAGAAAAAAAATGGGTTACATTTCGCTAATTAGCTTTATTTCCACGCTGTTTCCTACGATGGATTATCGTCAATATGACTTAACTTTGTTTTGACATGAATTGGTTAACTACATACCAACATAATAAATGAAAATTAAAATTTTTGCCATATTGAGTTTTTTAACATATATATCTATAATCAATTTAATTGAAACCTAAACTTTTAACCGCAGCATCTAGTGGTATTCTATTTATCACAGCAAAAGGTCATCAACAAAACAGTTCTTATTAAATAAAATACAAAAAATTCGATTTGCCTTTATGATAATGTATATAAAAAAAAAAGTAATGTTGTATTAATGCTTTTTGGTCAGTGTTATTATTTTATAATACGGTTAAGGCCAAAAATAAAATATGAGGAGATTCTATTTTATTTTTGAACGTATTTGTTTCCTATAGAGGATTTAAGTTTACTCTTGCTGTCTTATTGTCTTATCGGACAATGACAAGCTACTTTTACTGGCTGGCGCCAACAAATAACAATAGGTTACTCTGCCATCAATAGATCTTGTCCCCAAAACCAATAAATATATATATTGTCCCTACCAAACAATAACCTGCGTCCAGCGTGACATTAATTAAAATAGATATTATTTTATTAAACGTGAAACAATTAAAAAAGTCATCTTAAGAACATTAATATATGTAGAAATATTTATTCTTGAAGTGGTTTGGTGTTACTCATATATATTGTACTATTGTATTACAATACAATTGTACTACAATACAGTACAGTATGTTTTCTATAACAGAATGTGTTAAAACTGATGTTTTTAGTTACACCTTTGTTGTTGATCTATTAATCTTGGCAATAAATTTATAATGTTTCGGTACCATATTTATTTATCAACTAAACACTTTACA